ATAATAGAATTGCCTGGTTTGATATAACAGAAGTGTCCTGACTATTTAATAGACAATTATTGAGCGATGTAAGGTGGGATTCTATAACATTATATATAACTCTAAAGTGCCCTAATAGGGTCAGCTAAACTCGCTCACGACTTAGTATAGGAACATTTGCATCTGTAGAAGAACTGATGGCTAGATAATAATCAGGTAAGGAGAATAGCGATTTAAGAAACAGTTGACACGAAACGGAGCATAAATCCCAATAGTCAACACCAGGCAAAACTTTATCGTTTGATCTCTACGATATTCTAGTTCACTGTCACATATAATGACTATCATTTCGTTTTAATTAACGAGGGCTGATTAAAGTAGGGAAGTATAAAAGTTTTTTGAGACTCGTACAGGGTATCTCAAATATACCCTTCTAATAACGAAGTGGTAGAGGTTTATTTCCTGAAGGTAGTGTTTGGGGGCGACCAATCAAGGAATTAAAATGTAACACTAAATTATCACGCAATATATAATGGGACCTGTGAGCTCCCTCAGCAATAAAATTCTATAGATTACAATGATTAGGCACTTGGAATTCTATTTATGTGGAGTAATAACTATTTACTTCATACTAAATTAATAATTATCTTTTTATCATGTTGAAACATATAAATACTAATTGTTATCTTAAAGACTTTTAATCTAAGAATAATAATAAACTACATAGCTATTTACAATATAGCCACCAAATATATGAGATTAGCTATATTGTCTGTTTATTAAAACTAACTCTAGTTGAATTTGCATGGGGATAATAAAAATAAAACCAATATTGGTAGTCTAAGAAACACCCCTAAATGCGCAAGGACATACATTCAGCTTCATTATTGGATAAGAATAAAACGACTAGAATGAAACACCTAACTAAAATGGGAAGGATATTAGCAACCAAGGTGGAAATCTCTCAGTGTTTATTTTAATGTACTTTGGTTACTGACTAACTATTTAGTTTTTCTGCCCATACCTTTGATCTAGGGCCAACGTCTCTACAAGATAAATATCAAACATAACAGTGATTGAAGCAGAGCGGCAGACATCACCAATGCTACTAAAAAAAGTTACAGAAAATAGGAGACTTCGTTCACGCTGAATGTTGCTTTAACGCTGAGTGCTTAAATATGATGTCATATAAAAATATGACATTTTTTCTGGAAATTAACTTTGACTTCACAACCTAAAAGCGCCCGATGAAATACTATGCAAAATCAGCGAAATGTGTTAAAAATTTGTGTGATATGGCCAAAGGGAGATTTGAAATTTGCAAACGGAAAACTATTATTTTGACGTGGTTCATAAAGTTTCGAACAGAGACCAAATTAAAGTGATTTGATGGGGAAAGAATATATTGTAATGTTGCCATATCTCAGTAAATATTCAGCAAAGCTAACTGATTTCGTTAACTTCGAGGTATTTCGTGACAATCTTTCTAAAAATGGGATTTTATGACGTCATCGTTTAAGAAATCTATTGTTCCTGTAAGCAAGAATGAAGTTGAAGTAACATGTGTGGGTCTGGAATGTATTCAAATTAAACAAGTTGGGCAAGTAAAGTAGCTATGGTTTGAATCAACAATAAATGTTCTAAAAATTGTTTTTCTTTTCGGAAATTCTACTACTGAGAACAGAAATTCTTATAGGCGTGGCAGAGATTGACTTACCTTCCTTCTAATGAACCTGCAACCAGTGCAAGTAAATAAGATGGTATAGCAGTCTAGGAAAAATGACACAAATTAACAGCATGTAAAATCTAATAATATGTAACAAGCTGTATCATATATGATTTAAATATGAATAAATATGAACAACCATTGATTCTTGCTTGGTTCCAAATACACATGTTCTGTACAAGAAAATGTCACTGAAAGTGAAATCTGCGGCAGATAGATGTTATGAAACTCAACCACAGAGCAAATAGAGATTCTAAATGAAAATTTTACGAAGTTATGTAGTTGATAAGTATTTGATTGATGCAGTGGCCAGGGCAGCATTTGCCACTGAGCATCCAGTGGCCCCAAAAAATTTTCAGACGTTTTCAGTGTCATTGGGTTTTTCTTACACGTGTTTCTTAATAATAAGCAAAAAAATTTCCGAAGAACATAGTTCCACAAGGTGGGTGAGATAAATTAAACAAGATAACTACCTAAAGCTTTCAGAATGGATCATAGGATGGTCGACTGTGCTTAATTGATAATCTTTGGGGTTAATGTAATATCCCTCCCTAGGGAATCATCGGGGGACCTTTTACAGACAAGATAAAATACATCATTGTACCTTATACAATACAAGGCAGCAGCCCCCAAGAAATTTTGAAGGATGTGTTATTAAACTTGTTCAGAAACTGCATGTAAGCAGTTAGGGCCACCAATCAGATCCTGTAAAACATTTGGACTCACATTTCCCATTTCCTTAAAATTTGAGAACTCACAATCCTATACAAACTAATAAAGCACCCTCTCATCACAACCTACAAAAATCATCCGGATGCAAATTAAAATTCTTCTGACAAAGGAACATGACCCACATGACCCACACTTTAATACACATTCATTTGTCTTAACGTCTCATAAAAGGCGATCAACAACTGTTTGTTGTTTTTCAAATCAGGCTATTGTCACCTGCATCCATCCATGTTGCTAATGCTACTGTTCATGAAAGATAACTCTGTCCCCGCAAAATGCAAATTCTTATGACAAAAGTAGATGACCCACACTATAGTACACATAATTTGTCTTAATGTCTCATAAAAGGCAATCAACAACTGTTTGTTGTTTTTCAACTCAGGCTATTGTCACCTGCATCCATGTTGCTAATGCTACTGTTCATGAAAGATAACTCTGTCCATGCAACATTCAAATTCTTAGACAAAAATAGATGACCCACACTATAGTACACATAATTTGTCTTAATGTCTCATAAAAGGCGATCAACAACTGTTTTATCAAAGCGTTTCCGGGTTGCCAAAAAGGAATACTAAAATGGAAGAACCAAAGCTCATGGAAAAGGCTCTTTCGTCAGTTATCGCCACCTCACGTGCGGTCATGCCTGAATTGGAGTAAATTTAAGGATTTTTTAGAGTCGCCCATTTTACTCTGGCCAATCACTTTAGCCTAGCAAATTGGCCCTAGCTGGAGGCTTCCCCCTTTACCAATGCCTTTTTCTTTGGCAAATCTGCAGGGGTCAGATATTGTTCTTGATCCGCCCCTGAAGAGGTCCCATCTTTGCTTGGGCTCAGGGTACTTGGGGATCTAACAATGGTAGTGTGGCCCTGGTAGAGGCAAGCTGTCTTTCTTGTGATGTTTTTGTGAAATCATTTTTTAGCAAATTAAATGATTAACATCGATCAATTTTCTCTATCTTTGCCCGTTTAATATCGATTGTATGATTGAAGCATCCCTAAAAAGTTTTAGACAATGAATTTTGTAGAGGCTACCAAAATTGGATCAAGAAATATAGTTTGCGAGAAATTTGTCTCCTCATCCTAGAATCTTGCATCAGAGCCAAAATTTTGAAGCACCATATATTTGGGATGTTATAAGATATCAAGCTGAAATTTCAGGATGCTCTTACCATAAATATAAAAGATTGGCACAAATTTTCATATAAAATCTTAGGTGGTGCATGTGGGATCTCTAGTCTACTTAGGATGAATGATCCCTGCAATAAGTAGCTAATCCTTGGGGATGAGGAAAGGTATTTACCACCCTGGCACTTCAAAGGTATTTGGAGACTAATATAGTTATGAGAATTGGCTTCATCAGATGATAACCCAGACCTGTTTTTGTGAAATGTTTATAAGCTGGGCTGAGTTTGAAAATCTGTTATAATCACAAAAACACCTATAAAAAATTATCTTGGTTTTCTTCTCCTTCCCCCATCAAAATGCCCCTCAAAATTGCTATTTGCAAAAATTTACGTTTTTTCTTCATGAAAATTTGTCAAATGCTTTGCATACAAACAGAAACAATGCTTATAAAAATATCATTGCATTGTTAAATGATTTAACTCTCAAATTTATACGTTTTTTACGTTTGTATATTCTATGCATGGGAAGTAATGATTTGATTCAAAAAGGTATTCATCTAGATGTGGCCTTAAAATAAACTGAATACAAAATTTTGTCATCAAAAGATTATTGGTACAACCTCTTGCATAAATCTTATAGACCAAAATATTTCAGTCAATTGCTTGAGTTTTATCAACAATAGTTTCAAACAATATTTCGCTGCAATATTTCGCTGCAGGGCAATATTGTTTGATGTTTTGCAGGCACTCAATAAATCAGTCTCTATGGCTACTTTTAGGTGCACTTTAGGAACTTGCGCTCGATCAAGGGCCTTTCCAGGCAAGGCCTGGCAACTTGATTAATATTTTGGAGCTTCTTGACTAGAATATTATTCTAGAATATATGAATAATGATCAAACCATTTCTTAGCTTTGTAGCTTAGAGGGTGACAAAGATTTTACAATTTGGTGCAGCAAAATCATTTTTCTAAAATTATTGCTTGTATCAATAATTGAAAAGGTCACATTACTTCAATTCATAACAAAATCCTTAACAACATATTTCTACAGCATAAAAATTATAGAACAAAACAAGGGTTTTTGGTACCTTTTGATGGAACCTGCACTTGCGAGAATCATTCTCTATTATTTCATTGCAGTCTTTGATAGCACTCATCAAGGCTGTGAGTTCTGATGGTACAGTAACCTGGAATACATAACAGATTATAATACCGTAAATCCTCAAATTAGCCCCCTGGGCCAATTCAAGGATTTACAGTAGCAGTGGGGGCTTATTCAAAGGGGGGCCTTACTGACAATGGCCGTGGCTTATTCGAGGGTTGTGGCTTATTCGAGGGGGGGGGCTTTTTTGAGGGGGGGCCAATTGAAGGATTTTTCATTGTGCTAAAATGAAGGCAGAGAGGTGCGAGGATGGCTCAGTGGTTAGGGTCACTGAAAACAGACCCAAGGAAACATTCCAGGAGTAGGAATCACAAGACATGTTATATCAAGAGGAAGGACTAGGACACTGCTTGAGTAGCATAGCCTTTCAGTGTCCTAAAACTACCTTCAGAAGCTAGGTATCAAACAATCTAATACAGGAATATAAGAGCTTGAAGAATTGCCTGTTCTACATACATTAGATAACTATTAAATGTGGAATTATTTTCAGGTCATATAAAACCTTGTGACTTATTACAAGTCATGTAATGCCTATGATAAATGGCTTCAATGCGCCTTGAACAAAAGTAGCCCGTTTTCTCCCAGACTGTTTTTCAGTTGCCAGGTTGATCAAATAAGAAATAACTTCTATCCATAATCTTTTACAGAAAATGAAGAATATATTTTTTTAAATTTTTAATTGTTTCTATCCTTGCATTTAAAAGACAACAAAGTTACCTCTGCATCATAAGTAAACTTTACTGCTGGTGTGTCTTGACATGGTATAATACTTCTTGCATGGATGGCCTATGAAGAAAAACAGGATACAAAAAGCACATTTCACACTCGATTTGTTGATAGATGTAATAATAAAAACCAAATATTACTGCTTTCAGCGCTATACTGAAATTTGGTTGTATGACATAATTATTGAAATAAATAATACAAATATTATCAGAACAAATATCAAGCACAAGTAATTTTCAGGGAAAATCTAATTGAGTATTACATTAATTTATTATTGTTTACTGTCTTGATTTTACTGCACTGGCCAATTGCTTGCAATCGTAACACATATTACCTGACATTGAGTAAAAAGAAATGGATGTTGCTTCCCAGAAGTTTGCTCTGGTTCCAGCCAGTCTATTGCAGAGCTTTCAGACGTTGTTTCGTAAACGATTTTTACATGAAAAATGAGGCCAGGTCTGTAAGAAAACAGGATGTTGCAACAAATACAATAACGATTGTACTGTATACCCTACTTACAATATTTTTTCAACCAAGATAAAAGCAGTAATGCAGCTCATAATTTTGCTGAGTGTTTTCAAGAATAACTTAAAACTGTTGACTTGCTAAACATCACTTCACTTAAAAGTCACACTGTTGCTTACAGTCCTAGAAAAATTAGACCCAAAATACGCAAAACTGTTCAATTTAGCTCCGTTTAAAGTCCCACTCCACCTACTGTCACAGCTTTTCAAGCCAAAGTCTTCTGTAACAAATGGCATGGCTGCAGATACTTCTGTAACATTATATGAATAGTGCATACGTTTTCCTGCAATCTTCTGGAATCTTGATTTCCAGAGGCTTCCCAAACGGTTCAGTTTCATTTTCAATTATGTAAAGTAGATCTTTTCCTGTTTCTTCAAGGCAGACATTGTGGATAATGAAGCCATTTGTATCTAAAATCTTTAAAAAAATCTTTATTGGTACAGAATTTGATGGATAGCAGGGGCGGATCCAGAGGGGTGCGAAGGGGGCTAGAGCACCCCTCAGATTTGAGGAAAAACTTTTTGGGGATTAAAGCTTATCCTACCGCAATTTTGTTTATAATTATTAAAACCATTTTTTTATCTCTTTTACTGAGAAGTATGCACATCTCCTAAAATTGTTATATCCGCTTCAATGCCCCGTCTCACAACTGTTCAACATTGTTATTTCAGTCCATGCATTGAAGTGTTATCAAACTCCCCCTGGTTGTACTGTATAGCATTCTACAGACTCGGAAAGCATTGTCTCCTCTTATAACCAGCCACTTGAGGAACCCATGGCCTGTAAATTATACGATTTTCTGCACCCGTGGAAGTGAATCTAGCCAATCACGGTGCCAGGTCGAGGGGTTCTAAACTTTGGCGCGAGAACCCATGGATTTCAAAAATTCAAAACATCAAAGAATACCGACAAACCAGGGGGAGTTTCTTCGTTTCAATCTACAGTCAAATGTAAAGTGGTTTTATGACCAGGGGGAGTCGAGCTTGAACAGGGGGTGTTGAATTATGATACAGCACGCGACGAATGCTTAGGCGCAAATTTGCAATATGTTTTTGTAGGTCTTTTGACGATCTTTACCTGGTGCTCGATGCTGTAACGGCAGAACTTGTAAACGCTTTGGTTTATATAACAGAACGGTTTCAAGTTTCAACTCCGTGTTTCACGTCTTATTCATAGACCATGAGGTATGATTTATATTCAGAGGATAAAGCTTGCCCGAGCCCTTGTTATTCTTTTTTTTAATCATTCAAAAACTACATACAAAACATCTCAAAAACTTGCCCTTACTATTCTTGACCAAAAAGGGTTTCCTTCTTATTCCTACTTTTATTCCTACGAATACTTTTTTCTCTAAAGATTTCAAATTCATAAAAATGCTCAAAATGGCAGGCCCATAGCGAAACGTTCAGGGTCTTCTTTGTTTGGTTTGGCATCATATGTTGATGCATGCAATGCATGCTGGGTTTGAATCCCTGTGTTCAACTTTTGTTCGACTTTTTTCTATTGTTCTATTTTCTCTAACGACGTGCACTGCCTTTCAAGTTCAAGGGCTTCATTCCACCAGCCACGTTAATTTTTTGATCAAGCTGATCAAGTTCTAATAAATGGCTGCAAAGAGTCAAAAATTAAATTTTGCTTTGGAAATTTGTGGGCTCGGGCCTTTTGCCACTGCGGGCCATGATATAATATTTGACTACAGTTTCTATACTTTTGTACCCTAAGTGAATATGAGGAGGGCGAGCTGCAAATTGCGTTCAATTGGCATAAAAGCTGAAGCCAACGTTCCAAGTTCTGATCAAAGTGTAGCAAAAAATTACTATATAAATCAAGGCATCCAGGCTTTTTAGTTTATGGAAGACTTTCATTTCATTATGGCTTATAAGCAGGGGGTGTACGGAGTTTGTGCATAGCAACACCCTTGGTTACCAAGCCTTGCGTTTTAGCACCCCTCAGAATAATTTCTAGATCCGCCCCTGGATAGGATATACACATTACACATTTGGGCGAAACTGAAAAACAAGTAGCAGTGGTATTTTGTCAAAAGAAATTCTCGCACTATGCTAATATCTTGCTCCGGCAAGATATCAGCTATCTGTTATTCATTTGGGTTCATTGTTGTTTATTTTTGGCATTTTGCGTTGTTTCTTATTTTGAAAAATTGTTTGGTCTAAATGATAAATCAACAGCAAAAAATGAGACCCGATGACGGTGACGAAGAGTGAAAACAAACATTACCAGTGTGTCAGAGCCTGTTTTGACGCATTCAACCTTCAGATTTGCTGTGCATCGCAATACTTTCCCTGGAAAGTCTACATCTATTTGCCAGCTTATGTGCTTGCATAAAAAACTCTCAGGATTTGAGAGAGAACACGGATCTACTCTTTCCGCCATCTTCAAATCTCGATTCAGCAATGTGACGCGGGATTTCCTAAGTGCTCCTTCGCATTTACCTATCGCTGAATAAATAATGAAGCGACGACACCAACTCAGTATTTGCTGCCCCCTCCATCCCTGTCCCAACCCAAAATTAAACGGGCTTGAAATAATAGATAAGAATAAAATACAACTAAAATAAGAGGTGCAACATTTTTCATCTCATGCTTTTAAATATGTTAGATACCACAAATAAGTCCTGAATTATGTTCATCATTATGTAAAATTAACAATTTAAGCAGGAATTGTTGTGAGAAATTCACGTAAGTTAAAACACCTGATATTCTCTTCATTTCAAGCTTCAACACTAAGCTTAATTTTTGCATAAATTATTGAAACAGAAATGCGCAGTTCTATTTGTTTGATAAGGAATATTGCTACTCTCTACTTGTGTTTAATATTTGAATCTGGGTGAGACCTTTTTACAGTTTAGAATTTGTGCCTTAGTAAAGCTGGGGCTGGCGAGACAAAAAATTACCTTCTTGTCATAGCAAAATGTGAGTAGATCAAGACATAGTAGCCATTGAAAAAATAATATTATCAGAAACCAATTGGGGAGAACAGTCCTAGCAGCCCCTTGGGTTTTTGCCTTTAAGGTGCACAGTTCTCTATGTCTACAGACACTAAATTCAACCTTGTCATGAATTATTCAATTGTCAAACTTGTTTTGAAAAATTGTAAAGAACTTGGATAAGCAACTTTCTGCTGGTAAAAAATCAGATTTGCAAACAAAAGCAATATTACACAACTCAAAAGAAAGATGAAAATTACTGTTTACCAGTCTCTCATAAAGTGACTGATGCCATATAGGCAGAGCTGTCAAAATTCTGGCGTATAGAACAAGATGGTTCTAAGTTTTTACTCCAAGATTTACAATTAATGCAGGCAACTTTTGAAACTACTCTCTCTCTCTGTATGGTTTTCATAATTGATCGTTATTTCCCTGTATTGGGAATTTCAATGCATGTAGGTGTTAATTATGATAACCAGGCAACTCAAAGATATGTTTTTGCCTGAGTGTGGCCAGAGTGTAGACAACAGTGGCCACACTGCCAATGTTATTCAAATAAGTTTAGGATACAAACAACTTGTACCATTTAAGAACTGAAAGGTCTATCTATAAAAGAAATGATACACGGCATCTTGCAGAGTTATACTGATCTTTATCTGGACAATTAATAACAATAAACAGAACAAATAACTTATCAACATTAGAAAAATACAACTTCTCTATCCTGCATTGACAAGCCCAAGTTCATACTGAACTTTTAGTGGTTACAACAGTGGTCTTAATATTATGTGACCTTATAACGATGGACAGAAAAGCAAAATGAACCAAAAAAGCTAAATTCCTTTTCCAAAGTCCATAGAAAACGGGTTTGATTACTGTTTACAAAAGGCACACTATTGAAGAAGGTTTTAAATGCCACCAAAGTTACAAACAAGACAAATTTCAAACAATGTTACAAAAAGGTCTAACCAGAGGAGATTTTCAGCTAAATCAAGCAGTATATCTTCCAAATTTGCTTTTTTTGAAGAAACTGTTCATGGTGCATAGGATTCTTAACTTACATTGTCCAAACTAAGAATGAGAATATACTTTCTAGGGACACCACCAAATGAAAAATTACAGTTGCTAAGTCCAACACTGTCTGTCTCAAGTTCAATTAATTCTATTTTTAAGTTCTTAAGGTAAGTTTTCCGATAAAAATATCTTGGAGTAAACAAAACAAATATCCTCTAGGGAGCAGAAAAAGAGAAAGACAAAGTCTTCGGAAGAGGGACTTGAAGAAAAACTGTTCTTCAATATTGCTATTAATTGGACAATCTATTTGAATAATGGATAATAACAAATTAGCCAAATGAGAAAGTATAACAAATTATCCAATTGCATTAGTAGATCCTTGAGTGAATAAGACATAGAGAGTTCTGAAAAGCTGACAAACAAGCCTTATTTAAAAAAATTATAGGCTGCTGAAGGGAAAATGCTCTACTTTAACTTTCTCATTCTACTGCAGAAAGTTTTAATTTTACAGAAATATTTCTTTACAGTTATCACCCATAGTAATTTATTCCCTACAAAGATTCATAAATATAATGAAAACAATTAATTCACATGAAAAGTGAATTTCTGTGTATTATTTCTTGTGTTTAAAAATTATAACAAATGCTACAATACACAGCAATATGGTTACCAATGTATTGTAATAAATCAAGTTTCTAAATTTCGGGTCCAGCTCACCCTCTCTGTACCAGTAAATCTGTAGGAAAAATAGCTTTGTGTCACAGATGGTAGATGTTGAATATACAACAAAAAAAGGCTTTGAAAAAAGCAAACAAATTATGAAAAATTGGCTATAAGCTTTTTTGTCTGACACTCCTCAGAGCATAAAACATCAGAATAAGTGTCTGAAAGAACACAATGAAAATATATACCCAGTTGTGGATAGAAATAGGCCAATCAGAAAAACACAAGCACAATAAATGCTGCATGCCTAAAGAAAAGATACCACTGGAGTCCGAGAGAGCAAAGGAACCTATGCCTCATTTTTCATTGTGTTCATTCGGACCCTTATTCTGATGTTTTATGCTCTGAGCAGTGTCAGACAAAAAGGCTTTTAGCCAATATGTTATAAAATGTTTGCTTTTCTGAAAGCAATTTTCAAGTTCTGTACAGCCAAAATACTATAAATCATAAAGGTATCATGGATTATGAATTAATACCTTTAGGTAACAAGAATACTGCAACTAACAGGACCATTATCAAAGGGTACATTTCCTTTGTAACCATTTGTCTAGCAGTCCAATGTTAAAATTAAGAGCCCTGTTCCCACAATAACTTCATTTCATATGATTTATACTTTTCATGGCAGATAGCTGTTTTTTCCTGCGAAAAGGTTATCAAGGCAGTATGAGATAAAGTTAAACTGATACAAGCGCTATCATGTCAACAGCAGTATTTTTTTGATTATATTAGCTACACAATGAATCTGTGAACACATTTTAAACAAAAATAAAATATAGAAGAAAGAAAGAATACTCACTAGTAAGCAGTTTGAAATGCAATTTAATATGATAACAAATGAAAGGAAAACATGGACGCCATTTGGTGGAAACGGATGTGTCAATGAACTAATCACAGTTGCCTAAAAGTGAAAAACAGAGAGTAATTTGGCATTGAACATTAGAAGGGTGATAAAGAATCACCCTATCAATTGTAATAAAACAATAACAGATTTCTAAAATTAAGATTACCCAATAAGCAGCCCTGGCAACATTTTTCTTTTCAATCGTATGAGGTCTATTTGTGAGGAAATATTAAATTATACTTTCAGCAAGTTTGTTATTCATTATTTGTTATTTTAATATAAAATTCCTTTATTCTATAAAATAGAGTATATGGTTTAAGCTGTCATTATGCAAGATCAAATTATTGTTTGCTGCAAAATAATTCTCTCCTGAGGGCTTTTACTCTCTAACCATAATGATGGTTGCCAGAGATAAACAGAGATTTGGAAATACTATCATTGTGTTTTGGCTGTTTCTGAGATAACAGCCTTCTCTTTAGCAACCAAAGTCTTCAAGCCAGTCTAAAAGCCAATTTTTAGAGAACTGGGATAACAAATTATTCTAAAATTGCAATCAGGTGATAGAGCATGTTTTTATAGCAACACATCCTGGTCACAATAGAATATAATCCATGTAAACACAGTGAGCCAAGGAGTCAATTGTTAGTCACCCAGTTATAAGTGTAAAGGTCTTTTGTTTTGATCTTATCTTAAATCGGATATAATTTGAAGCTACAACACAGTAATTTGTCTAATTTGATTATATACAAAATATAAAAATTCATAATACTTAATACTTTTTAAATACAAATTTACAATTACATTAAATTTGTTTCTGTTGCATCTACAGGTGTTAACCAATCTTTTGAATTGGACCAGGTTTTCTGCAGATCTTATTTTCTGTGGTAAGCGATTCCAAATTTGTGGTCCGAGGGACCTGAGACTATTTGTACAGAAAGTTGTTTAGTTGCACCTGAATGGCTGCAAGTTATATGGACCATGTGAAGGCCAATCAAAGGTCCTTAGTTCAAAAATATTTTGCCTGAATTCAGGATTTGACCTTTTTATGGTTTTGAAAGTTTCAATACAGAGATACCCTAGCCAACTTACATGCATTCTGCATTTTTGACAAAAAAATTCTAAAGATATGCAAAGCAAACCTACTCAAGATGAATCATGGTGATCCATATCATAAGGAAATAGGGCTCTTTCCTGTATTTTCAAACTCAAAACCAATTTTTTCTTATTGTCACAAAGAGCAAAACTGAAAGTGGTGACTTTGGATCCTAAAAGCAATATTGAATCTAAAAAAATTAAAGGGTATTTTCTATGCCTTACCAAAACAGCAACTGATGCAAATGCACCCAAAGCATAGTTAATGTATTTCTCCTGAAACAAAAAGCATTTGTCAATAAAATTTCATTTAATTTGAAAAAATAGCACTATCTTCATGCAAAAATTGACACTTCTGCTACAAAAAGATTTATTCTATTCAGAATGCAGCAAAATGTTTTGAAATCTTTCAAATCGAAATCTTTCCTTAACAGTATTATAATTCGTCTTTACGAAACACCAAAAATGAAAACGAATAAGATTCGTGAACTGTGTCAAATAGAAAAAAATTTGACAAAAAAGTTGTTTTTGACAAATACAGTTAAGTAGTTTGATATCAATTTAACAGGACGCCAAAAAGAGTAATGACTACTTTTGGCAAGAAATCTTACCTTGGGACTGTCAGGTCCAAACAAAGGCAAATGGCCAGAGGAACCATAGCCATCAGTCATCGCTTGATAGTTCTTTGTGGCCAGTTTGTCAACAATGGCCTTACTAAAGTAAGAGTCAACTTTTCACCACCTATAATAATGACGTTGGGCTGCCAAACATTTCCAATGAAGAATGATGTTGCAGCCTCCTCGAATTTGTACTTTCCTCCCAAATATCCTGATATCCTCTTCTAATCTGTCTTAACCATTGAATACCACCAAAGTGCGATACACCTCTTCGACAGCAAAGCTGGCACTCAGCTTTTTTGGTCCTCACTTTGAAATTTTTAAGCTGATCGCTCCGACCTTCCAATAACCTCCCAAGTCTAAGAGCAAAACAAACTGGCCTAGGCACTGTCCACGCCTATCTCTTGCGGATCTTCGTTTGGAGAAAATTGTCAGTTGCTTGTGCAAAAAAATTTAAATACGCTGAAATCGATCTCTTCTTAATTTATGATATCTCTGAATAGAGAAAAATACAAATGACACGAAATTAATTGTTAGTTGTGCACGATAAACTTTGCTTCTCGCCGTCCTTTCCTAGAAACATACCAAATCGTATAACACATCCACGTGACAATAGGGGCGCTCCTTCACATTTTCCAGGCACATGGGAACCAATGATGGGAACTGGGAAAGCGACAGGCGGTCCAACGCCCCACGGCCTTTTTAAAAATAAATAGCGACATTTTCTGTTTATGCGATTGTGGGACTTATTGCCGTATTTCTTGGCGTATAAGCTGACCCAGTGTTTCTAAGTCGCTCTTTCTTTTTTGGCGGAAAATACATTTGGCGTTTCAAAAGGATTTTTTTTCTACATAAATCTCCTGTAAGCTACACTTCTGAATACAGAATAGGTTTTCTCAGAAACATATCACCGTCGTTATATGTCAAAGACGACTTTTCACATGTATCTTAAGGCCCTAGAGGACGCCGAAAAAAGCGGTACATTGATTTTTTGTTCCGATTTCTTGGAAAAATACGAGGCCATCGAAAACTGACCTTCACCAAATGTATTTTGAACCTCCTTCGCTATGTGGTCGCATAACTTCAAAAACTAAACCAAAGAGTCCTCCCAGACTCCCAGTTGAATGAATCCTGATTTCCAGTGCCGAAACAAGTAATCCCAGTTCGCAGTTCATGCATTCAAGACCTTAAAATGTAGCACGTTCGGAAGATCAAGAATATCTCCTGGGCGTTTCGTCGGAGCATTTCACTTCAACATTGACACTTCAACATAGGCTTTTGGGCCTTTTTCAATCTACTCAAAATTTTGGATGAATATGTTGATTTGATTTTGAATACCTTCTTCTAAAATTTTTCATTTTTCAGAAGTATCATGCAAGGCAGGCTCGTGGTGGTGACATTTTTAATACGCACAATGATACTTTATAATATGGCTTAAGACCAATTTGATATGTCAATGCTCAGTCCTGAAATAGGACTTTAGGAGTCCCGATGAGGCATCTCCATTAACGATCAGGGCCGTCGCTGGCCAGCTAGGGCCCAGGAGTATTTCACAAATCTGCCCACCCCTTAAGCCTTCTAAAAAAGTTTTCTGTGACCTCCCCTTCTTCAAGATTGTGCAAGAACATTGTATTCGTGAATCAAGAATACATGAACGCCGTTTTTCTCTGTGATGAACTTACAGATATAGGTAGTCGAAGAATAATTTTTGCAAATTTTTATTGTAACATCCTGATAATAACATGGTGTAAGATAATAACGGGCCTAATCGGAGCACAGGTCCCAGACCTTTTGCCCCTCCTAACCCCCACCAAACGTTCCTGTTATTTTGTTAATGAATTCCTTTCGTGAACTTTGACTACATCTTATCTTTACCAAATACTATTCCTGGACACCTTCATCTAACATATTTTTCTGAAATCGATCCTTACATTCAAATGTTTATAATTTGAAGAAAAAGTTTTTGGTTTGATTAGTGCTCTCTTCTCCATTAGCTTATTGAGAGACAGTGCCTTAAAAAATTCCTCTCTACACAAAAATCGTGGTGTAGAATTTTTCGTTGAAATTTGACCATCTGTTGTAATTGATTTAAAAGCTATTTGCAGTTTAGATTTAGAGATATTTTGTTTGTCATGGAAGTTTATAATTAGCTGGTAACATCAACATTTTGTTGTAGTTCCTTGTCAAATGTATGCCCGTATGTTCAAAAGACCAAAAACTTAACTTCTAACTACGTTGTTTTATTATCTGCGTTAATGTTGTTTCTATAAAATGTATTTTTATTTGAGTCAATTCATCTTTTTCTATTCTGTAACATTCAAACTTTATGCAATGTTTTTTAAGCGTAGAGGGGGGGGAAGTTTGCATTTATACGACACCCGTCCTAATTTTATCCCTGTCACATAGATGTTAAAGCTATTTTAAAAGTGGGGGCATACTTAGGCAAAAAGGGGCAGGGACCGCGCACAAGTCTAAATGTGGGAGGGCTGAAAAGGGTGTGATCGAAACCGTGTCCTCTAGAACGCCGGAAAATGCCCCTTTTAGAAAATACTTGCTTACTTCTACTGAAGTTTTATAACAACTCTGGTTAAAAAAGATTTCAATAGCTATGAAAATAGATAAATAAAACATAATGAAAACACCTAGAAAATGAACAAAAAGGGTTCCCAGTCAAGAAAAATTGCTACTACTTAGGAGCATTCATTGTTGTATTAAAGCACAGTAAGAGTAAACTTTCCAAAAAGTTCTCTTCCCCTTTATTGCAAAAAAATGGAGGGGCTATAGCCCCTGATAGCCCAATGGCAGCGCGGTGCCTGAAAGGGGGCACCCCCGTGAACTGCACGTACACTGGGGTCACAAAAGTAGGGAAACGGTGCTAAAAATGGCGGCTCACAGAAGCCAAAGGCCTAATTTTGTAACGAACGCTTTCGCCACGAAATTTTTTGCGTAATTCCAATGGCTTTTGAATCTTTAACTTCAAGACATCATCTCAATTTAGTTTGCTTTTATGACTTGCTTCAAAAAGACACTGAGCCTTCAGACCAAGACCAAGATTATGAATTCCTGCCCGTAGTGTATTTTGGGGTTTTTGTGTGATATCTTTCAGTAGATTTCAAAAACGTTATAAACCATTTCAACTAAAGTGTTTTAAATTGGAGAAGCATTGGGAAGATTCCTCTCAAGGCTACAGCAGCTGAACGATTATAAGCCTCTCGGTGGTAGCTAGGAGGAACATTCAATTGGGAATGTTGCATAACAGGGACTAAAGTCCTCCTCAACTTTTTTGCAATAATAGGTTAGAAAATGTTTTGAAAGTTCACGCTAACGAACGCATTAGTAGCAGTTCTGCTGGGAACACGTTTTTGTTCTTTTTGATGGTGCTTTATCTTGTGTGATCAAAGATAAATTTGTATTTTATCTAACTCGGTTTTGTATTTTTATGTTAATTGAAATCTTCTCTAAATCGTTATGTTTATGAATAAGGACAGAAAAAAGCTAATATTTTCTGAAAGGAGTGGTTTCCGGTGTTTCAAAGGGCGTGGCCGTAAAAAAATTTCGGGGCAATCCTGCTAGTCCCGTTCCAGCCACTCCCTTGTGGGCTGGTGCCAGTGTGACCTGATCTAGCGTAATATTAACATGATATTGGCCAAAAATCGTCATTTAGCATAAAATCTAGCATAATTTGGAATCTAGCATAACTCTGGCATAATTCTGATATTATTTAAAAGAAACATTGTTTCCATTCTATTCCCCTAGGGCAATCCATTGTCTATCGTTACCAAATGCAAACACTTTACATCTGTGGTTACATTTTGGGAGTAAATTGTGACTTCCTACCTTCAGGATTTTGCCAGTTGTTTTGAATGGTTGGCAGCCACATATTTTGTGGTTGGCAGCCAAATGCAGCAGCTAAACGCAGTATACAAAAAAGCTAAATTTTTGCTAATTATTGGGAGTGATACTGTAATCAAAATTTGCTTTGTTGGTTACAAAAGTTTTCACTTGCTTTGATCTACAACTGTCTGTTATCTTTTAATATTTATCTGTGCAAAAATTTTTGTTTCCTATATATTTTCGTTGTTTTTTGCAACATGCTGCCAGAATTCAGGCAAATTTTGCTCCCTCGGCCAAATCAATTCATGACGGCCAAGGGTCTTTGAGAAACTGCCATAATGGAGAAATTAGGCCATCAAACCATGGATCTAAATTGCCTTTTTATTTATGAAGAATGAGTACACTCGGTTGTCAAAAAGGCCAAATTGCAACTCTGGCCACTTTTGATATTCTGAGCGTGCATTAGCCTCTTTCTCGAGCAGGGTTGCCTTGATTTGAAATCTAGCATAATTTTTGCAAATCTAGCATAATCTTATGACGAATTTGGCGTAATTCCAAAATTGAGATCTGGTGCGTGGTTTCTGCATTACAAACAAGATGGGGTAGAGATCATGCTTTCAAACTGGGCGAAAAGAGAATAAGAAGAAACAAGCACAATTTGTACATGAGTGAGAAAAGAGATTTTTTGCCATCAGTAACGAGGTTTTTGTTTATAATATCAAAACTTTTTGAAGAACAGATTTGATGGCAAAGAATTTGATGGGCTGAATGCAGTTAGGAATTTTCCATAAGAAAAAAAAACTTAAGAAAGCTTCACCAAGCTTTTATCCCGGACATTGCAGAGAGGCTGATTCCCACCTACAACAAGATAGAAGCAGGTAGGGAAAGCAGCATAGCTCCAGATAACTTATCAAACAGACAAATATTGCAATTAATATGCTTGATATCGCGTCTAGCAGCAAGTTTCGAGTTCCGAGAAATACTGCAAAGACATGGTTTTTCAAAAACCAAAAAATACTAAAGTCTGGGAAGCAAGGCTGACTCAAGGGAGTTTTTGAAGGTGAAAGGAAAAAAATAACTTTGACAGAGATCCGAACAAACCATGTAAAAGAGTTTCTTTTCGATAACTTTTTGCTCACATAATAAGACATCGCTATCTGTATCTTATTTTTAACCCAATCCAATTTCTAATTTTTATCTGTATCTAATTATTAACCCAATCCATATAATGTAAAGAATCAGCTTTTGCTACTTATACTTTTACGAAATTTGCCCAATCAGGACATGCTATTTGCACTATGATGGCAGTTTCTATAATTGCCACCCCCATGATGCCATCCCAGCAAAGTACCACGCCCAATTTTTACAAAAAATGTGGATCTGTAAAATTTTCTTTTAGGCCCTGGTAAAAAGTCATTGAAACGTTGGACCGGTGCTTCAGAAGATTTCTGGAAAATATTATCGAAGGATTAATTAAACTTGAAACGTAAAACATGCACTTTTGTTCTGACTTTGAATATATTACCGAGAAGATCATTTTGGCCAAGATATCAGGGTTTAGGTTATTAAAAGTGATATCAGGTGAACAATTTCTAAAACTGGCATTTAGTGATCAAAATAGTTTTCTTGCTAAATAACATAGATGCATTGGGTGTAGATGATTTTTTAATTAATTTCAAAAGCAGAATAAACGTTGTGCGTTTTGCTTTGATTTCTTGATTGCCATGTGCTTCGACAATGAGCAAATCAGAATTTAAGATAAACAAGTCATTAGCATATTATTTAGAGCAACTCACCTTGTGTCAGTATTGAAACTTCAAAATTAAGATGCACTTCTAACATCACTTTCTCAGCTATATTTTTTCCATAAAAAAGAGGCTTTTGATAGCAGTTTGCTTCGAATTTCAACATTTTTCGTTCACGTTTCTCAATAAAGTGACGCTTCGTGGTCATCTTTCATGAATACTCAGATAATCTTTTGCAGGATTGTTTTGAAGCAATGCTTCAAAGTTTTGCTGAATTTTTCCCCTCAAAACAGCAGTGGTGGCGCCAGAGGGGGGGCAGGGGGGGCTACAGCCCCCCCGTCGGAGGAGGCTAGCCCCTCCGTCGGAAGATAAATTATGCTTGAATTTTTTTTGTCGGAGCGAATTTTTTAAGTTTTGGCGGAAATAGAAATTTCTAAAAGGACTGTTATCAGAATTCAGGAAGCTCATCCCAAAACAACTCATCGACACATCAATTTCATGGTAAATAATAATCTGTTATAAGAAGTTTGAATTGGTTGTTTAGATGTTCAGTACCAGGTGTTTTCCGCATGCTGTTAAATTTGATCTTATGTTATGGATAGTGCAGTTCGTCCAAATCTTGCTTGCTATAACCAACCTACAACATCGGAATATTTTTGTGCGATAGCGATATGGCAACAAATGTTACCCGTTTCAGTGTTAGATGTAGTATATGTAATGACGTATTTAACAATGATTACGCTGCCCGCCACACGAAGTCCAAGCACAAAGATTTGGCTGCAATGGGAAGGACTGCTCCTACGACGGCAATAGTTGAAACGGACTCGCAGCAGAGAAAAATAAAAACATTTTTTCAATCAAAAGGCGGTACTTTTCCAAAGAAACGAAAGGTTAATGATTTTGAAACTGAAAGAACAACAGAAGACCCCGAAGAACAAGAAGTTGAAATTTCGAAAATTCAAGACGAAGAGCAAATCGAACGTGGTATGTTATACGTTTTAATATTTAAGTCCTTTTAATACGAGGAAAAACACTTAGCAAAGGGCTTCAGCCATAAAAACAATCAAACTCATTTACGTAGTAGCTAAGCCATTTTACCCCATCCCAACCATACATATTTGTAGTGTTTTGCTTCTACGTACACGTTTTTTTATTTATAAGAAACTTGACTCAAGCCCAGAGTACTAATAGTTTCCAAATTTCTTATTTTTTACTATTTTTAAGGGAAACCATCTATTACTATTTACGAGGAGGGGCAAGGGAGGGGGCAAACGTGCCCTTAGTAATATGTCAAAAAACGTAGTAAAAAACACGATTACACCATTTTGATAGCATTTTTAGCCAATCTAATGGGTGTAGCCACCAAAATTTTCCCGGGGGAGTACCCCCGGACCCCCCGAATTTTCGGCTCGCAACGCTCGCCTTCGGTCTCCAGTACCCTTACAATTCCTTGTCGCCCCCTAGCCCTATCGTTCTCTAAAAAAATTAGCCCCTCCGTCGGAAGTGCTAGCCCCTTTGTCGGAGGAAACCTAGCGCCACCACTGCAAAACAGCAAACCAATCATTAAATTATTTTTAAACCGAAAGTCGAAGGAATGGCGAATGCATTTTCTAGTCAAAACCTATCGTTTCAAAGCCCCTTCGCCTCATAATTCTGATTTTGAAATTGGTCGGCTTAGGCCCGTGTTCACTCTGAGCTACCGTTTCCATACTTTTGCGACCCCACCCCAGTGTCATGAATTCTGAAAAGTCTGAGAGTGGAGGCATGTCGCTCCTGTCCTGTGCCCCCGGTTCCTACATCTATGTCCTATGACCTGTCTTTACTTTGTTTACAAAGCGTGATACATTCTGAATCTTCTAAACAGTAACTTAGATTTGAATCAAGCAAAAAACTGAACCAAAAATCATCTTAAGTCTGATATTCTCTTTTGGCTCAAGTTTTAGTTCTTTCTTGGTCTCTGTTTAGGCTCCTATTATTTCTAGAGGGAGGGTGTAGCTCCAAATAAGTTTTATGCGTTGAAAATATATCTTGCTGCAAATGTGGGTGCCAGGTCCGTGATCAAACCACAGAATAGAGATATTATGAGACCATTTTTATTCCCCCGCATCAGTGGAGCAACCCCGTGACGTTTATCCTTTCTGGTATGCAATGCTGGTATGTCCTTGTAGCAATACGAGGCTAGAGTTTTCCCTCATTTTCGGACGTGGGACGCGAAGATGGCAGCCTTAACAGGAGCAAGCCGCCTGACTTTGCAGGCCAGTAAGCAGGCATTGAAGGCCAGTTATGGCCAGCTTTGTCAAAAGCAGGTATAGAAATATTTACTTCCTTGCAAGAAACCTGAAATATATTTAAACTTCAAGTGTAGCTCAGAATTTCCTGGCCAGGCTCTTTCCAACCTACCTATTTATTGCGTGTTTTGTTTCTTGTAAAGCATTCGGCCATGATTTGTAGACCTTATTTTAGAGAATCTCGGCCAGCTTAATATTCAGAAATCTGATGCATTAGTGGGTGCAATTTTCACTTATCGTTGAATTTGAGTTTAAAATGGGAAAAGCCAACAGTAGGCCTTCTCGCCTAGTAATTGCAAGCACATGTAAACTTAAATCCGATCCGGGGATACGCTTTAGCTGTGTTATTGGGAAAGACGTTGCTGCTTGCTTTCTTGCTTGCATTACTGCTTGCCTTGAGGTACTCAAGACCTTTCTCATTCAATCTTCCTCAGTTAACCTGGCTACATTCATATTCCCTCACAACTTGTAAGATCTGCGGATGAGGTTCTTTTTATAAAACCAATGAATAACCAATGTTAGTGGGAAGATTAACTTTTTACATAAAAAAGAGTTTCACAGTCAACATATCTAGACTCAGAGCCTCAAATATTTTCACTTGTACCTTTAACATCAAGAAAGCCCCCTTTTTTGTTAACAACCTCCTTCTATTGAAAACTGGCTGACACGAGCACCCCCTTCTATTAGCACCCCCTTCTATTGAAAAGTGGTCAACATGAGCATCTCCCCTTCTATTAGCACCCCCTTCTATTGAAAATTGGCCAGAATGAACACCCCCTTCTATTACCTCCCCCCTTCTATTAGAGACACTAGAGTAGGCTTCTGCTTTTCTTAATATTTTCAATTTACTTAATTGAGCATTGTCTAATTATCTTGGATGTGAATAGAAAACATGCATGATTTGTGATATGAAACATGTTCGCCATTTAGATATGTAAACCGCAAGTAGGGTCAAATTATTCTTAGCAATACTTGGCTTTTGTTGTTCAGCATCAAGACTTTTTAAGCTGCATACATGGATTCTCAAACTTGTATGCAACTGGGAATGAATGCAAATGATCCAACCTGGGGGTTCCCAGCTTGCCAATTTTGTTCTTTGACTTTCAAATCAGGAAGATAATTAGATTTGCACTCAATTGCTCATACACATTAATTTGCACAAAGTTATGTAAGCACACAGAGTTGTGGTATCACCATATTAGGCCATTCATTTGTATACTGTACAAGTTATTCTTTATGAACTTATTCTCAAATTTAATATATTCAACAGCTTGGGGCAGTCAGTGTAATGCAGAAAAGGTACTTGAATCTGCAAGAATATCAGAGTAAAAAATTGATGGCAAGATATGGAATAAATATCCAAAGATTTGAAGTTGCTTCATCAGTTCAAGAAGCCTTGGATTCAGCACATTACTTAAGTAGGTTTTCTAAACAAATTTGACATCAATTCACAAAATTTATTGATATGACAAGTTATCATAAAAAATAATATTTTACCATATGATAAAACATCCAAGTTTTCATAATAATTATTTATTTTGCATTCAACCTAATCTCCAAGTATCCTTTTTCTGTAATCATTAGAGTTTGTAAGTTTTTTTAGGGTGCTAATTTATTTAAAGGTAAAATGTTTTGACACAACAGATACACACTATAGCCTTGATAATTAATTCATTCCATGTTTTCCTAATTTATCTTTGTTTTTTATAGTTCAGGGTGTCAAAGAACTAGTAATAAAGGCCCAAATTTTGGCTGGTGGGAGAGGAAAAGGAACATTTTCAAGTGGGCTGAAAGGTGGAGTGCACTTAACAGAGAAGTAAGCTATATAGCAAACACCAGCTTTTAAACTTTATTAATTTTAGAGACTTATAGTTATCACATTCTCAAGAAATGCACTTGTTAATGTTTGATTGTGAATATTTTGTTATTCAGCCCAGATGATGTGAAAGCACTGGCAGAAGGAATGTTAGGCCATAACTTAGTAACAAAACAAACGCCACCATCTGGTGTTCTTGTAAATAAGGTGAGCTTAATTTAAATGACTTGAAGATATTTTAAACACATCAAAATTTATATTGAAATTTATGTTTATGATGCAACTGTGATCAACAAATTCTTGGTGACTCTTTTCAAGTCAGGACATAGAAATGGTGAATGACCTTTTTGCTTCATACCACTGATAGTGATATGATGTATGAAAAGCCAAAACAGGTCAAACTTCATGTCTACTGTCATATAAAACCTTAAGAACAGCCCCCCTCCCCTACATGAACACTTTATACTGCAACCCTCCTTTTCTTTGTCAATTTTGAATAAATTGACTATCAAAAAATTTGCTTAATGTCTCATGTTATCAAGCCAAATTTTTTAACTTTGGTTATAATATAGTAGATTAGTTCCTGGTTTACATAATCTCTAGACTTGTATTTCCTTTTGGAAAGTATCTATTGAAATCAAATATTTCATGCTCCTTTTGCCCTTTTGACCATCTTTTTCTGTTTTTTTTTACCATCTTTTGACACCTACATAAAACTACTTAACTTGGTTCTTATAATTATATTATGTACATTGTGATTCTTTGTGGTTATACTTAAAATCAGGAAAAAAGTTTTAATGGAGCCACATGACTGGTGAATTGATTCTTTATCCAATCCAATTGATCAAACTTATAGCAAAAGATTTTTACAAGTGTTTTCTCCTTTTCACCAGATTTCAGTAGCTCAGGCTTTGGACATCGCAAGAGAAACATATTTAGCAATTTTGATGGACAGAGAATCAAATGGGCCAGTAATTGTGGCAAGTCCAGAGGGTGGAATGGATATAGAGGAAGTTGCGGAAAAATACCCTGAAAAAATATTCAAGGTTTGTAAAATTGTAATGAAATGATGTTTGAGCCTCTTTCACCAAACCTTCAATGTAAAATGATATATAAATATGTCTCTCTAGCAGATAAAAGACAGCTACTATATCTACATGACCATTGTTGTCTGGGTGCTGCAATATGTTCAGAGATTGATCTTTTGTGGAATAAATCTTATCTTTACTTTATTGCTATACCTCTGGTGCCCTTGTTTCTGATGTCCCTGTTCATGGTTATATTTCAAAATTAAGAAATGAATTAAGGAAACCCTCGGGGGCCTCTGGAACAAGTCAGGGTGTGGGTCTGGCCAACGTGTTTTTAAATTCTTCAATTATCCACCTTTTGAGAAAAGTGTTGAATCAAATGTTGTTTAAGAAGAAAAACACTAAATTAATTGAAAGGTTATGCATTATTGGTTTCATTTAAACTTGACTCATCATCTAGGGAAATTCATCTCCATTTAATGTTAAGTATGTGGTGTTAAACTTGAATCTCTGTACATATACGCAACGCACGTGCTTCGCTAGTCTTCACTACTCTCAACACTAACAACAACAACAACATAACATTAACTATAATTTTTTTTTCTTTGCGGATAAAATAAAGTCAAAATGTCACAATTTTAAACTGAATAAATCCTTAAAATAGTTTTCTTCCCTGTTGAATGCACTTCAGTAAATCCAGACATGATGCACCCAGCTTTGTTAATGGATTAGCTAACATCTGTTCCCCTGGAATCCATTGAACACTATTTATGATTTTTCTTTCTAACAATTCTTTAACTGACCCAACATCTATACGCAAACGTTTGTCTTCAACTGATTTTGTGGAGTAGACAGCTTCTACAACTGATTTATTGTCAACAAAAGCATCAATAGGAATGTCATCAAATGAAGTAAGCTCTGAAATAACTTGTTGTAGATAAATTGCATGATCTAATGCATCAGCCAAACTGAGCATTTCTGCAGCAAGAGTAGATTTGACTACTCTTTTGATCTTTGCACATGACCATGCTATAGCAGCAGCTGCATTATTCATTCCAAGTAGCAGAATGATGTGACCTCCCATACTAGATACACCATCACACATGTTGGCAAGAGATGCATCAGAGAAGACAAGAATATGCCAATTCTTACAAGGTCCAAGATGTGGAATTCTGATGATTGAATTGTGCTGCCTAACTCTTAATAAACTTTTGTTGGCTCTCAAAAGATCTGACACTTGGCTGCTGTTGAATTTTGAACTCATTTCAACAACATCAAATGCAAGATCAGGTCTTGTTCCTTGTGCAACCCAGTTGCACTGTCCAACAATTCTACGGAACTGTTTCTGTTCCTCAGATGTTAAGGGGCTTTTCTTTTCCTTGGCTCTTCCTGGATCAATTTTAATACTTTGAATATTTTCGACATATGCCCCTTGACTGATAGTAATACCTTTATGGGTTTGCTTGATGTCAAAACCAATGTATGTAAAATTGTCCTTTGCACGTCGCCCAACTGTAAATCTCTCTGCAAGTGGTTTCAAAACTTTCTCTTCAAAAACTTCATTACCACAATGCAAAAAATCATCAATGTGCATAATCAGAGCACCAGTAACTTGTGTATTTGATGTCATGTAAAACAGTGATGAATCAACTTTGGATTGTTTCATCCCAAGATTGATTAACTCCTCTTTTACACTGTCAAAGAATTGTCTCGCAGCATCCGCTAGCCCATAAAGGGTCTTCTTAAGTTTCCACAGTGCCCCATTACTCTGCGCAGCTTCTGGAGGAGGTTTGATGAACACATCTCTTTGAATTTGCTTTCCTTGAAGAAAGGCAGATGTGATGTCACTAGATTTTACTGTCCAACCATTGCTAGTAGCAGTTGCCAGAAGTATTCGCATGGTTGTTTTTGCAACTGTTGGAGAATTACTTTCAATATATTGGGTCTCTTCAAAACCTCTGGCAACTAAACGGGCTTTCATCCCACCATCTTTTTGAGTTATGACCCACTTAGTGGATATGCAAGGCTGACCAACATCCTCAACTTCATCGTAAACATCAAAATCTTTTAATTTCCTTAGCTCAACATGTTTTGCTTGCAAAACATCACTTAAAGTAGATTTGGTATCAGAGACAGTCACTAAGTCAATTTCTTCATTTACCTTTTTCCAATCACTCAGTTGTTCAAAGTTAAGACTTTTCTTTTCGCCTGTGTCTTTGTCCTCTACATTGAACCAGTATTTAGTTGAGGTACTTGCTTTGCCTGCTCTCCCTAAAACTGTCCCTGTAATCCATGGATCGTTTTCATTTATCTTGTATTCGATCTGGTCATTTTTTCTTAATGAGATCTTTTGTTGGTATGCCAATTGTGGTTGCTCTTCCATATCATGTGCATGGTGCTGGGTATCAGGGTCTTGTTCCTGACCAACCCTTAATGCACCCAGGTTTTCACATAGCTGTGGCGTTGAGATTGTAGCACCAGAGCTATTATCTCTTTGCAAGGGAACTGACATATTTGGATTTGTGTCCCTTTGATCTACAACCACATCATCATTTTTCAAGTCTACATCCTTGATTAGTCTGTTTGTTGACACACGAACATATACACCAGCATGGCGTACAAAAACAACTTTTCCATCTTGATAAAGGACTTTTCCTGGACCAAGCCATTTATGACTTCCATCACGCTTGTAAAACACCCTGTCACCAGGATTAAATACATCATCAGTGGCTCTGATAGGATGTCTAAGTGCTCTCCGTATGCGTTCATTAGCTTCACATTGAATGAACGCTTTCCTTGCTGAAAATAGGGCATCCAAATGCGTTTTCAGAATTTCACTTGAAGTGGTGCCTTGTAGTGCTGGAAGTTTCTCTGACATAATGTTTGGCAAGTTTGGGTTTTTTCCAAGGACAAGCTGATAACTGCTAAAACCATTCCACATCTGCAGTGAATTTTTTGCAACATTTGCCCATGCCAGGAGAGTATTTTCATCTGTCTTGGGATTCTCTTCTGTTAAGATTTCCAGCATTCGATCAGTAATTTGGTGATTTCTTTCGCATAGACCATTGCTCCATGGGCTTTCAGCAGGAGTAGAGGAAAGCTGGATATTGAGAATACTAGCCACCTCACGCATTTCAGAATTATTGAATTCTCCACCATTATCAAAAAAAATTCCTTCCATGACACCCCATCCTGCTCCAATCCAATGCTGGATGATTTTCTCAACAACAACAGGTGGGGATTTGCTGTTAATAAAAACTGACACACTCAGTCTTGTGAACATATCTATCATGTGAAGGATATACTTTCCTTTCCAGCTCTTCAGATCAATGGCTATTTTTTCATTGAATCTACTTGCCATTGGCATACTGACCACTGGTCTTGCTGGTGTCTTTTTATACATCTTGCATGTCTGACAGCCATCATAAATCTCGCAAAGTTCTTCATTGTATTGATCTTTCCACACTCCAGCATCAGCCATTAATGCTTTTAGTCTGGGCATAGATGGATGGGCAAATTGTTTGTGCAGCTTCTGCAAAATTTTCTTTCTTTCTTCTGGCATCACATCACTCAGAACCACATTGCAAACTTCCTGTACCCTTATCTCATCAGTTTTTCCAATAGGAATGCAATAATGACCACTTGAAGTAAAGTTTAATGGTACTTCGGTCCCAAAAAACTCGGCTGTATCTTTTTCGATGTTCAATTTTGCATTGGCCTTTTTGAGAGATTTTAGACTCAACAAAAGAGGGATGGCAGACATAACAACATCCACTTCAATGACAACATCTTTGCCAGCAATATTACAAGGTAATTCACAAAACAAGAGAGACTGTAGAACTTCTCCACCACCAAATTTGAATACCTTTTGACCCTTGGTCTGCTGTATTTTCATCAGCTCACCATCTGGTAAAGTGCTTAGGTAACATTGAAACCATTTTTGCCCACAAACGGTAGAAGTACAAGCTGTGTCAAGTACAGCACAATTTATTGCTTCTTCACCAAGAACTTGCACTGCATCTTTGTTGTAACCAGTAAATAAGACAACTTTCTCTGCAGGGTCTGAAAGAACTTGTTGGGCCATCTTTGCATTTTCATAAGAATAAGGGCAAGATGCAACTAGATGTCGGTAAGAACCACAAGCATGGCAGGTTAAAAGTGAACCATCAGGGCCCTTTTGATTGATTGGCCTTACAGAAGCACCACCTGTACTCACTGGAATCCGAGCCATCTTGCGACTTTTGTCACTGGGGAACATCATTGAGCCTCGACCCCTTGACCAAGGCCGCCCCCTGAATGTTTGAAAGTTTCCCATTGCCAAAACATTTTCTGGAGCAGCAACAAAGACAGGTTCCAATTTTATTGCAGCTGAACCTGTATCATCACCAGAAGCCAAATCTCCCTTAAATTTCTTTAAAGATTTCTTAGCCTGCTCAAACAAGTTGTCCTTTTTGTCAAAATTTATCCCAGACAAAATCAACAATTTTTCAGGCTTACTTATATTTGCACTACTTAGAAGCTCAAAACAAAGAATTTCTTGCGGTAACTTAATCCCCTTTTTTAGGATACGGTTATATTTCTGTTCAAAATCAAGAATAAAGTCACTTATCTTCTGGTCAGCAACTCTGGTACAATTTTTAAACTCTTCATACTTTTCTAGGCTATCCTCCATATCATCTTTACCGAGCGTTTTTTCCATGAAGTTGAGCAAAGTGCTTAAGCCATCTTCCTTTTTCAAATCATCGAGTGGAACACTTTCCATCACCTGCGCCCGTACTGACTCATTTTCAGGAAGAGAAAGAGCAACAGCAATACCCATTTTCTTTTTCTCCAGATCCGTTATTTCACTCCACATTTGAACTTCCACTTCCCATCGCTCAAACGTTTTTTCACTGCTGTTGAACACAGGTGGATTTAATTTCATGGCGGTCATGATAGCTGACGGTGCGTGATTTAGGCCTAGGGCCTGACCGGCTCCGTAACGTAAAATAGGGAAGGAAGTAAATATAGTCCAGTACAAACGACACAAAAATCAGGCAAAATGGCACAAAAAACACTGATATAACGCTCCTTAGAACTTTTTTTCCTCTGCTACCACTGTTAAACTTGAATCTCTGTACATATACGCAACGCACGTGCTTCGCTAGTCTTCACTACTCTCAACACTAACAACAACAACAACATAACATGTGGCTCTGAATTCCCCCCCCCCCCTCTTTGTATTGTGTCTCTAGCAACAAGCCATTAGTCTGTGCTAATAATTCTACAAGGGTGCTGGTTGCAGTTTGTATTTCAAGCAAGTCATTTACCAAAATCTTTTCTTTCAGGAATATATAAATATTGAAACTGGATTGACAAATGACCAGGCTTTGAGGTTGGCAACAAACTTGGGTTTCAAAGATGACCTCCATGGATATGCTGCACTACAGATCAAACGCTTATACAACCTTTTTATTGGTGTTGATGCCACTCAAGTTGAAGTGAATCCTTTTGGAGAAACACCAGATGGCCAAGGTAAGGCAAACCGCTTGCTGAGAATTAGGGTGGTTAAATCTCTTCTATGTGATTTAGATAAAAATACTGCTGGTTTCAAGCAATTACTATTATTAAAGGAATATTTATATGGGATACTTAGTATATACTAATTAAAAATTTAACTGAATAGATAACCTTTACTTTACTGCCTTATCCTTTTCAGGTTGTGCTATCTTTCATTTTGGCACCAGTAGTATTGTCTTGTTAACAAAGTTGAGTGAGCATCATTTTTTCGCAAAAGTAAACATAAGATGTGATACTAATCACCAAAATGGGCATTCTTTTGTATGATTCTGTTACAGAAACTAGGTTTGCACTTTGTTCACAGCCTCTGCTATATGTAATTATCTCACATAAAAAGAAAGTTTAGCTAAAAAATACAAATGGATTGACCAATTTCATTTCTGCTTCTTAATGAAATCTCCCAAGTATAAACCCAACATTTCTTTTTGGTTTTTGCAGTTGTTTGCTTTGATGCAAAAATCAATTTTGATGACAATGCAGAGTTTAGGCAGAAGTCGGTGTTCCAAATGGATGACAAATCTGAGACTGATCCTAGGGAAGTCCAAGCAGCAAAATACAATTTGAACTATATTGGAATGGAAGGAAATATCGCTTGCCTTGGTAGGTGGTCTAATCTACTTAATATACCCTTTGAAAGGAACCTAATCTGGTTTGATATTCAGTCAACATAGCTGAACCGTTAGAAGCACTGTAATGATTTATCTGTCCCCCCTCCTCATTTTCTTGATTCGATCTAGATATTCAATGGTGGGCCCAATGAATAGGGAGCTATTTTCCCAGGGCTTCCACCACCAAGGGGTTGGTATGGATGTTGAAAGAAAAACACTATGTTCGTTGAAACAGACATCAACATTTTTGTGAAGGAAAATTAAGATTTCTTTGCTTGTCTTAGTTAAGTCTGTTTCCAACCAAAGAATAACATAAATTTAAGGGGTTCTCTGTGATAATGAAACAGTATTTGGTAAAAGTGATCCTGTCCTGTCTGAGCTGTTTAAGGGCCCATTGTGGCGCAAATAGTTTTTAAAGCAAATAGTAAATATATCCCAGTAATGAGAATTGCAAAAATCAATTTGATATAAATGCGTTGTAAAAGTTTTGGTAAAAGCTTGCTGGGGCAAAATAGCAGCACATTAATTGTCATATATTTGTGTTTTTATTTTATGTTTCTTCTCTTGGCTCTTTATTGTGTTCCTTTTTTCTGCAAAAACGTATTTTGCATTAAAGTCAGTGTCTCTTAAATAAGTAGAAACTATCCGTTATGACAATCAGAGTAACGCAAATTTTAAAATTATATTAACTTGATTTATTTTTCTTCGCTAGTGAATGGTGCCGGCCTAGCCATGGCAACAATGGACATTATCAAATTGCATGGTGGAAACCCAGCAAATTTCCTTGATCTTGGAGGTGGAATTCGAGAGGATGGTGTATACCAAGCATTCAAAATCATCACTTCCGATAACAGGGTAAATTTTTCATAGTTTCTGTAGATTTGGTTCAAAACACATAAAACTAAGCTCAAAACAACTGTATCTATTACTTTACAATATGTACTCAATTTGCGTCAAAGGACAGTCCAATAGAACAGTCCAAAGTATAGCCTTAATTTTTATGGTCCTCATGACCGACTTAACAGTCAAATACAAGAACCAATTTATACATGACTGGTAGCAATATGTAGGTAAAGTAAACACCCTGTGTTTCAATTGCAGGTCAAAGCAATATTAGTAAACATATTCGGTGGAATCGTTGACTGTGCCATCATTGCTAAAGGCATCACCAAAGCTAATCGAGGACTGGACCTTGGTGTTCCTATTATTGTTAGACTTGAGGGTGAGTTAATCCTTTCATTCAACACTCAGACAGTTCTCCCCAAAATATATATTACATTAATTCTTGCAGACATGGCTATTGAAAAGCATTTCTGTGTCACCCAATGCTTCCTTGTTGTGTTTATACACTATATTGTGTTGCCTAGCTAAGTTTTGCAGTTGGCTATATGTGAAGTAAGTGGAAAGGGGGGTAGTGTCAAAGGAGTTTATTCTAAGGTGAAGCTATTCATATCCAGTAAAGGTATTAACCTTTACATTATTACCTGGTAGGATGCCTTTGATAGGATGCCTTTTATAGGAATTCCTTTAGATTCGTCAAATCATCACTTTTTTACTTCTTTGCCTAAAATGTTGTAATTTGACACTATTTGTCGCAGGGACAAACGTAACTGAGGCAAGACGAATTCTGGATTCAAGCGGGATGCTGATAGAAACAGCTGATAATCTTGAGGATGCTGCTGTGAAGGCGGTTGCCTCGTTGAGATAATCACAAAGAACACATCTATTGCAATCAATCTTTTTGGTGTAACGTATTTTCATAAGAAATTGTGTCTGTCACTACGTAATTTTGTTAATTGTGATCATATAATAAGAGCAAAGCAAACTCGAGGTATTAACTGATTGAATAACTTTCCAAATAATAGCTTCTCCTTTGAAGGTAGGGAGAAGATTTCGACAGCTAACAAGCGAGAAACCTTTTTATTAAATAAGGGCTTTAAAAGGACATGGGTTTTGAGAAAATTACAACGGCGTATCTTGACTGTCTGCAGAAGAACCACCCCCCCTCCCTTAAAGAAACTTAAGATTTGTAGAGTGCCAGTGATTATTCACCATTTTCCATTGAGCGTATCTTGACTGTCTGCGGAAGAACCACACCCCCCCCCCCTTTAAAGAAACTTAAGATTTGTAGAGTGCCAGTGATTATTCCCCGTTTTCCATTGAGCTTTTTATGACTTATTTTGCTTATCCTTGTACCCTATACATGTAAAACACATTTCTTCTTATGTTTGACGTAATAAGTAAATTTGTAACAATGGATAATTGAAAAGTATTTGCATGTGTATTTGGAACAATTTTATTTTCCTCCGTGTCACGCCTCTGGGTGTACAAGGGACAAGGCAAAGGTTCTCTGGGCGCACTAGCATGAATCAATTCTCTGTGAAGCAACTCGCACCACAATCGTGAAAGATGTCAAGCCATGCAATAAGATATAATTAATCATACTGTAAGCGTTGAATTTTTCTATTTATTAAACCAAATCTATTACTTACCCAAATATGCTAATCTTGTTTATTCAAACACCACGCAAACGTGCTAGTAAAAAGTGCAAAGGTTAGAAAGTGCCTTTAGATACATTGTACAACAATCTCTGACATCATGTGTTGCCGTTGAGAAGAAACTGGAGCCACACAAAGAAGGCTTCATTGGTTTTTGAGATATGTCCAAAATTTGGGTTGAATAATTTCTCCAAGTAAGATATGTTTTGAAATGAAACATCAAATGGTACGTCCTGTAATTGAAAAGAAAGACGTGTCATCAGACCAGTATATATGTTCCCTAAAGAGTCTTGTATAGGCACAACATTCAACAGCACGCTTTTAATGTGACTTGCACCGGAGTTGGATTCTATAAATTGAATTTTTTTGTCAAGTGAGTGGTTAGCGGTTACTAATTACTCAAAAAAGGAACAGGTCAAATGCTCTATTCTTCTTCTCGTGTCATGATTTTATTTTCCCTTACCTCTTAGCTCATTATTCGACGTTTATACTATGCCAGTGTTGGACGTTAGTAGGATCTGTTCCCTTTTTTCAAATAAAATGGGTTTGAAGATAGTGGAAAGTTCGTAGAGAGCAAGTGGGGAGCTACTGCTGATAATCTGGCAAATTAACTTGGTGGAAATCCTTGCAGGAAAAATGGAATAAAAGAACCCTTTTGATTGATGTAAAGGTGAATATATTTATAATAAATTATAACAGAAATAGTTAAGAAAGAGAAAAAAAATTATCAGGTAGCTGGATCGGCTATAATTTGCTTTTTGCAACTTGCAGCAAATTGTAGAGAAACATACATCTTTGTAGCAAATTGTAGAGAAAGAGACATTTTTCAATTTCTTTTTTCAACTGGTGCTGGAAGAACGCAAAAAAACAACAAATTACCTGCGTGACTTCTTTTTCGAAGACAACATGTATCTTGTCCAAAATCGTCTTGAGCTGCATCCGTATTTGGTCTTCTTTGTCCTGTTCAACTGAAATCGGCTTTATTCCTTGAGGTTTTCTCTTCCGGGTAGGAGAGACAGACGCCAAAGCAGAAGCTGCCTGGACAGCGACTGCAGTTTTTGATAACGTGCCTTGGAAAAGATGAAGGAGATAAAAAGTCATCCACTATTTTAATTACAGACAATAAACTTTAGATACCACGGTGGTTCTTAGTGATTGTGGCGGAGATTCAGTGAAGTGTTGTCGCCTTCAATAGGCGGAGATATGTTTGTCAGAAAAGATGCATAGAAGAAACGAGGGATGAAAGAAAAAGGTATTCTTCATTAGGGGCAAAGTACAGTAAAGGCTTAATTGAGAACTCACCCGGTTGTTGGCTAATCTCGCTTTCAGCTGTGTGGAATAGTTCCGTCAAAGTATGATGCAGATCAGCTGGCCACGTGACTGGTACATGACCAATAGTGACGAAGGCCGCAAACGAGGCTGGTTTGTCGGTAACTGAGATCGCTTTGTTATTCATTCCGAATAAGAACACTGCATTATTTTCAGTGGAAAACTCGGAACGATACCATTGAATTGAGACTTCATAATCATTAGCTTGCAAAGCATCTCGGGTATGGATTCGATCAGACTTGTCGGCCTGTCGAACAGCGCTTGGATTGCTTGTGACTTCTACTATAGGCTCTTTGGCTAAAGGGGAAAACAGGCAATTCGACTATCAAAACGTGAATGCTGAAAGGAAAAATTGCTGGTTGCTTATGATATATAGTCCGTTTGTTCTAGAGTCCTAGAGAAACGATACTAACATTTATATACATCCTAGAGAGTCCTTGAGATGATAATACAGTCCTAAACAGATGATACTAACATTTTGACCGTCTTAACACTCTATCGAAGAATTTCAGTAGTGGAAGGGTTTTCAGAAATGCTGATTTGAAGTTGGCCTCTTTGCTGTTAAAACATATATTAGCGACCCAATAGGTTTTGTTTACAGCATATGTGTCCAGGATTTTAAATGCAACAGCAAAGGAGTTACAGAGAGCTTCAAGGAGTATCTTATTTTCAACCTTTTTGGCATAGAAAAATGCCGAACAAGCAATCGAATGCCACATTTACCGATAGCTTTTAACAAATACATAAACCCCTTAATATTCTGCTTTGGCGAAACGATTAAACTTCTTATTGAACAAGAAATCAATGCACGATGTTGAGACCAGTCCAGTTTTGCTTAGTGTTGCTGTGTAGGGGGTGGCTAAACCAAAGTGGGGAGGGAGAAGGAGGTAAACAAACGTAAAGTAACTGCTTGGAAACCACAAACTACGGTTTTTTGTATTCTTTCCGTTACGAAACTACATGGGTAAATCACATAGGAATCCAATCAATAACCCTGGTACACTATTAGCAATTTGTTAATAGCTTACTAAATGATAGATAACCGACTGTGAGTTTGTCAATTACTCGTTTAAGGGTGTGACAGCTCTCATAGGCACTCTAAGGCTAACTTATATGGGTAATATTGTATATTTGGCTATCCAAACAATATCAGATAGTTTAATATTGACAATAACTCCTCATCTGACTATATTGACAATATCTAGCTCAACTGACTATAATGCCAAAAATTTGAAGAAGAAAACAAAAATCTTTACCAGACACTCCCTCGACATCCTTTTGAACAATTATCGGTGTTCCTGCCTCCAAAGCGCCATCTGCGTTCGCTTCAATTCGTTTACTCTCCGTGTCCTCATTGTCCGCAACAACACTGATCAGCGGCACGGGTTGTGAGGAGGAGCTCATGAAGTCGAGGTTCAAGAAAAAGTCAATCGGAAGAATCGGGCAACATTCTTTGTCGTATATGGTCAAGCTATCTTTAAGGAAACCGTGCATTAATTTGATTTTCAATGCACATCTATCAGAACCGAAAGTGGAACGAAGGGAAAGTTTAGATGCGCCATGGCCCATGCCAACATAGCTTGTTTGCCTCTTCAGTGCCCTTGTGTAGTTGATGAGATGCAGCCAAGAAAACCTGAAAAATTCCTTTTTGCCGAACCGATTTTCGGTGTGCACAATCCCACTATTGATGGCTAGGCCGGTTTCCTGGTCCCGAATGACAGCATCGGTTTTTAGAATATCAAAAAGTGCAAAGTCGGGCGTTGACAGCTCCTTTGTCTCCTCGGATACTGATAAATTATCTGTAGCTAAGAACTCAAACTTTTTCTGCGCCTTTGCAATGGCACCAGCCGTTCTAATTGCCACCCAAGCAGCCTTGCGGATTTCTTGTCGCTGCCTCTCACGCACACGAGCCTCTTTATCACGCTTAGCCTGCTGTGCTTTCTGTTGTTGAAGAGCCTGTTTGGTCAACCCTTGTCCAGAATGCGAGCTTGATTTTCCAGAACTTGGCGTGCGTTCCTTGTCTTTATCAGCTTCATCTAATTGGTGCTGTTTCTCTACCTTGAAATATGCAGCCTCAGTCCGTTCGTAAAACGTCATAAAAGCCAAGGATATTTCCTGGTATAATTGTCGCAACATGCTGAAATTTAAGGAAAGCAGTGACTTAGGAATGTATAGGCTTGGTATCAGATACAGCTACTAAGATTGTGTTTTACATACTTGATCAGAGTAATCTAAGCTCTTTCCACCTATACAACTAATTTTCATCTATTTTCACCTGAGATCCTGTGTATGCTTTGTCTGCACTTTAAGAGCTCCAACCAGTGAGTCAATAGCATCCTTCAAATCGACTTTATCCATTTCATACAACTGGCGCATGAGAAGACCTGTGGTTCGGAAAATAGAATAAAAAAGGGTAAAAAAACGGGATGACCAAAACGGAAAAAACGGTCTTAATGCATTTTTAAGCAACGTCTTGAACCATGGGGTGGGTAAGGGGCAAACGTGTCCCATTAGACTGGTGGAAAATAACACAATACATCTCAAAACAAGGGTAACAAAACCCGTTATAAAGAATACCTGTCTCCAGGACAAAAAATAGCTACTTCAATGGTTCAATAATATTTTCTATAAGGCTGTGTTCCTCGTGATATTACCCCATCCATTAAAGACAAAAAAAGAAAAATTAAAGAAAAACTTCTATCTGGTACAAGAACTTGCAATTTCGAAGTAGCTTCTAGAGAAATTAAGAAATCATCACCTCTGAGAAATGCAATCTCTTTCTCAAAAGCTGGCTTTTCCGTGGCAATTTCCATCAAAAGATTCAATGTATCTTTCAGAACTTTATCAAGAGCCAGCAGGCCTTGTGCTTTTTGTTCACCTTCATGTTTGTCGTTTTCGATAATACACAGACATTTGCAGCAGCGGAGTTTCAACGACACTACCTCGGAAAGTAGAGGATGGTAGATATTCCTAAGTGGCTTTGCCAGAGTCTTTTGTGATATTGTGACGTCATTTCCAAGAACAACGACCTGTGAAACATTGATGTTGCATGAAAAAATGCCAAAATGTACTTTGAAATGAACAAAGAAAGAAATAAAGAAAAAACAGCCAAACAGTTTAAGGACAACCGGGTTAAGCAGGAAATATCCAATAGGCAATGCAAAATTAAATGTTACAAGGAGCTCGTGTTACAATCAAATCAAAGCAACTAAACAGAAGTTTTTTAGCTCCCATCATCACCTGCCTTAAATAAAGCTTTAGGGTAAGCCCCTGCACGGCTCTTCTTTGCTGTGGTTTGGAGAGAATAACATACTAATATTTGTCATGATTGTCAGAGAGGTTACGTTTAATCACTGCTGAAAAGATAATAAGACAGCCTACCTCCTTCAGCACTATGTCAAGAGCGTCTCTATACATTTCAAAAGCATCTGACGCAGACACCATTCCATGAACAGGCTGAAGATCAGCAAGCAGGATTTTCGCTTCACAAAACGCGAGGTTTGCTGGAAAAGACTTTGCTGGCAAATCATCTAGTTCTTCGATCAGCTTCTAAAATTCAATTACAAAGATGGTAAGTAGCAAATATTTATTCTATTTGAATAAAAAGAAACATGGAACGAATCAGTACCAGTACCAGGAATTGCAAACAATGAGCCCTTTTTTTCGATATGTACAATGGAAAAAAATATGTAAAATTAATGTAATATGTAATACTAAAAACATGTAATATTTTAAACTGGGGTGTCAAGATTAAAGACGATGCTAAAAAGATAAAACTGTAATTTTATTTGTTAGCTAAATTTTGTGACAAAAACTGTCATTTACAAAGTGTCCTTTGTAAATTATGAGAAGCTCTGGGCCTAAAAATTCCTTTACGTTCTTCCATCCCTCTTTCTCAAGAAATAAAGAAATATTTGTTGGCCTTTAGGAGCATTTATTTGGCATTCAGCTCGTCCGTTACATACCCATTGGGTATCGAGAAGTTGAACATTTTTCCTTTTGAGAATATTAGTCCGAAAAATAATTCGACAAAAAATACCTTTGATCGAATTCGAGATTCATTTCAACACGAGGCAAAGCACAAATCGATCATTGCATAGAACTCCAAAACGTACCTTTAAATCGACAATAATCTTCTCCAGATCGTCTCCCAGTCGTATTGCCTTGGTTATTTTCAACATTGTAAACCTAGCAGCATACTCCTTCAAGTTAAACGCATCTGACTCTTCAAGGCCTTGATTGATGTGATATTCACTTGAACCGATAAGAGATTCAATTGAAAATGGCTCATCATCAAGCTTCATTTTCACGTAGCTTGTTAAGTAGGCAATAATTTGAAGACGCAACTGAACCCAAAGCAATGCATCTACATTGATGCCTGGATTGGCTGTCAGGATGCTCTCGTCAGCATTGATCCTCCCAGAGAGCCATGGCAATTTCTGATACTCTCTAGTAACAAGAACACCAAGATATTGAGAAGAAAGCATCAGATGTCGCAAGAAGTCAAATTACATATGAAGGTATGAAATATTAAGGAGTAGATAGAAAATACAATAACCAGGGTACCAATATACGAACTGACAGAGATCCTTTCAAAAACTTTGTATATTTCTACTATATTTGCTAAATGACGTACAACGTTGCTATTTTATTGTACTTTGCTGTGCTCCTTTCTTCTACTTTTCGAATTCCTAAAAGCGCAATATTTTGAGCATCATGTCCCAGCTAAATTACTGTCTGTGCTCCTGAGCTCCTTCCTCGCACAAGTCAGACTGGTAAGTGGGTCTAAAGCATTTCAAGGCAAGAAAGATCGATAGAGCTTATAGTTTAAGAAAGCTGCAGGTAGAATTGCATCTTTTGCTGCACCCATGCTCCTCTTAACAAACTTTTATCTTTACCAGTAGGTAACAATTCAACATTTAAGACAATTCTTGGGTTATCTGGATGGGCTTATTTGGTTATGATCGTGTTTTAATAACCTTTTTTATATCCTTACTATATCATACGCCAGAGGATTTGCTAAGGCACCCACTGGTGATCAAATAAAAAGAGACTGATCTGAAGTTCTTTATATGTATATAAGTAAAACGTTTCTACACAACTAGTGGCACCTTTGCATGTATCAATAACGAAAACAGAAGAAGACTTTTTCTGACCAAAGATTCAACAATGATATGGCACAAAATGTAAATGTAACTTGTGAATAGCTATTATTTTGAAGCAAAACATACGCAGTGTCTTCTTCCTCTTCCAGTGATGATGCAGTTTGAATTTGTTTCATGGCATTGAAGACATGTCGAGCTGCTGTTATTGACAAAAGTCGCGCATCAGCTGCCTTAGCTAGCTCGAGTTCACATTCACAGTAAAGCTGTAAGTGCTCAGCAGAGATTCTTGATCCTGAGGAGGAAGCAGCCTCAATTTCAGACAGATGAGATACAACAACAGCGTCTACAGTTTCCGGCAAAAAAGACGAGAACTGCAAAATGTGAGCAAAATTGATCGAAGTTCAGGTAGGGAAATACTGTAAAGCCAAAACTACCGAAAATTTCTTCGAAAAAATGGAGGGGATATCACAACCAAAAATAACTACTGCAACACACCCCTGAATGAACTGACCCCTATTTTGCAAATTTGCAAGTTTTGTAATACCTATCATGAAGTAAGCTTATAAAGGTAAAACTGATAAGGCATTGCTAATAGTAATTAAGGCCAGAAATCTGGTCCTACATGATTTCAAAACAGCAAAGAAGTAGAAACATCACTATACAGGGAGCAAGAAATGTTCACCAAATATGCTGAAAAGCTGCCTGCTTATCACCTATGCCTACTGTTTCTTGCAAAGATTGGACTAACATGCAGGTTATCGTTCCAATAGATTCATCTTGACTAAGAATCTGAGTGTAAACATCATTTTGTTATCACCTACAGTTGAAAATTCAAAAACATCACAAAAATAACTATTGTAGATCTGCAGAATTCCACTTTATGATCAATAAAAACTCTGATTACCATCATTTTGGGTGTCATTTATTTGTGAAACAAGCTTCTTGATGATCCGTTCAACGCTGTTTAATAGCAATCCCTAGAAAATAAAGATAATGTGCATCAGGCTTATCAGAAGCTTTTGAATGTGTCAAAATTGCATCAGCAGAAGTTATTTGTTGTCACTGATACAATGTCGGCCAAAACTACTTGGAGCAAACAAAAGCTCGATTCATCTTTTCACACTTTTTGCTTCTTTTCTCGAATAATAGTTCTGCTCATTTTACTACCCTAGCTCTGCCACCCACCTTGTTCCGCCTCCCTCCAGCCAGACCACCCCTGCACCTCTCCGGCCCCAACATTTTTTCAGCTACACCACCCAAACAGCTCCACCAACCCTCCAGCCTCACCATCCCTACACACCTCCAGCTCCACCAAACTTCCAGTCCCACCACCCTTTCATTCCCAACACACCTCCAACTTCACCAGTCTTTCAACTCCATCAGGCTTCCAACCCCACCACCACAACCACCCCCAATAAAATACCGAAATCAATTATTTAGTGAATGTATATCAAATCTGGTTAAGTACAGCGGAAATTCGTCATACGAAAAGGCCGTGTTTTTTGCCTACAGATAGCAGAAGGAAAAATGCTCCCGGATTACCTTTATCCGGGCTGATGTTTCAGAAACGAGCTCCTCCAGAGAGGATTCTATCCTTGGTTGCATTGACGGACTTCCTATGACGTAAGAAAATCCTTTCATGAAATTCTCCAAACACTATAATCAACGAGTTAGCTGAAATTCTTAAGATTGAAATTTTTTTATATGTGAAAATATAAGTTATCTTCAATAAAAAACAGAAAATCGCTTTTGTTACAATAAATGCATAACCAAACGAGAGCGTTCAACTGAGAAAGAAAGCATCTCACTGCGGGCGATGCAAGATTCTCGTTGCTGAACCCCTTCCCACTCTTATGATAATTTTGTGCGAGTAATTTTTCTTTAAATTGAAAGGTGAAAGCTCCTTTAAGCCATTGTACACAAAAATCATTGAAGAAAATCTTTCTGTTCCGTTGTCTTTCTCATTACGTCAAATACGAGTTGGAAGATTCTTGAGCATGAGTTCATGCAATTGTCGAACGGAATGGGAAGTCACATGTTCAACATCACTTTGGCAGAATTCACGCCAAAGGAGAGGCGGGTCAAAAAACATACCTGCTTTTGACCGAACAGTTCTCTTTTTATTGGAAGGCTTCTTTGATTTACTGTTTGATCTCTTAACATCCACAGAGTCGTCTTTTGAAACAGAAGGGCTCCTGAGAATAACATTACAATTATTTTCATGCGCTTGATCACTAGAAGAACATAACAATGTCCACACTTTAAAAATCCTATACTTTATTAAACTAAAATTAGCAATGAAAAATTGAGCGCGACGTGATCATTTCATGGTACAGATAGTAATAACACAGCATCATTTTATGCTGTTGACCTGAACATGAAAAGAACAAAAAGACTGAATTTTACAAGATAAGAGCCCTGATGTACCCTTGAGGATGGTTTCTAGTAACCTGAGGTACCCTGGTGGATGGTCTTCAGCGCCTTACAGTGAAATAATTATTACCCTGTATTATGATGATGATTATCACTATCATCGTGTTTTTGACGGTACAGCTTCTTCGGTTCTTAATTTGCTTGTTAATTATCATGGCGGTTTGACAGGCAACAGGACAAACAAGATTTTTGGGGTGCCGCTAATTCTGACATAAAATATCATGCTTTATCATGCTGGTATGTTAGTTATTATTTTAAAAATGTCTGAGGTGGTAAAAAAGCTACCACGTTACAAATACATTTATGTTTCTTAATAACTCTGTAGCTATGTCAAAATTTGTACAAAAAACAAAGCAGTAAATTAGAAAGAGGACTTATTTCAGAACAATCTTTTAGGCATAATAAAGAAGAGCGATTAATACTAAATCAAAAGACATAAAAAAAGAATAATAAAGCACCTTAAAGAAAACACCTCTAAACAACAAATAAAAAACTTATTGAAATTTCTTCTTTAGCGTCAAAGCTCCGGTTCCCTGACACATTCCTGTGATGACAGCAGACAAAGTTGCACGTTCCTAAAGTGACTGGTATATCGATGCTCGATTGCAGAAATGCACGCCAAAGCATAGATTTATGTAAACTGACCTGGGAGCGACTTCATTTTCAGGTGCATCGTTGATTGTACTAGCCACTTGATTAAGTAAATGGGCAAGTTCTAATTCAATCTGCATCGCCAGTTTGTCTCCGTAGGCTTCAACTTTCGAGCTATGTAGAGTAGCGTAGCAAAGCTCTTTTATGACCTTGGACGCAAAGATTTTGAAATTAGTACCGCGCTTGTTCATAGAAACAAGGAACGAAATGACTGTGGATTTAGGGGGGTACATTGGACGCTGGGAAACGTGATTTTGAGGAAAAATAGAGGCATATTGGCCACATAAAGGCAAACAAAGAACAGGAAGACACAAATTGGTACATGATAAACAGAAAATATCACATGAAGGAATAGTTTCCCGACAGCATCCTTTTTTCTTCGCACTCTAGCCGATTCTTGTCATCACATTGAGCAATAATTAACAAATCAAATCGCATGTTTACAAAGCCTTGAAGTTCTAGCAATATTTTTTGAGCCTCTGAAAAGTTGTTAAAGAATTGAATTTTCGGAATTGAAGCAGAAAGTGCTGATCAACATGAGAAAATCATCTGAACATCAAGAAGTTAGTACATTATGATAAATAAATTTTTGAGGTTATTAGCAAGTAAGGTACCTTGATGTTGCTTCCAGCCACGACTTTCTTTGAATTATCAAATGTGCCAAATTTCTGTAGATATAATACAAAAGGCTAATACAAACTGTTTTAAGATAAATATTTGCAAAACTTGTTACAAAACATTGTTGCGCTACGAGTCTTGTGAGTGCAGTTGAATCCTGTTAAGTCTCACCCTGGAGAACTCCGACTTTCACTACTTCGGGCTGATTTTTAAGTCCCATTGAAGTTTTCTACTTTATTCAAATCAAAAGTCACATAACGGATAAGTCGGACATTTCCTCGGTCAAACCAATCCGTTCCCCACCCCTCCCCATTTGAAGGTTCAGCTTAATGGAATTCAACTGTATCTTAAGAACTCTACTCAATGCAGTTAAAAAGTCGAGTAACGTAAAGAACGTGAAGTGCAAAACGTCAATGCAGGAACAATATGAAAGAGTTGCTCACTTGAACAATTATGATTCCTTTTGGGTGCCTGTTTATGGAAACTTCAGGAATACCATTGCTGTTAAAGATGTCTTCAAGGTGCTTCACTGCTTCAGAAAACAGGTTAAGCTCAGTAAGTGCCCTGACCTGTACGAATTCAAATTGAATTTAAACATTTGTGAGAAAAGGAAAGGGTGGTGATAGATTCTTCAATTCCATTTCTATGAATGAACAAATTGTCTTGCGAAATAAAGGATTTATTCGTGAAGTAATGAGTGATTAAATGAGTAATAAAAGGTAGATAGGTTGAATGAAAAAAAAGAAAGGTGAAGCTAAAGAATGGAGCAAAAAAATAAGACTGAAAGAATAGCAAAAAATGTATGGAAGAAGCTGAGAAAGTAAGAGAAACAGAAAGTGAGATATAATGAGAGCAAGAAAAGGGATTAGAGAACGAATATACTTTTATAGGGATCCGGCTTGATAATTAATCCCTAGTGATCTTTAAAATGGGTATTTTTATAGCAGTTAAGGTAGTGTACAACAGTTGCTCATACCCGTAGAAGTTTCACTTGAACTGTTTTCTTGACATCTTTACAAATGCCACCAGAGATGTATTGGCAGAGGGACAGCAGTGGAAGAGACTGAAAAGTAAATTCAGGGAGTCATGACAAAAAAATCGTTACAGCTATTACCAGATAACTAGAACAACTTTAATTTATATCTGAAAAAGCCTTTCACTGTGTGTTAAGCTTCAATGGATCGTCACAATGGATGGGCAATGGATGTCTGCAAAGTAGAATTTTACCCTTCGCAATTAACCAATAGCACTGCTACAACGCGCAAATTTCCCTACACCTATTTTGCTTAAAAAAGACGGTATTTCCAGCTCTCCTACTCTGATGTAGCCAAAAAGTGCTCAGTATAACGAAGTGTTTTGCAACTAAATTACCTCTAAGGAGAAGCCTGCTCTAACAAGCTCATTTGTGGTCCAGAACAAAGATCCAAATACAGTACTACAATCAGCTCTATATGGGTCTGAAAACAACTCCACTCCAGGTATGAGGTCATTGATTCCATGAACCGAGCCAATGTCGTAGCTAGCGTAATCCACAAGAGGCGAAGGGTGTGATAACGAGGCACAGAGTAGAGCCTATAGAAGAAATTCAAGAATGAAGTCGTTTAAAATGGCCGTATATCAAGTAAAAGTGTACTACTGAAATTGAATTAGAGTATCCTTGAGAAATTTTAGTATAATGTTGTTGATTAGATTAACATAAATTAGAATAATAACAAACTTCTCAAGAGAATAACAAGACAAACCTGAAACATTGCAGCCGCCAAATGACAAAATTCGAAACGCACACCAAGGTCGAAGGTATGAATGTATCTACAGGAAAATAGATCATTTATAGGACAAAAACAAATTGTTAAAAACTAAAATTTTAAATCGTGCGTTGATGCCCATTTTTGGGAGTCTCTAGCTGCCTTTCCTCATATTTTGAATTTTTCAACAGGGTTAAATACATTCAACAAGTTTGAATAAGCTGATTTCCAAAGGCAACAAAAGTAAATGTTTCAATATTACAAACTGCATCCCCTACCGCCCCCGCCCTCGTCTAACCACGAACTAAGATAGGATTTTAGTTGATAGCAAAGCTCAGTTCGGAGATTTCTAGAAATAGGAAATACCTGTATCACCTGCATACATTTTGACTTGAGTACTGTGTCAAGCAAAAGGCAAGTCACTGATAAAGGTCAAACAGTGGGCCAAGGCAGGAGCCATGAGGCACCCCAAACGTGATGCCCTGCATTTCAGAGATATTGTCATTTACCCAACAGCGTTGCTTCCAATCTGAAGTTCGATCTCTTGGTATAAAAACATTTGGCATTCAGATGCATTAAGGTGAATCTAACCACAAACAGCTGCATGAGCTTACCTTGCAATTTTTGTGGCCAAAACACCGGCAAGCAAGCATCCCCAAGTTCCGCAACGATCGAGTAACACTTGTGAGTCACGAACAGACCAATTCTGGTTGACTAGCTCCCTCCATGATTTCTGAGCATTTTTCTTTTGAAGGATGACGTCAAGCGCCTCTGCCCACCACTTGTAGGCGAGTCTAGGAAATAAAAAAAGGAAAGATGGCAGGAATGAAGAGAAAATAAACAAATAAAGAAGGAAAAAAGAGAACGCAAGGACATAGTGAGCAACATCCTGCTTCTGTGGTTTTGAGATGGCTGGGACGTAAATATCTTTCAGCCAAACGCTGGAAGAAACATTGTTTGATTAGGTGAGAACATGTCACCCTTTCGACGAAAGGCGCACTTCTCAAACTTGTTATTTTTGAACTTCTTTCCGGAAACATTACGGAGCCTCTGCATATTACAAAGAAGCCATTCAAGCGAAGTATGATGTGATAGGATGACCAGTCCCTTTCTTCTCTTTTTTAGCCCCTCAAGTGTTGCTACACCTATTTGCAGCTAGGTGGACAGGAGGCAAGCCCCCAAGTGATCAGTGAAACCTAAATTGGAGTCTGCAACCGGCAGCCAATTCGCTTCTGTATACTGATAGCGAAGGCAATAACAGCACATAACAGAAATAGCATAGCGTACTCAACAAGAATACGGACTGGATTTTGTACCTTTTGTTATCAGTATGCATCATGATATTCCCCAATTCATGCATTGCCTGGGCTGCTAGTGATGTCTGCTTTCGATACTTCAAGATTTCTGAAACAACGACAACATCTTAAATGATTAATTTCTACTACGGTTTGTCGCAAAGTAATTCTAGGAAGGTTTCCTTATTCAGTTTTAAATGAAACGGCTAATTAAATAGCTCTATTGTAGCTTTTGCTTAAATATCGAAACTATGCGCTGTTTAAATCTTTATACTCTTCACCGGAGAAAAGCTTGCAATCTTCTAACAACGGTTAGTCTATTCTCAAATTTCTTAGAAACTCTCGTACTTGCAACCAAAGAGGTCCATAGCAATTCATAGTTTGAAGGTAGGGGCACTAGTTTGAAGGTAGGGGAAAAAGGAACGCTGTTCCAAAATTTCTGAAAAGGGTATTGCCTAGAAAAGAGGCCCTGGTGACCCCGACTCTCGTTGTTGCTTGCTACAGGTTTCAAAACAGCATTGTGTCCCCTTGTTTACCAGTAATTCTAAACCCCAATGAAGGCTCAACACCGCGATGAAGGCGCATCTAATCGGCTAAAAGAAAACCGCTCTGGATTGCCATACTAATGGCGCCTCCAGTGTGACAATCTAAATGACGATTTTTCGAGTATGAATAATCTAACGGATAAGTACGTAATACACTCACCAATTGTTTTGTCATATGCCGAAATGACTATTGCAATTTGATTCTCTCCGAGTGGGTATTTTTCTACGTCTTCGCGATCCTCGAATAACGTTTGACTCAAATCAGGAGGGACTACGTCCTGGGGCTGCACCTGACTTGCAACGAAGCTGACACGAGAACCAAGTCGAAGCTTTGCTTTGGAGTTCATACCTACAAGCGAAACCAAACACTCTATGATTTATTTCAAATTTGGAGTTGGAATAAGCTCTGTCTTCTAGAACAAGGATTTGCTAAAAAGGGTTTGCTAAAAAGGATCTATGTGACAGGTAAGGGGAGTGTTGAATGTGAGAGCCCCACTAAAAATTCCCACAAAAAAGTACTTTAGAATTTAAGAATCTGGCAGTTTTTCTTTAATCAACAACCTTGTACTTAAGACCATATTTTTGCATGACAATTAAAAAGAATTTTTTTCAAAGCTAATTGTTATCTGAATAAGAAACTTCTATTACCAGGCATTATAAACAAAATTTATTATCAAAATACACCTTTTATTACGTAAAATTATCTGACTATTGAAAAAGCAGATTTTTCTTTAAAGTTATCCATTGTATTTAGACTGAGGTAAGTAAATAAAACAGGAAAACAGTGTCTTAATAAACATCTTCGTTAGTGATTGCTACTTTTTACACTCATCAGTCAGAAAGATCAAAATACACCACGGGTAACAAAAACATCATTTCAAGAACCTGCCACTAAAACTTATGTAGATCTTATTCCTATCATGTACGTCATAGTCTACACAACAAACACTGATTTCCCTTGAAGCAAGCCAGAGGTCTACTGAGAAACACAAATCTCCAGGAATCTTATGTCAGGGGGATTTGTGAGCAAAATCGAACAACATTCTGATACTCTATGTAGAAATAGTTTAGATGATGAAAATAATCTTTACCAAAGTGACGTACCATTTTGTTTTCCAGCAAGAAAGAGAAGCAGCAATTTACGGCAGTGTTCCAGCGCCCTGGCAGTGTATTGCTTTGAGTTCAAAGCCTCGTGAAGCCGCTGCATAGTTTCACTGACATTCAAAGGGACGCAAGCAACAGCCTGTCCATCTTTCTGTGGGTTATAGAGATTATGCCCCTCGGGGTCAATATGCGCCCCCGCCTCGATCGATATTGTATCCGGAGGGTCAAGGTAAGCTGCCATTGGGATACCTGTCTCTTTGTCAAAAATAACACGTGGTTGCTCCTTCGGAGGGCCTGGGTAGGAGTTAAGACGATATTGGATTCGTCGCTGAGCAAATATGGTGATAGGAATAAGCGACTCGGCGAACTTGTCCCTGGATGAGGAAGATAAAAAACTCTCATATAAAACGGTTTTCACAACCTATAGGTAAATGATTGAAAATAAAAAAGTATATTATGACATAAAGTGATAAAATGACATCACATTAACACATTGATGATCTACCATGTTAGCTGTTCAGTGTTGTAGAAGGTTAATAGCAAATTAAAATGCGAAGACGTTTGAAATATTACCTTGTTAAGGCCGTAAATCTGTAAATGAGCCCGACGACTTTCTCCCATTTTTCTTCATAATAAAGCATTTCAATGGCATACCAGATAATCTTTTTCAGCCACATCAAATTGACTGTGCTTGCGTCATCCATAACTTGATCGAATTCGAGGCTAAAGCCACCAGCATGTTCTTTGATGTCACTTTCGAACAACCTCTCTGAAGACGTCGTGCTCTAGAAAACAAAGAATTTAATGTTCTTCTCTGTATCTCTGCAAAAATGTGTTATAACTGAGCTGGACGTTAGGCTTATTCTAAAAAGGGGCAAGGACAACCATTGCCTTGAAAATTTGTGCCACCAAGGGCTTGTATTACTGCTTAAAAAATTGTTCTTTGTAATTTTGAGATAAACTGAGATAAATTGAGATACACTGAGATAAACTGATATAGATAAACTGAGATAAACTGAGTGAGATAAACTGAGAGAGATTAACTGAGATAAAAATTTTGGTGTAGAACAAAGAAAAACAGACTCCCACTCTAGTCTGAGGTTAGACTTCTTTTAGTCACACAAATTACACTTTTCGTCTCGTTGGCAAGTCGAGTTTGAGGGGATCTTTGAGACAATATACAGTATCCAATAAAAGAGGGCCCGTTATGCCTGAGCTGCCCAGGAACATATCGTGGCTCTCGGCAGACAAGTAAAAAACATTTAAGCTTATAGAAAACAAACTTCGTAAGAATGCCACAAATGTAAACCAATGACTACAGTGACAAATCGAAGAAATGCTGGGAAAGAATACTTTACGCAAAGTGCATATATTACGTTTTGAAGAAAAATTTATGAAAGACATTGGCACTGCATAATTTCACAATTGCAAGAAGAGAAACCGTATTAGAAAAATAAAAACTTCAAACTAAGAAAAACTAAGAAAAATATAAAGTTTAGCGAAAAGGATGGAATATAAATGAAACTGTTGATGTCTGTTAGTTTTAAATTTTGCATGCTCTATGTAAATTTGTATTACTGAAGGCTCAGATAGAAATTTGTACACTCTGTACCGATGAATTGTCGATCTTCTCCTTCATATTCCAGTAACTGTAATTCAGCATATCCAATAGGAAATCAGCTGCCAAGTAAAACGCATAACCAAACAACTCCCTGATGCTCGCAATGCTTATCGGGACACCTTGACTACCTTTAAGAGGATCACTTGAGCTTAAGCTCATTATGTTCTTATGAATAACATGCGCCATGTTGTACAGTTCACGTGTAGCATTCTGTAGAAGAACCCAGTTCTTTCCTCTACGAGCCAGAACCTGAAATGATGGTACAAGAGAAGGCTGATTAGATTTGCCAATGTGAGCAGTTTATGATGCAAAATGTCACAAACAGCAACAATTGAAAAGCACGGTTTGTGAATATTTGAAGACTTCATGTTGGGACACGTATTTAATAATAGAAATGAATTAATGAGCCTCATTGGTAAAGATAATTTTGTTGATCAAGTAACGATATTTGAGTTGATACTGTTGATTGACAAGTATCTTTTGAAAGCTGAGAAACAGAGAAAAACTTGCTGCTAATTGGAATGACAATATTCATTGAAGAACATCAAATAACTAAGTTCTATATTCCTCTTTTCTAGTATTTGGCTTGTAATAAACTTGAACAAGGCTTATTGTTTGACATAAACCGTAGGAAAGTACAAAGGAAGATTTTCAGATTTGTTATAAACACTCTTACCATACTTCGCTTGCAGTACATTAAGGCTACTCTCATATGGCTAATGAAAGCCTTTACTGGATCCTCTGTAGAAGAGGCAGCTTCATCTTGGTCTCTTCTTGATGTTTTACCGCCATGACTTGACAGAGAAAAAAGTTGAGCAAATCATAAGGTTTGCGAATAATCTGTCAATTTTAACGACATGTTTCAAAGCCATGTTACTATAATACTGCAAAAGTGCATTTGCAATCTTTAAAGACTGCTTCGGTGGCTGTCAAAATCAAACTAAGAAAATCTGCAAATTAGACCCAGGGAGCTTTTGGCTTTTCAGGTGGGAATATGAAGATAAAAAATTGAAATTTGGATCATGGAATGAAATTTCGAGTTTGAAGGAAAAACCGATACTGCATTTTCAATACCTAGTGTAGTTATTACGTAGAATTCGCTACCAGACCCTTACAACTAATACACCCTCCAAACACCCCCCACAACCCCACTTCTAGCAACGGTCCTAACTGCATCTACTAGACAGGCGAAAAAAATGCCCACAACTAATTTATGCAGCTATCATGAGTTATCGGCGCAAGAACTAAAATAGACATGATCGTCAAAGCTACATTTTTGCTCACCTCGCTCTGCTTTTCATGACAATCTTCCCCTTTCCTGATATGTGCTCTATCCGAAGTGTTGTTGACGCTGCATCAGTGTGGTCAATGCTTCGACCTCCAATGTCAATTGTAGGCTCAATCTCGGTTTCATTCAGCTGGGGATTCCCTGCCCAGGATACGATCAATGAATCTGCTGTTGCTAAGCTGAACCAGTTTGGATCCATCAAACTAGGAGGAAATGGGACGGTTTTATGAATAAAAAAACCAATAGAAAAAGCTGCAAATTGGAACGAGAAAGCTACCAAAATTATCCAATTTGAAAAAATAAGAGTCTGATTTAGGCATCGAACATTTCTACTTTTTCTGATTTTTCTTTTGCATAAATATAAATCTTGATATAATTTACCCCTGTCATTAGATGCACTTTGGACATCCATCTTGACAAAATCCAATTTAACATTCATTAACAGCACTAGGAAATGACGAAACTTCTGGTAAGCTATCATTCGCAACAATGCGAAGATGTTTACGAACGAACTCCTGAGAGTAATTATTCCCTTGTGAAGAAACATAAGAGCGTGGATTTATTGGCTGTATCTTGAAACTGGTAGCTCTGATTGCACACACTCACTTTTCATATCTACTTTTTTACTATGATATAACCTGACAAAATGAAATTACCAGTATCAAAAATGGCATAAAAAAGTAGCAAGATGTTTTTTGGCCGAAAGGTATGCATTGCATTTGATACTAGAGTATAAAATATCAATTAATGTCCAGAATGTAATACCACTTTGAAATTTTGCGCTAACGAAGGCTTACAGTCGCAATCCAGGAGGTGAAAGATGTACCCAAGTTCCTCTAAAGATGGATTTTAAATGCAATAAGAATGAATACAGTTACAGTGTCTGTATTGGGGTGGCCGAGACTCTACGATAGATCGATTTTTTTCTTTTCAGTGGCTGAGATTCAATACCATAGGATACATTATGACGAGCAAAAGCTTTTAAAATGACACTCAGATTAGAAATTTTTGATTTTGAAAAACGCAAGCCCTATAAAGTTTCAGATCATATAAGATAATTGCATTCACAATTCCAGAATTTAATCTTGGCTAGCTTAGCCAGGTTTAACACAGAAAAGACTGTTTATAAAAATTTCATGGCAAAAACATCCAATTCATAGTTTTTCAAACATCTAATTCAAAGTTTTTCAAATTTTCCTAAAATACCCATTCCCTTTTCAAAACAAAACTATGCGCTCTTTTGCTAAAAATCACTCAAGATTTTGGTTAACTACTTGCATAAGAAACAAAAAATGATAAATGATCATTTTTGGGAAAATAGGTATAATTAGGATCTCCAGTCCCATGCTTGGGCAAATTTCTATAAGTTTTTTTTATAACAGTAATGCTGGGGAAACGTTCCCATTTCATATACGAGACTATTACAGAAGATGTTTTGCTTGTGGTGTTAACTTTTAAATTAGTTCTGAAGTGTTAGACATTTTAAGAATTCTATGGGTTGCGCAGATCTTTTGGCATTGTTTCCCTTTAGCTCCTTCGTAATATTCCTGAACAGAACCAGATAATTTTTACTGAGGTTCGATGTTCTTACTTTCTGAATAACTTGAGGCCCGTCTGTTCTTGATATTGTTCTTATTTGAACATTGATTTTTCTACAAATCCAAACAACAAGTTGTTGCATGACATTTGCTGTTTTGCTGATAAAATTTGCTATGTTTTGTTAACACGAGAGAAACATTATCAAAATACATTGTTTTTCTTATAATTTTGTGTCTAATGCTGGGAGGCTCTTACTTCGAACTTATCGTGTTTTTTTTCAAATCAAGCCTTGGTGTTCTTATAAAAATATTTTTCTATAATTACCAAAGCTCATGGATCTGCAGTGAGTCTCATGTATTTCAAAGTCGTCCAATGTTCTCATAGATTTTGTTAGAAATCTCACGGCTCTAGTAACCTTCAGTCAGTTTTCTAGCAAAGTATAACCATTTGATAAATGGTATGTAGCAGTTGATGTTTAATTCAAGTCTGCTAAGTCAGAAAGGTGCTGAAATGTTGTGAGCGTTTTGGCAGAGTAAGGTAGGAAGTCTTGTCCCACCCAGAATTGTCGACTTTCAAGCTTGATTTAATATAAAGCAATTATATACCTCTATGAAAACAGTATATCAAAGTAAGATAATTTCTATTTGAGATGTAACCAAGGTTTTTCATGTCGATTTTCAAAATGATTCACCGAAATTTCTTTCAAATACACTTCCTCCATTTATCCAAATAAGCAACCAGGAGTTTGATGGTTTCTTATAATTACTCTGTCTTAGCAGTTCCTGAAAACAGTTTCCTTTTTCTGATTAGAGAAAACTTTCATTACATATATATTATTTGCAATAACATTCACTTTCTAAACCTAAAACCTCTTCAATTTTAAAAAGTCTAAAAACCATAACGAAAAAAGATTCCTCAGGGAGGCATTTTGCCGTTGAGTCAATACCAGATACCGTAAATCCTCGAATTGCCCCCCCCCCCTCGAAAAAGAACCCTCACCCTCGAATTAGCCCCACACCCACGAACTACAAATTGTCAATAAGCCCCCCTCGAATAAGCGCCCACTGCTACCATAAATTCTCGAATTGGACCCCTCAATTTGATGATTTTTGCCATCTCAGGTTGCCTATGGCATTTTAATGAATTACCACAACAAATTCATACTTTTGGTAGTAATTAATTAAATGCTCGTAAAGAAATTCCTGCTAAAATAAACGAGGCCTTTTACTAATGTCTTCTTAATATCTACAGTAACTTTATAAGCCACCCCCCCCTCGTATAAGCCCCCTATGAGTAAGCCCCCATCCAAAAATATTAAAATAAATAAGCCCCCAGGGGGCTAATTCGAGGATTTACGGACTACGGTACCCCATCTCCCACTTAAAACAAATTTGAAAAAGTTGGCTAGTTTTAATATAAAACTGGATTGTGCACTAAAATAACAATAATACATATTGAAGAATATTCTTTCTATTATTCAATGAAAGAACAATCTAAGGGTGACTTATCAATAAGAACTGAAAAAATTTATCCAGAAAAATAACCCGTAAGGATGCAAAAATGGAAAGAAATTCATAAAGTTGGCTAAATGTTTGCGAGGAAAAGAACTTGAAGCAAAAAGTGAAATGACTGACCACGACGTGACTCGAACACGCAGCCTTCTGATCTGGAGTCAGACGCGCTACCATTGCGCCACGCAGCCAATACACTCTTTACGGGTACAAATCACGATACAGATTATTTGCTATTTTTGTTTCCACGAATGATAGGTACATTCTAGACTAAATTTGAAGAAACTTACTCGGAACTTTGTGAGTTTTCGATCAGATTATGAAATTTGACCATTGACTTGAATTTTTCACCACTCAGATCAAAGAAGCATCGTGCCATCAAGAGATTCAGCTAGCATGAAATAAAAAAGACACTAATCAGACAGATGCTTTAAAACTACTATTTTTACAAGACAAGGCTTTTGTTGGTCAAGTTTACTCCTCGTAACTAAAGAGTATTAAAATGCATCAAATAAACATTGAAGGAGAAGATATTTCGCAACCCACTTTTTGTGCAGGTGCTTTGGTAAAGATTGAAGGGGCAAAGTAACTTTGCAAATGAATGGCTGGTGCGGCAACGTGAAAACAAAAGAAGAAATGAACAGAAGACAATTTAAATAGTGAAAGAAAAGAAGAAGACGGAGAAGCAGAAAAGAAGACGGAGAGGTAGAAGAAAGAAGAAAAGAGGAATACGGAGAAGAAGCAGAGGGAGAAGAAAAAGATAGAGAAAACGAAGGAGAATAAAAAGAAAGAGGTGCAGAAAAAGAAAGAGGAATGAAAAGCACAAGAGTAAGAAAGAGCAAAAGAACACAAGAAGAAGACGAAAAGAAGAAGAATAGAAGAAGAGGGGAAGTAAGAGAAAATGAAAAACAGAAGAAAAAGAAAGAGGAAAAGAAAAAGACGGAGAGGAAGCAGAGGGAGAAGAAAAAGATAGAGAAAACGAAGGAGAATAAAAAGAAAGAGGAACAGAAGAAGAAAGAGAAGTGAAAAGCAGAAGAGTAAGAAAGAGCAAAAGAACACAAGAAGCAGACGAAAAGAAGAAGAATAGAAGAAAAGGAAGGAGATGAAGGAAAAGAAGGTGAAAAATGAGAAAGATAAAGGCATAAAACGAAGAAGAGAAAGAAGATGAAGAGGGAGAAAGAAAAGAAGACGAAGGAGAAGAAAAGAAAGAAGACGAAGAAGAAGAAAAGAAAGATGACGAAGAAGAAGAAAAGAAAGAAGACGAAGAAGAAAAAAGAGAAGAAGACGAAGAAAAAGAAAAAGACGAAGAAGAAGTATTACTATACACCATTTCGTGTCATTTATTATGACCATCAATTTTATAGATTTATCGCAAGTTCTCCTTCGCATGGAACTTCCTTCCTAAACAGAGACCGAAGAGTATAAGGCATTAATTTCTTTTGTTTTTTTTTACCTTTCGTTGAGAGAACATTCTGATACAGTGCTCATTGGCCATGCTGGTGTTCTTGATAAACACAACTCCATCTTAAAAAGGGACTCACTTGAATTAAATTGATTATTTACCTGAGCCCTCCATGGAAGTTCTTCGTAAGTGACAACTCTCAACCGTCTTCGCCTCTGCGCCATTTTAAAATATTCAGGTAGCAGATCTTGCAGTTTTTGTGTTGCATCCTTGAAGGTAGGAAAGTTAATAAGAGTTTTTAGCCACTATAAACGCCATTGAATCAAGAAAAACCTCAATCTGGTTGGGTGTATAGAGGAGACCATGACAACAAACCAAAACTCAGATTTTGGGATAGTTAAGGGTCATGGTAGCCAACCTTCTGATAGAAGATGGTACCTGATGATGATGTACAGAGGAGAGGTGGGAAAGAAGTTTCAGAGAACCTACATGGATTGCATGGATTTACCAACCACAACAATTTTCAGTTTATCTTTGCAATTACACGATCTTCCTTCAGCTTTACGATCGTTGCATGAATATAGGTATGAATATACATGAAATACATTACAATCTTTACAGCCTTAACTATTAACAAATAAACAATTATGTATAAACATTATGCGGGTATGGAGTCTGGGTGGGTTCCTGACATTAAGAGAAATCAGCCAAACACTTTAGAGCTGAGTAAAGGAAACTCTTCTTTTTGTAAATTCAAAGTTGTAGATTAGAATGTGGAGATCCAAGCAGCCCCTTTTTCTGCATTTTGTTCTGCAATCTGAATGCAAGAATTGAATTACTAAACACTTGCAAATATTTCGTTAACATTGCACGTCACAGCCCTGCACCAACAAAATGCAGGATATTTTTCCCACTCATATGATGCACTCAAATACCACCAAAAATGTTCTAGCCAACATTATATACTGAAAGTCAGGGGATGTGAATGTGCGTTGTAATAAGTTAGTCTTGAATAAAAGAAAGGGCGATGCGTGGTGTTTTTTCAAGAGGTTTTGACAAAGATTGAAGCTATATGGCTTCAACAATGTGATGAATATGCGGGCGTTATGTGAAAAAGTACAACTAGGGTTTTAATAAAGTGATAATTATGTTTATTTAGAACACCTTGACTCTCTTTTCCTCGTCTGTTAACAGGACCGGGCCCTTTGCTCGGTTTTTCTGTGAAAGTAGAAAGAAACAAAGATTAAGCACATGAAATTATTGGAAATACAAATCAACCTTTTAACATTGGAAGATAAATTGGATAAAAGGAGCTAAGAACTGTAGACAGTCACATAAAAAGTGATAAAGAAACATTAACAAAAAGCCTAAAACGAACATATAAAATCCAGTGACGACAAAAGACTGTGTATCCAAATGCAATTTATCGCAATCAATGTTTATTAATCACACACCATCAATTTTCGATCCACAGATTATTTCATAACAGTTGCCTTCTGTAGTCGATTCCCAACAGGCATTGAAAAGAATCCCCCGTCTATATTGGAGGTGTCTTGTAAGACTTAGTCGTCAAAATGCCCTCAATTAAGGCTAGTAAATCATGTATAATCGCTAAACCAGGCTTGAGAATTATTGAGAACTCACATTATCCAGCAATTAACGTTTGTAGAAATGTGCTTACAATCTAGAACTGAAATATTGGGTACAGGACGGAATTTTAGGCACAAAAATTAAATGTTTCTTTCATTCAATGTTTCGTGTTGAAAAATTATTTGCAAAAATTTTGCCTAGAAATTTCAAGACCGGCGTGCAAAAAAGCTGCAATTACCAAGCGATCCATGCTTTAAAAAGCTGAGCAGGAAATAAATTCATAATATATTTTACAAAGTAAATTTATTCAATAAGATTCCAAACCTTCTCGGGCTGCTTTTGGCCTGATTTGTTAGGAGTGGTCTCTGCTATGGGCAATAGATCTCGATTGGGAACAGTCTTTGGTACCTTATGAAAGGAAATGTTCACAATAATAGCGAGTTGGTATTAAAGGTGCAGGTCGGTATAAGAAAATATAATTTGAGTGGGCTAAGGAAAAAGACCGAATTTATCTTTGAGTAGAAGTAAATGCTTCAAACGGGATCAATTAGGTCTAATTATTCTTACTTGTGTAAATATTGACCTTGTTTTGCACTTAAAACACAAATCTAGAGCATACAAAGTAGAACGTTCTATTTGCCTCTGTTTGTTTAGGGGTAAAATATTCTACATAGCGACAACGAAAAGTATAAGAAAAAATGACACACAACAAAAGCACATTTTTGATGCGTATGTTGTGGTACAATATTTTCGTTTAATAAAATTTCCATAATCCGTGTTAAATTGTTACTTTCATTTTTCGTAAACTTATAGTTGCCATCAAGATTTTGATAACCTTTTTCTTGATATTTCTTTTATATTGAGCAACTACAGCTGCATAGGGCATGCCTTCTTCCGATGATCAGCATTTTATTTTTCACTTTTCTTCATACAAATACATTTGCACGTAAACTCAAAAACAACTCTCTAAATCTTCCTAAAATTCATCGAGATTGCCAAAAATGGAAGTTCAGTACAGGAAAACGTTATTCAAATACATGATATATGCAGTTTGTGGCAAGGCAAAGGGTTTTCGAAAATCTTTCTTGTTACACTTTCTAGTTGTTTTTAGTTGTTTTTAGTTGATTTTGGTTTCTAGTTTAGATTTAGTAGTTGTATCATCTAGTTTTGAAGAGTCAAAGAAAAGGAACACATGGCCCAGTTTTCATTTTGAATCATTTTAATTTGACCTGTCTTCATTTTGCTCCGATTTCATTTTGCCCCGTGTTCATTTCTCTGCCCTTGTCTTTGATTAATTTTTTTTAGAAACCTATAAGTAAAACTTACGCATCAAAATGAGCAGATAAAAGGATTGGTATTCACCTTTCCATATTCTACGACAGCAGCTGAAAATTTTCGATTCTTCTCATCTTCCATGGCTACGATCACAGTGCCTCCTTTTTGGTCTGCAGTTTGCTTATTAAGAAGAACATCGTTGCGCCTACAAAGTAAAATCAAATATATTTTACCAATTAATAGCATCTGAGATTGAAGAGTGATTACGATAATTGTGTCCTTGTTCATTTAGAACGCCACAGGCACAGCAAAAGCCAGAGCAACAGAAAGTTTCTCTAACTAATTGCCCGAGAAATGATTAAAAAATTTATGCACAAATTCCTAAGACAAACTGATCGACGCTATAGACAAAGGAAGGGCTAGGCTATTGGTAGCTCGTTAAAAATAATTAAGAAGTGATGATTGTATAGAACGAAGGAATGAAAAAACGTTGTATTGAAGAATATGAGGATTGGAAGAATAAGATCCGCCATCGGTGCCATGATAAATTATAAATAAACGACTGCCAGAAAATTGTTAGCAGGCCAATCAGGTATAATATTAAAGCGTTTCATATCATTCCTTGATTTTATATCCACGAACAAAGATGGCAAAAACGAAACAGGCGCTTCAAAATAATATCTTACCTAGACAGCCAGGTTACTGCATCCTTTGTCCAGTCGATCATCATTGATTGGTATCCTTCAGTCAGAGCACGCTCCAGCACGTTTACAAAATGCTCCAAGTATTGCGTCCTTCTTTTGAATTTTGAGACTGAAACCAAAGCAACAGAATTATCAAACTGATAAATAAGGAAATCAAACATAAATTCATGAAGTCGCAAAAAGTTCAAATCAAATCAAAAACGCTTAATTTTGTTATGACGTTTGTCCTGCTATGTTTGTGAAATCGATCTCAAGAAAAACCAGTTTCCGCGGATAGCTGAACATATTACCAAATTGGGAAGAGGATTAGGTTAAAACTTTTCACAATTATTGAAGCTAAGGGCTCACTTACAACATAATAAAACTAACTTTTCATTTACCTTCCTTGAAAGCAACTTGAGGTGGCAGGCAGGACAGCACTCCATGAACATAAGATGCGTCTTCTATGCCTGTTAGTTCCAAACCCTCGTCTTCGGTGGCATGGTCAACTGGAACAACATACATCGTTTAATAATAAAAAATACAGTGCTAGCTAAAAATGACTACAGTAAAATGGTTCTAAATCTTTCAGCTTTATAGTGCCGAGCAAAATAAATAGTTCTAAAACTGTCGATGCAGGCGTATGGTTCTCGGAACAGTACTTCTGCTCACAAAATGGCATCTGTGTTCATGGACAGGGTTGATCCTATCACATCGAAAAATAAAGACTAGTGAATACCCGGGCGTTACCATTTTGCTACCTAACGGATAGACATTAACAGTATGCCAAGTGGAGGCGTTACCAAAAGAGCACAGAATGAACGAAAAAGGGGAACCATCGTATGTTGTAATTATATGCAATCTTGAATGGTTACAAGCGTCCCTTTATTTTATAAAAATAAATTATCAGATTAGAACATTAGAGCAAGCTTCTTACCTTCTTTTTTTATTTTTTGCAAAAAAGAGTCGATTACTTTCAGTTCACTAGCAATAGCTTCAGAGACCATATTGTCGCTGCCACCTTTCAGCCCAGCTTTTCCTCCTGTCAACTTCAGCTTCTTCAAGGTACCTTTTTTCGTCAGTTTTCTGTGCATTCCTTGAAAGAAAACGTCTCGTCAGTTAGCCAAGAAGACCCATAACCAGTCTTTACGTTATATGAAATCATATAATGAGCTTTGCACCAAAATACTTGTAGTCAATTTTAGCCTGCACAAACCCCCAAATTCCCTTGCTCTATGAAACTATCCAAACGCTAATTTTAGTTTAGATTAGAGATTCAATCAAGCAAAAATGATCGCCGATGCATATCGCGACTAGGCTCCTTTACTTTGCAACTAATTCTCCCGCCCCACTAGCTAATACAATCTTTCCTACCTTGTCTTCCGAGACCCTGCACTCCTGTACTCTTTATCATAATCTAAAACATGTATAATTTAACTCAGAATCCTTTAACAAAAAAAGGCAAAACAAACCTGGTCCAGAGCCAAAAGCTGTATTTGACGTGGCTGCACTGTCAGGGACACCAGGAGATGATAAATCCCCGGATAACATCTTGCTTCCAATCTCGAGGATACGCAAGGTCCCAAAACGCTCTCGTCGTTTCTGAAGTATCTGTTTAAAACAACATCCATAGTGCGTTGAAGAAGCTTCTAGGCCATTATGATTATAAAAATGTATTGCAAGCATTATGAGCAAGAATAACATACTTTCTTATGACAGTACTTCAAATTTTGTTTAACCTCGACATTTTAGAGAAAATCTTTCGTGGGTCAGCTGTAAATTTCGGCATAAGGTAGCCCTATAAGGCCTATACGTCAAACATCTTTTGTTATACGTTTAAACGTTTCCCGTTTTACGTTTAAATGTCTTCTGTCATAAATCAAAACTTCTTCTGTTATGCGCTAAACGTTATCTTTTTTACATTAAAACTTCCTCTTTTATACAATAAACCGTCTTCTGATATACTTTTAAACTTTTTCTTTAATGAGTAAAAACGTCTTCTGTGATCTGTCTAAACTTCTTCTGATATACGTCTAAACTTTTTCTTTAATACGTAAAAACGTCTTTTTTAATACGTAAAAACGTCTTCTGTGATCTGTCTAAACTTCTTCTGCTATACATCTTAACTTTTTCTGCTATACGTCTTAACTTCTTCTACTATATATCTTAACTTATTCTGCTATATATAAAAACCTCTTCTGTTACAAAGTGATTCAATCACTGGAGTCTACCTTGGCAATGTAGAATGTGATGGCAGAGACCATGTGATGAAGATTTTCAGCGATAGCAGAAGCCTTTCTTAGCTTGATTATAGGCTGCAGTTCTTGCAGTGCAGCAAAACAGTGCATCATCACCTAAAAACAATACAATACTATCCTCAGATACAGGAATCCTAAAGGAAGTTGACATATACAGAACAATGAACTGAAGCAGTCGTTTTCAAGCTTGTATGCGTTTGGCTGACAATAGTACATTTTAGATATAAAACACAACTTTAATGCCAGAAAATGTATGGCAAAATAACAATTCACAAACTCATAAAATCAAATTTTGGCATAAAAAATTAAATAAAATATATAAATGATCAAATTTGATCCTTAAAATGAAAACTTTAAATGTATTATGGTCAAATGATCAAATTTCTAAATTCTTAGAAATAAGTCTGAAACACTTGGAAACTAGAAAAGCGGAATGGATAATGGCTAAACAGCAGAGGAATGCAAGACGGTAAATGCTATTAATTAGCAGAGAGAGACTAAAAACTTTACAGGTTCATAAGTAACAGAAACAAAGTGGCCATAGTTAAATCAATACCGTGGTTACGGCCGCTGAGACAAACATCTATGCGCGCTGGTGTTTTATTCGTTCTCACATGGGCTGAGGTGCATACGCATTTTACGAGCTGAAGTGGAATGGCGGAGATAGCTGGGCCTAGCTGTGATTGGTGCAATGATTTTGATATTGCGGTATTTGATAGTGCTGAATCATGATTTCCCTGTCTTTTTTTAAATATGCACTTTAGGCAACCCACAGTTAGGCCCTGTCAGTCTACCATGATATTTCTCCTGTATTTGCTTCCTAGCATCCGAAGGTAGTTTTTAGGACACTGAGAAGCTGTGCTTTTCGAACTGTATCCTGGTCCTTCCTCTCGATGTGACCACACCATGTGATTCTTACGCCTGGAATTACAGAGAGCTGGCGAGTCGTATTTTGCAATTTGCGAGTAGCATATGCGTTTCAGCCTATGTAAAAACGCATGTATACACATGTGACCATACGCACACATATACAAACAACGCATATACACACAGAAAGGCATATACACACATAAAAATGCATGTGGCCAATTTTCAACACCTGCATCTATATCCGTGCACGGTGCCTTATCTATTTTGATAAAAAGTTACAAACCTGTAACACTGGTTCTCCAAATACATCCATTTGTAGGAACGGAACGAGAAGCCCGTAGCACTGGATAATAGTTTGCAAGCAAACAGTATTGTCGTTTAGCAAGCCAGCAATTGTTACAGCTATTAGCAATTTCTTGCACTCTTCAAGCCTAGATATCTGCATAGATTAAAAACACTAGTTTACTAACAGATATGGAATTATTAATCATTAAAACTTTTCCAGGTAAATTTGGATTGGTTAAGATGAGTCTTTATATGATCCCTACGTAGAGGGAAGTGACTGTTCGATTGTCTTAGACCAACAACATGAAGAGGTTTAGTGAGGAAAGTGCCTTAGGCCAACAACATATGTATGGTGCCCAGTTCCTTTCATCTTACAATACATAACAATTTGACAGGTGAGCAACATGCCTCTCTGGAAACAGAGGTGTAAAATAAACAGGTGACTTTAATTGGTAAAAAGATATACAAGGAAGAAGAAAAATATAGACCGTCCTTGTCATTATACTAGTTCATCAATCGTGTTATTATATCATACAAACCTGGCCTGAGTAAGGAGGCTTGAAATCACAGAACGCATCGCAGAACAAAGTTCCTTCGCGAATGGCTATATCAACTGATATGAATATTGTCTGAAGAAAGTACCGCAAAAGAATTGACGAAGCTTTTTCAACTTTCTCCACATTGAGCCTATGAAAGAAAAAAATATTAATGTCAACGAAGAATGATGGAGAGGCGATTGGTGCGGGGATGGCGCAGTGGTTTGGGGCGCTGACCAAAGATTCAAGGGTCTGTCCCCGGCATGACCAAACGTTCACCCACAGTGAGGAGAGTCGCCAGCTCTCTGTATTTCCAGGCGTAGGAATCACGAGGTGTGTTTACATCGAGAGGAAGGACCAGGACACGGCTCGAGAAGCATAAGCTTCTCAGTGTCCTAAGAACTACCTTCGGATGCTAGGTAGAATAAATGCAAATACAAAATACAAAAACGATTTAGAAGAAATCGTCAGTGTAGAACAAGAGTTTAAGTAAAGTTTACAGCGTGAAGCATCCAGCAATTATGAGCAGAAATCATTATCGTCTAAGAAAGATTGTTTGGAGACGGGTTGATCGAGGTCCAGCGATACTTTTTCTTCATTTTGTCTTTTAACAACTGTTTAAGGAAAAATTAAGTGTAGCAAAAAGATTCGATTTTCTTGCTTTAATACTTTCTACTTACAAGATCATTTTTCTCACCAGAGGTGGATAGAAATGTTTAACTATGCATCACATTTATGTCTTTCGAAAACAAAACTAGCCATGTTTACCAATCCAGAAATTTCGGAAAATTTTGGCACCTAGTAGGCTAACGAAAAGTTTTGATGACACTATGATAAAGACAGCAAAAAAATTTACTAACTGGTGCATCTTCAACTCTGTATCTTCTTTGATCGACCAAACAGATGAAACTTGTTGAAATGTTTTTGCATCAAGAACAAAATGGTCCCATAGCGTATTGAATGAAATCTTCGCAAGATCCCAGCACCCAGCATTGTAGGCCACCTAAAGCAATGACAGAAATGTTATATTCAAGAAATAACATTTATGCACATCATGCTTCAATAATTTGATTAATAAAAAAGTTAACGAAATACAAAAAGGGTATCTAAGAAAGGTAGCCAGCAACTAAAAAAGCCTAAAACGTCCTTTTTCCGCTGCAATGGTGATCTTATTGTATCTAAATTAACAATGAGTGCGTTAAAAGTTGCTGTCAGTGTTCCGTTGTTATGTTTTATTTATGTTTATTTATTTTATGTTTTCATTTATTTCAATCAATTGTTGTTAAGATTTCTGTCACTATAGCTAAATCTTATTTCCTTATCGACTTTAGCACAGAGCTGACATCAAACAAGAATAAAGCCAAACAATACAGCCTGCGTGCACTTGAAAGAGAGGGTTATAGCTGGTGGTTAGCAGAAACCCGGTGGCGAATTTGATTGGTCAAAGCAAATCTGGTGGGGAATTTGTTCTGCCGAAGCAAACCTGTCGATCGACGTAAAATGAAACCCTATTTGCTGAGAGAATTTCTTAAAGGGAAGATAGCTTGGAGGTATCATGCCCCTAGCAAACACTATGGCTGAAGTTATTATCGAAAAATAATCCAACATTTTGCGCTACCTTTGCAAGATATCCATAGGCCATTGCAACAGGCAGTGGCGAACTTGCAAGAAAAGGTTTACTTGTCTGACCAATACTATCCCCAATCAATTGGCCTTTTTTGTCATATGCAGCAACAGCAGCAACGTATTTTTCATTTGGAGTTAGGCTGGTTACTTTCAGTTCAATTCCATCACAGTTCATAACCTACAAATTGACAGAGAAAATAGACCTTATAAAGAAAATGCTTTAACATTTTATGGAGTGCTGTCATGGAAAACTTTTACCATATATTTATTCACGATATGACCAGTCACCATATAGATGCAGACTAAAATCTAAAATGATCCAAAACAATTCATAGCTAACAAAAAAAGCAGACATATCAAGTTATAAAATGTGTGCCTGAGTTCTAGATCTTCCGGGGTGTCGTGTTTTAGTTGTCATTATACAGTCATTGAAAACAGGGGCCTCTCTTATTTCAACAGGGATTGCATACCAATTTTTCACAGCCACGAACTGAAAGCTCCACCGCATATGCTCGGTTCTAGGTTATGGGATTTGCAGATCCTCGCAGTTTCTTGTTATATACAGTAGCTGAATGGAACTTCAGGGAGGGGGTGATTTGTTTGTGATCTTACGACAAGACCTAAGATTAAGACCACATGAACATTCAACACTCATCCCATTTTAAGGCCAATCATATTTGTCTTACATTTTGCATTATCGCTGCAGCCCTGCTTGAAGATGTTAGAGAGTTCTTATCACAAACAAAAAACAAGTTATCTTAACAAGACCAGGATTCACATACATTAATTCTCATTATGCAAAAATTTCCCGCATTTTGGGATCTTGTTCTGTAACGTCATCAAGGCTTACCTCGATTCCAGTTCCTGGGAACTGCGTATCACTGAGCCTCACTTTCACATTATTGCCACTGTACGATCTAACAAAAAGCTTGTAGCAATCCACCTCCGCATTGAACAAAGCTGGCTTGAAAATCATCGTTGTCGCACTTCTGTAAATGATTTCTGGAGCAAAAGGGAAGGCTTGATCTGCACCTCTGGGCGCTCGATTCTTGGCGGTCAGCAATTTCTCTTCCATCTTCCAGGCTTTTTGAAGTAATCCTAACGACTCCTATTGTAAATAAAAAACAACATTTTATTTTGCTTTACAAATCGTGGTTACTCCTCCAGTTACTCCTCGATTGATTCTTTGAACCTAGGTCGGAATTCCACACAGCTGACGTGAGAACCAAGTCAGGTACAAATGGTAGGATTATTATTCTGACTTGACAATCATACATGGTTGGCATGCCAAATTAATTCAAAACTGATGTGGAAAGATTGTTTACGGAATGGTTAGTTTCAGATGCCACCAGCGACAGATATTTACATTCTTATCGCAATGCAAGCATCGACTGAGAGACCAATAAAGTGCTTTCTTTCCTCCTGTTTATCTTCTTCAAAGATTATTAACCCTTAAAAAAGGAAAACATAGAAACAATTTAGAATTACGTTGCAATTGTTATCTTTCTTCGTGACGGAATGAAGATGCGATTGGGCAAATTTGTAAAGCGCATCCAAAGGGAAGAAAAGAACCGGGGCAACAAAATGTTCTTCATTCAGCAAGGAAGAACCAAGAATAGTTGAAGAACTATCAGTATCTGCCTCATCAGATAATGTGCTGCATTCAAATGAAAAGCAAAATGGTGTTTTAAAGAATCGAAGAGATTGACACAACACTTTTAAGACTGGTACCCAATAAGAGCAAATTTAGGCCAAAGCATTCAACTCCATTTTGTGTTTCTCTATGGTAAAATAACTGTGTAATCTAAACAAAGTACTGTATTCTTTATTCACAAAATGTGTGCTTCAAGTTGTATGTTTGCAGCCAAGAAACACTATAAAACCGTTGAAAACACTATAAAGGAAACAATACCGATTATATTTTTTCATTTTAGTCAAGCCATATTCCAGTTAAAAACTTGGTTCGTCAATTAAACAGTTTAAAACAGTTTTTTTGTAATGACAAAATGGCGTACGCAGATGATCTCGCACTTTTTATCTTAGCTTAGCCCTAATCTTCAAATTTTTCGCAATACTTTGAACAGTGCAAGAAAAAATTCCCAAGTTTATTCAATCACAGTGACGCTACCCAAATTTATTTTGATGAAATCGGATACAGTAAAGTTTAAAACTGAACTAGGAATACAGATGCAAAATTCCCATTGAATCAATGGATTAAAAGAAAAATGTTGAAATTTCAAACAAAGAAAACTTGTACTTCCAATGGAACTCAAAATAATTGTGAACAAGAAGAAAGAAAAGTCGAAAAGCTTGGTTCCGTTCGCAGAAGGCTTATCTTAAGAGACAGACGCAACTGTAGCTCGGCAACACCTTTCTCAGCTTTAGGATATAATCGATAGAAATTCACTAATTAGAGCGGCTAGGTCACTTGTAAGGCTGCGGGACAATGTTGTTCTGTTGATGCTTGTGAATTTGGTGAATCAACCACAGCAATTGAAGTGAGATTTGTTAGGCCAGAGAATCGCGTCACATCGAGAAAATTTCAACGGCTTTGCTGAACAATAATTTTGTCATTGCGGAAGACGTAAAGATTGTCTTCATACGTTTATTTTGACATCAATTCGTTGATCAGTCTATGAGAAAAAGTCGTTTCTACTGCAGCGGGAACACAAAAAGAGTCGTCGTAACGGGCTGAATGGCAGAACAAGGGACAACCCAGAGACATGTGTTTGTGAAAGCCCAGGTTTTCGAACAGAAAACATTGCTGAAAACTGATGGTAACAGAACGATGCAGAGTTGGCAGCATTGTTGCATGGTTTATGATTTCACGGTCTATCATTTTGTTAGAAACTCCGCTTTGAAGAATGGTAAATAAAACCCCTCTTATACGCAGATTGTCCCCCATAAAATGTTTATTTACGGTTCGTGACCCAGCCCATTTAAAACTTCATCGTATATCAACGGAACTTGCCTTAAGAATTTCAGCATTTTCTTCTCGTTTCGCTTCTCCATTTATTTCTGCTTTGCAAATTAAATACACTGCCTTTGACAAGCTTCCTTTGCCAACAATAGCGGGAATCGCGTTTTTCTGAAAAGAAAAATTCTATTTCTAAAATTTTTCAAACTGAATCGTATGTCAAGAGATTTTATTGAAGTTTTGTAACACTATGGTAAGAAATAAATTGCATAAATAACTTGTCCAGTTTCAACTGAATTTAATATATTTCTGAGTTCAACATTAGAGAATCGTCAACAATACCCGAGCTTTTAACTTTTATTAGACATGTTGCTGCAGAAAATGAATGGAAATATTGCCGCAGAATTAAAAAAGTAGCAGAACGAATAAAATGGTAAGTGTGATAATCTTAAAAGCTAGAATTACTCTTTTTTACAAGGAATCTCAAACTGCCTCAAACTATGAAGAACCGTGAACTTGTACAGTCACACAAAACAATTATTCAAGATAGGAAGTATCTCGAAAACCTGAAAATTCAAGACATATCTTAAAAGGTAAAATTTGGAATGATGTGATGCCTTGATGTATAAACTTGAATGAGTATGAATTTCAATAGACACAATACCTTTAAGTCTTGCTTGTCATTTTTAGAATCTACAAAACAAAGAAAGTTATCTATCAGAAAAACAGACCACAAAACCTATATGTATATTTCGTAAACTTGCTTGCAAAGAGCTTTCCAATTCAACCCTCTAAAGTTTATATAACAAAGTGCACAGATTTCATAATTATGTCTGGATAGACAGTGACTGATTTGTAAAAGGAGACATCCTTTCAAAAGTCTTTGACTAATGAATGAGTTTTCGTACTGCAAACAATCTTACTGTCTTACTTATTTTGTTAATAAACTTTTGTCTTTCATGTGGAACTGAACAAAGTTTGAAATGAAAAACGCGTGACAGAACTCACCTGCGTCTCATGGGAATGAAAGCCTCAGGAGACTAGGCTAGCTAATTACGGGACTAATTAACTTGAGGTGCAGAATTACTGACTTAATTTCCCAATCCCGTTCGAATTGACTTAAATCCCATAACACCAATCGATTTGCATAATAGAAAATTTTGGAAACTTCATCATGAAAAATTTGCAAATAAAATAAATTAGATTGGAATATTAAACCATCGAAGAGAAGATTAAATTAAACGTTATAATTAATTTCATTGAGCTAAGAAAGGATTGCGATCAAAATTTTTGTGTTGTAATAAATTTCTTTCTTTTTATTTGTAAAAATTATCAATGCTATCGTAAAATGAGTTATTTTTGAGACAAGGATTTTGTAGCTTTCATTGTAAAGAATCAATGAATTTTCTACCCAATGTTACTGCATCATTTTACTCCACGTTTCCTATAGAGAGCTGATTGGCAGATGTAGCTTTCCATTGATTTCGCAATCGAATTAGGTAGAGATTAATTGATTGGATAATTGTGTCAATAATTCTGTATGAAGTTCGGAGATTCACAAGATATCCCCTAAACTGGACGAGCGCGTTATGGATAGAGCTGTTTTGCAGCTTGAAAAAATAAACATTTGTAATCCAGTATTAAAGGATAACTGATTTTCCATCCAGAGTTGAGAAAAAAATCTTCAACCTAGAATGTATAATGCTTTTTGAGATGACAGTTGCCTGGTGACAGCATTAAGCGTGAACCTCAGAGTAGCGACTTAGAACCGTCTTGTTCTTTACATCAAATAGCGTGATTTTAAGAGGTACATGTTTTATGTAAGCTGCTATGAAGAATCAAAACTTTCATCACGACCGTATTTCAAACAAAATTAAGGAAATGAAATACTTTGAAATATAAATTAGTGCACTAGAGGCCATTTTAGAATCTTGTGAAAAATTGGAGCCTTGGTTTTTATAAAAGTCAATCTTTGAAGATCAATCTCTGAGATTGGCGTTGCAATCAGAATGCAAGGCTAAGCCTAAAAATGGTAAAATCTAGTAGAAATACAAGAATCTATAAATTTTTTTATGAATGTAATACGCAGACTGATTAAACAAAACTTTTAGAGATAGAGGAAGAAAATGGCAAAACGTGACTGAAACTTCAAATCCAGCCAACTGCTAATTATTAAATTAGCTTTGCAAGAGCTAGAAAAAAACCATAGCCAATAATCGAGGGGCATATCACCCCACTAAAATCTCGAACAACTTTAGCAAAAAGTGTTTCTTTTCAAGAAAAATCTCAGAAAAATCCTTAAAAATCTATTGTTTTGAAAAATCTCGTAAACTATTTGGAAAAGCTATACACCCCTCGATCTCGTACGCATTACCAAGGGTATAAAAGCTTGCTCAATTGCTAAAAGAATAAGCAATGGAAAAATGTAATTTGAAAGATAATTCCTTTTTTTCTTGAAATCTTCTATTGCATTCATTAAAGACATACCCACTGACAGCTTGGAAAGACGGCAGTCTATGCGATGGTGCATGTAGATTAGCTCGAGGTGCATTGCTTCTGCATCCAGGAGTATAGGGCTTGTTTTTGATTGGCCTGAGCCATTATGAGATTCCTAGAAAAGCAAATCACATGACCGTTATTAACAACCCTCTCACCGCACGATGAATGCATCAAGCTCGTGAAACACTTTTTCTTGCAAAGCAATTTTCACAAAGGAAAATATTCGAAAGAATATTAATTCTGGTAAGAAAACGCTCTGATAAGGAAAAGGAGTATTATAGTGAAAAAGTAACAGTGTATCAGCAGAAAATATATCTCTTTATTTTCAGAAGCAGAAGCATGCATGTATGGATACATGCATTTGATCCCTTGACATATCAATTCACAAATACACCCTCTGTTTTTCAAGGGGCGAGCTTCAGAACTCTAGTTGCATCAAACCTTTCTGAAGGGAATCCTCTCCCTCCAACATATTGGCTTCAAGTGACTAAATTGCAATGTTCGTTTTTCAAACTGAACATCTATTGAATTGCTGCTTGCCATTACTTTGTGTGGTTTCTGCCTATTGCTTTCTAAAAATTTTCTTTATGGCAAGATTTATAGAATCCAGCGGAAGACTGTATCACACCCTTCTTCACTCTACCATACATAATCAACATTGATCATCATAATCAACATTGATTATCATAATCAACAACTATTATCATACTCAAAATTGATTATCATAATCAGCATTGATTATTATAATCAGTATTGAATTTCATATCCAGCATTGATTATCTTAATCAGCAATGACTATCATAATCAGCATTATTTTTCATAATCAGCATTGATTGTCATAATCAGCATTGCACAAAGATATACCGGAGAATAATATTGGCCTGCGTAGCGCGGATTACTGTGGGATGCAGCAAAAGCCGAGAATCGAAAACTGTAAATAACAAGAATACTGTCGCAATATTTCTATACTTGACCTAGATTTCAGGCGTATTGTGGTTTTATTGACTAATGTATATACAACTTACCTTAAACAGGCTATCATCAGCAATCTTGATATTATCATCGTGGTTTGAGGAGCGAGCTCGATCAATTGCCACTAGAGCATTCTGAAGACGCTGTTTAGCCACTAACAACATACTTCGTGAATTTGGAGAACAACCAACGGCACTGGCAATTGGCTCAATACTGGAACTCTTCTTAGTGTTTATGCGACTTGTGTCCTAAAATAAACAGTAAACTGTCACTCGCCCACTTAGTATGGAAGCTTAAGGACAGGGGAAGAAATTAATGGGGTGTGTGTAAGACGGATAGTATAGGCACTACTATACAAATTTAGAAAGTCTAAGCTTGATCCAGGGAAATTGTGGAGACAGGTGAAAAACATATTTTCAGATAAGAGCATATAAATGAAGCATATAGCAAATGCGTGCAAGTGGCAACGAATTCGGGCTTCCGTCCAAAGTTTTCGCTAAATAAATATCTTCTGGGTAGTTTGAAAAAGCTTTGTGAAATGTACCTGTATCCTTGCTGGCAAACAACTGTAAGTTAACATGGAAGTAACGTTAAAGGTCAGATGAAGTTTCCTTAGCTATTTACTCTCTGTTTCAAGATTTCAAGCACTTTTGTTGCTTCCTTCGAAATTCATCAAAAGGAGATGTGCGTGCAAGCTTGTTTGCATAAATAGAAAACGTTGATCGCCATTGAATAAAAGAAAGAAATTTCAGCAGCAAAAAAAATTTTGAAAATCTTCTGCAATGGAGGATATTTCTTCTAAAGCCAGCCTTCTTTTTATGAAGCCTATAAACAGAAACCCTACTGCAGATCGTTTAGATTAGAAGTAAAATTTGCTACCAGCGCAGAATGGCTGTCAACGAACAACATGGATCCTCCGCATCCTTTATAGAACGTCACCTCATGATATTGCAGTTTAAGTAGGGTATCCAAAAATAACTAGAATCTTCTCCAGGCTTCATTTGTCCCTTCGTTATTTCCAGGGGACGATTCTTTACTTATCTATAGCTAAAGACTAAAACCAATATAAGCTACCTCTTTCTGCTGTTGGTATGTCGACTTTTTTCCTTTAATACCCACAGTCACTTCAGTTTCAGAACAGAAGAATTCAACGAACAACGCGAACTTGATTGAAATCTCTGCACACGTGTTGACATCAATTTCTGCCAAACCAACTTCAATTGTCGCCCTCTGTGCTACTGCCAGAACTCTGAACCACTAGAAATTATGAGCAACTTCTTACACACTAGTTGATTGATCAACACGCGAATTTCTTCACTACCATTAAGGTGCTGATAAAGATTATGTGTCTATAGGGTGTCCTCAAAAGCAAGAGTATATCTACTCTGAAGTTTTATCTTTGAAATTGTACAGCATCGGAAAAAGATTTATTAAGTTTTACCCTTATTATTAAGATTTATATAAATAAATCTAGTATTAAGATTTATTAAGTTGCACAAGTAACACACAGACAGAATTACCCTGAATTGCCACAGAGCAAATTCAAAAAATTGGCAATACTTAAAAGAAGCTTGAAGAATAAATGTTCCCTGGTTAGGGACACGACAAGCGAGGTTACTTTCAAATGGGCTATCCCGAAAACTTCGATAGTTCACTCACTCTTGTATTTCAAAAAGGAGTTGATTAACTCGTTAGCCTCTCACTTACTTGTCTTGTCAAATTTTCAGTTACCATGAATTTAAAAAAATTAGTGATTCTGTATCTTATGGAGATAGAATTGATTAAATTTTTTTATAGAATGTTTACTTTTTGAAATAACTACAACTTTAAGTAGAAAATTGTTCTATCTTTATGATATCTGTGTCGCATCAGCCAAAAGTGCAAGCGGAAAAAAGTCAACTTTGCAATAAAAATCATTCTCAGGACAGAAATATTAAAAATTCAGTAAATAAATTAATGAGTAAGAAAGTCAGCAAAAGCTTCAATAAATAAACTAGGTTTTTAGCTGGAAACTTCTGTTTTAAGATTTACAGATTTAAGATTTTAAGATATTCCTAAAAACCTTTTCGTCAATATTTTATAGTTATCACCTTTTCCATGTTAGGATCTTGGAGAACATTCTTGAAAGATTCAGCAGATGATGACGTCACTCTGCTGTAATGGCTTTTGCACCTTGACCAAATGAATAGGCAGGTATCCACTAAAATATCACGCATTCCAGAAATAATGATTTTCTACAAAAAGAAGTATTCTATGATATTAATTCTTTCATGAAATAATGACAATCACATCTAGAAAATTTACGAACGAAGTCTGAATTTAATTTGGTAGCTTGACAAATTTTGACAAACAGCCCCGTTAACAAATACAAGGCTGAAAAAAGCCAGATAAAAAACCTTCCCAAATATTTTACCGAGCAATGGCCATTATATTGAAATTCCTGCCCCCAATTCCCCCTCAAACCCCAAAAAGTTAGGCTTAGCTACAGAAATCAAGTATGATATCATATAAAATCCATTTAACAGTGAAATCAACTTCTGACCTCATGATCTTGAAGAGCCTTACGAAATACATCTAAAATTGCAAGATTAGCTACAACTAGAGCACATTGACAGAGAAATGACAAGTGAAGAACTAAGTCTTGCTAATGGATTACTACTTTCGTACATTTCAGAAACCAGGATTAATTTACAGCGATTTGATAAGGATAGAGTCTGTACTAGTCTGTCACACATTTAACTGTTTGGCATATAAAAAATATGTCTTAATACTTTTTCGGGCTATGTGTTTCAATTTCAAACATTCAAAAATCAGTTTGTTGACTTCATCACTTCGGAAATCTAGCATTAACTACCTTGTATAAACTTTTAAAAAAATCTTTAGATCTTGAGAAGACAGACCGCCTCATGTGCTTAAAAACGAAAGGAAAACTTGTCTTAGAGAGACGAAACTTAAAAAATCTTTAGAGAATCTTAACGTAAAAATTGCATTATTGCACACTATGGTACACATAAGTACCAATCATTCATTGAAATAATTGAGAGTCTTACCGACATTTCTCCGTTTACGCAAGATTCTAATACATCAACCAACTTTAAAATATCATCGACGAATGACGAAACTCTTGCTACGAGTAAGAAAGCAGGGCAAACATTTTAATTTTATACAAATCTTGGATGTGACAATATGGGCAAAAGAAACAATAACAAAAAATGTCATTTGAGCAACAAAATTTCTCCAATTCTTGTCCTAAAAACACGGTATTCACAGACAAAGACACTTGAAAGGGCATTGATAACCAGGCCAGCTCAAGTGCGCGATTAACCTTGAATTCTTTTATACAGAGGTATCACGCTCAATGCCAAATGCAATTAATTTTCATTCCCTCTAATTGTTAGAAACTTCAACCAGTTCACCTTCCCTTGTCTTAACAGACTTCGTAAAACATTTAACATCCTATTTACAAAAACAACATGAAAATATTAGCTGAAATTTTCCCAAATAAAACTTCAACCATTACCTCTTCTGTATCGATTATTTTCTTCTTAGAATGATGGAAAACTTTGTGTTCTTGGCCTATGCCAAAGGGCCTAGACAGCTTATAACATATCTTGCAAAAAACGCAAAAAGGAACACTGCGAAATTTCCTATCAAATAATAACTTTCCTTTATACCATCTGTTACCCTGGGTTCTAGAGCCTCCAAAAGGGAGTTAACAAAGACGAGTTAACAAAGCTGTTTGAAAAGCCTACTGTCGGAGATATGGTTAGCATTCTGGAAAAGGGTAGGGGGCCATTAAACCCCCTAGAGCACATTGTCTTCTATTACAGGGGTAGTTAAACAACCTACTTGAAGATTGCTTGACACTGTACACCTCGGAGGCCTCTTTTTCCTCCATTCCCAAAAGAACCTTCTTCTTCACTTTGTTTATGTTCAGAGGCAGCATAGCTTGGAGTATTTGAAGGGATTTGAGTTCAACTAGATGTTTCTCAGAGGATGAGAAAGGTTTCAAGAAATTCAATGTCGATTGTGCCAGACTGTCAAATGCTTCCCAGCACTCATAGTTATAAGCCAGCTGTACAAACTGCGCTACACTTGAATAGGAAATTTTGTCTTCCCCTAGAAGAAAAACGGAAGCATGAGGGCAAAATAGCGATCGTTCTCGCGAACAATCTTCAGAGATCTTCTCTGTAGTGAATATGCTCTCAGTACTAAGATTGGCCGGGTAAACCCAATACCACGAGCGACTTTACTTAATGTTTGACTAGACAAATCCTAGAGTTTCTAGGACTCAATATAAAGGACATATTGATGTTATCTTAGTCAAAGCCTCCGATGATGTAGGGCCGGGGGCCAATAGAGAAATTTTGTAAAATCTATTGTTATGGGACTTTAATTTGCCCTATGCCACCCCTACTTGTCGGAGCCCCTGTTAGTATTTAAGGATTTAGAGTACGCTTGAGGCTGACGGTGGCTTGGATCCACTGGTTGGCAGAAACATTTTACAGATGGAGGGACCAAGCATGGAGGCGCTGTGAACAAAAGCGCACGCTCGGTGTAAAATTCTTCACACTTGACAGTCAATTTGATTCATATAGCTCGCGAATAAGGCATTGAAAAACCCTTAAAAGTAGGGGATAATAAGAAAGATTATTCAATGAACCTTTAACAACACTTACCTTTAGTCGCCATTTGTATGAGCTGCTCATCGAAAATGGAATCAGAAATAACAGACTCATGTCTCCCTGGTGACGGTGGCCTCGTTCCTCCTCCACCAGCGATCAATTCGCAGCCAGCAAAGAAGAGCTCAGCAAATACGTCTAAAATACTGTCGTCGGATTCAGGTGCCCCTAGAGAACTTTGAAAAATCCTTCTCTTTGAGTCTGTCAGTGCTTCAATAACAGCCAGAAGTTGGGCAGCTCTGCCAGTGAAGGTTTCGCTAAGCATTCGTTCCGTAGTAGTTCTAGGCCAAGGATTCTAGCAAAAGAAAAAATAAGAGTCATACTCATCATATTTACTGGAAACATGAATATGCACTTATAGCGTTTTGAACGATGGACAGAGGTCCACAAAAAATGCTGTAGGATTTTTTTCTATCGATTCGTATACAACTAACTGAGACTTAGTTTATACTATCCCAATCAATATAATCATGTGATTCAAAATGTCAATCAAACAGTTCGATGTCACGACTCAGACATTAGAAGGAGGTTCATTATGAGAACAAGAAATGTTTTGTCTCGATCAATAAATCTCAAGTAAAATCAAACTCAACCATGGCATTTATGGAAACTTTTAGACAATAAATAAATGTAGAATAGATGTTTCTTTCAAAATATTTGATAAAAATCATTCTAGAACTGATTTGACAGATGTCAGCGATAGAAATATTTGCATTGGTAGCTAAAAATTTTGTAGAACCAGTCCTTTTGTAAATTTTCATACAGGCATTTTCTAATGCAAAGCTTGCAATGCAGCCAAAGGTTCTACTTGACTGTCCAATTTTTCCCTTTCGCAAGCCTATGTTACACCACCAAAGTAAAATTACTACCAGTTCTTTCGAATCATGCACTAGATTAAATGTTCTTCGTATGTATGTTTCATAGAATTTCATTTGGAGTCATCACATTCTAAAAGGTAGCAGTTTCTAGAAAATCTTATAATATGCACTTCACAGTCAATCCTCTTCTCACTATAAATAGAAGCTAATTCGTGCTTCTTTACAGAAAATGTCAAAACCAATAGCTAAAAAAAATTACTCTAGAATTATCATATTCTTACTTACATAAGTTAGATCTTTCAACGGTGGTTTGTTTTTAGGCCGCAAGATACCTTTAGGCCGTCTTCTGCTTTCAAAAACATTTCTTTTGAATATCATGATCTTCATTCTCATCTTCCCGCCTTTAAAAATGGCTTCTGCATCTTCCTTCACATCATAGGAGCTCTTCTGACTTATTTCTTGCAGTTCCTCCACCTTAATGAATATTTTAAACTTTAAGAATTTTCAAATAAGCATTAATAGCAAAGGAGCCAAACAAAATAGTTTCCTAACAAGCCTTTGGTACTAAGAAACATTAAAATAGCAGGATGGATCAAACACATAACATATTCAAGTATTCTCGTCCGACAGTTCAGAGAATAAACTTACGACAATGACCAAAAGACAGCGAAAATATAAATCCAGGTGCAGATGAAAAAAACTGAGAAATAAAACGGTGAAGCTTCTTCTAGCTCTATATTTCCGCATTTCGTGCTTTAATAATTCCCTTACATCAGAGCCATAAAATAAACCTCGCTTATATAGATAAGCGTATTAACTCACACAGCACGTACTCAGGGTTTTTGTTCCCAACCTATGATTTTACGTGAATCTAATGGTACAGCACAGCGCCACTTTCAACTTCACCGCTCTCAATGTCAGTTACGGACAATATCCTCAAGAACATATTTTTGTAAAGATGAAAAGGAACGAACGCCTTGGTAATCAAATGACCTCCAGGCCTTCAGAGAGTCCTTCACTTTTTCAAGTCTTTGGCTGTCCAGGAAAGTTTTGTGTTTTCTCGATGCACTTTATCACGAGAGAAGGGAAATCAAGACCAATTGCTGTTTCCTATATTAGACCAGGCTACAGTGGCGGTAGGTGCCACCTCAGGGCGGAGAAATTCAAATGGATATTTCCAGGTAGCTATTGGTCTGGTTACTTGGAAAAGTGATGGTGAACGGGGAATTGTTGGGGTTTAAGGGGTAAATACGGGGGTTAAAGTTCGTCATATTAGCATATTAGCTCTGCGGAGGAGCCACTGTTTTGTTTACGACTTCAGAGCATGGCAAGTGCTTGTTATCATAAAAAAGTAATCTAGAGGGAGTCTTTTAGAGCCCCTTTATTAAATTCCGACATATTGCTACAATTAGAGTCGTCACGTGACCAATTTTTACCCCTTACCATATTTGGAAAATGAGCCTTTTCTAACAGAATACCTGAAATTTTTTTGTTTAATTTACTTAAATGTTACAATAATGTACAAATCAGCAAGATTATTCTACAACCGAACTGTTGTTGATAGATACCCTGAATAACTTTGAGTTAATGACTGTTTTTAACTTTGTGGTTGCGAACGGTTGCGAAGACATGGTAATTTATTAGGTCCGTTTGATTTCATGCGCATTTGGTTATTACGTGATGACTCCACATCTCCTTCAGATGCTGGGCAACTTTTTTCGCAATTCATCGCTTTGAAAATATTTGTACAAATAGTAACACAAATATGTAACGCAATAAACTCAAGAAATCACGGAAATACGTAGCAGAGCAAAAAGACCTGTGTGCATCATTACCAAGAAGGAATTGTTTTGCTCTAAGCGTCATTTTCAGTATTTAAGTTGTTATTTTCGCTCTGAAAATTGGATACTCTGTGTACCTTTAAAGTATTGAGGAGGTCCTGTTTTATTTATATTTTTAAACATGCAAGGCCTAAGCTGTATTGTTCATTACCCGAGCAAAGATTGTCTGTACAGTATTATTAAAGATTTGTCTGACATCAATAAAGATAAAATTGCAAAGGCTACTCGTTTACGACTTGGTGGCAAAAATCTCCACGAAGAACAATGCAGCTCCATTTCTGACGAGGTTGATCCAAATAAGCACGGAGTTCACTTAGAACCTTGTTATAAAAAATTTACAAAGATCCTATCCAATGAGAAATTCCTCGCAGAAACTAGCACTGAAGCTATTTAGCGTCCACAAACACTAAAGACTGCAGCTACTCAGAGACAAGATGTTTATCCCCAGATGTGTAATTTTTGCCAAAAGTACCGGGTAAAGAGGCAACAGAAACATCATGTACCGTACCAATAACGATCACGACGAAGCAGGCCGAACTAACGTAAAATAAGCTGCTGAAGCCAATATCAATCAGAACATTTATTATGAAATTAAAGATGTTGATCTCATAGCTAAAGAATTTTAATACCATGAATTCTGCTACAAAGAGTTTACAAGGAAAAAGAAACGCTTTAACTCGGCATTCATCGAAAAAAGTTGTTGTACGCTCTCCATCCTCAGACATCGACATCTTGGTAATTTTATTAAGTATTATTAAAGAGCAAAGTCAAGTATATCTCGATTTTGGAGTTGGTTTGAATAGAAAAGGACTATTTTTGTCTGATATTGAGATGGAAGATGGTTTGAAGAAGTGCCTGATAGGCTTTCATGCATTCACAGGGAATGACTATGTGTCATCTTTTTTCCGCAAAGGGAAATCAGAATGTTGGAAGGTGGTCCAGAAGAACAACAGATTTGTTAACACATTTTCGCTACTTGGGCAGGTATGATAACTTGATGAGCAAATATTTGTTAACCTTGAAGAATATGTTTGCCATTTATATGGATACCGGCAAAAAAATGTCAATGATGTGAGGAAAAAAATATTTGACAAGAAGTATGTAAGGCAAGACAAAGCCATAGACATTTCACTCTTGCCTCCATGTCAATCATCACTGAGGCTACACATATTGCGATCAAACATCATTGCAAAGATTTGGAAGTCATCGGATGAAAGGTCCATAAATTTGCCAGATCTTTCTACTTTTGGCTGGAAAGGGAATCTGACTATAGACTGGCAACGACAAGCATTTCCAAACGAACTGACTGACTTGTTCCTGGATCTTGAAGAAGATGTGACCTTCAGAGATGATAAAGAAAGTGAAAATGAAACCTACAATGGATAAACAATGACAAATGCAGGTATCTTTGCCTTAACTTGCATCTTTTACAGGAGTGGCGGCATGGGGGGGCAAGGGGGGGGCTTTAGCCCCCCCTAGATTTTTGTTAGCCCCCCCGTCGGCAGCCAAATCAATTTTTGCTCTCTCAATACCGTCGGCACTTGATGGATGTCACCCGGTTTACAAGTTGTTTGAATGACATAAATAATCGAGGAGAAAACTGCACTGGCTGGTTTATGTTTTTCTCAATGGCTTTTCTTCGGCAATTTTACTATCATAGTGGCATTATATCCTGTCGCTTCCGTGAAAGCTGTGACTTAATTTCATGGTGCTCCTTCGCATGACCCACAATACCATCGTGCTCCTCTCGGTTGAAATCCCTGTTGCTGCTCATGCGAATGCAAATTCATGCGAAACGTACCAGAAAAAATACTTCCCTAACCCTAACCCTAACCCAAACCCTAACCCTAACAACAGCAAAATCACGTTGTCATAAATAAACTCTTTAATGAATTTTCTTCTTAAGGGATTCTCTTTTCGTTTCAAGACATTATTATTGCCAATGAAGACATTTCGATCATGAGCACATTTTGAGTAATAAATTTTTCAAAAAGCACTTCTTGTCCTTTTTCATCAACTATTTTTCAATAGCATTGTTCACCGCATAGCTTCCGACAAACAAATGGTTTAGAGAAAACCATCGATTAACTTCTTCCAACATAGATAGGAAGAAATATTCAACAATAGGCAATATTTGCGCATTAAGTTTCTTACAAGGCACAATTTGCCGAGAAAATCTCGTGGACTCCGACACAGGTTGGAAAGTGGGGGCGGGGAGGGGGCAAGGGAGAATTTTGCACCCACAACAAACGATTTTGGAAAAATGCTCTATTGCTTGCTCTATTGCTTGCTCTATATGCTTGCTTGCTCTTGGAAAAATGCTCTATATCGGTGCCCCTTCATTGGAGGTGCTGCTCAGGGGGCGTCGAGACTGGGGGGTTGTCACACCCACCCCAATAGTATCTCAATAGGAAATTTCAGGTAAAATCCGCTCGGTGGAAGAAACGCTTTAGGTATTTCAGAGACCTTCCTGTCATAAAATCAATGAAGGATCAAGCAATCTTAGGTAAAATTGTGCCTCGTGTCCATTTCTCCTAAAGTTTCTCAGTAGAAGCGTCAACTGCAATTCACTATGAGCTCCAGATTTTTCTTAACATTCATAAGGCATGCTAAGATGGAGAGAGGGATCTAAATTTAAAACTAACTGACAACCTGGTATTTTTCAAGACCACGGCGAAATTGTTGTTTTTATCTGCTGTAAGAATTTTTTGCAAAAAGACAATAATTTTCAATAGGATTAGGAGGATTGCTTTAGTGAAATCTGCTTAAAAGAGTGAATTTTCCAGGGAACTAGAAGCATCACAATTCGAGAATTTCCTGCCCCTTCGGCGGCAACCATGGTGCCGCCTCAGGTAGTAACTATATATTTTGCCCGTCCCGATATAGAGATTTGACAAGACTATTAGCGAGGCTTGCCTCGTGACGAGGCTTACCTCGTGACGGCCCTGCCTGCTATATGGGGCAAATCGAATTTTTTTTCTGTCGGCAATTTGACACATCCAGCGTCGGCAGTTACGGAGAAGATAAAATTCGGCACCTTGAAGGTTTGTCTCTAGCGCCACCCCTGTCTTTTAACATTTAAGGGTATCAAACAAAATAATACGTGGTACAAAGAAAAGAACAAAGGTTTTCTGTTAAAAAAGCTCACCTTCCAAATATGGTAAGGGGTAAACATTGGTCACGTGACTACTCTTATTGTAGTAATATGTCGGAATTTAATGAAGAAGCTCTAAAAGACTCCCTCTAGATCATTTTTTTATGATAACAAGCACTTGCCTAGCCCTGAAGTCGTAAACAAAACAGTGGCTCCTCCGCAGAGGTAATATGCTAATATGACGAACTTTAACCCCCGTATTTACCCCTTAAACCCCAACAATTTCCCGTTCACCATCACTTTTCCAAGTAACCAGACCCATAGCTACCTGAAAATATCCATTTGAATTTCTCCGCCCTGAGGTGGCACCTACCGCCACTGTAGCCCGGTCTATATAGTTATCTATTGTCAAAGTAACAAAACATAACCTGAATAAGCCTTCCCTTCACTTTAGCCCAAGGCCGCCGACAAAGGGGCACTTTTTTGCAAAATAATAGAGCTTTTACTCAATCTTTCATCATGATTGTTAAATTTGCTCTTGGTCCCCCACGTTCCAACCTGCATCTGAGTCCATGAAGCCTTCCCTTAGTGGCCCTGAGAATAAAGATGGAGGATACATACCAAATTGAGACCCCTTCTAGCAAATGCTTCTGCTTCAGCTGCAGCATTTAGATCATAGTAGCATTGGCATACTGCAGTATACAGTTGGCACCTCCATGTTAAGTATTTGGTTGTCATCAAAGGAACAGAGGATTCCATACATACACAAGCCCAAAGTATGTATTCTAAGGCTACTTGGCTGTGACCATTGGACATTAAATGCCTTGTGAGAGTGTAAATATGAATGGTGCCTATAAAAGCAGTAGAATCTTATTGACTTTATGTTAGTTAATGTAGAAAAAATGGCTTAATAATGACGTCATCTAAAGCTAGTAGTTATGTAGAAGAAACACAGCCAATTTCAGGATACATTTTATTGTTGTTCATTGGTTCATATTTACAACAGTTTATAGGGATATTTAAATACAAGAATGTAATAAGAATATTTTAGGATTATTTATATGGACCCCTTCAGTCTGGGTGTATGACACTTGAAATGTTTACCAAATCAATTGAAAAAGTTATTTCAGTTTTAAATGAATCTTCCTACAGCAGAAAAAGCAGAATTTCACTGTCAACCATCAAATTTACATTCTGCAAAGTGTTTCAATCACAACAGAAAGCCAAATTTCGCATTAAAGATGTATGATTATAACCCATCTTCCCAATTAAAATAATGTTTAGAATTGGGAAAAGCTTGCCTAAACAATATTGAAAGCCATGTTAAAGAGTGTTCTATGATATTGTGTCCTGTTTACTAATCTCTCTAAGCATAAGCAGCAGAACCAAAGGATCAAAGACTTGGATGAAATTTGAATTACGAGAAGACTTACCATTATATACAAGCCAGCAAAAGACCTCTTTCTCAAGGGCAACCTGCATTGTCAGCTGAATGACTTTTAAACAATTCAAAAGCAAAGAAACTGAACCACTGTTCTAAAGGTGGAGAACGAAAAAACAATGCTCAGTGATTCTATGTCACAACATCCATTCAAGAAGGTATAACAAAATCTAGCATTACATAGATACAATTTACAATTCATCCTCATGAAACATCCTTTTTCCATTGCTGAACTGATGCCAATATAAACAGTGGTGGTAGATTTGGGGAAGAGGGTGATTCCTCCTCCTGTGTTTTTTGTCAAAAGTGGTACACAATTCTACTAAAAACACATAAACAATTAAAGATAAAACGTAGTTCAGTGCATTGTACATCAAATGAGATGAATACAAAAATATTTAGAATGTGACTTGTTGCATGGAAAAGTATAATGTTGTTATGACGTTTTGAGCATAACTCTTCATCCTAACACAAAACAAGGTGGAAGAGATGTAAGGGGAAAAAAGCAAAGAGACAAGATATTATAATTTTATTATGTGCATGTGGAATAAGAGTACCAAATTTTAAGATAATGTATTTCTCAAAGGTTTTTGCATGCTGATATTTGGTGCATAGCGTAGTCTAGTGATTATAATGTATGTTAAAGTGCGGTTTCTTTTATTAGAATGTAAAAACTGTCCTAGCTGGATCAAGTGGGAAGATATATGTAATAATTGCCAATGATTTGCCTTTGAAAAACTAATGCTATTATAAGAACCCAGCACGAAGTTAATAAAAGGAGGGGGCTTCTGTGATGCAAAAAGCTTGGTCTCAAAAGTTGGTCAAAGGCTGTGCACACAGTTGAAAGGCAGTTACAAACCTTTAGATTTGGATCTTCGGAAATTGCTTTACAACTTTGTGCACTGGAGATGCCAAGAAGAGTCCTTATCTACAAAAAAGTTTCAAAATCAACTTTTGCGACAAATAATGTCCCTTATGGCTCTATGCTCTGGAACATCAACATTTCTTGCCTCCTCTTGTAAAATCTTTTTTCTTGAAATCATAGATTGTGATAAAACCCTATTTGCTCTAATGAAATTTGATTTTTTTATTCTGTTACAAATAAATTGGTGCTCATACCAATCATCCACCACCATTCAGGGTTTGTTATTTATCTGGTCATCTCTTTTAGAATGATGAGAATCAATAGCAAGTCAGATTTGTACCATATGGCTTTTATACTCACCACTTTAACTGCATCTTTATTTCCTACACCTTGGGCAAAGTATATGCTTTTGAACTTCTCAATATTTATTCCATCTGCAGCTAAAGAGTATGGTGCTTCATTGTGACCGAATTTTAACAAATATCTCATGAAGCAATGACTTGCTGCAAGGCCATATTCCTATAAAATAGCAAAAACATAAAGAATATTGACATCAAAATGAAAAGAATTGTCAAAATCAAAATATCGCCTCTGAAAATCTTCATTTTTGTAGAAATTTTGGAGTTAAATGAGTGTAAAAGGTAAAACGTGACTAAAAAGTAACTTTTAAGAATCACATTAATAACATAATGACACATATTTTTCTCAAAAGTTAAATCTATGCATCCAGAAGTTAACTTACATATTAGCTTTTGTTAACTTAACTTACATAATGTTAATCTTTCGGGAAGATTTAATAAATTTGAGTTAGAGAAGATAAACTTACACCAACTGAAAAAAGAAATTCTCCTATGATCAAGAATTTCTCCTCCAAATATTCCTTGTCCAATTTTGGTTCATATGTGTTCCAAAGATTGTATAATGTTGCATAGCTAAAACAACAAAATAAAGAACTGGAAAATTTCCTAAAATAGAATTTTCTAACTCTTACATCTTTGCTGCAGACAACTGATTACACCAAAGTCCCCTATCGAACATACTACTCTTGTAATTAAAAGGCATGGACATGCACCAAAAAGCAAAACTATAAAAATATTGTCATTGTGTTTTTTCTAGGGACTTTATTTAGCATCTAGGGACTTGATATGTAATCCCAAAAAGCATCTGTAGTATTTAATAGTCTGTTAAACTGTAAGGGAAAAATAAACAGAGGATGCAAAAATTTGCAGAATTTATCTGTAATAAATTAATGACAGAGAATTGACCCACTTTCCTTTGAAAAAGAAAACTCAAAGCAATAACTATTAAAGTTACTTCTACTTTGCCTAGCATAATAAGAATCAGAAATTGTATCATATCAGTAAGCTCAGGTTGAGATATGACTTAAAGTATAGACCACAGTTGAAATTAGAATTTGAGTCACATTCTTAATTTTAGCCCTTAAAGAAACAAAAAAATAAGAGCTACAAGTTGTATTACAAAAATATTTAAAAAATGATGCAAAAGATATTCATTGTTTAGGTATGAATTTATAATTATCAATTTCAATAATGATCATTTGATCAAAGATGTTTTGGAGGCCATTATTATGAATGAAACATAGCAGACACAAACAGACCAAAATACTAATATTTTGCCATAAAGTATCACAATTCCTTATAATTACAATATTTACCTTTTGGCTTCTGTGCTTGCAGCTTTATCAAGTCTATCTGCAGAAATCTGGTCTTTACTTTTAGACTTGATAAACTTCACAAATCTTGCAATGTCTTGCTCAAAAGCAAGACGTACTGTGTCCATTTTGCACTGTAGTATGCAAAAGATTAGCTGTCAACATACACATAGCCTAATCATTTAGCTGGAGTCCACCAAGTTTGCAAAGCAGGGGATGGCATTTTCTTAGAAAAGCTACAACTTTACGAGCTTGTAGGTTTGCAAATCTTTTGCAGTGCATTGCTACTTTGATTTTATTCTTACGATTGACAGTTCACATGTCCAAACCTTAAAAATAGATAATTATTTTGATAAAGAAGTCAAATTAGGCCAAATCAAAAATGAAACTGATTCAACAAACGATAAAGACATCATTTTAGACATCTTTAGAATCTAAGAGATATTATAAAGCAAAAAACTAAACTATCGCTAAAAAAGTTTTATTCAGTAATACTATATGAGAGTTAGATATACCTTTTAGGTTCAACTTCTGTGGTTGTACAAAACCGCCATTTTTGTTACCAAGCGAAATAAAGCACCTGTTCAGCTACATGTTGCTATAGAACTCCGCAGCGCTTTTGACAATAGGGCTTTGGACAGATGGTTGGCATACAGGTATACGTGACCATAAAAAGGTCAAATAAAATAAATTACAATAACAGTCCGAAAGCATAGTATATATTTCCACCAATGCACTTTTTAATTATTTTCCAAACTCAAGTAAAAAGTGTTTCGCTATTCGTTAGGTAAAGGGACTCATTCTTTTTTATAAGAACAATTTCGTAAGAACACGAGCCTTAAAATTGGTCAAAAGTTAAGAACAAATTAAAAACAAGCTGAGGCTGAGCTACACGCATTCTTTTATAAGAAACAGGTTATAAGAAACGGTAGGACCCTACCCAAATTGAAAAAAGCTAAGAAACTTTTATAATTTGCAGTTTTAATTTCCGAGTTGGCACTCGAAACAGTCTTGACATTAAATATCACTGTATATTGCAACGCTGAACTTGACATGCAGCTTGCATTCATTCTTAGTAAATTGCACACTCAAGAAGTTTCCATTTAAAAAATTTGTTTTGACTTCATCTTGACATTGATGAAGTTCCATGAGCTTAACTGTTTACAGATCTCAACAGAGTTTGTCATTCTAGGAAAACAAGATTCCTTGACACTTTGTTAGTTTATCTCTGAATGTGAGTGAACTATTTACTTTACCCTGAAAGCCCCTTTAAAAAATTCATTACCTAAGAAATTTAAGAAAAAAGTAAGAAACTTTTGATAGCAAAGTGGCCAGAAAATTTAAGAAACTGCCTACCAGCACCGGACCTTAGTTTCTTACAAAAAATACGTGTACTCTAAAAAACAATTTTGAACAGCGGTTTATCTCAAAAACGAGGAGTTTTAGACATGTGTAGGTGCCTTTTCGGTGAATTTTCAAACTTGTCGGCAAATGAAAGTTGTCTTACTCACTCTGTTGGCAAATGAGGCCTGAACACCTCCCTAGAGCGAAAAAGCTAGATAAAGAAAAAGCTAGCAATCGTACTGCTTATTATTGATTAAGGAACATATTAAGAACAACCCAGCCTCAGATTTTGGAAAAAATTGAGAACACTCAGCCTGAACTTAAATTTACTTGGTTCTTATCAAAAAAGAGTGTAGGCTATATTTGACAATCAGGTTTACTGTACAGTATTAATTACTTTTTCAATTTATTTTTATATTCAAATCATTGATAAATTATCTAAATAAAGGAATGTCCTCAAAACTTCTCCTAAATAATGTCAGGAAGATCCCATTTTAAGCAGCAGGCCAAAATCAAATTTTTCAGGCAATTTAACTCTGAAAAAAGCAAATATCAGAAAATTTTGGCCTGAAAAAGCCGACCTGGCAACTCTGCAAAGTGGCTTCGGTTTTTCTGGTATGTCTGAAAATTCTTTCAGATTAGAGAATAAATGAAACTATACGGGAAATATTCGATTAGCCATTCGATACATAAAAGAATGGACCTACTCCCTTTTAATACACAAATGAGTCCCCAGGGCCTTCGCCAGATATTGTGTTTAAAGATGGTATCCAGGTCCCGTTTCCTGACAAAGATGACGAATTCTTCAACAATTCTTCGATAACAAATTTGCAAAAAAAAACACCTAGATGGCATAAAACTCCTTTTTGGCATTGAATTTCTCCCCACCTTCTCCACCATAGCGATACCCCTTAATATCCCTTCAGTCATCTTCCGTTCATTGTAGTAATGTTCTTATATTCAAGGAATTGCAAGCAATCTAACGAGATTACATCCTTTCATTTTTATAAGAACCAGTAAATTTAAGTTCAGGCTGGCTGTTCTCAATTTTTTTCGAAAATCTGAGGCTGAATTGTTCTTAATTTGTTCTTAAATTAAGAGGGTGTTAGCAGTGCTGTTGTTAGATTTTTCGCTCTAAGGAGGTGTTCAGGCCTCATTTGCCCAACAAAGTGAGTGAGACAGCTTTAATTTGCTGACATATTTTAATATTCACCGAAAAAGCACCCACACATCGCTAAAAATCCGCGATTTTGAGAAAAAACGTTGTTCAAAATTGCATTTTGCAGAAGCTCAGCCTCAGCTTGTTCTTAATTTGTTCTTAACTTTTGACCAGTTTTGAGGCTCGTGTTCTTATAAATTGTTCTTATAAAAAAAAGAGTGTATAAGGGAAGTTTGCCTAAAGTGATACCTTACCTTTAACACGTTGGTCAAAGTTGTACTAAAAGTGAGGATATGGATTCATCACAAGTATCTCCTGAAAATTACCACAGGGGTGCATTTTGTGCTAATTTAGAAAAGGATTGTTGTTTATCTCATAGTCACTTTTGAAGCCTAGAAATTGGGATTTTTATAAAATCGCGCACCCAGTTTTGGCATAGGCTTATCGAGTTTTCAAAAAAACTATCAAAATTATCCAAGAAAGGCCTATTAAATGTGTCATTTTGTGAAAAAGAACCAAAACACTTCAAAAGCTCTTTATACAACCTTCTTTGTTTTTAAAAAATATTATTCACCTTAAATACCGTAGCTCCTCAAATAAGCCCCCGGCGGCTTCTTCTACTAAAAAAATTGAGGCTTGGGCATATTCGATGGGGTCTTATTAGAAATTGGGTGCTTGTTAAACAGCAACCAAAAATATTGCAAGGGTAAATTTTCTTCCTCTATTTCAGGGTGGTCAGTATGCTTGAAATGTAGATATACTTGGAAAAACCTATTGCTCTTGAGGCCGTGGGGTCTAATTTGAAAGGAGGGCGCTTATTTCACTAAATTTACTTTAGGGTGGGGACTTATTAGAGGGGGTGTATTTTAAGGCATGGACTTAAGAGTACAACATCTTGCTGTTTCCCAATGAGTTATCTTATCTTGCGATTGGTAACGATGGCCCTGAATGATCTGCAAAAGATAGAACAGGTAGAAAAACGATAAACACACAACATGCTAGATTGCTTGGTTCTCTTCTATTGAAATTAAGACTATATCTTACAATATTTTGCTATACGATTCGTCGTTTTGGCTTACAGTTTATCCTTAAGCATCTTCCCTAACCATTGCATATTGCAGTCAATTCTTAGTTATCCTCTAAAAGCTTGCCAAGAACCATCAAAGTGTTCATGAGTTCTTTCTTCGTCTGCCGGCTTGAAGAGCTTCTTTTTTCATCTGCCTCTAACTGCTCAAAATCTTCATTTATTAAATTTCGTCCTTTTCTTGCACCTTCGCCCTGCCAAAAAATAAATAAGTGAGTCAGTTTAATTATGGCTTTGAGAAATAAACAGTTGCGAGAAATTAGCTTATGAGACTACAATGATGAGTATTTAAGGAAAACGTTTGATTACCAAAAACGAACCAAGTTGAAAGTAAAGGACAGCATAAGGGGCTTCAGCCGAGGTAGGTATGACCAAAGGAAAGCCAGGATAAAATACTTCCTTTCGAAACTCATAGACAAAGTGCGAAAAAAGATTCGAAACAGAGGAAGAGAGTTGACTTTTCTATACAACTCTCTTAACTTTAAACATCAAACCTCGATTCCCAATGTTTATTTACCCTGATCTTATAAATTACGTTAGATTTTCTCACTTTTAACTCAAAATTTTGCGATTTATAGCTTTTATTAATATTATACTTAAGGATTTTTTAGGAGAATCAAAAATTTTAATCTTGATTAGCGTTTTCTATAAACTACTGCTGTGAACAAGATGGCATAAAAATCGGAGACACCGAACATTTTATTTGTGCGTTGTAATTTTCAAAATAATGAACACTTCTAAATAAGATGCATATTTGAAAAAACTCAAGCTTTGGCTGACAGTCTATTGTAAGTAGACGTTCGAGAGAATGAGAGCACTAAAGAACTGCGTTCGAACGTGAATAGAGAGCACACTGGCACTTTGTCAAAGGTCAGTCGGTCAATCCTCACCGATGCTCTTTTGAAATCAACAAAAAATTATATAATCATTGGGGCAGAATTCGATTATGAATATGTTTCTAGAAACTTTCTCAGATTTAGGGTGGCCCAGACCTTGTGTTCACACAGAAATCCCTGCTAATAGGTTTATCTTTTAAGGCTGCGCCTGAAGATTTCCGTTCGCCTTTACTCCTTTGCTCGTGCGCAACAGCTTAAGGCGATCTGTTTGACTTTACTCAACAGAATGACGCTCAAATAGAGAATTTGTTTTTTATTCTCCAAGGTAATCAGGCTCAGAAACGGTTCTGTCGTATTAAAAATTGATTTGATAAGGCTGGCTTCCCAAAATTTCCGCACGGAATAAAGATTCAAGTCGAGCTGAAAGGCCGCGTCAGCGTTTGGCCCTGCCGCAGCTACTCGGGCTGAAGCTGGAAATGGCGGTCTACGCGCTATTTTTAAAGGGAAAATTGTGTGGATTCCCATAAACATGCCAGGATTATTTTCAATCCAGGATTTGCTTTGAATAGAATTTTGGGCTTTGATTTTAGGAAAGTGATAACTTACTCTGGCTGAAATAAAAACGTTTAATAATTAAAGAGGCAATTTTCCTTGACCTCTTTTGAAGATATTGGAGAAAAAATCACGAAAAGGCCTAAATTGAGTGAATCTCAAAATTAAGAATGAATCGTTTTCTGGTGAATTTTAGTAGTCTCATATAAAGCATTGACAACTAAGTCGTGAGCAGAGTTGAAGACTAATTTCCCAGAATACAGGGGCCTTTTTAACCATGTTTAATCTTTTAAACTTGGTTTACAGCATTTGTGGAAATAGAAATCTTCAGGAGAATGACAGCAGAGTCCAGAAAAGTGTCCATCTTTCTTTTTGACAGTACCCCTAGACTTTGACAACCTTCGACAGAAAACAACGAACGAAAAAGTTAGGATTTGGGTGTTGTTATTGTTGGGTTGCTGTCCATGTCGTGTATTCTGGGCTATATAAATGGACTGATTATGAATTGAAATTACTTTTAATCGTGTTCAGCTGATAACTAACACTAAAAAGGGATTTTTGCCCCTTCGTTGTGCTTGGTTTTAGCGTTATCAAGAACAAAAACTCCTTAAAAATCACTTATTCCAATAATCTTTAATTCTCACCTCAACAGTTTAATTTCAATGACGGAGATTTTCTACATGATTCAAAGATGACTTATTGTTATGACTAATATATGTGGGCGTTACCTTACCCTAACCATATGTCTTGTTCCCTTAAGCGTAAAGAAAGACTGAATAACTTATTAATGAATTGACACAAGACTTCTTTTTATCCGATTGCATTCACTAAGTCATTCTTCGTCTTTTCGTTCGCGCATACAACTGGAACAGGGTTGGGTTGGAAAATTGAAATATAGTAAATCTCCTCTCTCTCTAACCCTTTCCAAGTTTTGCCATTGGTTTAAGCCGACACGGGATTCATGGGACACGCTTGCTTTGTCAAGAGGAGAGATGGGGGCAGTGAGGCCACGAGGCAAGGGGAGATGAGGCAACGGCGTACCAGAGACTTCAATTAATATCTTTTTAATGATACAGGAGCTCAAGACATGTTCCCTTTGGGAAAATCAAAGATCCCCATAACATCAATCTTAAAAGTACTTAGTAGCAAAAGTTCATCGTTCGCATTGAATTTTAATGTATGACCCAAGGCATATTTCGATCAACGCTTGTACATGAAACCGCATTCTCTTCAAAAATCAATATTAAGCAAAGAAACCATTCATGTGAAGAATTTGTCTCCTTACTAAACCATAAATTTGATCTTAATCACTTTTCAATTCATACTCCTGATCCAGACAGAATTTCTTTATAATTTGGGTTTTCGAGAGAGGCTTTAATATTGACTGGGAAGATCTTTTTAATACAATAAAATAAGATGAAATTAATATACACCAGAACAGATAAATGCCTTTCCTTAGCAGAAAATACAAATTGTGTAACATTAGGAAATGCAGGGAACATCTGCATCCACTTCAGCTGAAAATAAACGCTTATTTTAAAACAAGAAGAAATAACACTTGATAAACTGAAAACATTATTGTGCGTGATTGAAAATGATGCTATTTTACATATGGGTATAACTCGAGGGTAAACATCGTCTGCTGGAGTGAATTTTTTTTAAATCTGAAAAAAGAAAATGAAACTGCTGAAAAAATTCTCGATTGCTGCACAGAATATCTTATTGTGTTTGTCAGACGACTTTTCACGTAGGGCTATTTTCGTGTCAGCTTGCACTTGCTCTATCATGTTAACTGACTGGAATTGTGAAAGTGCATATTTGAAGGTCCATTTGCCACTTTAAAGCTATTCAAAGACACCACCGATTATTGTGTTTTTAACAAACCTTATATCAAAATCTATGACGCCTATACTTCTCTAGCACAATTCAAAGTCAAGATTACAAACGTTAGCCAAATGTGAGAAGATAATATTTATTCTCAGTTCACTTAAAGAAAATACAGTTTGAATAAAAAATACTTTGGCAATGGTTACTAGTTACTCTCAACACTAGTTGGAAAGTTGTCAGTTCTGGTGTCTCCCCACTCTCATTCATCCCTACCTTCCCTATTCGCAATTGAATTTTGTAAACTCTCTCGGCAGCTAATTCCCTGTATGCAAGTAACCGAATGGCATTGATTATACAACATAAACAAACAGAGATGCGCAAGAAGCAAACATTGATCGTTAGCAAAGCAAGGTAGCGTTGTTCAATCAAGAATAGCATTGCATCACGGCTGTAGTGCAAACAAGCTAGCCATTTCCATTTTAAATAAAAGATATGCAGTACTAAGAAATAGAGCCTCACTTAAACAAACATTTAGCGAAAAAGCGAAACGAGATTCCGGATTTACAAAAATAAACCTGCAATCTTTGCGAATCTTTTCAACAAAAACCCATAATCTAAAAAGTTCTTTTGTAATATTTGTTTAAGCCAATTGGGTTTCTGTCAGAAAACGCGCACATAACAAATGCGATTTCCAACAGGCACTAACATGTTCCATTCCGATAAACCGAAAAAAACATCTTCTACAATAAACCTCCTGCACTTCTACCAAATTTTCGGAAACTTTGCACACTTTTTTAATGACAAGCAATCTTTCAGAACCCTTACATCATAATCAAGTACGTGAATGGGTCATAGTAGTGTAGAATTTTAGCAGTCAACCAAAGAGCCGTTTGGGCGCTTTGTTTTCCATTCATTATTCATACATAGAAAAACTATACAAGCTTTCTAAGAATTACAGTTTAACACAAAACATCAGCTAAAGCATGCATTTTAAACCTTTTTGTTAATTGGATCGTTCTAAGGATTATAATTTGTCATGGATTTTTGAATCTTGAAATCTTTATATTATTCATATCTCGCTCGCTACTGAATCTTCAAAATCGAAAGTTAAGAATTCTTTTGTCATATCATATCTCATTCATTGCAGCCTGTAGTTCTTACAAAGGTAAACAAAAACCCGATTCTATGTTGATGACTCGATACTAGGTATGGGAATTCTTAATCCCTATAGAAAACAAAACGAGCGTAGTAAAGGAGATTCGTTTCACGATAGAAAACCAACCAGTTATAAAGAAGCTACACAGTATTTAAGATGATGATTGAAATGGGCTATTTCAGGATTAATGAATGAAGACTGTACAGAAAAGAGTTGCCATTACAAAACGACATAACTCGGAAGTGTAATATCTAAATCCAAACCCAGATGTGAACAAAAAGATGTAGCCTGAACATTGCATAAGGTGGAAGATATTTGAATACAATAAAGGTGTAAAGAAAGTTGTTATCTTAAGATTTCCAAAAGGAAAATTGCTTGTTTCTATATACAAGAGACTGGTCCTTTTTAATTCTATGTAGACTATTTCTGAAATGCCTGGGTAAAATAAAGATGTCCTGTTGTAAGGAATGTGTAGCATAGTTCACTCTTCGAGTTATGAGTTCAAAGCACTCGGCATCTTCCATCATCGCACCAGTGCTGATACTCGCTAAAGGTAAATTTTTCAAGCGGAAAGAACACAAACATTACAAGGCAGATGTCAAAGACTAACATGTACAATTGATGACGCGTGGTTTAAAAAATGTAAATAGCCTTTTTGAGTTTGTTTTCAGTGTGCCGAGATTGGGGGGTGAACCGAAGGGATGGTTGTGCACCACATTGGTGTTAAGATCGATTGGAAATCTAAAAATGTGAATTATGAGCCACAGATTTTGATATAAATTTCTGTATACTTTCGGTCAGGATTCGACAGTTATACTCTCTGGAGTGTTGGATGAAAAGTGTTTAAGAATGCTATGATTCCGCTATTTCGTACCATCTTTAAATGAGATAGCATTATGTACAATGAAGTATTATGTACATTATGTACAATAAAAAGAAATTAATGATAGCCATACATATCATCAATCAAATGAATTGATCCGTGCGGAAATTTGAAAAAAGTTTGAATTCTGAAAGATAGGCAGTATGTAGTTAGTCTAATAGAAAGTTAATAAAAATGAAAGAATGAATAACGAGAAAATTCTCTAACCTGTCTCCTTTCAGCAAGATCTCTTGACGACATGTTATCGCAAAGATTATATCGCCAGTATGTGCAAGTCGTTTGAAACTGTCTCTTACTCTCGTTCATTGGTCTTGCTACGCACGCTAACAAAGTCACACAACACAAGCAAGCAAAAAGTACTGTCTTCATCGCGAAACTGAGTGTCTATATCCGAAATGGCTAGTGCGTAAATGACCCTTGAAGCTAGTATCACGACTGCTTATTGCAAAGAAGACTATGGTCTCTTCACAAGGACAACTAAACAATGCAAAGCCGTCAATCTTGACGATTCATTTAATCTCGCCCTGCGCATACTCCATTGTTAAGCAGCTGGGCCTTCGCCACCTTACTTTAGATTCCGTTATCAATCTCTTTGTTAAGTCAACACAGCCATTAACCATACATTACAGTGCCGATTTTTGAGATATTAGATTATATCACTGCGTTTGCTACGCTTCAGTGTAAAATATCGCTGGAAATAATGAATACACGACACTGAATGATGGCCAAGTACTTGGACAGCTCATGGCACTCCATTCAACACGAATCTTCAGGCCATATGTTTCTTCTTGCGTGTCAATTCACATGCAAAATTTCCACAGCTTGCTTCCCCAGACTGGCTTTTACTTTGGCGTGTCAATCTATTGTTTTACTTATAGAAAATGCAAAATGTTGGTATATGATGACGTCACATCAAATGTCAATAGAAACTGACAATGAATGAACGAAGCAAGTGCTGCTTAACGAATTCAGCCAATGATAATAAGGATTTTGACTCTGCAAAGTAGGTTAACTCCTTTACGCGTTTCAAAGTTGTTATTGGATTAGTTTACCACATTCGCTTTCTACCTCTTAAAACTTGTAGCAAAGTTTCATCTGTGATTTGGCGTATCTCCAAATCTTAAAAATGCTAGGCTCTGGTTTGGAAGTAAAAAAATTCAACGGCCAAAGGAAATTTCTGCGAAAGACAACCTCTATACTCCAGTTGTTTACCAAGACAATATCATATCACCAACAAAGATGATAGTTATTAGATGTGCCTGATGATCAAATTCGGCTTGAAACTAAAAGTAGCAACTCAGAGATCTCATGTCCTCGACACCGCGATTGACGATCGAATAGCCTTGAATGTGAATGTGCTTTTGCGTGAAGCCCTGAGTAGCAACCTAGAGCCTTCCTGATCTACGCACTAGAATTATGATGATCGTTTATTTGATGATCGCATTCAGCGTGAGATTTGATGGAGTAACCCCGTTTTGCTGTTTATATCAAGCGTGTACACAGCATCGAGCACACTGCAAAAGGCTGGTTAACAACAATTTTCATAAAGTCAACATACATTTGACGTCACCCAACGTCAAACAGCATGTTAAGAATGAATGTTGTTACCCAGTCTGTTGTGCATTGCTCATTGACCTGAAGGGGGAGCTAAAGCGAACTAGTGCGTTACATTTAAACGTTATCTATTGGTTTTGCAGCGCGTTTAAAATAACTAGGTCAAAGGCCTTCTGTAAAACAAATGGTATAAAGTTTTCGACGGGTACATTATGATTAAAATACACGCACTTAATACAGGAAGACTCGTTGCCTGTAAGTGTTTTTAGTTAACAGACTTTTTTTCATGAAATTCTCCTAAGTTATCTCTACAATATTTTTCTTATCACATAATAATATCAGTCGATTATGCATAATGCACCCTGCATATAAATGTCAAAAACAGTGTTTCTCTGTATTTCGATCCTACTATTCCGCAACACCTTTCGAATGATGAGTCTTTGACATCTAAGCTCCACATCTGTGATAATCAAAATGAACGAAAAAGAATAATCAAAAATTCTGACAAACATGGCACTTAGTTATTTAAAGGAAAAAAGACACAGCTTGGACGTTTAATTGATTCACACAAAGTACAAAATGTTCCAAAACTGCTTCACAAATACTACCAGAATCTCAATCCCGGGAACTCAATCCCAATCTCCAGTGAGAAAAAGTCTTGCGAATTTTGCTGCGAAATACTTCACGCGAGAAAATTCCTTTGAATGCTTTTGTTGACCTAGCGACATTGGAAAATGTAAAGTTTGGAAGCGTGACAAAGGGATATGGATTATGATTGGCTGCTGAAAAATTCCGCAAGCGAAAAACTCATTTGAACCTTTTTTTGCGTAGAAATTCTTCGTGAGAAATCCCAGCAAAAGTTCACTGGGCATACCCAGAACGTATTTCGCGCGAACTTTTTCGAATTTCGCTGATTTTTTTCTCACTGGAGATCGGGCTTGCAAAATCCTTCAGCAGCCAATCACAGTCCATATCCCTTTGTCACGCTTCCAAATTTTACCTTCCAATGTTGTAAGGAAAACAAAATCATTTAAAGGATGTTTTCGCGTGAAGTATTTCGCAGCGAAATTTCGCAAGACCTTTTCTCGCTGGAGACTGGGCTTTACAGAGTTCCAGTTGTCTCATTTTTTCACGGAAACAATTCCCTCTTCTGATAAGAGATACTTCATTATCAGCAGTGCTTCTTTGGTTTAAAAATGGACCCTTAGATTTGCGAAGAACCTAGCTTTTGGTGGCCATGAAATTGCTAAAGGTGCCTCCAAAAGAGAACCAATAGGTTTTAAAGTATCACTATGTGTACTACATCGAGGCATACTAGAATTGGCGATGCCCTCTATAATATTGATTACAACGTGGAATCGAAACTCACTTCAATGCCATGATGTTGTTGGCCCATTGTCACAAAGCACATTTTAGTGACTATCAATTGGTTCTCTTGCGAGCAATTTCACAGGGAGATCTAATCGCTTTCAACTCTCGAGCTTCGGTGGTGAAATTTCCTGTGCTCGTGGAAAGGAAAAGTTTCCTAATCTGTTATGAATGCGCGCGAAATTTTGTGTACGAGGAACCGGCCTCAATTCTCTCCGTTTTTCAGTTTCAAAGCCAAAAATTATGTCAAAAAGAGAACATATTCAGTTTTTCCCAAGTTATTTAAGCAAGCTATTTCCTAATATCGTATTCTTCTAAAAACACAGACAGTTTGAGCTATATAGTCCCTTGTACAAGACGATGCATTTTTAAGTTCTCTGACACGCCTAGGATTATGTATATTTTTGGACTCCTTTATTCATGTTTTGACTTGGTTGCTGGTTAGAAAATTTTGTTTGATCACTAGCATATGTGCGAACGAAGCAGATTTTTCTCAATAATAAAGCTTTTTCAAGCCCAGGCTACTTGAACCCAGACGTCACGTGTTTATGCATTCTATTTACACAATATCATGGAAACCGACACAAAAATTCTATGATCTACGACGGGAATGTTCATCTGTTATCCGGTACGTCGAACTCATGAGAACAAATTGACAAGCAGCACCGGAACAGACTATACGAAGAATAAAATTAGATATTTTCAATGGAAAACGTTTGAACTTTTACAGACACTGTTCTCTTGTTCAATTAAAACAAGCCATACTTTTTCTTAAGCTAATTAGAAGAATATTCGTGTTTTTTCAATAGAAACAAAATTTTCCAGATAGAAAGTAGTCAACGGACTTGGTTTAGTTCCAATACTAATGAAAACTTTTCATGCAAACGGAAATTACACTACAATTACAAATCTTTCTATTACAAAGGTAGTTTGCAACTGGCTAGCCTGGGTTTACAAGATACGACTATTACAATCGTAAGTGCAAAAGGGAAAACTGACAAAATAAAACCAAGGTAGTTCCTGGTTGTCCATGGCTTTTTTGCAACAAAATACGAGGTTCATTGTACGAATGGCAATTGGGAAGTTTAGAGACAATAATAATCAAATAATCCAATTTTCACCATATACTTGTCAATGCTATTTACTTCTCTCCTGAATCTTCTTCAGTGTTTATTTTCCTACACAATTTGAAGAGATTGTGATTAAACGCTGAAGATAATTACAGTATATGATTTTCAGTGACCAAGATGATTCTACCTATATGGATAATTGTGGTTAGCTGTTTTAGGGCACAACTGCCTTCTGCCTACTTAAACACGGGTTACTGGCCAATTGCAGTGTGTCATGTCTCTTCTGTGTTATAAAACGCAAGTGTTTGCGCTAGCGGTTGCAACTGTTGCCTTGAATGTTCATATACAGAATACTCATATGTGATAAAGAGGCTTGATCCTCAGACATCTGAAAGAGTCTCCCGTCATCTAAGTGGCCTTGGTACAACAGAAAATTCAACTGCAATACCATTCCTTTTCGACATTAAATTCACCCATAAGAATAATGAAAAACGGTCTATAAAAATAGCCATTTTAGCCAACAAGTGAACCAGGTTCCGCTGAATATATGCAGAACCATCTTAACATTGTAGGTATTCTCTTTTAACGCCGGTTCATATGCAGACGTAGCCCGCGTGCAGACTCGACTGGTTTTCCCTTGTCTGGTTTGAAGCAGAACAAACCACATCCCGACTAGTTGCTCTAACGACTTGATCGTTACAAGTCCTCTTCATCCTAACCTTCTATAAACTGATGCTTCTTTTCAGGGTTCCTGACGATGCGGGATGGGGGTAGGGAGCCAGGGGCCACTTTTCGCAAAAAAAGAAACTCAAAATCATCTAGATCTCCCTTTTCAATCATTTTCGGAACTTCTTTAATTTCCCACATGTATCGAGAAACTGCATCTTAGAATAACTAACTTTATTCTGTGACCACATGGCCTTTGGTGACATCGTAGTGTATAGTTTTCAGTGGCGTCGCATGGCCAATCTCGGGGGGGGGGTTGTAAGAGATGCAAAACCACATTTTACCGACAGAAATTTTCTTATTACATTAATATTTTGTCATAAATTTAATTCTACCGACGAGTTTTCTGAAAGTTAGGGGGGTGTAAACACCTTGCGTCTGTTTAAAAGCTCCAGGTCACTAAAGACATTGTACCGTAATGCCACGAATAAGCACTGGCGCTTATTCAATTTTGGAGCCTTCAGGGTTGGCGCTTATTCGAGGGAGGTGCTCAATCGAGGGGGGGGCTTATTTAAAAAATTAATTTGAAAGTAATTAAGAGATTGATAGTGTTTTTAGCTTAAGCCCTTCTTTGTAAGCGCCCGAAAATTTGAATAAGGGCCTGTTTTAGAAAGTTAAAGGATGGGCGCTTTTTCGAGGGATGGGTCTTGGATGGAAACGAGAGGGTCTTGGATGGAAATATGTTTGAGGCGAAAGCACTCGGCGGGCCCGATGAAATTGTGTTGCGGGTCGGAGTTGGCCTACGGGGCGGAGGTTAAGAATGGCTGATCTATAAGAAGGCAGCACGCAGTGGTAGCATAAACGCTAATAAAGCACACTGGTTTGAACGCCTGTATTCCTCAAATCCTGAATCACGATTGACCTGCATTTTTATTTATATTTACATCATACGCCTACATAGCTAAGACCGATAACAATCAATCTTAAAAAATCAATTTTCAATTCCTTATTACTGGAACGACAGCGAGATTGACTGTAAAACAGGTGGTCTTGCACACTTTTCTTCTTTGGTCTCAATGTCGTTAAACCTTCAAAATATATAAAGGTTCTTGCACTGATCACGACACGTGAAAGACATGTGATTGCCACGTGTTAGCTGAGATCTGTGTTTTATGTTGTAGTTTCAACATAAAGTGGCAGGATTTCCAACATATTATAGCATTATTCTCTTCCTCTTATTCTCATCTGCATTTGAATGAGGGCTTTATATGAATGTCTAATCAGAAACTAGCTGGGAGACGATAAAAAATAAATCTCGAGTTAACAGATGCTCCATCAAAACTTTGTTTACGCCCCTATAAAGCCAGGGGCTTTCCTAAAACAACACATCAGGTGTCTACCAACCGCTAACGTTAATCCATATGTGGTCACCTTGCTCAATTTCTCCTCCTCCAGTGATTTATCTGGTAACACTCTTTGCCCTAGACAGACGTGAATAATCTAATAGGCCAGTGGCATATAGAAATTTGTCTTCTAAATAGCCTTTGAAACAAAGCTGGCACATCAGTGATTTATTGTTTAAAACTTCGACAATGAATTGACAAAAGTAGCAAAAGCTTGTTGGAAAAACAAATGTCCTAATCAAGTGGTTTGTAAGGCTTATTTACAGAAGGAGTCAAGTTTGCTTTAATCTTCTCAATATTTGGAGTTCCATTCAGCTGGATGCTTTTCAGGAGGAATATTTGAAAAGTGTTTGATCAGTCAAAGAAAGAACCAAGTTCAGAAGCTGCTTCTAGATGAAAATTTTCGTTCTCGACTGGCTTTCTCAAAATTTCACTTTCATATATGTCAGCAATGGGAACAAAGACCCAGGTTTTGAAGAAATACGCGTCTGAAATCTGCATAACATGCGGAAAAAGGCGGTCTTGAACCACTGGTTTTCATCCATAGCTTCTAGCAGATTGAGAGGTTGACCTTGAAAGCTTGCTTTTTCCGACGAAGTTTGCTTGCCTTAATGCCATTTTTCATACAGTGTTATCCCGATAACACGAACTTTCGTTAACTCGAATTGATATTGCTTTCTCCTTGAATCTATTCAGTACGTTCCAGCCCCTGGTAAGTCGAACAATCGTCAACTCAAATTTCTCCCTACTGTACTTCCTAACAAGCAGCACTGACGAGGATAAATTTTGTGCAAAAGTTTGGTTAGGGATTTGATTCGAAATAATGGCAGTCAGTGCAAAGTTATATATGGTAGGAGCTTTCGCAAAATTCGCAACAGCATTTGGAAAGGCTTTATGAAGGGTATATCTTGTACGATAGACCAAAATGAGAAAATCAAACTATTACTCAGAGGGTTGACGGTTGAGTCACAAACTCCGGCTGGAGTATTTTAAAGCCAATAGCGTACAATACATTATTTTGAAGCATTCTGGAAAGTCCGCCTTAGCAATGGGGCTCCACAAGGATAGTCACTTGCGCCTTAACTACATAATATGAAAAAAATGGAAAAGCCACGGAAGTAGAACTGCTCGATGGAGTCTAAAAGAACAGAAAGGAAGGAACTAAAAAATGAGCAGCTCTGAGGAAGCACGGAAACGCATAGAAGGTCCCTCCCTGCTTTTCACTAGTTGAGGAAAAGTCTATTGAAAAATGATACAGAATGTTTAACAAAAAGTATGTACGCAAGTCCACTAGTAACTCACATTGAAAGCGCAATTGCAAAACAATAATTTTCGCAATCACTTAATTTTCAGCACCAAGTTCTGGGGATTTTTCTACAGGACGTAGCATCCGTTTCCTGTTGGTAATTTCCTATCAAAATGAGCATAGGTTTCGTAGAATGGGAATGCATACGTTTGATAAACATCGGCAAACGTTCTAAAGAAAGCTTTGCACCTTTCATTCATAAAATCGCTTCCGTTATTATTCATCGACGGCCTTCCCAATGCAGTTCTACATTACTCAATACAGGTCTGCCCAAACAATGACAGTTTCTACGACACGAAAGTAAATACCGTTAGGCAAAACTTCAGAAAAGTTTCCCAGTTTGTTAAATTATTAATTACAAGAGCATGCTAACATTGTCATGAACAATGTTCTTTAAATTACCGTTAACAAATTAATCTTAGTTGCCTAGAGTGAAGATAGCTTCCTCTAAATGAAACTGACTGTGCACTAGTAGCTATGCGGTACAACTACCAACTGTTTATTCGCACAATGCTTATGACGTAATATCATTGGCTGCATACAAGATGGCTGGATTGAAAATGAAGATGAGAAGGTGAATCAGACTGGCGATTGATTAAATGTGGTGGATGCGGAGATTAATAAAGGGCAAAACTTTAATGCACTAAAAAATGATCAAACATCTAAGCACACGTTCTTCCAACTATTGCTGGAAATTTCCAAACGATCCAAAAATTTCGAATGAAGCATAGCGTAAAGTCGCAAGGCAAAAAATATCACAAACTTTGCAATCTTTTTTAAAACAGTGTGAAAAAGAAGGAGGATAAACAAGAAATTAGATAAACAAAAATTAACAACTATCAAAGAATGGGGCCAATTATACGTTTGCAGCTCCACAGATTTTTCCGATTGAAGTTGACAGATTTTTAAGAATTTATCGAAGAGTTGACGTATGTTGGGTCCTTTGGTTTCACTTGCAACCCTTCTTCATTCATAAATTTGAATTTAACGTATTGGATTCTCGCCGTCTTTCTGCTTTGTTCCTGTCTATTACCTTGTTATCCAAACTAATTGCAAGATTCACAAAACCTGGCGGACAGCCTTTCCAGTGCATCTTCCTTCTTACATAGGCAAAGATAGGAATTTTCAGTAAGAAAATAACACCAGAAACATTGCTTCCAATTTTGAATCTATAGAACTTCTTAATTCTAATGAGAGGTATCAACATATAAAGTGGCTAATGTGCAAAATAGGCAACTATGAAATAATTTTCTGTGCAGTATCGTAAAGGAAAATATATTCTAAAAAGTAGCGAAGAATCTTCCGAAAGAAATGAATGTTTCTAAGCTAGCATGAAGCTGTTGGTGCAAGTAAAGTGGATATCTTCAAAACTACTTTCTAAGACTCTAAAAAAAGGCTAAAACTACTAAACTAATTTTATATGAACCTATACATGAGAAACTCAAGTGGCCTTATAGAGTTCTCAAAACAATGATTTTGAAATTTGATCCCATAGTCCGAAAAAGCATCATGAAATACCTCGAAATATGTAAAATCAGTTAAATGTGTTACGAATTGGCTGAGATATGCCGACATGGACACAGGCTCTTTCCCCCATCAAACCCTTGTAATTTAGTCTCTCGAAAATGGCTTTGAAAAAAGCAAACATTTCAAAGAATGCTAATAGCTTTCTCGCCCTATTTCGATAACTAGGTACATATTTCCCATCGTGTTCTTTCGGACCCTGACTCTGAAATTTGGTCTCTGTTTATAACTTTATGAACAGAGCGTTCATAACTTTATGAACAGAGGCAGAAATCCGGTAGCAAACTTCAAATTTTCATTGGCCACATCTCACTCAATTTTCTCACTCAATGTCTAACTAATTTTGCATATTCAGAAGTATTTTATGATGCGCTTTAAGCTTTATGTGGTCAAAACTTAAAAGTTCTAAAAATCAGTTGGAAACTCCGATGGAAACTCCTTCCATTATTTTGCCTCAGTAATTTAGGCTTACTTGATCTTAGTTTTGCTGAACTCTGTTTTGCTCAAGGCCCGAATCCAAAATATAAGCAACAGCATGATTTGCCTGCTGTAATCTACATAAAAGACATGCTGGATAGAGGAAAGAAACTCTTCATATAGGTTTGCACAGAATAATTGCGTCTAAGCAACAGAAGTAACTTTCAGGTGAGAACTTTATACCTTAAGGCAAATATTGTCTTATATTAGTTTAATTCAATTAGTACAGTTGCTGTTATCGCTTCGGAATTTTCCTCCATGCTGCATCGCAAAATAATCATATCACAACAGGTGAAGTTCATTCATACTGGGAAGGAGAAATGGACGGCTAGCTTGAGTAGTGACGGGTAGCTGTGCTCTTTTGATCGTCAAATACACTGGTATTCTGAGAGGAAAATTTTGAATTATTTATTGATCCTGCACACCAAATAGAACAACAGCGACTGTATGAAGCCTAATGCCTTCACTATGTGGTTCTGTCGACAAAAGTTACCATAAGTGCATAATCTTCTTCACTTTAGCTGGTATGTAATTGAAATTATTGCCGTCTTCATTAATATGCCTGTCTAATTGTAATGTATGGAACATCACAAGCATATAATGGTTTAAACCATAAGTATTTCAGAAATCTGCATCAATGCAGAGATCGGCTTCAGTGTTAATAAATTTTCCCAAGAGCTTGAAAAGCTTAAGCAATTCAGACTACCAGCAATCCAATTCAGATAAACCAAAATTTTCGGTTCACTGAAATCGTATTGCATTGATTAACAGTTACTCTGGACAGATGAAAATTTATTCCAATGAATCAGTTGCAATATACCTGGTGTTTAAGACAAAATGCAATTAAAAACTGCAATAGAATTTCTTGTAGATTTCAAGGAGGTCTATCTTTAAGAAGCTAGAGGGCAACCAGAATTCAAGGAATTGTTTCAGATACTAAACATGTTATGCTTGAAAAATTCAATATTTTTCAATTTTTTGTAAATAGCCAAGTTTAAAAATAAGCTTGTGAAATTTCCTTATTCTCTGATTTATGCTATTAGAAGTGTAAATATTTCTCTTACCATTAGAATATATACGAACGGATAAATTATTAGGCAGTTAAATTATGAAGGAGCTATCGTCCAAGATTTGTGGATAAAAATCAAGGGACTTTCTTTTCTTTCTTTAACTAGAAAGGCTTGGTAGTTAGGGTCGTGAACTACAGCTAAAAGGTCCGAGGTTCGAGTCCTTGCCACGACGAAACGTTTACTTATAGTGAGTAGAGTCGCCAGCTGTCCGCCGAGGGGTGTATCACTACAAAAATCCTCGTACAACTTGTCAAAAATCCCCCAAAAATCCACTAACATTTTTCAAAAATCCAGAGATCCAAAAAGGAATTCCGAAAATCCAGTCAGACTCTGGTAAGATGATCTGAATGATTCGGTACAGTGAATACAGAGACTTCCCGTTGTTGTTGCTGTTACCGTTCCTCATCATAGTTCCTTGCTGGTTGACAGTCATCTTTGGTAAGACGAGTTCTTGTTCCAGTCGTCCCTTTATTTTTGTGCGCCAACAATCCCTTCATTGACAAAAAAAACGTAAAAAGAGCTACCAACCCTTGATTTTACAAAAATCTCGGCACCGCAGATGCGCAACGTAACGAGAACGTAACATTGGAAACCCTGGAGACCAGCGCCTCTTTAGGAGAAAAGATGATCCTTCCAAGTCATTGTTAGGGAGAATACTATCGTTTTCGTGCTTAAAAGGCAATAAAAGGGTAAGAGTTAAGCTACCAAGAAAAATAGAGCCAAACCACAATTGAAACTTTTCAACCATGATAAGATGACAAAATGCTCTAAAAACTTTAACGCAACTCGATCGAGTCATTGTATGAAACCTCCTTTGTGGAATAGCTAAAAGGTCCATTAAGTAATATGTGATTTAATGAAAGTGCCACAACTTGATATCGTTGGAATGAAGATAGAATGGTCTTTCAAATGGTATGCGTCAAATGAATTCAAATTTCATCATTTTTTGAAGAATCCCGAAGAAAGGTGGGCGGAGTGTTTTGACACCCTGTCCGGTATGTGTCAAATGAATTCAAACGTCATCATTTTCTGAAGAATCCCGAAAAAGTGTTTTGACACCCTGTCCACTCTGCAGTTAGCGTTATGCTTTTGCTTTAGTTGCTTCGTTGAGTTATGTTTTGAAGTCTAAAGGACATGGCTGAATAACTGTTTTGGCAAGTTCTTCTCACAAAACTGTAGGAATCAATAAAATGTGCCAATTAGTGGTTTTCATTTCCAGTTCCGGTTTAGCAGATTTATCTTTCTTATAAATACCTTCAATTCAAATTGTACTATCACCTGCACAGTTACACAATTCGTTTTAGGATAAGCAATTTGTCATTGAAAAGAAAGGGACCAAAAACAGAACCTTGCGGAGCCACTTCTATTATTTACTTTGTTTTCGCTTAGAATAACTTATTGTCTTAAACCTGTCTTCTTTTAATTTTAATTCTTTTCGTCTGTTCTATCAAATAAGGCATCGAAACTACGTCGAATCTTTATTAATGGTAGAATATATAAGCAGTTTTCCCCAGAAAACATATTTCATCATTGGTGCCTTTGTAAATAGTTCTATTGGCAGCCTGATAATAAAACTGAACGTGCAGCTTCCATTCCTCGAGAACAGATAACTCCTTGACTTACTCACCTATGAAAGCATTCTCATACACAGGAATAGACCTTCACTTTATTCCCAGCGTCATCCTTTCTCATAACTTTATTCTGACTTTCTTTCTCCTGCTTTCATTCTTCTGTTCTCCCTTCTTTTCCCCCTAAATTGTTTATCTCTTCTTTTACGACCCGATTGCTTCTCCCGCGCACTGTTAGGACACATGATTTATGATCCCTATTGTGTACTCCTTTCCAACTCACGTAAAACTGTGTGCTTTTGTATATACTTCACTGAAGATGACTCTAGCTAGAGTCGAAACGTCTTTAACTGATTATGTCCTACTAATTATTTCCTACTGATTATGTCCTTTTGACTATGTCATACTGATTGAAATGTCGAAGTACAACTAAACAAGATTTCCCTTTTCCCTATTCATTTGACCCTTTTCCCTTATTGAGTCATTTGACCCTTTTGCCTATCCTTAATCATTTGACCCTCTGAGACTTTGGTACCCAGAGTATGCGGCCATATACAACTCTGTTCCAAAATAGATGCAGTTACATAACTCTGTATACTGTGCAGGGCTACAGCCAGCATCTAACCATGATTACCTGAGATTATACCTAGATTACTTTAGATTATACCTAGATTACTTTAGATTATAACTAGATTACCTGAGATTATAACTAGAAAGTAACCGGTTTTTCTTTTCTTAGGGATGTTAGTGATGCTTTATGAAGGTGTAGCCAAAGGGTTGTTCGATATCACTTTGACTAGAGATGGCTTTGTCCCCAGTACTGCGTCATCATTGGTCGTCAAGGAGCAGCGCGGAGAAGGTAGGTGCACTAGAATTCCACAGTTCCTTTGCGACCCCAGTCTCGCTCCCTTCCTTTTTACTCTTGTTCGCTCTTTAAGCCTGAAAAGATCTTCGTGGCACAAAAACCTCACTGAAGCCCTGCTGACACGCAGACAGGCACACAAACCTGCTCATTCCATCTCTCGTATTCCATCCACGTTTAGGACATCTCTCAAAGGGGGGGGGGAGGGGAGGGGGTAGGTGTCAATGGTGATGTCCTAAACGTTCTGAAGTGCTAGTTTCTTGCAAATTCACAGTAGAGATCTTGATAACACTGTATCAAATCCTTTCACTTTATTAATACATTCATATAAACTACATATCGATATTTAAGGTTGGTTTCCATAAAAATTAAATCAAAATTCAACGAATGGGTTTACGTTCTTAAAAAGTTTACCACACTTTGGTGATCCAAACTTCCGTGTATAGATGTAATTATGATTCTTATATGACAATATCTGAGACGGTCCCAATGGGTGAGTGTTTAATAACCTCAGAGTTGGAACTACCAAATATAAATGTTAAAGATATAGTTTGACAAGAGAAGGTCGTTAGTGTGCGTGATAAAGAACTGTAAATACAAAGAAAAGTCTTGGTTTAGTTTTTTGAGCATCGAGTTTCTTTGAATCTCGTTTGCAAGCCGAATGGCAGACAAGTGTAGGATCTTCGGTGTTGATTCACAGCTTATAAAAAATAGGCCGGTTGTGCATAAGCTAGCAAAGGGCCCGTCATGGCTTTTGGCGGGCCAGATCTGAGAACTTATCTACATGAATGATCTGATAATAAGTTGAGTTGAGCCAAAACGGGGTTGAGCCAAAATTTCCTTATCCATCTCAGAAGCTATAGTCATGAAAGACAAAAGCGCCGAAAGATGATAAAAGCCAATACCCAGTTCTTTTAATATTTTTGTTCAAGTTGTTTCTTTGGAGGCATTAACACGTATATTTACAAATTTTGTTGAAGTGGCTTCAAGAAAATTTAAAAAAATTCATAGAAGCTCAGCGTCTAAACCCCCATTGATGTTAAGCTAATACAGGCAAGAAAGTCAATTTAACATGAGCAACTAGGGGTGAAAATGGACAAAAACCTGACTATTTCAAACCATCTCGAAAACAACGAGGAAATGGCGACAGTCTGGGACAATGTAACTCTGGGACCAAGCAAACGACCTATTTACTGCCATTGGTTACTGACGTCCCCCTTCTGCCTCCTTAAACGAGCTGAACACATTAATCGCCACAACTTACATCACTACCACTTACCGATACCGTCCCACCTCAAAAAGACCAGTATAATCATCGAACCCCCGTGTAATATAAATTGCTAACAGGTCTGTCATAAAATGCTCGGTGTCGTAGAGGCAGAGCTGTACACGCTTTCATAGGCGTAGACTTGCATTTTTTTCAGAGGGGGCTCAAAAAATTAATGACAATTCCTAATGGCAGCTGCTGATGTCACAGGATAAAAAGTTGATTAGCTAAAGGTTTAAAGGTGATTTTTCCGTGCATTTTCCATTATCGAGGAAGAAGAAAAACACAATCTGACCTTATGTTCACAATAATTTCATCCTTTACTTTGCTGTAAACGAAAATATCTAACGCAACAAATCTTATGCGTGAAACCAATAATATAACAAATTAATCTCAAAGTTGGTAAAGCACTTCCTTATTTTCCAGGGGGTCTCAGCCCCCCTCGGTTTTCGTCAGGAGGGGCTGAAGCCCCAGAGCCCCCTTAAGTTTACGCCTATGCACGCTTTTGTGTATGAGATAGAACGATTTTAGTTGCTACTCAAAGTTTCACGCTACTTAAGGTTATAGTAAACCTTTCTGACACGATACTTGGTTTTCTCTCCCTAAAAGCAAAACTATTAACGGAATCAGATTAAACTATACATCATTCGATGCGCAAGAATATGGTGATTCTAACCATATCAAAATAATTGGCAAAAGATTGTAAAAGATACTTTCCAGGCAAATTTATTGCTTAAATGAGTGTACCACCTTCAAAAGCTTTTTTATACCCTTGCCTTTGAGGTACCAAAATCTGACTTACATCAGCAAAAAGCGCAGATCCTTAGCTACCAAACTGTGTCTCAGATTTATCAAATTCCACCCCCTTTGAAACTATACCCTGTCAAAAATTGGCAAAAAAACTTTCTTCTCTCTCATAGCTGCATTTGGCTATAAAAGACGGACCAGAGCAAATATAAAAATTTTCAGACATTCTTTGCTTACCCGAAATCTGTTCTTGCCGCGTGCAAAGTTTTGAGCCATTCGATTGGTTTCTTGGGTACAAAATAACTTTTTCGTGCCAGCATGTAGAGGGATTGTAAGTCCGGAGAAAACGGGATTTTACTGATCGCACTTGCAAGGTACAGAGTGTATTCCGGGTCAAGTCACTTGAAGCTTTAAGATCAATAAGCCTGTTTAAATTGGATACATGGATGTGCCATGCGATATTGTAAATGAGACATGCGACCACAACTGCAAAGCAACGATATTCGGCTTAACAGGTCAACAGATTTAAAAGTTCTGATAAAGAAATTATGGAAACCTTTGTTTACATGGGATTTTTTCCATTTTCAAAATTTCTGTTTGTTTCAAATTTGGTATCATTGTGTGCCTTGAAAGTTCGGCTACTTGAATGTGAAAAAATCGAAAAATTATGTTTTCATCCAGAAAACGTTTATCGTAGCATAAACGGGACGTCGTTAGTTTTGCAGCGTGAAACTCGATGTAGCAACTTAGAACCGTCCTGTTCTACACATCAAAAGCATCCCCCGTGTATGCAATAATATCCTGTAATTTGCACACCATAAAATGTACCCAACCTTATAGCGCGTGCGCTTATAAATAGTAAACCAAGATTTCAAATGCGCTGAAAAGAAAGTTTAAAACAACAAAAATTGCATGGGTAATGTTTCAAAGAAACTGGATATTTCAACATTTATTCAATAAATACTTCATCAGAATCAGAATCATTATTAATGATCATTAGTTTCTTATTCAGCTGTTCTTCATCAAGGTTGTCTTCGTCATCATGCCAATTTGTACTCAAAGCACAATTTAAAGAAAGTGATAATGCAAGAAAAGTAGCTTCAAACGTCATTGCTGTTTTCTGTTTTTTCATCTTTCTCGCGAAACCGTAAGATTAAGGTCCACTTTTAAGCTCACTGCGCTGCGCCTATATCCGGATATAAGCGCATGCACCTTTAAATGAGGTGCGCCTATAAGAGGGGTATTAGGGTGAATACATTCACAATTTTCTATTCTTCCAGAGCCTTACATGACAATCAAGATGAAGTGTTTTTACTGCGATGATGAAGATTATGGTGGAACATGGCAGAGAATAACAAGCGATTTGAAGTGCCAGACTGGTCTCTTTGACACGTGTTTTAAAAACAGGACAATCGCAAACCGACATGAGACCCATGTGCTGGCACTGCATAATTATTGCACAGTCGATCGCTGTTCATGTAATGATAACAACGGTTGGTGTTCAAGCATTAATTGTGGGGATATAAACATCAAATGTTGTCTAGATATTGGTGGTGACTCGATGATTTGTTGAAAATGAATGTACTTTTTTAGATATTTAAAGATTAAATAAAACAAATAAGAAGCAGTTACGATTAATTAGAAACTGAATTAACAGAATAACTGAAATACGATAAGATCGTTCAAAGTTCTGTTTATTCTTGGTATCTGGTAGACAGTTTTTCGAATTTGCCACATCTTTCTTGGATTTCGCAACATTTCACTTGGAATTCGTTAAACATTTCTTGGAATATGCTACACCTTTCTTGGAAGTCGTAACATTTTTCTTGGAATTCGGTACATATCTTTGGGAATTTTTAACACCCCCCCCCCCATTCGTTTGTAACATATCTATGCATGATTTTTAATCCCATTAAACAATTGGCGATGAAAATGAGCAGCTTGTAAAGATTATTTATTCCATCGGCCTCAAACTAAGCAAGGCAAATGAGGCGAAGCAACGAAAAATAAGGCAAAGAAATGGTCAAAGAACGTAGAATTTGCACATTTCAAAATTTTGTACCTGTTGGCATTAAAAAGATTCTGAGTGTCGTGTTGCTACAAGAAATCTTCTAGCAAAGCTGATCGGTCAAAATAAATATATAATGGCGAGCAAGACAGACGGTTGAATGAAAAGCAAACAAATTATGCATCGTTTAGATTTACAAGAGATTCCGAAATTCAGTTCAGTTCAGTTCAGTTTTGATTTTAAAATTCCACTACATACAAAAATCTTTCTAAAATACATACAATTAACTAGAATAACAAATTAAAACAGATGACAAAAAATTACAAAATTTTACAATAAGAGTACATAGAATTTCGCATGGAGAGGAATTTCTTAAGGAGGAGCTCTCTCAGTAGGTAGACTAATCGAGGAGAGAGCACCCCCTAAGCTAAAAACTTATCATTCAATTTATGAAATCTTCTAGTGATTCGATTGATCAATGTAAGGAAGAATTATCTTATCAAGGTATTCAGAATTGGTACTTAGTTGAGAACAGATGCAATTTCAGATCACGACGGAAAATCACTACTGAAGTAGATTGTTTAATATTGGATGGAATGTCGTTCCAGGATTTAGCGCCTGCATATTTAATAGATCGTAAGCCATATTGCAAAGTATTCTTGCGCGTCATAAAAATATCACCTTTGCGAGCCTGCCTTGTATCATATTGATGAACGGTAGACAAAGTTTCAAAAAAATTATGGAAGAAGGTAGGAGAAATCAGGTGAACAGATTCATACACAAAGATAAGTAGCTTGAAGTGAAATAAATCATTTAACTTTAGAATTTTCAATTCAGAGAAAATAGGTGTAGATGGTGATGTAAAATTCTTGAAAGCAATAGCCCTAACAATTCTCTTTTGTAGAAGGTAAATCGGTTTGATGTGGATGTCATAGGTAAGACGACAGACAATGATTCCATACTGAAGAAAAGAGGCAAATAAAGAGTAATACAAAGAAACTAGGGCACTAGTAGGCAGAAGATGCCTTATTTTGAAGAATATACCACTAGTTCTTGCTAACTTCTTTGAAAGTTCGTTCAAGTGATATTTCCAGTTGAGGTTTTCGTCCAAAAGGAGACCAAGAAACTTAACATATTTAGCCTGATTAACATGCTGCTTACCAATCTTAATGTTGACAGTTTTATCTAAAGAATTTTGAGGAGAATGGAAGATGACAAAGCTTGTTTTGTCTATATTTAATGCAAGTTTATTAGCATCAAGCCATTTTTTAACATTCTTAAGTTCTTTGTTTACTACTTTCTCTAGTTTACTAAGATTGTCAGATTCAAAGTATATGTTTGTGTCATCAGCAAAAAGATAGAAAGATAGCTTGTTTGAGGAGTTTGGAAGGTCATTAATGTAGATGAGAAAAAGAAGTGGACCAAGGACAGAGCCCTGGGGAACACCACAAGTAACATTAAGATGACTAGAGTTCTGGCCATTTACAGATACATACTGACTTCTATTGCTAAGATAAGAGCTAAACCATGCCAAAGCAGTACCTCGTACACCATAATGTTCAAGTTTATTGAGGAGAATCTGGTGATTGACTGTATCAAAAGCTTTTTGTAGGTCAATAAAGATTCCACATCCAAAGTGTTTATTGTCTAGGGAATTTTTAATATATTCTGTTAGACTAATCAAGGCATGATTTGTTGAATGAGAAGCACGAAAACCAAACTGAAGGTTGAACAAGATTTCATGAACTTCTAAGAAATTGTATAAGCGCTTGTACATAAGTTTCTCTAAAATTTTACTGAAAACTGACAAGAGAGATATTGGTCTGTAGTTAGAAACTGTTACAGGACAGCCTTTTTTGAATAAACGTATGACTTTTGCATGCTGCATTTTTTCAGGAAAAATACCAGATTGGAATGATTCATTAATAATATGGGACAGAGGAGAAGAAATATGTGGAGACAGAATTTTTAGTAACTTTATGGGTATAATATTGTGGCTTAAGGATTTGCCAGTTTTTAACGCACCAATTATATGTGATATTTCATAAGGGGCTGAAGGGGTTATAAAAAATGAGCTGGGATTTTCATTATCAAGATAATCTAAGGGGGATTTTGGTGACCTAGGTATTCTTTTTGTGACACCATCTGCTACATTGACAAAAAAATTGTTGAAAATAGTAGCAATTTTTGCAGAATCTGTTGTTAGATTTCCATTTGCATTTTTGAGCTTGTTTATGACATTTACTCGATAATTTTTAACACTAATGATTGACTAAATGCCAGTCCACAAAAGCTTCATGTTTTTGCTGTTTTCATTAAAATAATTGTGAAAATAATTGGCTTTGCTTTTTTTAAGCTCTATGGCAATTCTGTTTCTAAACTTTTTGTATAGAAGGCTTTGGGAAGCATCAGGTTTTTTCCTTAGCTTTTTGAGGATATTGCCCTCAGGCGCATCATTTTTTGGATTCTGCTGTTTATCCATGGCTTATTTCTTAATTTCAAATCTCTTTTAGTTAGTTTTTTTAATGGAGCATGATTCCTGACAATTTCATCAAGAGTAGTAAGAAATCTATTAAATTTTGCATTGACATCAGTCTGACTGTCATTTAAGTACTCAAGGTTAAGGCTGTTAAAATCTGTATAAAACCGTTCTTCATCAAATTTTGAGTAATCATGCTTATAGTATGACAAAGTTTTGTTGGTGATACCTGCTTTTTGAACGATCAAAAACTGAGGAAAATGATCTGCTATTTGAGTAAGGATATTACCACTTCTGGTGTTAAAATTGCAAACATTGGAAAAAATATTATCAATAATGTTAGAAGAATGGTCAGATACCCGTGTTGGATGGATTATAAATGGAAGGAAGTGTTGAGAAAGAAGAAGAGTTACAAAGTCCTTTGTAGGAGAATGGGAGTCATAATTTAGTAAGTTGATGTTGAAATCACCTAAGATGAAGATCTGCTTATTTGCAACAGAGGGGCAAGATAAAGTCTTTTGAATATAGTCCGTGAAATTTTCAATTTCAGTACTAGGGTGGCGATATGCACAACAGATCAGAATATTGCTTTCCTTGGAAGTTTCAATTTCAGCCCATACTGTCTCATAGTCCTCACTGTCATTATCCAAGTCAGGCCTTGGAACAGGGCCCAAACAGGTTTTAATATAAAGACCAACACCACCATTTTGACTTTGAGATTTAGAAGAGAGAAACGTGTAACCGGGGATGTCAACGTTAGTGCTCAAAAGCCTTTCAAATGAATCCCAGGTTTCAGAAACAGCAACAACATCGAAGCCAATATTGAAGTTGGATAGCAGAGTCTGAAGCTCATCAAAATGACAGGAAAGGCTTCTTATATGAAGGAAGGAAAGATCATTGTGAGAAGTATCAGTGGTAGATAAATCTTGAATAGTATGATAACTAGAGTCAATATTAGATAGTAAGTGTTCATCAATATCATAGTCTTTCAGGTTAGGCAAGTTAGTAAAATGAGAGGTGATTTCAAATGACGGTAATGCGTCAACAACAGAAGGTTTGTCAAATCAAAAAGATTTGATAATGTTTCATTTTTAATTAAGCCAAAAGGAAAAGCAGATGCATGATATTCTATTGTGCAATTGATACAGAACCATGGACCACCAGGTTCTTTCGTAAGAGCTTCATATTCTGAAAGAGAAATGTTATTGCATTTCATATGGTGCCAAAATTTGCAAGCCTTACAGAGAATGCCACTTTTGTTCACGTTTTTGTGGCAGATGCCACATGGATATTTTGGAGTTCTAACCAATAATTACATTCAAATGAACTAAACTGAAAGAAACACAACTTTAATTGAATGACAGGCCTTGAAGTTTTACTTTTAGTCCTTGAAAGTTTTTGTGACAAATCATTGAAGAACATGATTCACTTTGGTTTCACTTGACGTGCCTTCTTCACAATCATTTCTTTTGTTTTCCAAGATCACAGCTTTGCAACAATGGGCCTTGGTTTAGGCTTCTGGTTGGTGTCATTAATCCATCTATGACCTTTCTCATTCTTTTGAAAACGACCGACACGGTGTGCCCTTTCTATTTCAAAATCATCAGAGACACCAAGCTCAGATTTTTACCAAAAGCCTTGACTTTCTTTTCAGTTTCATCCCAGGATTTTTCACCAGGACTCTCGGGGACGCCAAGGATTTTCAGGTTATTTCTTCTGGGCTGATTTTCCAGATATTCAGTGTAGTCAGCGATGTCCTCAAAACCTTCATTCACATAATGCTCAAATCGATCTACATTTTGTGCTAAGTTCGTTACTGCAGCCGCATTTGCTTTCGTCTCAACTTTTATTGAATCGTTATCATTGCTCAGAAATGAAATTGATTTGACAACATCATTAAGATCTTTCCTCAGGTCTTTAATTTCTGATTTGACGTCGTTCATAAATAACTGGAGCGAAGAGCGATAGGCCCGATCTTGTATTTCCATCATCTGCTTGAGTATACCAGGTGTGATAGGATCTTTATTATCCATGACTTAATTATTAAATGTATACCTTCCTGAACGTATTTTATTAAAATTTTGAATTCTAACAACATTAAATCACTAACAAAACTTTACGAGGCGCAATAGGCAAGTTTGATTTTACCCCGTGGGAGATTGCATCTGTCCGCCATTTTGTTAGCCTCGTGCCCTGCAGAAGACTTAAATTGACTCTGAGACCGAGTCTATTCAGGCTGAAGGCTTAGCAGCTTTCCTTCCAAGGTAAAGATTTAAATCTTAAAATTGTTTGGTCACACTATAATTTATTCTATAGAAAATGTTAGGTAAAACAAGTTTCACAAAGCTCTCACAGAAAGCTCTTATTGACTGGCGCTTTCCAAAGTTATTTTCTTCCTACATTTATCAACAATTAACATACTCCATCTGTCTGTTCGCACAAGTATTAATATTCCTGTGAATGTTTACTGAAGTTCCCGCTCACAGATATTTTTGCTTTGTAATTACAGTTCCACTTTCCCAGTCTTATTTCGTCTAGCATGTTGGTACCACAGACGCTGCTAAGAACATTCAAAATATTCTAATTTGTTTTTGTAGTAAATTGTATGTTCTTTTGCAATCTTGCTGTCATATAAACAAAAATACTTTTGCCTCATATTTATTTGATATTGGAACTGTTCTCCTGGGGAAGCGCGACTTTGTAGACGAAAATAAACTTCTATGGGAGCATTAACTGTTTACAACAGGGCGGCTCACAGTGAATCATATGAAAAATCACTGAATGAAAAAACCTTTATTACAGCGCAATTTCGCAAAATCTTGAGAGCTCTCAGAACTGTAAGGAAATCCATAATTATAAGAAATACTATTTTGAACACAGACTGATTTTTCTTCGTTTTGTGACAACACTCAATTCTGTTTTGAAAATCGATTTATCCAGTATATTCTTTCGAAAACAAAGTATATCTTTACATATGCAATGTAAAACGAGTTTTGGTAATTTTTTTGTCGCATGGCTCATAGAATGTTCGTGGGCTTTGAGGATGCAGTCTGAAGATCGACTCGACCAATAAGCTGCCGTGACTAAATTGGGCAGCGCCCTTATAGGACAAAACCTTCCTTCTATTATAACTCGCCTTAGAAGTAGATTTAATTATACATGAATATGGAGCATATCAAAATTGTTTTTTAACTAAATTTTGCTTAACTTCACAAACATAGCTACCAGTGGCGGACACTTGGGGGGGCGAGGGGGGGGGGCGACGGCCCCCCAATACTTTAGAGGACAATGGTATTTTGTTCGAAAACAATGGGAAATGTGACGTCATCTTATTAAAACAATAGGCTTGCCCCCCCCCAATATTTGACCAATTGTCCGCCCCTGATAGCTACAGTAAATATTTTCTTGACGAGGACTCGATATCTTTTCGCTGAAATTGTAATGAAAATTACTGTTTACCGGTCTGTCATAAATTGCCCGATACCGCACAGGTAAAGCTGTACACTCTATTTTGTGTATAGAACAGGATTGTTTTAAGGTGCTACTCCAGGGTTCACGCTTATCATCAGGCCACTGTTTACCTAAATTATTTGTTTTTTAACTAAATTTTGCTTTACTTCAAAAATATTGCTACAGTAAATGTCTTTTTGAGAAGGAAAGCAACTCAACTCGATATCTCTGTATATATATTCTGCTTGTCTGAAAGGTCGATTTTCTTCCAAAAATATGAAAAATATTCACCTCCCGTGATTAAAATAATTATAAACCATACATACATGCAACCTTCAAGTACAAAGTTTTATAGTGTTATCAGCACCGGCTGTAAAAATCCATGGCTGCGAGGGATGGAATACGCAGTCTGTAACACCTTAAAGAAAATTATGGAAGACATTTTAATTTTGGATTAAAATAACAGAAATTTCACAAGTGCGAAAACCAACCATGTGATCAAGCAGTTGCCGGAGGTATTCAGTCGACCATATTCTGGAGGAAACGTTTCATAAAAAGCAATTTTGCTTGTCTGTCATTTACTTGTGAAGAAAAACATACCATAATATCGGATATTAAAGTATGTTTTTAAAATATTAACTTAAATTATCTTTTGGTTTCTTATCTTATACATAAATTAAAAACCTTACAATAAACTAAATTAAGGCTTGATGAGTTGACATCTCTTGTAGGAATACATTTTATATATGGTTTCTACCCATCTACCCAATTGACCAAAACAACCATCTCAAACGTCTATCGATCAATAAAGAAAATATCGCTTTGTAATTTCCCACGAAAAAATAAAAAATCGAGCTATTTTTTACCAGTTTCAACATTAGCAGTGAGGCGATACTAGTACTCCCTAACTGCAATGCAAGCCTTCAAAACGATGACTTCAAGATCTCCTAAAGCCATGGATGCTAGCGTTGTTTTCATAAATAGACAACAGAATAAAAGATATAGCATTACATACCGATATCTCCATTAGGCGTATGACACCGAATGACCTTCACTGGGACTATGAGAGGATTTTGCATGTAGTCACTGAAAAATGAGATAAGAAACTTCAATCTTAAGAAACATTAGTATCTGGTTCCTAATCTTATCTATATCTGAAATAATTAGAAAAACAAAATAGAGGCCTACAACGTAACTGAACTATAATTCTATCAATTGCACAACAAGTGTTTTGACTGTAGTTCGGAAGTGAATCATCTTAAGAACGTTATGTTACTCCTCTATAGAACATTGACAGGCGAAAGTTGTGTAGCATTAACACAGATGTAAGTGCTGTTATCAATTGCTCTTTCAATGGCAAAACATCAGCACTATAGAACAGCATGAATTGAAGATCAAAGATCGTAGGTCGGGAATGAGAGAATAACCTTTGACATTTTACTTGCTGATCGAAGGTCAAAAATCAAAGGTTACATGAACCGCAGATGACAGATTTTGAATACTTACAGCATCAAGGTAAACAGGGAAAAGAAAATAGAGAAGACATTAAACATGAATATAACCTGAAGACTTTTCCGTGACAGATAATCACGGATCCATCATCACTAGCTGATGCAAACAATGGGTATCGTTGGTGGTATTTGACTTGTCGCACAGCTTTCTTGTGGTGCCTAAAAATAAGAGACAATTCTTGCTCTTTACAAGAGTGTAATGTACAAGATTTACTGAGAACTGCAAGGAGGAACTTATAGTCCCAACTTTTTAGACAAAATTCAAGAGTAATGACTGAAGAATAAAAAACAAAATTAAAACTTACCTTAGCGTTTTGTAAGGCTTTGCAGACAAATCAATATCAAACCAACATAGTCTTTTGTCATAACTTCCAATTATTAAGTTGTCGCCTACAAGATTGACATTGGTGTTTAACTCTGATAGGAAAATTCATAAACGAACTCAAAGCATGGCAACGGGGTGGGAACTAAATCTATGACATATTGGATGAGAGTAGTAAAATCAGACAGTTAAGGAAGACATGCAACCAAATCAGTTAAAAGCATGAGCTGTCTAGAAGCTAAAAGATTGTATAGGGTAAAAGTAAGAAAAAATTGTCGTGATACAGTGATATAGAAAGCTTACATAGAACAAAAAACAATTTTGCAGAGAAATAAGAAAACTGTGAAGTTAGAAAGGCAGGCAAATTGAAAAGAAACTCATTCACATACACAAATACTGCCAAAGTTAAAGATAAAGATCACCAAGCAATGGAGACGAATATCTTGAAATGCAAAATGCCTTTATACCTTGCGGGTGGACATCCATACTGGAGATCCATTTGACACCAGAAGCAAGTTTTTTTATCAACTCTTGCTTTTGAAGGTGATAGATACGTATAAAGCTTTGCGTCTGTAAAAAGAGCAAACAAAAGTAAAAAAAAGACAACTGTATTTAACATCTTCAAACCCAATGTAACACCTTTAATTGCCTTGGAATTGGAAAAAATTATTTGATCTTAAATGGCTTGTTTACCTCTCGCTTGGTTATGAATAAAGTTATTTCAAATCTACGATTATAGAGACAAAAATACCAACAACAGCGTCAAGCTTACAGTTACAACTAACAATGGTATAGGTGTCCTAGATTAGAGTGAAAACATCGGGCTCATCAAGGCTCGTTATCTAGTTTACAAAGTGCATCAACGAACCACAGCAAAACAATAAACAAAGCCCTGATACACTCCAATGTTGTATATGGCGAACCAAGAAGATCTCCCTTGAGGGTTAAAGATTTATTAAATCGCAGTTTGCTTCGAAAAACTAAAAGAAGTCGCTAAGTGATAACTCAATAAAAATCGAGTTTGTTCTATACCATAATATAAAACCTGTTAACCCAGTTGTGTACAAAAAACGTTAAATCTGTTACAATTTAGATGAGATGTTACCAGTTTAAGACCCGATCTTTACTAGGAATTTCTCTTGTCTCGGAAATAGAATATTAAAACCAAAAGTAACCCGTGCCTATCTGGCAAAATCTCAGCCAACTTTGATTAGGTTTAGCATTTTTTTCAAATGGAGAGGAACTCCATAATATGCTCTTTCAGGTATAAATTCAAAATGGGCAAAATCAAATTTCGTGACCTCATCGGTATTATATGGAATGGATCCAGTGTAAATAAGGCCTCGTATTTTGTTGTATCCTTAATTCATGAAAAAAACAAGAGAGACCAATAACAAGGGCTTGTACTCACTGCTACGTAAAGGAACGGCTTGATTGGATGAAACTGGACACATTGGACAAGACCTCCTGGTTTTTTGAATGGCATCTGTATCAAAATAAATCAATAATTTTGTAAGAGCATAGCTTACTAGGTGGTGATACCCGCCGCTAAGTGCAGATTCCTGTTACTATATACTGTCGAGTGAACAGAGGACGGATGTTAAGCAAGGAAGTGAGAATGGAGACGATCCTGGTACAGTAAAGAAGATCCCTAGCAACTCGGTGAAATAGCCACCGTGCAGCATGTCAACGTCCAGTCAAGATTACGTGGGTTTTAAGAGTTTCTTCATGTCTGTTAAACAATTAAAGACTGTTATAAACTATCAGGGTTTTCTATACACGGTTATATTGAAGGGAAGACTATTAACATGACATAAACAAGCCACGTGATTACGTATTGTCAAGTTACAGAATAACATGAAGTTAGAGGAAGATAGGGATAAGGCAGAGCATGGCCCTTAAGACCTGTCTTCTAGGCAAGTGACTGACCCCAGGATATATCTAGAAGTTCACTAAAAGCAGATTAAAAAGAAAAGAATGACAATTTCTATACGGAATTTCACACAGCTGGCAGGATAAGTTCCCTAGGCGTGTTAAATACTTGCAACCTATATACCACATCTTCTTCAAGATTCTGAATTCTATAAAAATGTTTAATAAGTTCCACTTAATTTCTAAACCAAAGAAAAAGCTGAATCGGTGCATGAAATATTTAGTCAAAATATTTTTCTCCCTTTGACAGAATGCTGAGTGCAGAATGCCAATGTTATTTTGAAATTCTCAACCTCTTTCTTACACTGATTTTCGTCTTCAATGCTTGGTTTTTCAATGTAAAAATAGAAACATCTTCTCCTGGACTAATACTAGAGTTTTATAGTTAACCATAACAAGTATTGCAGATGTAGATTGTAGAGGGCGCTAGCCATTTGATACGATCCGTTAGGGTTTCTTTCTTGTTCTTTACAGGTGAAATCTCAGAGTTTGTGCCGGGGGTGAGTTCATGAACCTTTAGCAAATTGTTATGGCCTCTCTGTGGGTATGGCCTCTCTGTGGGTATAGCCTCTGTGTGGGGGTATTTCTTCTTGAATTTTGACTACTTAGACTTAAAATGCCAAAGGAGGGACAAGTTCTTCCTCTTTCCTTATTATGTCGATTGATAATAAAAATTTGATAAATGATATCCTTCATACCTGGCTTTTTCGCTTGGTTATTTGATGAATGACGACTGACTGTGAGCCACCATCAGCCAGTACCAATGCAAAGTAATCACCCTTTTTGTGCCAGGCGCCTTGCTCTATGACCTGAAACAAAAATTAAAGCTTAGAATTGAATTTTCCTACAAAGTTACAGTTCAAGAAGCTTCATCAATATCTACGTTCTTGAAAATGAGGAAGATATTCTTCTCGACTCTCAAAGATGAATGATCCTATCTCTACCAGAAACGAATGCTGAGCCCCGAAATCTTCAAAAACATTCTTTAAAGATAAACATTTTAACGAAGAACAATGTTTTGAACTTAGAAGAACTATAAGATGGAGGGCAATGAGTTCACATGATCTGCTCGATATTGGTGCTAGAGCTTTAGGCTGGTTGGATAAACCGTTGCCTTCTGGCATGGAAGTAAGGTTATTTCTCGCTTGATTCCTATAATGATTAACTTCAATCGAATTGCTAAAGTGATCTTTTCTGCTGCAATCGCTCTCTAAATTTGAATGAGAAGACTCCTTACCTTTTCGTGTGAAATTTGGATTCTCACACCTTGGTTTCTCCTTTGTAGTGGAGGAACTGCCCAAGTTACTTTCTCATTATCTAGAAAATATCAATGGATGATAAACAGCGTGTAATTACATGCAACCGTAGAACTGTAATAAAGCCGAACTCCTAGGGAAAACAGAACTTTTATTCGACTTATCAAGTTTCAACTTATAGAGATAACAAAGATCGTAACATAGTGTGAAGTTCAAGATAGCGGGGGTTTGACTTCTCCGGTAATCAATTTATCAAGAGTTATCTGTAGTACAATAATATAAAATCATAAAACTATTTCATATTAACGGCGAATTTGCGCCAATGGTAGGAAACTTAAAAAAGAAAACGAGCTTTAACCTGGCCAGACATTTCCCAGAACCACTTTTCCTAACGTAGCTGATGGTCATCTAGACACTTAATGAATGATGGGGAGAGGATAGTCAGCTGCAAGGAGTACGAACCTCTGCAGGGGGAGGGAATTCGATAAATCAGGGCATTTGGTCGTGCATACCTTGTGGACGTCCCCGTAATCTTTGGAGATGAATAGAATCTTTGGAGAGTGGTTCAACAATTATACAAACCTTCACTAGTGTTCTCGGAACCGGACAATATATTTTCTGTGTTCTGCGACACCAGCTTGTCTCCCAGATGTGGATTCAATATAAACAACGATTTTCCCCTGAAAATAGGTGCATAATGAAGTTTATACAATAAATCATATTGAAAAAGAATGAAGCATTCTCAGGTAAACAAAATCGAGTTTAACAGTGCTGTTAATAAGAAAATTTCTCTTTTTAGAAATGTGCAAGGGTTCCCACATCTCCATCGCCAAAATAAAATTCAGAGGAATGAATCTATAATCTGAAATATACAAGAATGAAATTAAAGAAAAGGATGCTAGAATATCACTTTGATCTGCCAATTTCTACAGTTCCAAATGTGACAATTTTTTAAGGTAACTTACACGGCAACCGCTATTAGCGAAAACGATGCACTTGGGCTCCATTCTATAAATTTGATTCCGTCCTCAAACTTAATGGTCTTCAAACAACGGCAAGTTGCAACTTCCCATAGGCGGACAGTGTTATCTGCACTACCTACAAGCGAAGACACATCTCAAGTAAAGGACAAGATACCTTCAAAAAAAGACATTAAGTGGAACAGACAACTTTCCTTGAAATCCTATCCTTTGTGAGCAAAAACAAAATATTAAAACCGATGCTGTATTCAAAAAACTGATATGGCGCTATGTTTCGCATTTTAATAAACATTATTGCATTTCGAGTAGATCATGTTTTGCAACAATTGACCATTTTCAAACTTTTCCAGGTGCGTTTCCTTGCATAAATAGAAAGGTTTCCTTCATTTGCCCTTGATAGCATTGCTCCGAATTTCTTATCTGCATTTTGAGAATCTTTCATTGTCAATAATTTGCAGCTATGTTTCTAGAAGAGATTATTTCCCAAACCAGCTCTTCTATTTCTCCCTGTTCCATGAATCCATTACCAAACTTTTATGTTACAAAACACCCCTCCCCCTTCCCTGAGACCATTTATTCAGTAGCTTGTGTTTTTCTGAGATTTTCATCATTTTCCCTGGAGGTCTTTGCCTCGGCATCTCTTAATCTGTTGCTCTCTACCACTTTCAGAGAACAAATTTCAAGATACAAAAACCTTTCCTAAGGGAATCTCTCCACGATTGTAAAGAACTATACCCGTCTCCACGGGGAGACCTCGTGTTTAGCAAGCCTTAAAACTTTCTTAGATTTTACAAAAGCAGTGGCAGACACTTTGGGGGGCGAGGGGTGCGACCGCATCCCCAATACTTTAGAGGACAATGGTCATTTGTTCTAAAACAATGGCAAATGTGACGTCATCTTATATGAACAATAGGCTTGCCCCCCCCTCAATATTTGACCAAGTGTCGGCCCCTGTACATAAGTATTAATTTCTGAGTCGATAGCACAAAAAGTTACAAAAGTAAATTGTGCCATACCCGACGCAAGCCACTGTCCAGTTGGGTCGATAGTTATGCCGTTTACAGGTGCTGTATGTCCATGATAAACCTGCAATTAACAAGACAACACATTTATTCATCAATCTTTGTCTCTAAGCAAATGCAAAGTAACAAACCGAAATGGAAGGAACTTCTTGTTTGAGTAGTCTAGAATTACAGTTCAAACTTGATTTTTCCATCATAGAAAACACGAGGTCGTTCTGTGGAAAGGTACAAAATGCGAGGTCCAAGAACTCTTTGGTTGCACTTTATTAGTCAACTTACCAACGCAACGCTTGATGGGAATGGCTGCAGGTCACGTGGTTTTGGAAGCTTCGGAATCAAATCCTCGGGATCAACTTGTAACTGTAAGAAAAAGAACCTTAAGTTGAGTATTTACAAAAATCACAATAATAAAAGGACGCAGAGAAGTTGGCATAAGAAATTGGCTTGAAATGTAAAGACTTCCCGACAATCTGAATCCCTGCCTAAAGTTATTAAAAAGCCCTGTTACTAAATCGTTCTTTGAAAAACTAAAATTTTCGGCTAAAAGCCGATACTGCAACCCCTCTTCTAAATAATATTGTTTGTCATAAGTATATGATAGGAATCATTTAGAACACTGAAAATATCAATACAATATTTTTTGGAGCAGAAGTGGGAAAATTATATTAAAAATTTCCAAGAGGATACCAACATATCTGAAAGCAATGCTTCATATTAACGAGGTATAACCTCGCATAGATTATTTCATCTAACGAAGGAATCACCCCAGCAACCCCCCCCCCCCCAAACACATTCACTTCGAATGCATCTATTTCGTTTAATGAAAGATATGTCTTTGTGGCATATTAAACAGTTTCTTCGATGTGTATAAAAGTATTCATAACTTTTGCGCTATGAAATATTGAGAGGGCAATTGAATAAAAGGAACTTTCGTAAAAACTTTGCGATTACTTGTTTTTGACATTAAAAACTATTAGTAATAACGTTAAATTACAATAAAACACCGATATAAATATTCCAAAGAAGACAAATGGTAAACATATTTACCCGAACACGCCGTTGACGAGGACATAAATACAAATCGAGACAGCGCTCAAATCGTTCTTCGATGAAATTCGAGTATGCAGGAACCTTTCGTAAACAGTCGTATTTTTTCGGCACGAAATTCCTTTGGCGATCGAGAGGGTCCGTATCTTCCCATTGCTTCAACTGCGGATATAACGAATGTCAATAAAGCAATGTATGATCTAAAATATTGTAAAAATACTCCCTGGAAATTTGGCGGGAACGCTCGTTTCGTTACTCAGCATTTCTGCAAATTCCAATTACGGTAGAACGATGGAGCGTTTTCTCGAAATAATGCTTAGGAATACATGTTTTTTGCTTTTTGCGGCTCTTCTTTCAATAATTGATTTAGGTTGATCGGGCAGAAACTTTTAATTTTCAAAACTTCATGGAGTCTAAACGTAGCAAGAAAGTTATGTCAATTGTCGTCGTTTCCATTGCTCTTGCGTCGTTTCCGCTGCTCGAAACATCGAAACATCGTTTCCGTGACTCAAAAATGATGACCACAAACATTTTTCTGTCGTTTCTACGACCTGTCAATCACGGCAACTCGTTTCCTTTACGACTAAAGATTTCCTGGTCAGACAAGGGGGGATCATATGACCGCATACTATTACTGCGGTACAAACAATTTAGTTCAACATTCTGAAATATCGTTCTGTTTTTATGCAAATTTTTGCGATCTCTGCTTGCTACAAATAGGAATTTAACAAAATTTTCAGACAAGGCTTTCTTATGAAAATCAAAAAAAATATATTGAATAGATTATCTTATGAATAAACAGCAAACAAATGAAAACAAGAACGTAAACAAACCTCTTCCTCAGTCATCAAATATTCTGGCGGTGGGTTATATGATTCGTCGTGTCCTTTGATGGAAGAAAAAATCCATAAATCGCAGCTCGTGACAGTGGCTTGCAGAGGACCTGTCCGAGTATTAAATCCAGTGTTTTGAGCGGCACGGATTCCGCCAAAGAGTATTAGTATTATCTACCTATTCTTCTGCACTTCTCTTAATTTAAAAGCATTGCTTTACACAGCATAGTGGTCTAAAAATTGCATGTAACTGAGGCAGGCCATCATTTTTTTTCGAGCATAAGTTTATTTTCAGGGTATCTGTAATTATAGATAATCGAGTGGAGGGAGATGCTATTGCATCTCTCTTAGATGCTATCTTTTCTTGTGAAAAAAGATTCTGGCAATGAAATTTGGACTATCACGTTGGTAATGTTAGCAAGAGGCCCTGGGGACTTACAGTAAACCCTAACAAAGGCAAGGGGGGGGGGCTAAAAAGACAGGGGTTGAGCAATATACTTATTTCCGTTTTAGAGAGGAAAATAATCTAGAAACCAACAGCGTTCTAAAGCTCTGGGAAAGTGCATTCTACAACTCTAGGAAATACATTCTAATCACAACTTGACAGCAAAGACCATATATGACGGTCTCAAGACTAGCGAAAGGCCTGGAGAATGTGGCGGTGGAAGAAGACAAAAAACAAAAGAAAACACAATATAGACAATTCATTAATTTTAATTTTGTTTGCAAGAAGTCATACCTGGAAGCTTCATCTTTGGCGCTGGCCAGTGCATTGGATGATCTTTCCTTGCCTGAAGAAGTAAAAATTTTCAAGTAACCTTAAAAACTCTTAACATTAATTGGGTATTATATATAAAGTAGCTTGTTGTTAGCAAAAAAGTAAAATACGAGAGTTAAAACTAAAGTTAGGGACAATTACTTGTAAATATCAAACGAGGCAAAATACAGCGAATGAGAGGCTGTTTCAAAAGGTTCCTTAGGAACATATAGAGAAAACAGGCCATAGCCGGTGGCCAAATGAGTACAGGCGGACAATTAGGCTCAAAATAGTGACATTATAAACAAATATAAATGGACAAGAATTAGTGTTAGGGCAAACTGGAGGAAGAAAAAAAGTCAGTCTAAAATATGATATTTAAGGGCCAGTAATTGTTGATGCTTAACGAGCAGTAACCTTTACATGCATGGTACATTCCTCGCCCTTTTTCCTGCCTCTTTCCTCGCCGCCCATAGTACTTTGTAGTTGCCTCTAATAGGCCAGAAAGCGTGCATCCACAAGCTACACGAGCCTGCATTCGACCTTAAAACTATAATAACAATATTCGAGTTTCTAAGCCACGTTTTCATTTCATGATTGGATTTAGCATAAGCTATCAGCGCTGGCTGTTTCATTAAGTACCAGAAAGAGCTTTCAACTTGTATCCTGCAAAACATAGTTTCAAGTACACAAATCAGACGCCGAAACTTTGAAATAGCTGCACACAATCAAAAAGTCAAGCAAAATGACACTACGTTAAATGACATGACGCTTACCGTATCATCATTCCTCCACATCAAGTAAAACTTATTACTTTCTGTTTTCACAGACTTTGGTTTAATCCAACCATTTCTTATCGCACGCACGATCTTGATTATCTGCAACAACACAAGAATGGCATTACATCAAGAAATGTTTTCATCAGCCAAGAAAACTGGGGTATGTTGATTTATGAGCAAATTCACGTAGGTTGCCATCAGTAGCGGCACCACGGGGGGACTGGGGGGACAGGTCTCAGCAGAATCGATTTTGTATTTCGTCAAGATTTGATGAGAAAATGTTGGGGGAGGGGTAATATTTTGACACCGTACTTTTTCAAAAGTTAGTCATAGGCGTTCCCTTCGGATAAAATTGGCGTTTTCTGTTGGTAAAAGGGCGTCTTCTGGTGGTTAAAAGGGGGTAGCTCAATTTTTTTTGGTCTGTCCCCCCCCAGAGCTTAGTGGCTGGCGCCGCCATTCCTTGCCATAACAAGAAACGCTTCTTTACCTAATGGGGATTTCATTAATGCATGTAATAAAAAACTTTCATTCCACTGTACAGGGCCATTATGGTCTGCTTGGCACCTTATTGTTTGCAATCTCTACTTTTGGTCATTCTTACCTTTATGCTTACAAAATGTTTCACAGGAACTGCAGAATAACTGTTAATGATGACCGTTCTAATTTGAAGTAAGGTACTATCCTTAAATCCACAAAGTTGATCATGAAAAAAGGATATTGTGGCGCTTACCCGTTTGTGTTCCCATTTCGATGGAATAAAACTACTTTTTGCTTCCGGATTGTCTTTAATAGGATGGATCATTTTTTCTCCAGTAAACCAATCCACGTATGGCTTAAGAAATTAAAGTGATTCGTTAGCAACATTCCATATTTTTAAAGAAAAAAAAAACAAAAATCTAAACGAAGCAGACATCTGACTAATACCACGCCTTTGCTTCTAGAATGCTTTCTTTTTTATACTTTACAAAGAATAAGATCTGTTTTTAATTCCTCTGTCGTATCATGTTTATCAAATAGATTAGAGCAAAGCAAATAACCAGACTTACAGCATAATTTTCGACGTTATTTTTTAGCTTGAACTGCTAGCGAATGCATTTAAAAAAGAGCTTATTGAGTATGTCATTTGAAAAAGAATGCAAGCTTTGTGCAGCATCTCTCTTTTAAAATACTAGTCATTCAAAGTAGCGAATCTGCCTTTAAAGAGGACTTTGGGCAACTGATGTCATACTAAGCTTGGAATCAAACACAGCAATGGTTAAAGGGGTAACTTCAATAAACTAAACAAAGTCATATCAATTACTGAAAAGCAAGAACTATATATTTAAAGCTGTCTCATACAATCTTGAGACAATACTACTATCTATAGTTAAAACATTATAACCATGCCTCTTTTTATTTGTGAATGGTGCCAAAAAAGAAATGTTGTTAAATTTATTTTAAGCCTTTTCTTCAATAAAAAGGTTCAGCGATGTCCTTGCGAGATTCTTTATAAAATCAACAAACACCAGAAGCTGGCGTTCTCTATATATAGTCGTACTGTTCTGCACCTGAAATTACCGTGCATAATCAATACCACACTGTAGTTATTAGATATTACCTCATAAGGATCAAAGCCTTTTTCTGGAAACCTTGATGACTGAATATTCTGCATGATTTCTAAATCTTCATCTGTAAGTCTGATATTTTCTTCATTCGTATGATCACGTACTGTCCTCCTGTTGATATAAAACGAAATTCAAGCTTTTTTTGATTATATAAAGAATAATATTTGAGTTGCCTGATGTTTGCATCAAGCACAAAACCCGCATTAAGCAACCAATGCGTTTATAGCTCTGCCTACACGGCATCGATCATTCCTAAACAGACTATAAATAGCTGTCGACATACTGGTTACCAAAGATATGTTGGAGCAGATTTGATTTAATTTTGATGAAAATTAATATACAGTTTGAAAAACAAAATGCCTTTGTTACTAGAACTAAAAAGTGAGTGCAAGCAAAGTTGAGATGGTATGTTAAAGTATGCTTACCAGAAATCTGGGTCATCTTGTGTTGCAAGAAAGTTCTCAAGCTGAAAAAATGAATCTGAAGCTTAAAAGAGATCCCCACATATGAATTTCAAGAGCAAAAGATATTAAGCATAACGATGTACAAAATATAATTTTTAGCATATTCAAGTAGCAGGTCAACAAACAGCAAGATTTATATGATACTTAGCGAAATGACATTAAGGCAAAAAGGTTAGAGAAAACATTGGGTAGTAATTGTTTATTAGTCCCAAAATATTGAAAAATTGATGAAACAAAACAGGTATTTTCTGTTATATATATGCATACAAGGAGAGAAAGCTTTCTGTGTTACATACCGCATCACCCTGTACAGGTCTGGCTATTTTCTGTCCTCTGATGTCATAGCCAATGTGCGAATAATCTCTGTACCATTCCATTGGAATGTTACCAACAGTGTTGCGTATTTCCTTTACAAAAATGGGACACAACTATATCTAACCACAAGTCAACATCACTAAGAATGTTTAAAATCAAAAAGCTTAAAGGGGCTGTGTCATGGTTTTGTAAGCAAACAGAAATACACAGGTCATTATAGATTTTGCACATTGGAATAATGGCGGATGTTGCTTGGTGCTTCAATATGTGCAATAAATTGTATTTTATGAGTGTATTTACTTAAATGGAATGGACAGTTATCATATTTCCACATTTGTACCGACTATCGACACAAAATTTGTAAAGCATTTGGTCTAGGCCAAGGAAATAAAGCTTCATTAAATCAATGGTGAAGATATTTTGTTTCTCTTGGTGGATTTCGATGGCATTAGACAATTACAACAAAATGATCACTTCGAAATGGTCCTTCAAACTTTAAAAAATGTTTTCACTCATAATTTGCACTGGAAAGGTAGGTTTTTTGGGGTCCTTTGTTTCACCCAAAAAACTTTTGCTCAACAGGATGTCCCTTGTGACACAGCCCCTTTTAGGCTGGTTCATATGAATGCAGGTTCAAATGAGTTATTCTATATTTTTTCCTTCCATAAACAACGAAAAATCAGGGACTGAAAGTGCCTTAGAGATTGGAGTGACAATTTTCAGAAGTGCTTGAATTTGTTTCTATTTAGACACAAAACATTGACTTGTTGTCACTTAGATGAAAACACCCTCTCTTAAAAGCATGTTTATCTATATGAGACCTTTGTAACTGTTCATGAAGCTGTATCAACCTTTGCAAGTTGAAAGGTCTCTTTACAAGGAGCAAAACAGAGAAGAAGAGGATCAGAACAGAAATATGAAAAAGTGAAAATAAAAGGAAACAAAACAAAAAAGGGTAATTGGACTGAGTAAGTGAAAGCAACTGACTGTATCAGCATGGAAAAGGAAAGAAAAGGAAGGACATAAAACATTTTCTCGCAATAAAGGCTAATAGCAAGTTTGGTGCACAGTCTTTTCAAAAACCTCTCTAAATGATTGCTCAATTGAAAGATTTGCCTTGGTGATAAGAGGAAAATGGATTATTCATGGTAGAATGAAGACTCAGCCATGTAAAGATAATATTTCAAGAATCTGACCAACATACCTCTTCATCAGAAGTATCAGCTTCATCAAAGTCGTTAGTAGAATTTGCAGTTGGTCCTCCTCCTAGAGGTTTCTTTCTTTTTAATGTGTCTTCGATCTGTGCTTCATCATTTGCAATTTTATCTGTGCTGTCACCAAAGGAAGTGCTGATTGGGGCATCCTTAAAATTGATTAGGAATTGAGTTTAAACATAACATCAGCCTGTATTTCAAACAAAATTCATAGGGTGATTTCAAGTCCCTCAAATTACCAGAAATATTTCCTGAAAATGCAGGAAATAACTCCTTTATAATTTCCCAGAAGCAAAGGTAGGAATTCGAGAGGGAGTCATAAACTAATGAAAAGGGAAACAAGTTGCATAACTTTGAGCACAACAGACAAACAATTTTTAGAATGTGGGGGACTGGGGGTAGTAAAAACCTTAGCAGGGTTCCAAGACCAAAGCCTTAGAACCTCTCACTATTTTGAGCCTATTTATGGAAAAAGTTGTCTGCTCTTCGGTATTGACAGAGTTGTACATGCTTTTAAGTGTAGAACAGGACAGTTGCTATTCAGAGTTTCAGACTTAAATGCAACCATCAAGCAACTGTTCTCTAAAGTTATATTCTCAAGAAGCAAATGTAATAAAGAAAAAACTCTGACAGTCATGGTAATTAAGTGCAAAGCGTAGAAAACTAGGGCTACAAAATATTTAATACCTCTTCAGATTCAATGGATTCTGGACTTGAGTCATTATCTTCTATACTTTTCAATAAATCTATATCATTTTCATTATCCTCTGATTGATAAGAATCGTTGTCATTTTCATCATCTGTTACCTTGAAAAAGACAGTTTGATGAAAGAAAAACACTAAATAAGAATTAAATAAGAATCAAATTAGCTGCATTATAACATATTCAACTTATCTTGTATTTGTTTTAATCTTAGAACAAAAAGCTTGTTATAAAAGGGCTAGTCCAGGGATATATCTAGCTGCATAATGCATAATGGGAACTTTGTTATTTTTTAAGGTCATTCTTTCAAAATCCTAATAGATTAGGAATAATTTATATAAGTGCAAGTCTAGATTTTGTCAAAATATTTACCTCTCCACTTCTGTCTGCTTCATCCTCTGATGTCTCATCTTCTTCCTCTAACCCAGAATAATAGCTTTCATCACTAGCATCTGAATCTATATCCTTCATAAAAACAACAGGGAAATTTATGTGGTGCTTTAAACAACACAAATATTTTAGAGATAAAACTGATAATTTCGATTTTCATGATGACCAGACGGTAAAGTTTGGTGTTTGCCATCAGAGCCAAAATAACAGGAATCCACTAGCAAACCTAAAATATCTTATTGGTCATATTTCATCCAAAACTACCAAGTTCACATCGAGAGGAAGGACCAGGACACTGCTCGATAAGCATAGGCTTCTCAGTGTCCTAAAAACTTCCTTCGGATGCTAGGTAGCAACAAATACAAAAAACCCTGGGTCCAAAATCAAACCTCTAGCTTTATTAAAAAGGGTAGCCTAACCGATTGCGCTTTAACGTTTCAAAGATTTCTCTCTTCATTGAAAAATATTAAGGCCTGTCATGCATTTTTCGGGATAAAAAATGCTTAATACATTACTTTCAATGGAAAAGCATAAATTATATGAATAGGAAACGTGATCAAGTGGTCACAACATTTTTGCTATTGCGCCGCCTTGTCCCGCTGTCTTGCATCTGAAACTTAGTTTGCCTTTAAATAACAAAACTAATACTTTTGACAGACGCTTTAGCTGTAACAACTTGGTTTTTCATATCAAGGGTACTTTGTATTCTCGTGATTCAATATAATCATACCTCTTCGACTTTCTTTCCCTTCTCCATGCTTTCCGATTTAGGCCGTCATCTCTTTTGAAACGACCTCCATCTGAAACAGGGGCTCCTCGTGGCTACCAATGTTTCATTTCTTTACATTTTTACTCTTGGCAATTAGTTTTAATTTTGAATTTACATAAAGACGCTTTATTACAGAAATCAAACTGAAATTGTATGCAATTATTTACAATTTTATTGGAATATCTTTAGTTGAAAGGGTGTTGACGGAAATATAAAAACAGCTCGAAAAGAAATTAGAGCCATATGGATTGAGTGACATACCGTATTTTTATCGAGATACTGAAACAAGTTAATTCGTCAAATTTAAACATTAACAAGTGAACTATCTTAAACATGTTTGCATTATCAGAAAGTTCAATGATTATTAAAACTTAAGATTATTTTGAAGAGAGAAGAAACGAGGGATGGAAAAATATGAAAAAATAAACGCAGAGGAGAGCAAAGGAGAGGATCTTTTTTGTTTGGCTATCCAATTGATGATATAACGTTTGGTGATTGCCTAACTCTCTTTTTACTTTTTAACGAAAAGGGTATCATTAGAAAATGTTTAGAAATTTTATAGGACATTCTCCTAATTTTTAATTCCCGCAAACAAGATCGAACAAACAAGATCGCTGTTTGAGTAAGGAATTTCTGAGATATTTCTTGTCTGGTGATTATATTCTGTCGAGTGGTTGTTGGCTGGAGGAGATCTAGCTAAAGGCTGGTGCAATTTTCCATAAATATGTCAAACACGAATTTTGCTCATACCGTATTTATACGATTATAATCCACCCTTGACTATAAGCCACGCCCAAAAAATCATGCAGAGATATTTGGTTTGAAATAATGGACGCAAAACTGAAAAAACCCGGTTGCGCACTTAAACAAAAAATGGACATGCGAAGTTCAACTAACAATATTATCGTCCAGCATGAGATCATCAATAGCACCCAGAAGTATTTCTTTATCGTCTTTTACATTATCACCCTCAGCTTCTGTGAAGCAGGAAAGCAAGGCAGGATCTTCGCAAAACAATATAAGCCGCCCTCGTTTATAAGCCGCCCTCGTTTGTATGGTGCCCTTGATTATAAACCGCAACAAGACGTGCCAAAAAATAATTATAAGCCGTGGCTTATAATCGAATGAATACGGTACGTATCTTCTGAGTTTAGTGTAAAAATAATAGAAAAGTGAAAAAAACATATAGGTTTCTTTGCAAAGGTACTTCCAGCTGGTATCGAGTTCACTCATATCTAGTTTTATGGTTAAATCGGCCAGGATGATAATTTAGCCCTTCCTAAAAAACATTTAAGTTGAATCAGCGCTGAAAATGGAAGTAATAGTGTAACTTATCGATCAATCAATGTCATGGTTTTATATCTCCATATAAAATAACATATGATATAAAATTTTTAGAATTTTACAAAGGGATGGAAGTTTTGAAGAGTGTTCTTGCTTGATCATTGCAGCCTATCTGATTCTGGTCAAATAAGGCCACGTAGGCTGGGAAAAATTGCACTAGGGGTTCACGGTATTGTAAGGGACATAAAAACGTTATGCTCTAACACCATATTCAATCAAGTCCATTTTTCAGGAAACTACCTAGACTAATATGACTACAAAACTAAACAACTGGTTCCAGACATGATTTCCTTTACTAAACTAAAGGCGTTGCCACAAAAATCTTGCTGGACCACGCTTCCTGAAACCTCATTCGTCGCCCCTCCCCCTACGATAATTGCATCTTGGGTCTGACAACAGCATCAAGAGGCACAGGTTTTGGCATTTAGTTCCGAATGGCAGTTAAAAGGCAACATCTCCCTGCTCAGACCTGATCGTTCCAAATTTTTGGTACGAGAAAATACAGAAAAAATCAATACATTACATGACATCTTTATCTTAAACAAATACGATCTACAGAAAACCTTTATACAAATACAATTTTCTATGTAGCAAATAAAACTAAAGCTGTTTGTCGAATGCAGAAACCTTATTGCCATACGATGGCAATCGAAATTTCACCATTGACGGCGATTATCAATCAGCCGGTTGTTGATGTTGTCTGTTTCGACGCAAAACTTCACCAGGACTTGGATAAGGTCGTTGCTGGAACAGTGGTCCATTGGCTGTTGTGTCTACCCCCGTTTTGACATCACGATCATCACGCAAGCCAGAGTTCCATGTCCCCCTATAAAAAATACTAGAATCAATCAACTGGCAAATCATTTTAGCATCTCAAAAGTCCGCTCATTTTAGACGAGATATCCCACTCCGGCTGCAAAGCTCACTCGGGAGGAATTCAAGACTTCGTTCATGGCCTAAATTGACCCGAGGCTCTTCAGATGCTAAAAAACAGGCTGTTCTTCAGAGAAAATTACAATTTTTACAATTACAAATTCAAGACAATTACAAGCAAACGTCAAGCTTATATAGTTTTTCGTTTCTACTTTTCAAAATGTTTCAGATACCAATTATTCAGCAAATGATAGATTCTGTTCAGTGTTACAAAATTCAGTTAATTTTTAAGTGCAGATGATCGTACTGACTTCAAGTACAAAATTCATAACCAAGGTATTCGATTTATAGCAATTAAGATAATAGTTCCTTTGCTTTTTGTTGAATAGATTGTTGTGAAGTTTCAGAAAAGGCAAACCGGCTTCTTTTGACAAGTTACTGTAGCAGGACAAACATCATATGAAGATGAACGATGCAAGACAAATTCGAATACGTTACCTAGGGACATCTGAGTAAGCTGAAGGGTCCATTGGATCAAGATCGTCTACAAGAAACCAGAAAATTGTTATCAAGAAGAAGCATTTGAGCTACGAAATACACATTGATGCATGACTCACACTGTAGTTGTAAACCCAACACACCAAATTCAGTAGAAGGAGAATTAAGCTTAAACATGTATAATATTTTCATTTTAAAGCATGCCAGGACAGTTTGATTCTAGACAAAATGCCCTAGATATACCAAACTTACTCGAAAATAGGTCAACTTACGAAAAAAAGCGGATTAAAAAGTATGCCGAGATATTTTAGCGTATACCACAAAAATTGGTCTACCTTGAAAATAAGCCGCGACGCAAAAGAACTACCATTACATGTATACTATTGAAAGGGGGGCTTGTTAAATATACTGGAGGTCTGAATTCTGGTTTCGTCAAAAGATAAAAATTATAGGGTTTATTAGGCATGTTAAGAATGGATATCAAACTTAATGTAATCCTTTTTATCGTGTTTTTAAATAACTTTCAAAAAATACCTCGGGAAATTTACTAAGTAAAAATTTACTCAGATAAAATAGGCAGCGGTATATTTCTGAGGATATATGGCAGACTATAAGACGTTAATTCTAAATTTTTATTGATATGACAATATAATTTGTCGTCATAAGGATAAATATATGTCCCTATCACAAATCATCCCTTGTTATGCTGCATCGCCCTTGGTCGACTTTAGTTGTCTCATCTAGCTCATTTTAGTAATGAATCGTTACAAATGTCCGAGTGTCCGGCCAAATGGCTATGTAAGCGTTATTTTCTTTTGAAAAAGATTTTCGTGTGCAGTTTTTCCGGTGATGAAATTAAAAATATCGCGACAATAAATAATTTGAAAAACACTCACCGAAATATTTTCGTGTGATACTTTCTGGCGATGAAATGGAAAATATTCAATAAATGATTCCGAAAACATTGAATATACATAAATTGTCAAACACTAACCTTTTTCATTTTGTTTTCTCTTGTACGGATTTGCTCTATCTTTATTCCGTTGGGCCTGGAGTAAAAATCAGAAAACTTCAGCCTTACTTATCAAATGAAATCACAATCATCAAAAGACCTGCACAATGTTTGGTCAAAGCATAAAGGACTTTTCAAAACCCCTGGTTATATTTTCAATGTATGAAAGAATCTTTAATAACGGTCACTGAACAACAGCAGACACTGTCATAAAATCTCTTTTTTGCGGCCTTATACATTGAACCTCTGGACAACGGACTCCAACCAGTGGAAAGTAACTCTAGTCAGACAATTGTCTCTTGTATGGTGGTATCACTGTACATTATTTGGAATTTTGTTTGCCTTTTGTTTGATTACGTGCTAGCTAAACGTTTATTTATTTCTTTATTTATTTGTTTACTTCTTTCTTTCTCAGAAACTTTGAAATAAAAAAACCAAAAAGAGTGCTAACATGAATAAAGAAATAAGGAAAAACTTGAGATATAAACGATGTGTAAAAACAATGACATATTTGTTACAAAATGCCTTTCAGTTACTGGTTATCATCCTTAACCATTGATAAATCATCTTGGACCAAAAAGCTGGTTTTCATCGTACATGATGAAGATCGTTTAAGCAGGGAGATTCATAGGTTATGAATAAAGACAAACCTTTAAAAGACTTGGGTGTTTCCCTGTTTTTATTTTTGGTGGAATCTTTTTGCTTTCATCTGACTTTATTTCATTTGATGCATGGTCCACTGTAGCTTCATCTTCACGTGGCACACCTGGTGGTTGTTGTGAAGCTTCGTTATCTAAAAGTAGGGTAAAGAAAGATTCAGGCAATGTAAAATTTGCAGAAAGGCAAAATAATTTGCAAAACTTTTTGAGAGACATTTGCATTGAACTTTATATTTTGACATAGTTGGATATATTGACTGGTCCGGGGGTAATATTCTGCAACAGTGAGGGTAAAATGCTCTGTTAACTCCCTTTATGCCCCATAGCTCTCATTTTTTGAAGTGACGTCATTTGTTGGAGCATTTTTATATACATTTTGTGTTACAATAGCAATACTTTTATGTGGATGTTGTGTGACTAGCTAGAAACATGGTTTCAGATTTTTTTACTAAGACAAGTCTTAATTTTTCCTGCCAATTCTAAAATGCTGCTGCCAAACCTATTTTTCCTAAGAAAAACTTCCTTTCCAGGCAAAACGTCTAAACACTTCACTATAAACGTGTCTTCTCAAGTTGAGCGATGTTTAGCAGTAGTGGCTACACTTTCCACTTAACTTCACCACAGATACAGATATTTAATTGCGAGCTATTTAGGTCGCTGTGCAGAAGCAGGGGAATTTGTTTTCTGATTGTTTTGTTGTAAAAAGAAGATAGGAGGAAACAAAATCATAACATTGCTGTTCCCTAGTCTTTCAGTTCCCCTCAAATAGTTTTTAAGTGACAGAGATAACTGAAAAAGAATTTCCAAGGGGATAAAAACAGGAAATGGATGAAATGATGGGCAAGGACAGGGTTCTTTGGCACATTGAGAATAGTGCTGAGTGTTGGAGGCACAGTAGCGTACAAGCAGATGATGTAGATGTCTCATGAAGACTTTCTAGAGATTTTGAGGTGCATCAAGACAGAATTTGACTTCTAAAGGTACTGCTACAAAAAACTAACATTTAAATGGCAGCGAAATGACTTAAAGTTTGCAAAACATCACTAAACGAAACTAAACGTCTTTAACCAGGATCAAACTTTGGTAAGCAACACTCAACTTGACAAACAGTACAAAATAAAGTGACAAAAGTTTGATTTGTTTTGTGGAATGTCTACTGAAATGTTAAGTCGTTTTGCAAGGACTCAAAGCATCTGCCCAGATACCATATCCTCTACTCCAACCACTTATAAATCACCTATAAGCTTGCAAATTTTGAATAAAATGATTTACCTTTGCTTTGTTGTAGTGAAACTGGGAGAGTGATATTTGCTTTAGGATCTATGAGAAAAGTTTTCAAAAATTTCATTTGTTTATCATTTAATTACATGATAGCAAATAAATATGGTATGAATATCTATATCAGGTAATCAAATTGATACCCATCTTGCTGGTCATGATGATAACTATATAATATCATCTTGCGTGATATTTAAATTTGATAATGACAACAAATAGGATGATGATTAAAATATGAGTTAGTTTGAATGTATCAATTTTTTACCTTGTGGATGCACCCATGAGACCATATTTGTGTGAACATTCCAATAATAGCTATGTCCACTAGAGGTAAAGAATAAATCTTTATATTTATACTAGGTCTATTACAGTATAACTTATTCTGTCATATATTCAAAATATACGGTTTATGCCTTTAATACCATTTCAGTGGCATACCTTGACCTTCAAGACAAGGGCCAACAAAGGCAAAGGGAAAGACAATTTTTCCTCTATACCACCTACTGCCAGAAGAAATTTACCATCCACCTAACTTATTTGCTGACCAAATAAAGATTTAAGTGACCAATGGAACATCTAGCAGCAAAGTAGAGTCTTTTTTATCTATATAGGGATGAGGCAATCTCTACTTTTATAAACATTGGCAAAATTTAGGTTTAGCGAGTTAATGAAAGGCAAGTTTTTAAATGCAAATATTAATCAAGATAAAAAAACAGAAAAGAATTAGCCCTATTCCAATGTCTTCAAAATTAGTGTCCATGAAGGGATTCTTCAACCTTCAACTGTACACTGGATGAACAAAAAAAGATTTTTTAACCCTTTGCATTCAGAGTCCTCCTTAAAAAATTCGAGCATTTGAGTCACCTGATAATAAAACAATAGACTTTAAATATTGATTTGTGTGTATTTAGGAGATTTCTGCTGGCATGTAAGTTGGATACTCCTTTATACAAAAACAGTTTGGACTGAATTGAAAATTTCTAAAGGCACTGTACGAAAATTTATATAAAAATGCTCACCTTTTTGGGTCTGGTACCAAAAACCAACCAGGAGGAAGAGGTTTAGTATTATGGCTCTAAGGGAAAGCAAAACAAGATCAATCTCCTATGACTTATCATTTAGAAGAGCATCAAGTGAAAAAGTTTTGGTGCATCAACTTAGTAAATCTTAATTGTAGCTATCATATCAGCCAGATATGCTTTTGCAAAAAATATAATATCAGCCAGAAGAAGAAAAAACAAAAAATGTACCATTATTGTTTCATTATGAGATACCTCTCTTTTTAAATATCTTACACATTGGCCAACAAATATAACTTATACAGCTTGACTTCAACAGTTTCTATAAAAAATTACACCATTAAACAACTCAGGATGAACAATATTAATTTCACCTTGGAGCCCTTTTTGTCTGACTGCTGTAACCTTTCACCCCATCTTTCTCTGCAATAAGCTACACAAGTGTGGAATTCATTCCAAGCATTGGGACATCCTAATTTTGTTGCTTCATCTTTTTCCTTCGCAATCTCTGAAGCAAAAATTAGCATAAATTAGAAATGTTTTTCTTAATGATGATGTTATTTTCACTTCCACATGTCATAATGCAATAAATTCAATACAATCAATGTCATTCATTTAAACTTGCATTGTGGCAAAGGACAAAGAAATGCAAAATAATATTGGTCAAAATTTGTCTGTAATTAAACCTACAACTTAGGGTTTGTTGATGTTAGACAGTTATATCATTGAAGTTGATGATGGAATCTACAATAATCATTGCTGATTTGAGCACACAGCTTGCTTTCTTTTCGGTTTCAATGAAAACTTTAAAAATTAGCATGATAATCATCTCCATTTATAGCCACTTCACATTAGGTTGCATGGTTTACAGTAACATCAAATTTAGACCGAAATATGCAAAACTGTTAAATTTTGCTTTGCTTATAGTTAAACTCTGACATCACAAATTTTTAAGCATACTTGGTGTGACTATAATCATAGTTTACAAGGCAAGGTCGTGCTTGGGATAGGGCAGCTTGCAGTTGCAATTGAAAAAGCAACCTACCGAGTCACACGCATTTTATATGAGACACACGCATTTCGGTCCTTTCGCACACTCACACACATCAAAGCAGAATTCTCACGCATTTTGCAACAAACTTCTTGGTTTATTTAAATTTTTAAATTTTTATTTGAAATCCTAGCAAAATCCCTCTTTCCTAACAAGGCATGTTAGCACGATAACAGCGACTAGATAAAAAGATGACTAGACAACAGCGAATCTGCACATAAGTGATGTTACATTTCTTGACAGCCTACACAAATAGCAGGTTAGCTCTATTGTGGCTATTACACATTGCAAATTGATTCTAAATGTATGGGAGGAGCATAATCTTCCTTAAGTTAGAGTTTCACTATTGCAGATTGCAATCAGAGTGGAGTAACTCTTTCTCAAGAGTAATATTTGGGGTAGCAGTTACACTACAATGCTCCGCTTACTCGTACGCCTGAATTCCATCCTCTGCATTCCTGGTCCACAGTTCTGTTTGCTTTTGCAAGCATTTGCCCAGAGCAAGTGCACCAGATTAAATTATTTCATGATTATGTACTGTTATAAATTCTTTCTAAATATAAAACTTAATAAAATGGCAAAAAACAAAGCCCCCTCAATCCCCCACCGCTGCTGTGGTCCCTTCTCAAAAAAGGTGTTTCAGAAGAACTAGAGGGCACGGCAAAGGGAAATTTTTCAGGGCTTTGCCCTGTGACCCTGCTCTGCTTTGCCTGTGTTGCAGTCAGGATTCGTTCTAGATCGATTAAGACCCGCCCATGATGACCCTTCCTTTTCAGAAAACTCACTCATTCTGAACTGAAACTTGACAGGTCTGACACCAAACTACAGGAGGATCCTTTCATCCAGATTTCAACAAAATTTTTGATTCGTTGATTGATTTTGAATTTACTTCCAATTCATATGAAGTGTTTCATTGCTAATTAATAACTTTATGCACAATGAAAACCTGGCTTTGTCTTTCGGTTCAAATAAAGCTGGCGACTTTGTTTTCAATTAGCATTATTTACAAAGGCAGTTTAAAGAATTTGAAAATATAAAGGAAAAGCATACACTCCCTTCACAAAAGTACCCGGACAGTTCGAAGATCGATTGAGCTTTCAGACAAAAACAAAATTAGGCTGGCCAAAAGGACTTTTTAACTTAGTGATAATAATTTTTTGAGAAACCCTTCCAAAATAAACCAGAACATCAAAATGCTGCAAAACTTCTGCGCTTTTTATCTGTTATCATTTTTTGTTAAAATGAGAAACCTTTGCGCCACAAGCCTTGCGAAAATCAACTGATGTCAAATAAGCAGACAACAGCAAAGTCAGGTGACTTGGACTCAGTTAAAATGGGCCAATAAAACCTGGTAATTTTTTACAAACTGGTTCTTGAGACACAAATATTGTTGAATAAAGAGAAATACAACATGTTTACTTTCATTTGGGAAAAATGTTTGCATGGAGCTGCCACCGATCGATTATAAAACATGGATGACATTTGGTAACATTTTACCAGATCAAAAACTTCTTTGAACGCAGACATATCACTCAGTCTAGGGCCATAAAGCCATATTATTTCTTTTCCGCTGCAAGTCTTGCTGAAATCGGTCGGTACGAGGGTACATTCACAATTCTTTATCATTTTCCTTGCAATATTTATCGACAGCTTTTAAAAGTTTGATTGTTTATAAACATTTTTTGCAATTTTGCGTAATGATGCAAACCATTTTGATGCAAATTTGATTAGGGTGGAACGCCCAGACGTTGCTGTCGCTAGAGCTCTTGCTCTTTTTGACCGTGAACAATTTTTTAGACTTCTTGTTTTTCAAATCTTTTTGCATATCTCGAAAGCGGCAGTCTTTAGGCATTCAATGATACTAGCAATTGAATGATAGCTTTTTCCCATCATTGTGATAAAACATTATTTCTAGACGCTGCTCAGAAGTCAATTATTTTGTTTCGGTCGCTACCATCTTGAGGAAAAACCCTCACAGAGTTTGCTTACATATCGATAAGATTACTTTTTTCGACGAATAAATAAATCAAAGACCAAAACAACTTTAAGAAAAAATTCGAGGAAATTGATAAAAATATTTCCATGAAAACTGACTTTGAAATTTGTAAACAAATTTCTCTAACAACAGATTCGCAACTGAATTCGAAACTGTCCGGATACTTTCGTGAGAGGAGTGTATTATATTGTGTGACTGAATGTATTATATTTTACAATAGTTCTTCTTTATGGTTCAGTTTCACATAGCAAAAAGTTAAATTAACATATAATTTTTGTAAAATTTATTACCTTCATGTTTAAGTAATCCTCTTCTTTGCAACCTGGCTTGTAAAGCCGTAGGTAAAGGCATTGTCTTGTCCTTTTTGAATTGCTACCTTCCAAACACCTGGACCACAAACGAAATATTTAGGCCATGGCCTCTCTGCGGATTTCCTTAGATAGTTGATTCAAAGAGAGGCTATGACAGTTTAAGCCAATCCTTCGAAAAAACTCGGCTGGGCAATAACAAATTTTCTCAGCCACGCCCTTCAGACTCTTCGAAAATCCTTTTTTTAATATTTTTCATCTATTTTTAAAGATTTGGACAAGCAAATTTCTCGAGTAGCATTGTTCACAACGGTGGCTTTTTTGCAAGTGCGAATCGAAATCGATCTGATCAACCCAACCTCCCCCCCCAAAGGTTTCTCAACGGACTTCGATAAATTAGAAAATTGACTTCTGGGAAACTGGGGTGGGCACGTTCAACCCAGTCCACCCCGTGGCAACACCACTGCACCCACACTGGCAGCTCATTTTTTCCACTCAAAAACTTTTCACTCCATCTTCAATTTCTGTGCTTTCACACCTTACACGTTTGTCAAATATGGAAGAAAGCCACAATTTCCAACAACTGAGCTGTCATTTAAAGCCCCTATAATTTCAAAGAAACAAATGTATGTATTTCTAAACATGGACAATCTGCTTGTATCAACATTTCACAAATTAAAGCAATGTGGATGTTGCAACTTGAAGAATCAATGACTTAGATTGTACCAAGCTGAAATAAGTGTCATTTATAGCAAAATCAGAAAACAACTAACTTACTTTTGTTGCCCAGTCTCCTTCAAACGTATTTATCAAATGTATTTATAAAAAAATCGGAATTGCATGGAGCTGGGGACCATCCTTGCTCTAAGTTAATAGTTTGTTCATGTGACTGTGCCATCCTCACACTTTCTAAAAACTTTGAAGTATGCCACACATACATTAGACGTGTTACAGTAAAAGAATTTGAAGATGCAATGGTTTTCAATGGTTGTAAAGCTTCCCCGTACTTACATAAAAAAATCCTATAGAATGAAAGAATAGATAAAAGAATGAAAGATATGACAGAAAAATGGCAAACAAGTTGGCTATGCAAGAATCAACTCAAAAGAAATTACAATTGGAGCATTTAACAGCAGGGATATTTATTGACAGACTGGCATTTACTCTTATAGGCAATTTCAATAGCCTGTGAGCTTGATTTATATCATAACAGAGCAGGAATCAGTGCATAGTATGTATTATCAGGAGCCTCAATGCCCAGGGCTCTGTAATAGCAAGTGGTAGAATTTCTTACATCAGCGCTTCTGAAATGCGAATGTGTGATGAAATGTGAATGTGAGGTGATGTATTTTCAATGATCGCAAATCAAGAATAAACAATACATTTGGTTTCAGATACATTACAAGCAAGGCTGAAAGCAACAAAAATAACAAATTAGGCAGCGAAACCATTTAATTTTATCTTCCCTTGATACTTACAAGTATGAAAATATAAGCTTAGAAGGAAGTTTCATCATTTGAATGTACAAAGAATATCACTAGTCTTTACTTGGGCATTCCTTGGCGAAATGTCCCTTTTCACCACAATGATAGCACTTATCTTGTGAATCATTCTGGCAGTCACGTGCATAATGACCAGACTTATGGCAGCGATAGCATTGAACAGATGACTTGCTGTCCTCACTGTTCTTCTTTGGGCAGTTTCTAGCATAGTGACCAGTTTCGTAGCAGTAGTAGCATTCTTCCTTTGTGCTGTCAGCATTGGGACAGTTTTTGGCAATATGACCTGTCCCTTTGCAACGGTAGCACTTCTCTCCCTCTTCATCAGTACAGTCTTTGGCAAGATGGCCTGAATCACCACACTTGTAGCACCTACTCCAAGAATCATTGTCTCTTGAGGAGCTGGGATTGGGGCATTCACGGGCAATGTGACCAACACAACCACATCGATAACAAGAGCGGGTATCTTCTGTCTCATCATTATTCTCTTCTGGGCAGTTTCTGGCAATGTGTCCACTCTTCTGACACTTGTAGCAAAGAAAGTCATCGCTTCCTGAACCAGTTAGTGGGCAGTCTTTGGAGATGTGACCATATGTCCCACATCGATAACATGATTTTTCTAAAATGGAATGTTTTATTTCATTTCTAATTCTAAATGTTCTTCCTTGAATGTTTCAAACAAAAATAACAGTCAGCCAACAGTGCAAGCTTAATTCTAATTTTCTGAGGTGAACAAAGTGAGCTTCAAAAACTCCACAAATCAATTATATAAAACTATTTGGACTCCTTTAGAACAATTACTTGCCAACATTTCTTCAAAGGTTGGTTACAAAACTTGTCCCAATGAAGTTATTATTAAATAGTCCTTATTTGCTAAATGAGGCAAATAAGTGGTTTACAGAATCCTGAATAAGTGGCTATCTTAACTATGGACAATGCCCTTAAAGGGGCTGTGTCAAAAGGGACATCCCGTGGGAGCAACATGCCAGTTTAACAAAAGTTGATTGAGCGAAACAAATGGTGCTCAATAGGCAAATCAACATGGAACAAAACAGTGTTTTGTATCAGTGTACATCTTGCAAAGCTTTTGCATCGTTGTATGTTACATGAAAGGGAACGAATGACACCAAAAAACATAAAGGTTCTTTCTTCAGTCTGATCACCATATTTCTTTGGATGGCGATAAAAAAACAAAGGCTACTTTTACAGCCTTGATACAGTATCTCGGAGGGAGCAGTTAAAAGAAATGGACCAAAATGACACCAAAAGACCTACCTTACCAGTGCAAATTATGAGCGAAAACCTTTTTTAAAGCTTGCAGGACAATTTTGGAGTGATCATTTTGTTGTTAAGTGTCTAATCCCAACAAAATTTACCAAGAGAAAAGAAATATCTTTGCAATTGATTGAAGGAAGCTTTATTTCCTTGGCCTAGACCAATTTATAAAGGTTCTTTCTTCAATCTTATCACCATATTTGCTTGGATAAAGGATGGAGATGCAAAAAAACAAACTAAGGCTACATTTACAGCCTTGATGCGGCAACTCAACAGGAGTAGTTAATGGAAATGGGCCGAAATGACACCAAAAAACCTACCTTATTGTGCAAATTATGAGCAAATATGTTTTTTAATGTTTGCAGGACAATTTTCTTGTAAAGTGTCTAATGCCACCAAAATTCACCACAAGAAACAAAATATATTCGCCATTGATTGCATAAAGGTTTATTTCCTTGGCCTAGACCAATTGCTTTATATATTTCGTGTCAATAGTGGTACAAATGTGGAAATAAAGTAATTATCCTTTCCATTTGCGATAAATACACTCATAGAACATATTGAAGCATCAGAGCAACAACCACCATTATTCCAATATGCAAAAACCCACAATGTCCCATGTATTTGATTTGTTTACAAAACTGTGAAACAGCCCCTTTAAGGTCTGAAAACTTTTCCCAGAAAAACAAAGAAAAAGGGTAGAGTATGTGTGGCGCTTCAGTTTTTTTTTGTTTTGAAGGCCCTTGCTCACAGGCATTGAGAGTGGGACTGCATAACAGCTATTATGCAGACAGCACTTCTAGTTGCTAGAAGGCATGAAATCAAAAAGTTCCTATCATTTAATGACAGTTTTTAGCAAGTTTTCTGAATTTCTTATCTGCCTAGTTTGGTATATACAAACTATATATGTTATTACTTGATAGAATGGTGGTACAAATAGGTAATACACACTTCTGTCTTTGTGAATATATAACATGATGGAATTTTCACTGCCTTTTTCCAACTGGATTAAAATTTAACTTTTCAAATGAGCAATTATTCAACCTTGACATTATCTGCCCTGCCCTTTAATTCCACAAATGTTCCTTGTTTCCTAGACAACATCACAATGGATTGCAAAAGATTTTGGTTATTGAGTTTTGTTGTAACATACCAAAAAATGCACAAATTTCAGATCAAGACATATAACATATTTCTTAATAACAGTAAGGGAAATCAACATTTATAGATTCGCAAGCACAAAGTAAGTATCTACAATTTCATTTTAGTGAAAGTGAAAAATTTTTATTGCAATATTTTTTTACTTGTAGGTCATATCACCATAGCTCAATTTTTGTGTTTACAAGATAATCAATATTTTCTGAAGACAGGAAAAAATTAAGATAACATACATATTTTTTTAGTTTGAGATACACAAACAAGAATTTAATATAACCTCTGTGTGGTACTGAAATAGAAACTTCAGACAAAGATTCAACCACAACAAAGCTTCGTTTAAAGATATCATGACAACCTACATGAAAATAGTGACACTTTCATGTGTATTCTGAAAAGCAAAGTCAGTTGATCATATGTCATGGTTGTCTAGTTGCATAGTCTTCAGGACCACCCCCTACTATACCTTGAAAATTCAGTAAACAAAATTTTTCAGCATAGAGCTTCAAAAATTTGAAATAAAGTTAAAAACATAGTCTGTGTTTAACCACAGCCAAGGCTTCTTGACGAGGAGCATGTTCTTTTTTGAGAAAATAAGCATTATATTGTGGATATTTTGCTTCCAGGGCAGTATACTGTAACCCCCGAAACAATCTTACCTCTAAGTTTCAATTTCACTGGATAAATCAAAAAATTGCATCTGATTGCTCTTAAACACGGTCAATTTTAAGTTTTCTAGAATTAATGGAGGACATCTTGAAAATGGCCCGAAGCTTGAGAAGGAGAAACTCCTCGATTTATAATCAAAGTACTATACCTGACGCTGTGCAATCCCGCGATATATGACCGGGTTTCCCACACTTGTAACAACCAGGCATCTTCAGATAGGTTGGTTTTATCAGAGCATTTCACAGGGCAGTCAAACAGGAGGCGCTTCTTCACACACTGGTGATACTTGTCGGACTTACGAGAAAGGAACGATCGTACTAAAACAACCTATCAAAACCACGTGTGCCTCATGACCGTGCCACCGGTCCCGCGGTTTTAACAAGAAAACGCGGGCGTATGCTAGCACATTTCAAAGATTTTTTGCACAATGGGCTAAAAGGAGGCTTAAAAGTGAGCAATGACGGCAAATTCCTGATGGATATACGGAAAAGGAGGACCAACTTGATATTTTACTAAGCAAAAACGTTGTTTTAGCCCACTTTCGGGCAAAATTCATCAAGACAAATCAAACTATCCCGACATACAGACTGATATCAAAGAACTGCATGTACATGGTCATCTCATCATAAAAGGTTGACCATAATAATAATTTCATTGACAATTTAAGGTCTTGTGAATTAAATAGATGCAATTTTATTAGTAAATTCAGTTAGAGATCGCAAGGACACTTCTGGGTAGCAATAAAGAAACAAACCTACAAACCACACAATACAAGTAAGAACAAGAACTTCAAAGGACGTTGAAATTCCTTTTTCAACGCTAATAATTTTCGCAATAATTTTAGCGATGATAAATACGCATATTTGTTTAAAAAACGTAGCAAGTTCAAATCAAAATAAAGAAAGGATGTTTTACTCTTTCATTTTGTTAGGCCATGGACAAATTAAATATAAATTCCCCTAAAGCTCAGTGAAAATCCATTTAAATGCCCTTGCTGAATACAGTCAGGTGATTTTTACCCAAGGAAAACTTTTCAGTTGCAAGTGTAGTTTCTTCGATATTTAGGCGATCAGCAAAATGTTAATGGAATGTTCAGTTTGCTGACCTAGGGTGTTAATTCGTTATATTAGAATCCACTCGGATAAAGTATTTTGTGTACCGTAGGCTATAATCATTTCAACACATCAATCTCATATAAAAATGCATATTATTTTGCTGAATTTTAAATATTGCGTAAGTTTTTATCATATCAACACATTTATTGAAAAGTTGGGTGCATTTTTAGTGTGATAAGAAGAGATGCTAACGTCCCTTATAGTTAGGCTTTCTCTTTTCGGCAAATGCTCGCAGACCCTCAGTTCTATCCTCTGTAGGGACAATCTGAAAAAGAAAGAAAAAAATCCTACTTTCTGCTAATCTGAAAATGCAGATACCATGACAGGGCCTACGCCACGACTTTATAAGTGGGGGGGGGCAAGGCTAGCAAAAGTAGGGGGCAAGGCTAGCAAAAGTAGGGGGCCAGGGCCTTTTCCCCCTTTACTGAAGCTTTAAAACTACATGCTTCGCAAAAGTGGCGGGGCATGGTCCCTCCGGCCCCCGGTGGCGTGAGCCCTGTATGAGCTTGAAAGAGAGGGGGGCTAAAAGGAAAGGAGAGGCTTACTGGACACAACAAAAAACGCATGTCATCAAAAAATTGTAAAAATCATACGTAAGTATAATATAATCGGCATCTAAGTTTCACTTTATCGTCATATGACGAAGAAGACGAAGAAGAGGAAGGCCGAAAAGACGATGGAGAGATGAGATAGAGGAGAAAGCTGGCAGCCTGTGGACTCATGTGGCACAAGATCGAAGAGCGTGGAGACAGCTGTGGAGGCCATCCGCCAGCAGTGGCGTGAACAGGCTGAGATGATGATGATAATGATAGACGAAAACGAAGAAAATTGAATAAATAAATAAAGAGGGGTTTAAATGAATATTTTACATTTTAGAAATGGATTGTATTTGTATCTGTATGTGTAATTGGATTATTGATATCCAAAGAGGTGAAAAACCAAAGCTTTGAAATTAATAATTTTCTTGTATCAATAAAAAGACGCTAAAATAGCGAAAAATCCTTAAGCGAAATTCTTCCATTTTGTTTTTATTGCCCCCAAGGGTAGATCTCCCCAATTAGGGATGCGCCATATAATGACAATATGAAAAATGAAAGGAAATATGATAGCCAAATACCTGTGCATAACATGATTCCTCGATGAGAAGGCCAGAGTCAATATCAACCTGAAATGGCAATATAAAAAAAGGAGGTAACGAAGGTGCGAATAACTTGGTAAATGGGCCCAACCAACGTTACGTATAGTCTGTTTATCTAAGTAAAGTAGGGCCTTTTTCTTAGGCTAAGGTGGTAAGGTATAAACAGCAGATATGAAAATTGTTCGATAAAAAGCTAGATGCGATTTTAAAACAAAATAAAGCTTCAGGTTTTGTCAGTAGCAACATGCAGAAGAATTCTTAATCTAAATGGTATTAGGAATTTTTCTTTTGTTTTGTAGCATGCTATATTTAAATTTCTTACAAAGTTCACTTCACTAAACGTCCTAAAGATTAAATTTAAGGTTACTGGCAGTCAATTACATTACCTAATTGTACCTTATCAGGAAAAGAGAAATCGGATAAAGAAAAGTCGGGGAAAAATTGAGTCACTTTGTAAAGTTTCGCTTTTCTCCCAGCAAAATTTCAAGGGTGGAAAAAAAATGAAATAATTTAAGTTTTCGGTGTAACAACAAAACTTGTTTTAGTCTGAAGGTAAAAAGGACATACAAAATTCGGGGAAAATAACTTTTGAGGTACAGAAAAACTGAGGAAAAATTAGGGAAACTTTAATTCACTTGCAGAAAATATGTCACTTTCCCTCTGATATTTGAAATGAAGGCTATTATACACATTGGCTGAACACATCCTGACTTTAGATTTTAAAATAAATTGTTACTAAATGAAATAAAATAAATTGCAAGAATCAGCGACAAAATCATCAGCTAGAGGGTTGAAGGTAGTTGCAAATAGGAGGATTCAATTTCAGTATTATTCATCTGGCTGGAAGAAAATTTTATTGGCATAAAAACTGTTAAGGTCCCTGTTAAGGTCCCTAGAACTATATTACCAAGATAAATGTTCTGTAATGCGAAACTGATTTGGCACCAGGGGCATAAACTATGAAGCATTCACAAGGGTCTGGAAAGCATGCCCGAAGATACTAAAAGTTGGTTCATTGGCAAAAAGGAATGATACAAATTCCTAGACCCTGGCAATCAGCTTCTCTACTTACCTGAATCCCCTCATTTATCGCTCTTTTAGCTGCCCTGAGAGCAACAGGCCCTTGTGGAAGAATTTCATTGGCAAGCAGCAACGCCCGTTGATATGCTGCATCACCGGCTTCATTTGGTGGAACAGAGTAATCAACAACGCCATATTTGACTGCATCAGCACCCTTTAATGCTTTTCCAGTAAATATGAGCTCTTTTGCTTTGGAAAGTCCAACAAGTCTTGGTAGTCTTTGTGTTCCTCCTAAACGAATGCAATGCATAGAGAACATGGTCAGTTCATCACCATCACACAGAGTTCTATTACAGTTCACAACCTAACTCTACAGTACACAAATATTTGGTTAACTTATTTCACCATTATAGGAACAATTATGATAGAGCAAAATAAGAGTAACCAAAACCTTACCTGCACCAGGTATTATTGCCAGTTTTGTTTCTGGGAGACCAATTTTTGCATTGTCTGAAGCAACTCTCAAGTCACATGCAAGTGCAAGCTCCAGCCCACCTCCAAGAGCAGCTCCATCTATGGCTGCTATTGTTGGAATTGACACTTTACTAAACTCGTTGAATAAGTTTCTGGCAATGGCAACAAATTTTGGAACATCTGCCTCTGTCATTTTTGCTCTCTCCTTCAAATCTGCACCAGCACAGAAAACGCCTGAAGAATAAAGGATTGACAATGTGGAACTTTGACTATGAATAAAGGGTAAGTAGAAATTGAAAAAAAACTTGCAAACTTCTCAGTGGATACACAAGTACAATCAAGCTGTCATTTGACCAAGTCACAAACAACTTTATCTGTTCATTGGGAAGTACAAAGGAATGAATGAAAATCTGTTGAATCTACTCTGGGGTTTATCACATGAATTAATAAAAAGCAGGACGTAGACCAACCAGGCTTTTTGGTACCACAGCTTAATATAAATACCAACAATTTTTTTTCTTTTTTAAATGCTTTTATGTAAAATATACTTGTAATTCAACCTGGGACAATGTATATGATAGTATGTAAGCAGGAAAAAATTTGCCCAAATATTAAGCATTGGAAACAATTTCAATGATAGGTAATTTATTTCAGGTGGTTCTATCCCTTTCATCCTCAACAGTTCTTGCTCAAAACTGTTTTGATTCTTTTGACTTTTCAATTGAGATTGTTTGGGAGCAGCCTAGGAAACTTTTTTCATCCTACAGCTGGAAATATTATACTCCAAATACCAAAGCTTGTCAGAGGTTTGCTTCTGCATACCTTTTTAATTTTTTTTGGAATTAAATAATAATTTATCAGAAAATCATATGAGCATATGATCAATAATGAATCACCTGGAACTTCACTTTTCAAAATAGCAACAAGAAGCGACTGGTCCTTATTCAACACATCTATGATTTCTTCAAGCTAAAATGAATATAAGACAGTAAATGAATGCAACCATTTGTTACAAGAAAAACACTTTCTGAGAAACTATTGCAAACATCAATAGAATTTTAAAGCAATATAAGGATTGAGCCTACAATGCCTGCCATAAGTCTTGCAACATAGACATCAGTTTGCAAGTTCAAATTCAGCCATCTCCGCCACCCACAAAACCATGTCAGTTACTTAAAAATGGGTTAGGGAATTAGGAATTACCTGTTTTTTTATGATAATTGTCAAAACTATCAACATTTTTCTAACAAACAGAGGTTTGGAGGTAATAGTTTTTTTAGAAAAATAAAGATATCAATACAACACAAATTGCTGGGTGTTTCAAGTATATTTAACAGGCATTGTAGCAGGTTCTAAAAGACAAACAAATCCCAAACCACGACAGGACTGCCACAGCGCAAAAGCTTCAAATTCGGCTTCACTATGTAACAACTCTATGAAATATTTCAAACTTAAATTCCATCCTGTCTACAAAAGGCAGGCCTGACTGTTAGAAGTCACTATGTGTGAGGATGGCTCAATGGTTAGAGTTGAAGATCACATTTCAAAAGTTCTGCAGTTAAATCACTGGATGACCTAACTTTACTTAGAGTGAGGCAAGTCGCCATCAATTTGATGCTCCAGACATAAGAATCTGTGTGTCCTTGCATCAAGAGGAAGGACCAGGATACTGGTTGATAAGCATATCTTTTCAGAGCAGGGACAGACACTCTGTCAAATATTTGGGGGGGGCAAGCCTATTGTTTTGATAAGATGATATCACACTTCCCCATTGTTCTAGAACAAAAGATGTTTATCCTCCAAAGTATTGGGGGGGGGCAACCGCTCCCTCCTCACCCCCTCAAGGATCTTCTCAAATGCTGGAGGGGAGCTACAGATTGCTCTCTTTGAAATCAATTTTTCCTTTGTTTCTTATCATATTTATCTACAAACAGCTCACCTGAAATTACTAAAGGAGCTGTTTACTGAAACCCTGCTAAGAGTCTTAAGGCCAGGCCTGATAGATCCAATTAAATCAAACACTTTAATTCACAAATTTTTGAACACAAACTTGTGACATCAACTGTTGCCTGATGATCACATTAAGCATGAAATTTGTAGCAACTTAGAACTGTCCTTTTCTATACATCAAAAGCATTTACAGCTTTGCCTATACGGAAGAGAGCACTCTCAAACAAAAACGGGATAAAATTTGCAATACCACTTTGATAAAACCAAAGCTCAATGAATTCTTTGCTTTTGGTCGGTTGATGCCAATAACAGCAACACCTGAAAACATTTTGAAAGACAGAGAATACATTAGCAACATAGAGAAAGTTTTAGGTGGCACTTTGTGCGTGGATATAATGACACATCTAATTTAAATTGGATTGCTTTCTGTTGTTTTGCATTGTTCCAGTTCATCATTTATCAAAAAAGGGCACAGTTTTAAGGAAGCACACACATCATGGTAGAGGATGGAAAGAGCTCACAAAAAAGTCAGCACTGCAATACCTTGGATTTTTTCACAAGACATAAGAACATTTTCAATGTGATTGGATTTTCTTAGGGTAGTTTGGAAAAAACAATGTTTCAAAAGTTATTTGGATAGTTTCAAAAGAAATAAACTTTGCTTTGCAACTTCAAACTCTGAGTTATTTTGGTATTTGGTCATAGCAAATTTAAAGAGTGTTTTTCTTATAAATGTTGTCACACTTTCCAACAAAGTCTGTGTTCTCTGTCAACTTTATTTTCAATGAAAATACTTTATGTTGAATCATATATATGGTAATTTGCAAATCTCAGTTTGAAGTAGGACTTGAAACGTAATGCCTTGAAACCTAATAAAACAAGGCTTAGTAAAAACCCAGGGTCAAAGTCAGGAATCTTCAAACGTGCTGCTTTGCAGCCAAAAATAAATGTAAGGGTGTTTTTATGCTGAGAATAAATAAAAGGAATTAATGAGTATTTGCTGCTCCATTCTCCAATCAAAGGAATTAATGAGTATCAATGAGTATCATGCACTCCCCTTTTTGGTTCTTTTTATAATAAAATATTCAAAAAGCTTCATTTCTGTAGTCTAGCTAACTCCAAATAGGTCAGTGAGAGTAAGGGGGTGTCCTACCTATTGTCTTCTCTCTTTAAAAGAACGCGCAAAACGTTTACCTGGTTTAGTATATTTAAGCAACAGTTCATCCCCTGAAAGATTTTTGTTGACTTCTGAAACAGTGCACTGGTGCCTGCTTCGAGTTATGTGCAACCTTCGCATGATATGTCGTCCTAACGCCGCCATTTTCACTCATAAAACCGATTGTTGTTGGCTATGTAGTTGTTGCTGCTGTGCATCCACGCCTAGCTTCTTAACACGTGCAGGATACCTCTCCCATACCCTTTTCTGGAGCCCAGTGGCTATAACCCCACTAGATAAATCTCAGGCCCCCCAATCTACCGGACACCTGACCTTTTTTACCATCAACAGTAGACTCAGGTTATAGTATTCTTTGTACGTACTGCGCAACACTGAGAAAAATTTGAAATTGCCCAAGAACATGTGATGGTCAAACATGATTAAATCTAAACCGGCACCTACCCTTAACATATCAAGCAAAATAATAAGTTTTCATTTATTGTGCTTTTATGACAATGATTCTGTACAAGGCTTTGAACAATTTCTACATTCGTAATTTTGTGCTTGATTCCAATTTTAACATTTTTGGCTTTAAGTTTCTAAGCAGAGGGCCCCTTGCATATCAGCTCCATCCATAGGGCAACCCTCCTTAAATAAATTAAAATGAAAATGTTCACACCGAATTTTGCTTCAAAAATTTGTCAATGAGTGAACGTAGATTGAATAGTTTCTTAAATTTTCTGGCAATTTCGCTATCAAAAGTTTCTTACATGTTTCTTAAATTATTTGAAAGTGTTTCAAAGGTAAAATAGATAAATTATTTCTAAATGCAAGTGAATATTCAGGGATAAACTAACAAATGGATCAAGGAATTTTGCAGGTTCAAGGATCAAGGAATTTTCCCAGAATGACAAACTCTGTTAAGATCTGTAAACAGTTAAGCCCATTGAGCTCCAATGTCAAGATGAAGTCAAATTGAATTTTTAAATGGAAACTTCATGAGTGTGTAATTTACTGAGAATGAATGCAAACTGCATGTCAAGTTCAGCGTTGCAATATACAGTGATATTTAATGTCAAGACTGTTTCAAAGGTCAACTCTGAAAATTAAAACTTCAAATATAAGTTTCTTAGCTTCTGTCAATTTGAGTAGGGTTGTTTCTTAACTTTCGAAAAATTGAGCCTAATGTTTCTTATAACCTGTTGCTTATAAAAAACTATTGCAGCCATTTAGTTGTGAAGAAAAATAAGCCTATTGCTGGGTGAGGCAAACACCACCCTGGAGTCACAGACCATGCTCATTGACTCCAGGACTAAGGGTTGACTCATACATGTTTCCTCATTAACCTCCCCAAACAAAATCCCCCTAAAAAGGAGAGACACTTTCAACAAATGCTAATAAACAGCAAATGTAAGGAGGGGCGCTTTTACCACTTTTGGTAAGACAATAAATTCTAACTCTACATTCAACCTCTGAACTACAACTTGAAATAATTTTGTATTTCCAAACCAAGAGGGATACCAAAAGAGTTGGACCAAAGTAAAATTCGTTTTTACCAGCGAAAAAGTTTCCACACAGAGAATTCTTTAACCAGAAAAAGGCAAATTAGACATAAAAATTTAATGATATTTTATCATGTGTCACTCAGATGTCATGTCTCTTCCAATTTTTAGCCTTTCCACTGAGATAAATTACAGTAACAATTAAGACAAAACCATTTTGTAACTAACTCCACTTAAATACAAATTTCATAGTCAATGCAAATTCTTGTTGACACGCATATTTGACAGTCCCATTTAACCCATTGTCCAAAATTTAGGCATTTCCAGCACGGAAAGTTGCATAGATCTCCTTGAACTTGTCAAATCCAGCCAGTACACCGGCACCAGCAACACCTCTTAGGATGTTTGCACCTGAAAGAGCAAGAAAATTCAGCATAAGAACAGAAACACATAGCAATATATATTTAAAAGGGATAAATCATATACAAAGCTTTGTTTCCCAAATCACTATCCCTGCTTTGGTTTCAAAATTGATTTGGTATAACACAAGTTGGAATCCATGTAACTTACGCCAGAGATAACCAGCTTGGTGTAACCATGGTTTATAACAAAGAAAAAACAATGTGTTGGCATAAAGGTGGATGGGTTTATTGCTTGTGTTTGGGCCAGGGTATGACTTATAAACAATCAATGGTGGTGTGAAAAGGATGATTAATAGTTTCAATTATGTATTGTATCATACAACTTATTGGCATAAACATCAGGTAGAACTTTCAGCAGAGCTAAATTATTTATTGGCCAATATCTGGCTTGAGGTCTAAATGGATTCCACCCTGGGCTACAACATCACATTTTGTGGTTGAAAATTTTCATTATCAGCTTGAAATTAATTTAGACATACTTAAGAAACATATGCTAGGTCACAAGACAAACCAAGAAAATGTCCAAAGCAGAAAACAATTAAAAAAGTAATAGTAGAAATGGGGCAAAATTTAGCATATTTCAGCCTTATAATTATAGCTGTGTATGAGACTGTCTGCTTTTAGCTGATGATTAAAGAAATTGAGTTATCCAGAGAAACCACATTCTGAAATACTTTTGAATTTTCCACTAGCTACTATTTGTTCTATGAAAATCTCCTAAAACGTGCAGTTGGGGGTGAATCCAAAATTTACTAATTTTCTTATATATGTACCATAAAATCTCTATTTAGCTCCTTCCATATCTTATGAACAAGATAAATTTTAACCATCAGCTAGATGCAGATTGTAATATTCTTGCATCCAATAATTTTGTGCAATGCCTTAAAAGCTGACTTTTCCCAACTACATTTTTTGAGACCTCCCCAAATAGAAGCCCTAAACTATCCCCCCTTGAGGGCTCATAACTAAAGAAAAAATTCAATCTTCTGCTTCATTGGTTTAAAAAATTTTTAAAAACCACCCACCAGCTCCCTTCATTAATGACATTGCGCCTTCCTTCTTCAGGATCTGAACGGCACAGTCAATTGATCCCTTGTATTTGACAGCTTCTCCTGAGGTCATCATCATTCTTCTTCTAATTGTATCAATAGGATATGACACAAGTCCTGCACTAATTGTAACACCTGTTGACAGAATCAATAGAAAAATTGTGAATCATTTATTGCATATATAGCAGAAAGTCATACAGCTTGATTTCATAGAGCTGGACTGTTCTAAGTTGCAATTTGAGTTTCATGCTCAATCATCATCAGGTTGTCATCAATCGTTGTCATCAATTTAAGCATCAGGCTGTATAGCTCTGTCTATAAGATATCAAGTATTATGTGACATACAGGAGTAACTTTCAGAATTTTTTCATGCACATTTTGAAATTCTGAACGAGGGTTGTATTGAATCCTTGAATTTTCATTTCAAGATGTCAGTTCTAGTGAGAAAAACTATAAGAGGTTGTGGCCTAATTACAGTTGGTTAGGAAAACTATATAAACATTAATTGTATATAGTATGTTTAAATGCCTTAAACTTCTTTTCAATGATACCAACTGAAATTTAATAGTCTATGAAGAGAAATACGTACCATAACCAAGGACAAATGAAAGGACAACACCAGCATCGTCACCAAGAACAATGGGCTTCAGTGTATCATAGAAGCCAAAGTAACAACCACGATATACAATGATACCAACACATGAAATAACAAAACCACGATACAATCCGACGAAACCATCCGATTTCAATGTTTTGGAGTAAACATCGATAATTCCATTGAATTGACGCTCACCGCCCTTCTTTCCTGCCTTAGCATCATTAGCTAACCTAGTACGAGCGTAATCCAAAGAATAGACAAAGCAAAGTGACAATGCACCAGCAGCTCCACCAGAGGCGATATTCTTTCCGAATTTGACACCATATGAGTCAGATTTAGAGGCCTTGAATGCAGCCTTTACTTTATCTTTGAATGCGAAATTTAATGCCTGAGTGGGGAAGTACCTGATGCAGTTTGCAAGGTTACCTCGCCAGAATGATACAAGGCCTGGAAAGAGATTAAAGTTGTATAAACTTGTTTATTAACAAAAAATTTGAAAATAAAAATAGTTTGCTATTTCTGAATGCCAAAAAACTTGCAAATGTGTAGCATATACCAAGGGACATGGAATTGTCACATCAGAAGAGATAGAAGCTTTTTGCTTTTGAAAATTTTCCATTCATATACTTATATACATAGAATAGAGTAAACATTGATAATTCCATAGAATGGAGAAAGGACACTTTCTTTTTTTCAATGACATATCTTTGTGATTTCCAAAAGCAACAAAATATACCTTCTGATCTAAAAGTTCTTGTAGTACAGTCAATGACACCCTTGTATGGCTCAGCCAAACGACCAGCCCTAAGCATTTCATCTTGATTTTGGACAAGAAGCTTCACCCTCTCAATTGGTGCAGCAGCAGTTTTTGAGATAATAGCAGCAGCACCGCTGAGTCCAAAGTTTTCAGCAAAGCTGAGTTTTGTGATCTGTTTGCCTCCATCACCCATTTTGATCTAAAATTAAAGATTGAAAACATATCACAGACTAGACCCCAAAGTCATAGCCAGGATTTTACTTTTCAGCAGGCCTCCCATTATGTGGGGTGTAATTTCGCACCCATGCCTAAAACAAGAAACTGAGATATAGCCCAGGATTATTTCCTTAAGTTTTGAATTGCTTCCTTTGATGTGAAGAAACTTAGACAGAGCACAGAGTTGTTTTATGAAATTTCACTTCACAAAGGAAAAAATATATAAAATATACCACGTAAATTTGAAAATGAAGCATCCAAGAGAAGTGTAGTAAACCATTAACACAAGCTTCTTTTCCAAACAAAATCACTCTAAATGGTGATGATGGTAGACAGGAATTGTTATTAACATGGAACTTTATACAGATAGAAATAGTTAAGTTTTGCAGACAAAACTATCAATATCATTGAACAAGAAACGGAGGAGTTTCTTTCGAATTATAGCAAAACGAAGACAAGTGGCGAATAAAAACTATAGCTAACAACAAATTTTGGCGAGATTCGTTAATTATGTAAATCTTGGATTAAGAAAATACTTTGGCCTAAGAGAATCTTCCTAAGGCATGGCTTCGTATCCGGTAACTTGTCGAACGAAAATAGGTCTTAAAACGCTGCTATCAACCCAAATCCTTACCAAATAATTTCAAACACAATAGACGTTTAGCAGAGTCATACATGCTCAAATTGGGAACGACTTTCTGGTGAGATGGAACTCAACGATATAGAGTTTCCTTACAAACATCTGCCCTAGGTAGGCCCTAAGTAGGCCCACGCGCAACTGCCACAGTTTCAAAATGATTAGCGTAGCATTGTGGCATCAAAAATTGGAAACCAATGTCAGTGTGATATAGCCATAGGTTTCAAAGAATAAATGCCAGCATACATTGAATGATTCTTCAATATACTTACAGATAAAATTGGTTCGAAGTTTGAGGTGGTGAATGACTTCTGCCGGTTGCTGAGCCTTCCTACGAGAAAAGGATTTCGGTTGGAGCAGCGAGTCGATTTATCACGTGTATAATTCTAGCGAATCCAGCGTCACAAATTCGAACATCCGGGAACTTGGGGGTCCAAAGAGCAACTGGACAGAACTGTACAGAGAGGCTTTGAGTGGGGAGCAACCAACCTGTCCAGGGCGGACTCCGCCTCAGACATAAAGAAAAATAGGGGGCGGGGGTCAAATAATTCAAAATTGTTGGTAGTAATTTATGCTTTAGTGCTAGACAGTTTAAGTGTAGGAGATACTCAAAAACTTCATGAAATATGGGTAAAAAGCAATTAACTGATTACAAAAGCAAACATGCAATTAATCTCATTGTAACTCTGTACAAGAATTTGTTTACTACAGCAGGCACGGCGCCATTGGGGGCAGGGGGGGCTGAAGCCCCCTACGTTTTCAGAGATGGAAATTTTTTCGCCCTCTTTTTTACTTTTTTTCTGAAGAAAGAGTATGAAATAAAAAGCGAATAAATAACGATATTGTAAAATTATTAACGTTTTAGCGTTTTAGCGTTTTAAACAATATAAAGTTTCTCTTTCTGTATTATAACCAATATTTTACTCGCAATAATTAGTCTTAAGCATAAAAGCACTAAAGAAGGTGAGGGAAATCTCTAAATTTTGATTAACGTAAAACGAACATTTAATCTTTTCGTAAGAAGTAAAGCCGAGCAAAGCAACATAAATATCAAACCATTATTAGAACCTTGATATATCAAATTATAAAAAGTAGTATTCTTTCAAGGCAATTAACAGCGATTCTGTTCCTTTTCTGCTTTGCTTATCTTAAAGCTATTTGCTGCAGATCAATTTTGTAAAAAGTATCTTTTTCGCAAAGCATCAAGGAATTCACAAAGCATTTCATCTTTTGTTCTTGATCGAAGGAAAATTTTTACAATTTTCAAAGGGCTAAATGTCCTTTGTTTTTTGGAACTGAAAAGGATGATCTGAGGGCAAGTGCATATGCCTGATTCGTAAGACAAAGCACTCTTCTTTGATCGAATACTTCTGCTGCAGCTTTGATCGAATAATTCTGCTGCAGCTTCTTTGATCAATGTTTTGTGGCTTGATGTCCATTTTGAACCAAAGGTCACCCTTTCTATCTTTCCCCAACGTCTGTAACTAGCATGACTCCTCCCCTCCCAAATTTTTCCTAAAAAAAGTAATCCATTTTTTTTCTGAGAATCGTCGAGGATGTGGACTTTTTCGCAAAAATTCCTATAGGATGAGGACGTATTCGAAGTTTTGGGCTCATTCGAGAACTAACAGTATGTGTACCGAGACACACAGGTACCGCTAAAAACGTCGAAGTAAGGAACGATGCTTGCCTCGGTGACTCAGTGGCGTCACCAGCTCGAAAAAACTTGGGTGGACAAAGACAAATTTTCTCGGCCATACCCTTCAGACTCTTGGAAAATCCTTTTTTCGTATGTTTTATCAATTTTGAAATTTTCAGACAAGCCACTTTCTCAAGCAACAATTTTCATAACAGTGGCTTTTTGCCAGTCCAAAACTCGAAATCGATCTGAAGATTTCCTCCACAAATATTTCAAATAAAGTAAAAAGTAAAAAAGTCACCGAATCACAAGGGCACTTAAGTGGTGGGGCAAACATGTTCCACTGGTGGGGCAATGAAAGGGGCTGGTTGGGAATTTCCCCACTACTTTATATGTTGAAAAATGCCCTGAAGCACCCTATTTAGGACGGATTTACCAGGGGTTGTGGGAGTGTAAAAACCTCCACAATTTTTGTGTCAGTTATCAGTCCTTCAGGAAAGTTCTGATTCAGTTCAGTAAAAGACATTTTTTGTAGAGAGAGATAACAAAAAATGCAAAAAATTACTTCATTTATCGATTTACAAATTTAACTTAGTTTCTATCAGTTTCCAGTCGCCTTACCTCTGTCCGTTTTGCAGGGTAATAAAATCGTTTGCATCCGATGTGCTCTATTAAACATATTAGAACCATAGTCAATAAAATAATAGAGCCAAACATCTTTTTGGTTTGAATTGAAATTTAACCTCTTTGAATGACTTCAAAATTTAGTGGATCTGCCTATTCCTTAAAAATTTTTGAGAATCGAAATAGGGTCTCAAAATCCTCCACCGAAAGGACATTTTCGTGGATTTAATTTTCAATTTTCAGATCGATTTCTATCTCGTTCAAGAAACAAAATGGATTATTCTTGTAAGCCTGCGTCACAGACCATGAAGGCCAGTGAATGTCACTTTTTCGCATGTATTTTTAGAATTTCGTAAAGTGAATGAATTTTCATCTTTGCCAAAATCTTCTTTGTTTATAATTTGATAATTTCCTAAAACTCTGATGTCAACTATCAGGAAAAGAAATGGAGAATGTGACTTTTTCCTCAAGGGGCTGATTTTTCTTGGTCTTTCTTTTCCAAGTAAAGTTCAGGTAACGAACGAATCGCGGTGCGTTTCCATAAAGAGGTTGCCCGTATCGCGCCTCGTTTTCACGGTATGTTTATTCCAGTGATTCTGTCCTTCGGAGATGATATAAACAGGAAAAGGAAAAGAAGGCAGGTGATGGCAACGTGAAGCCCATGATTGTCTTACTAATCGATGGTTCGTAAACAGAGGTAAATATGTAAGTTGCATATCATCCAGCATAGGTAGTTTCGGGTGTAGTATTGCATTTTGATAGATCGATTGAATTCATTGTTATTACCCTACCCTTATTATATTGTTGTCAACAACTATCTATAATATATCTAATTTTAATCTCTTTATTATATATTTGTAGCAGTATTGTGTTATTTATTTCGCTTATAAATTAATAATATTAATCTTTTTCTTGGTTTGTGTCAGATTAGTGGTAGGTAAGATTTGCAACATCTAAACGTTTTTTTCGGTTCATCCCTTCAAGAAATTGATGATGATTAAAATACTGGTAAAAATTTATGAATAATATCCAAAATTTAAAATCTTATCATTAATTTTTCCAGCCTTCTGACATTTGGTATGGTTGTCTACTCCTGATCATTTCCTGTCATTTGCCAAGCTCTGAAGCTTGGGACAGAATTCAGAATGACATTCTGGGATGATCCAGAGACAGTGATTAATCACATTCGACATTCATGTGTGACTAGCGATGAAACAGGTACAGTTGGAAGCTTGTAAACAAAGAGTATCATCTGCGTATGATATGTAAAACTCTAAGATACCTTAGTGCCAACCCCTACCTAGATAGGGTGATGGTTTCACATGAGTTAAAAAGCACACAAGTAAACATTATTCTCACTTGTTTTATGGCACATGCTAGTTACCTTTTCATGTGCTTTTAGTACTAAGAGTACCAAGGTAAACTTGTAAACAAATAGCTCAAAATGAACAAGATCTCTGCCTGTGCACCAGCATGAGTAGGTGCCAGACTGGAAATTCTATTGCGTGCACGCAACAAATTGCCAGTGCACACATCTGCATGCTTTTGCATATTGGCTGCCCAAAATTTCTAGAAAATAACATTTACCATTATCTACTTTATAAAAAGCTAAGAATGTATAATTTCAGGTGCACAATCTCAATTTTTCAAAGTAAACTTTTCCGCACAAGAAACAAAATTTCTAGTCTGGAGAAGTTGTAGTACATATGCAAAGGAAGGGCATCTTTGTGATGATTGTTCTGCTCAAAGTAAATTGAATAACTGGTTTCAAATTGAAATTTTACCAAACTATAATATCAATTTTTAGGTATGTGTGAAATGGTCATTGTGAAGGATGATTCTGAGATACAACTGAAACAGCGGAGAAGGATTGGTGGTGGCTTTATCGATGAAACGTAAGATTTTACTACTTTTAGAGCAAGAAATTAGATAGAAAAATAGAAACTAAAGCTAAAAGTGCAGCCCAATGAAAATATGAAAGTTCCATGCTTGTTTAACATTTTATATTATAAGCTTTTGTATGTAGAAGTGGAAGATTCCAATTTACAGCCCAGAGTTTTCCAGTCACCATATGGAGGCCCTTTAAGATATCTATATACATAAAATAAATGGAACGAACTCACCGCTTGAGAATTCAATCAATAAACAAATCTTTCATTTCTCTAACTCAATTTCATTCCTCGATCCTTACGAACTCAACTATCACACCCCATAACAAAACTAAAATCAACTAAACTGTTTCCATGGATATCAGTTAATGTGCAGTGCAATTAGAAACAACAAAGAGTATTTAAAATGCGTTAAAACAATGGTAATTATGTGTGAACAATAAGAGGACGTGAAAATGCATATAAACAGAATACTAATGAGAACAGTTCACCACAGAGCTCCCCCCCTAGAGAGCTAGTGCGATAAAGCGAACGATAAATGTCATAATTAAGGAAGTGTTAAAGATGCAAAAGAGTAAACAGATATATTCAAGTTACGAATAAAAACGGTCTGGAAAATGAACATGACGTCCAGAGCGAGTTTTACGGATAGGTACATCGGACTCCTTTGGAGACGGAGGAATAACAGTTTCGTCACGACTCTTAACTGGAGGAGCATATATATCAATGAAGGCTGGCTTTAACCTGTCCAAACATACCGTATCCTGTTTTCCATTGATGTCCAGTGTATAGTACTTTGGAAAACGACGAAGAATCCGGAACGGGCAACGGTAAGGAGGTTGAAGGGGAGCTTTGACACTGTCATCGCGAACGAACACATGAGTGCAGGACTGCAAATCAACAGGAATGTAGGAGCGATTTGTATGAGACCGGGTTGGCGTAGCTTGTAGCTTGAGACTAACAGAAGTGATGTTCGTAGTGGAAGTTGAAGGAGTTTCAGAGGAAGTTTCGGGAGTAGACATGATGTTGGTGTGTGAAGTAAACAATGGCGCAAGGATAAAATCAAACGTAAACAAATGCAATGAAGACGTCGTGGTTACCAATTATGGAGGCCCTTTAAGATATCTATATACATAAAATAAATGGAACGAACTCACCGCTTGAGAATTTAATCAATAAACAAATCTTTCATTTCTCTAACTCAATTTCATTCCTCGATCCTTACGAACTCAACTATCACACCCCATAACAAAACTAAAATCAACTAAACTGTTTCCATGGATATCAGTTAATGTGCAGTGCAATTAGAAACAACAAAGAGTATTTAAAATGCGTTAAAACAATGGTAATTATGTGTGAACAATAAGAGGACGTGAAAATGCATATAAACAGAATACTAATGAGAACAGTTCACCACAACCAGGCCAAAGCCTTTATTTCATCAATCACTTTTGATAGACTGGTAAATAGCAATTCACATCAACATTTCAAAGTATGTTATCTCTTTAGACCATATATTTATATATTTTCCTGGTTGTTTGTTTCAGCAATGATTATGGAGACTATTCACACTCGTTTGACATAGCTGTGAGTCCAAATATGATTGGGAGAACACCAAGGTCGGGCAGGAATATTGACAAAGGAAAGAAAAAGTAAGTTGAATTTCTTCTTCCTAAGCATACCTTGAACAAATCATAATATACAGTAGATGGACTTCTTTATTGAATTGCCCAAAAGTTGCCCAAAGCTAGGTATCCAAATTTCTCTGTGCAAAAATGATACTATGTCATATTAACACAGGGGAAGATTTTTAATTTTCAATGCATAGTATATTATATTATTTTCATTTTTCAAAATGAGGCATTATAACCCTACATTTTATCCAATATTACAGAAATGATGAAAACCAGTGTGTCAATATACAGTGGAAAGATAAAATAGAAGACATGAAAGGTAACTTTGCTAAGGGTTTTGCAAAAATGAGACTTTGAGATTTTTATAACTATGGGTTTCGTAACTACCTATGGACTTTTGATCCCTATCTGGATATGAATTTTCTGTTTACCTTTGGTCATTACCTGATGTTTATGCTCTGAAGAGTGTTGGACAAAAAGTACTTCAGTGTGCTGTGTTTCAACTCTTTTGTACCAGCTTCAAATTTTGCAGTACTAAAAGCACTTCAGAGAGGAGTTTTTAAAACTTGCCTGAATATCAAAAATATCTCTTATGTATATAAAAAACTGATAAAAATAGTTCTTACAAAAGCAGGATCTTGATTTCTTTGTTTGATCATCCCCCGATGGCATGTTGTTGTACATCTTTTTTACAAGCCTAATTTTGTAAATGTGGTCACATCTTATTGTGATTTTTTGTGGCTGTTGTGAGGTTTTTTTCTTTGATAAATATTGTTTACTTTTTTCAAAAATAGACAGTGAGAGGCAAGCACTTTTCAAAAAGAAGTCAGTGACACAAAAGCCACATCAAGCAACCTCAGGATCACTCCTTAGTCAACTGGTTGGAAGCACTAGTAGTAAGCCTGAAAATGGATTTACAGAGTATTCAAAGTTCAATGGTGAAGTAAGTCCAGGATTTCTATTAATGTTGTTATGCTTAGTGGCTCTTTGATGGTGTTGAATTATTATCTGTTCACAAAAATGCCTATAATGCGGCTAAGAAAAATGATTCCGTATCAATAATTTGTTCTTTTTATCAATAAAATGGAAATTGACTTCATTGAGGAAGTTTTATGAAAGTTTTTATTTTCAAGTCTCAAATGCACTGAATCTGTTTCTTGATTTGAACTTTTTGCTATAAATTTATTATGTCTATATCAATCTTATCAGTTATGCTCCCCTTATTGCCACTGCCAAAGTAGCATTATTGACTGTTTTCTGTCTCTAGGGAGTTGAAGATACATGTCCAACTCATAGTGTTCAGATTTTTCTTACATTTGCTTCTGAGTCTGTAAGTACTTCAAATTCAAAACCCTTCAAATTCTTACTTTAATGCACACATCTAAAAAATGTCCAGGCTCAAGACAGTGCTGAAAAATAACAAAAAGGGCCATATTTTTCTTGCCAGAAAAAAGTCAAAGGCCACTCTTTCGATAGTCAGCTACCCCATATTTCTATTCTTATAGTTCTGCCAGAACATGGAAACATATTGTTGTTTTGTTATCCCTTTTATTATTACAAGTTTTTATAAGTGTGATTCAATTTTTTTGCATTGTTAATTAGATGCAAGGGTGTGAAATATTTAGGCAACCATTGATTTACTAGATCTAAATAGTCAAAATGGAATCAATGTTCAGTTCTTTTAGATAATAAATATGTTGATGTATCCAGAGTTCAAGCTCATAACTAAGATTTTGGAGGGTTGTCAAGTTGGGCAGTTTGGTGTTAACTGTGGCTTGAATTGCATTTTGATATAAATAAAGCATTCTTAACTAAATGCACAATCAAAGAATGAGAAAAGATAAAGATAGTAGTATAGCATTTCCTGGAATCTTTTTGCAAAATAATTCTCTGATGAAGGTTCTTGAGCCATCAACATCAACATGCTGAGTTAAACACCCCTATTTTATTTTCACTCTACTGGCTTGAATACAACACACATCCCATCTTGAATACACTTAAGACAGAAGCTTTCGTTTTGACGTTGTAGCCATCCAAACTGACTAACATGCAACAATATAGCTGCCAGACTCCATGGCAATGCATGGCCCAAAGACACAAAGCCATTTCTCAGCAAATTTCTGAAATTGTTAATATATTGATCCCTATATGCAAATGCTTTTTTACATCTCTATGTAACTTGTATCCCATGTTGGATCCTCTGATATGTAGCTTTCATTATCACAGCAAAATAGATTCTTTTCTTAGTCTTTGGCACAAATGTTTTTTGCACTCTTCAAAATTAGTTAGTACTTGACAACAACATGACATTGCAAAGATGGCACCAATTCGGTACAAAACTCAGGAGTATGGGGACATTTAAAGGAAATAGATATATTAATTCACACATTCTGTTTTCAAAATTGTCATAATCAAGATTATTGAGATTGTCTCAAAGGGAAAATTTTCACCTCTGTATATTAACAGTGGGAAAAGATTTGTCTTAAGGTACAGACCATAAGTTTGGGAAAAAATAGGTTGACTGTGGCTTCCCAACTCTCAACTGAGATAAATACACAAGAACTTTTCGATTGCTTATACCATATACAGGTTTTTCAAGGGGCACTAAACTGAAGGTGCTGATCAGAGCGTGCTTTTAGAAAACCATCTATAAATGTTTTCTATCTGTTTGTCATTCTTTATGTTTTATTTCCTTTTGATTTTAGGAAAGAGACAAGCCAGTGTCAATAACCGTTTTAGGTAATTTAACGATAGAGTCATTACCATTTATTTTTAACGATTTGTAACAAATTTTTCCAAATCTGTAATTAAAAAAAGGTCCTTACTGGTACCTAATTTTTTAGATTGATTTCCTTTTATCTTTATTTACAGTCTTAATCAAAATTGTTTCAGTTTGTAATGATGAATTCTAGTTGTCAAACATTTATACAACATACAGATGTAAAAATATGGGATCTTCATTGATGAAATATACAATCTTTTTAGCAAATGTCTGTGTCCGTGATGTCATTGGTTTTGTGTTGTACAAATGCACTGCTGAAGGGAAAATAACAAGAGCGCAAGTAAGTCTTTTAAAAAGATTAACTTAATAGCTTAATGGCAGGGTGGCTAGTAAAGCAAAAAGTCTAACTCAAAGAGTGGCAGAATATTTTTTTCATGCCAACGCACTTAATCAATAATGACATCAAAAACCTTATAAAATCGTGGATTGTGAAATTTGTTCATGTAAGGACTGCAACTTTTTCAAGTGTGGGGGCTTATTCAAAATTTTTACACACATAGTGAGGGCTAATTGGAAGGGTGATCTTTCACAAGAAGGGTGATCTACTAAATATACTCCTGCTAACTCTAGAATTTATCCAAAAATCTTGTCAAATTGATTAAAAAATTTAACACTCCCTATTAAACCACAAATTAAACCACAAAGATGCAGCCAACATGTGCCACATGTTCTTCTTTTCTTTGTATTTATTTTTGTTTTTCTTTTAGGTCTTGTATTTAACATCTAAGTGTTGATTTTAATCTCTGTGTCCAAATGGCCCCGGTGTAGTCATAGCCTTCTGCTCCCTGGGGTATCCTCAAAGTTGTATCGTAGAGTTGTAAAGTAATTTTTTAATTGATGTTTAAAAAAACCGGTTATGATTTATGCTTATTTGCATAGCAAGATCTCAAGTCTTACAGACTATATATCGCAGAAGAAGATGGAGAGGTTGACATGGATTTTCCAGGTACAGTTTCATTTTTCTTTGCTTTGCTACAATGTTGATATCATCAGGGTTATTGCTAGCAATTGTGCTCTTCACCATAGCGAGGGCCCTGGACTTCATTATGTGTTCTGCCCATGTAACTTGCTCATTTATTTTTAATTCCCATGATGATCATCTGTTTTCTTTTAGCACTGGATGAAAAAGAGCAAATGACAAAATTCGAGTTTCAGTTTTTGGCACTTGTTGAGGTGTGTTTGTGTATTTAAAGATATTCTACGTTTTTCTTTTGAAGTTCTCCTTGGACAATTTTTCTTCTCAATCAAAAATCCCTGGTTTTTTTAATTGACAATAAGATCAGATTCAAATTGTACAGTCCCTAAAAATAACAGCAAAGAATGCAAGAAGTACCCTTTTTGAGAGATGAATATAGTGTTCTACGTTTATCTGATATTTTATATATAAAATTATTATTTGTCAATATGATAATCTTAATATGATATTTGTCAATATTAATGTGATAAAATCATTTAATCAAACTATTTGCATCTAATCTATTCTCATGAAATGTTCTTCTAGTTCTCGTTTTCTTCACGAAATTATGATCTTTTAGCAATATACATGATACCTTTTTTGTTTTTTTCTTAGTCTATTTTGTTTCAAGTTGTTTATTCAGTAAACTAAATGATCAATAGATTCAACTTTATGTTTCTTTGTCTAGCGACATGCCCCTGCAAAGCCAAAGCCAGCTCCTACAAAGCAGACTGGAGATATTGTTGTTACAGTGTAAGTTTTTTTGTGGCTTCATAAAATCAAAATCAAAATCTGTAATCATAGCCATTTACTTAGCTCTCGCATGCATTTATATTTCCCCCAAACAAATAGGATTCCTTTTTTTGTATTCACTGTCCGCCTTGCAAGTTGGTGAACATATTTTACATTATTTCTTTAAGTTGGACACTTCATTGCAAGTTCTACTAGTTAATCGCGAATTAAATCTACATAGAAGTGGGGGATTGTACTGCGTAAATAGTGCTGGACTGTTATTTCAAAATATTAACTCTGTCGTGGAAATAATATGACACATTTGGGCAATCATCAGGCGAACTAAGTTCTCTACCCTCTCCTTTCAGCTACTAAGTTGCGATCCTGTTCACAAAGCTTATGCATGAAACTTAATCTTTGGATTTAGGTTGTTTAGGCCTCAGAAAGTTTGTTTTCTTTTCATCGGAATTTTCTTATTCTTATGAGCTCGGGGATCAGCTTCTAAACTTACATTTTTCATTTATTCAATTCAATTTAGCAATGTTCCCGGCAATGGTTTCTCACGCGTAAAGGTGGATCGCACGGATATAAAAATGAAGCATATTTTATCGAAAATGGTTAAAAAGAGAGGCCTCAAAAAAGCAGGTTTGTGTTTTTTCTATCATTAACGCCCTTGGTATAATTCTTCAGCTTTAATGTTTTTTCCATGGAAGTATACATACAGACAATAAAAAGTTTACCTTTCAACAAACTTCTCCATCTATTTAGAGGCACTCTTTCACCGACTCTAATGCATGTGTTGTTTAACCTAGCCTTATAGCAAAATGGTTGGTTGCCTGAGATGTCTAGTCTGTCTAGCATTGAATGGATTAATGACTTTAATGAAGTTATCAATATTTCACGGGAAAGGGAGAAGAATTTAGCCTCAGTGTTGACTTGTGAGAGCAAGTGTCTACCTAAAACCTTCGTGTTCTAGGAATCCTGGTTGTAGAGCGTATTCCTTAATTAAACCCATTTTTACAGGACGAAAATATGTTCTTGAGAAACAAGATGATCTTGGTGTTCCTGTGGATATGGAAGCTACTCTAGATGCAATGGGGACCTTTGAATTTCGTCTATTGAGAGAAGGTTTGTGTTTCATTCAACTTCGTTTAAAAGGTTACTTTTCACAAAGCTCTGGGTTCCCTTCAGTATGACGTTTTACTGTGAAATTTATCCGCACAAAACTTCAACAGTATTTTCTCATGTAGAAATTGCCTCAATATGAATACTTTTCTGCTTATTCGTTCTTTGTTATGTTTTCATAAGTTTTTAAAAGCATGATATATCACTTTATTTAAGGTAAAAAGCCTGAAAAAGTTGTTAAAGAGAACACTGAGGTGGACAGTTCATATGTTCAAGCAGATTTAATGAGCTTTCAGTATAAAGTAAGTTTGAGAGACGGCTTCATGTATAACAATAAAAGTTTTTAATGTTTCATGATTTCACAGCAATGTAAAACCATTTTGTTTGTAAGTCTCTCTATATCTTTAGCAATTTCAGGTATGGAACGTTTGGTTGTTTCCTATAATTCCGCTTCCAATTTTTGGGTTTAGGTATCAGGGGGGCTGTCCTTTCACTTGGATTTCTGTTAGACTAGTCAGGCAAAGGCAAGAAGTCGAAGGCTTTTGTCTGTTAAAACAAATCTTCCTTTGTACTGTACATCTTATTACTACAAAAATGGTGTCTGCTTGAAACACTTATGTTTTAAGAAGGAAGAATTGTAAAATATTCATATTGTTAATAGTTATTCAACGGTTTTCCTTTTAGTCTTATAAGGTGCTGATGATTCAGAACAGACTTTTAGCTACTACAGAAATTCAGCTTGGTATTTCTGGAAGAAGGATTGATATTGATCCTGTGAACCAAACAAAATCTTCAAAATTTTGGAACAAGATCAAGCCGGTTAGTCCAGTTTCCGTTAAGAATAGATAAAACACATGACGTATGAAATTTAACATGGCATGTAACGTTAATCATAAAAATCAAAACACAACACAACATAACAGAACACATTAGAACACAACATAACAGAACACATTAGAACACAACACAACACAACACAACACATAAGAACACAACACAACACAACACATCACATCACAACACAACACAACACAACACAACACAACACAACACAACACAACACAACACAACACAACACAACGCGAAACAACACATTAGAACACAACATAACAAAACAAAACACAACACATCACGACACAATGCAACGTAACTGGACAGAACGCAAATGACAAAATGATTTGTTTTCTTATACCCTACATTTGAGCAACACAACCCATAGATAAATATTGTTCTATCACAAAATTTATTTCTTTTATCAAATGTTCTCATTAGGGAATATATGCTTGTACCACTAAAGCTCAGAAAATAGGTTGCTAGGGATGAAGAACATTTTATCTACAGTAAATCAACTGTAGATAAAAAGGTGAAAAGGAATAGTCAAAATTTGTATTTACTTAATATTTGATAGTACAGTATCACTGAAAATTTTTTGAAAAATTGAACTAAAAAATCTTACCTCAACTTTGAGCTTCTAATATTTTCAGATTTATCTTGATATGACCTGGCTTGCTGAGAGCGAAATAACTGAAGAGAAGAATGGCAGGGCCTCGTTCAGAATTCACTATAAAAAAGGAGAGGAACTTAAACATTATGACTTCGAGGCACCACGATCTGTTGCAGGTACACATCTAGAGTATTTTGGCAATTAATTATTTTGTGTTGTTTACCAATTCGAGAATTCTCGTTTTTAATATTTACAACATGTTTATACTTTTCTATCTATGAAATTTAGTCAATCCATTTCTACTGCAAAAAATTAGAAGTGCAAAGAAAAGCTGTACTTACACACAGTTTGTCTTTAAACTCGTAAGTAGAGTCCATGCAATACGCTGTCTGATTGCCGAAAGACAATAAAATTATACCCTATTTTAGCAATACAACAACTACAAGTATCCCATAGGGGATTTATTTTTGGTAAAGTAGGGCAACCGAAAATTAATCCCACTTAATTTTGTTTTGAAAGCAAAATTTTATCTTAGCGAAATTTTCGCTAGGAAAATGTCGTTTGCCATTGTTGGACTTTGAAAAATGACAAGAAATTGTTTCCTTGATATTGTTAGAGTATACATCAAATGCATAACAATTCTCAACTTCTGATTCTCATTCGTCATCAAGAAATGAGATATCCATCTCAGCTTCACTTTCTTCTCCTTCATCCTCTTCATCCAAGAAATTAAAGTTCTCTATGTGGGTTAGAACTCTAATTATCTGTGGGTTGAGAACACTATAGAGTTTCTACTCGCTCTTCATAATTTCTCTCAATTATTTCTTTCTAACGTTCCAGCGGTTTCAATTTTGACTCCTTAATTTTTGAGTCACAATCGATCAGAATTTCTAATCCCCTCGTTGCAATTGGCGATTGAAAGTATTGCTTCCAATTGATTTTTCCATGGTTTGTAAAATATGGAATAAGAGAGACCCCCTAAGTAAGAGTTTGTGATATTCTTGACTACTCTTCAGTTCCATTTCTTTGGTCTGAGATCAAGATATTAGATTGTAACTTTTACGATTGCATCCCAGATAATTTTGGGTTGAAGATGGAAATAACTCACAGAAAGTGTTTCATTTCTTTGCTCACCGAAATTTTTCTTTTCACCTAAATTTTTCAAGTTCTCACTGAAATTTACACCGAAATTGTTTCCACTGAAAATTAATCCACTGAAATTTTTGGCACCGGATTTTTTTATAACTAATGTATATCCTAGTTATTTTTATAAATATCTAAACAATATGAAAATTTCTATTTTACTTAGTGATGTACCCGCTATGGCGTATTGAAAAGAACTGTTTTGAGTTGCAACTCGTTTATGTTTAAGTTTCACGCTTTGCAACGGTTTAAGTTTCACGATTCATGAGTTCATCGAGCAACCGTCAGTTTATATAACGATATGCTTTTAAAAGAGAAAGATTATGTCATCAGAGTTAACAACAAATATCTCATTTTCCTTTTTAGACGAAATCGTCCAGAAAATCAACAACATTTTGGATTCACGCCTATCGCCAATTAGGTCAGATTATTTAGCCTATAAACAAAGAAAAATCAACGAAAGAATGGCAAAGCGACATTGACTGTTGAACGTGGTTGTTAGAAACCATTTTTAAATTTACTTCCTCGTAATCTATGGTAAGGACGTTTCTCTTCCAAGTCTTCCTAAAGCGGGAATCCTGGATTTCTGGTACTAGATAATCATTCGTTTCTCTGCAATAATTTTGCTAAATCCGATGGCTCGTTAACCCAAAATGGTTTTTCTCTTTTTTTCCCGTTTCTTTTACATTCTTTCCGAAATGTTCTGTTTTGCGTGCCCATTCAGGTGTCCGTTATTAAGGGAAAACTTTCACACTTGAAAGATTGTAATATCATAATATCTGGGGCTGTTCATCCTAGGATTAAATGCGTCGATGGTTTTCTCTATTAAATTGCTATGCATAGATTTGAAATTTTACAGTGAGGTGTTTTTGTGGGAAGGGCTCAGGATTTTGCAACATTTTACACGACTGACTTTTTATAATTTACCGTTACCAATTAATCACTGAGCATTTATCCACTGCTATTGAACTAAAACATGCCACTTATCTTGCTTATCTTGCTAAAAATAAAACATATCGTGCTTAGATTAAAGAGATGTAGCCTTGGAGTTAAGCATATTTGTGTCAGTTAACAGGTCTCGTCTGCTTTAATATGAGAGACAGATTCTAAAACGCTCACAGGAACAATTAATCCTCAATTCAAATACTGTATGTAATGCTAAAGCAGAGACATTATATCTTAGGCTAAGTTAGCAAAACAGTGTGTCTCGATGATAATTTTGATTTTGCTATTCACAACAGAAAGCCCCTTTTGATGTTTCATTTCATAAATATTTCAGTTTAATTCAGGTTTTGATAATCTAGAGTTTCGATTTTGCATTTCTTTTGAAGTATCAAATGCTAAATCTATTTATGATAAAATATACTATTGATGATAATCAGGCCTAGTGATAATTAATTATTTTAGTTTGTTTTGTTGTTGCATTTGTCTGAAACTACACGGAGCAAAGAAATGGTGAAAAACTGTCTCGTTTATATTCAGTTACCTTCTCAACGATGTATACACATTGGGGAAACGAACAAGTGGAAATCTTTTAATGAGTGAGGCAACCCTCCGTCCTAGAATAAAAGAACATGCGTATAGAAGAAAGCTGTTATTAAGCATGTGTTTAGACTCCAGGACGGAGGATCGCCTCACATATTTGAAGATTTTCGCTCGTTCGTCTCCCCCAACAAGTATGGTTTATAAAGGTCAAATTTGTATCAAGTTGACAATTAGAGAATCAAAATGAAACACTGTTTAACTAGCCCATATCATCATTACTGTTATTTTTATTATGATAACGTTAATATAAGAACCTTTTCGATAAATAAGCAAATAGATACATAAATGAATAAAAAGGTATTGCATAATATTCATGGATGTCAATGGATGTCAATGGATTATATCCTCATGTATGTCAATGGAACTACACCTCAGAACATCTTTTCTTGAATTTGGAGCAACCAGAAAACTAACGTTCTTGTTCGTAGCCATTACACATCGAAACGATAGTCAAATTGTTTTAAAAAGTACACACAAAAATTGTTTTAAAAAGTAAGCACATGGGAACTGCAATTTAAATCCAACTTGTAGTGACCAGTTAGTACAAAAACAAGTCGAAAACGTCTAACCTTAATTTGCCAACGTTGTTGTTTCCATATCTACTCCATCTTTGATTGCCAAATGCGTGTCTTTCTTCAGTGCTATAGAGCGTAAAGTACGACAAACATCATGGCAAGTAGTAATCTGTAACCCCATTCTGTTCGCTAAAACTGTCTTAACTTCTATCGACGCTTACCTAAGTGTATTCAAGAGCCATTTTTGCCATGTTTCGAGGCTTTTCTATTGCAAGTTTCAGCAACCATGGCCTAAGGACCGTCACGCTATCGAGCAGTTCCCTAGTAATTTTCTTCTGGTCACGCCTTCTTGGAAATCGTCTCTTGGGTATTTACTATTTTCATATACATGATTTGCACAAGGGACACGTGCATTTGGGAGCGTTGCATGAGCAACAGTTATTAAGGCCTAGCGGGAATAAGAGTGCTTCAGAAAAACAAAGTACATCACAAAGCCCTTATCCATATGGGGATTGCTGCATGTGCTGAATTATAAAACTTTGCCCCACTAGGAATCCGAATTCTACCCTTTTATGTTGAAGTAAAACTCCAGAGATTTGAAGCCAAAAGATAAAGAATTTAACGTGACAAAGAGAAGGCACAATATGGTTGAAGCAATGTAACTTTGAATGAAAGGCACAATAAAAAACCAATTCTATATGATTACACAAGGTTTGGAAATCATCACCAAGTTACCACCCAGGGGCCTAAATTTGTACATTTGAGATTGTCTATGTTTAATCTTGTTTACTCGACAAACTAAATCTCTGATAAGAAACTCTAAACTTTTGAATGTGTTTCAACTTACTTACTTGAGAAACCAAACATATGATTAAAAATGCTTAAAACCCAAAGATGACAGCTTTGTGACTCTAGTTTTCTCAGGCCTGGATGGGAAAATAAGTCTTGTCCGGCTTCTGTATATTTTAAGACGCATTTAAACACAGAGAGTCAAAGATAGGAAATAAAGTTTTTGTTGTGTTATAAACCATGAAGCAACAATAAATAAAATGTTGACATGAGAACAAAATGAAAAATATCATTAGTACGGTACAAAATAGTGCAATGTACCTAAATTTAATTTACAAAACGTACATATTAGATATGCACAAATTTTTTCCGTGTTTCTACAATATGTTAACATTTAACAGGTTATTCCTTTCACCGCTTATTCCAATTGATTAATTCACAGAATTCCGTGTCTCGCCTAAAAAATGTCAGAGATGGATACACACTGGAGATTCTCTGACAAGCAAACCAAGGGGAATCAAAACATCCTTTATTCTATTTTTTCTTTATTGTAACTTTAATATAAATGCTAAAGGTTTCCAATTTCAGCTGCAAAATACAAATTGAAAAAGTATTGGCTCCCTAAAAATCGTGATTTTCGAAAATTCATTAAACTGGATACATGTTATTTCCTAAATTGTGTTTATCTCTTCAATTGCCTAAGCTCCTAAAATAGTCTTTGTCAACTAATGTTACAACGAACTTTCAACCAAACGATGTCAAAGAAGTGGGGCTTCAAAATTTAGGGGAGGGCCGGCTAATGCGTCATTTTACACTTTACTTTAGTTGAAAGGATCTATTTTACATTGTCCTAAATTAATGTCCTAAATTAATTGTTTAATGGTGCCATTAACGCTACGTCATAGGTGCCTAAAATGAACAAAAGCATTGAAAAAATAATTGGTACAAAGCTTTGTTTCGCTTTGACCTTTCATCTTAAATTTTAAGCGTTAAATATTTTAAGGTTTTCAGGCCTACATAACAAACTTGCATATCTAAGCTTATAAAAACGTATGCATTCGTAATATCCTGTTCAGTTTTCGCTATGAAAAACGAACTTGAACTCAACAGCTTCAAGTAAAAAAAAACTAGGCCTACAAGTAAAAATAGACTATTTGAACAGTAAAAAATGCCATTCTACTTACAGTTAATTTGATGACTGCATGTTATAAATTGTTCATTGTCGATTTTTAACAATCGGTTTATTTGAAAATGTTAACTATTATTAAGCCTATCACGTGATCAATTTCATCCGATGTTATTGGGTGAAGTTACAAAATTACGACGTAGAAAGTCACGTGATGAACCGGAATCTTGTTCAAAACAGCACAACTTCATATGGGGCCTTAAGCCAAACCAGCCTTGAGGCTTCAAGACACATCATCCGCCAGTAAACTGGCAACCAGGCTAGCTTCCGAATCTTCTTCAGAGGTAGCTAGTCCTGTCTGGTCTCCTTTCGTGCCGCGTTTCCTCATAAGATGGAGGTGGCTGTGATGGAGTCGAATCAGGCTCGAATTCATTTTGATAAGGCGACCTTGCATTTTCAGACGGAGACCCGAGGGTGGTACCAGCTTCTTTCTCAAAGTCTGTTATTATGTCTCTTGCAGCTCCCTCTAATTCTGACTTCGTAATGTTCAAGGATTCAGTCAGTTCTTGCTCAACCGTTTTCACAAGGGACTCATCTCGCAGAAGGCCTTCCTCCGCTAAAGCCTGCTCCACTAAACTTGTACTACTTCCTGATTTAGGCCTACTCAAGGGTTGGGGAACGGATGACGCAAGCAGATTTGAGTTCACATCTGATGAACGTGACTGGGCTTCAGGCGTCGCCTCCCCACTAAGATTTCTTGAAATGCTGCTTTGAGTGGAAGTGTCAGAATGCGGAGACAAGACGATTTGTGGAACATTCCCGTCTCCAGCAAGATGGCCGATTTCAAATGGTGTTGACTTTGGTCTTGGATGTCGCTTTCTCCCAAGTCTTGGCGATAGCCGTTTCAAAATGGAGGGTTTTTCGCTGGGCCCTTCGATTGGCAAATTTGTCTGAAGAACAAAAATTAAGTTCGTTGTAAAAACCAATGCGAACAATTCCAGAAATTCATCAAAAACTTCATCCCTAAGTAATATTCATTTTTCTGCCCAAGTGTAATTTTCAAAGTAAAGTTATTTTGAACTTACTTGAGAGGATGTTTTCCTTTGCTTGTCCAACATCAAAAGCGGGAGAGACAGTCTTTTAGAATTATCTTTGGGCTCCTGAAGGTTCGTTGGCGTTTTTCTGGGAACAGCAATATTTGTTCTGCAACATGACGATTAAAGAAAATAAATTATAATACATTAATCATAAAAAACCTCGAGGGTTTTAATTAAGTACGTATTGCAACAAATTCATTCTGACAGAGCGAATCTATTTAAGACTACAGATAAACTCTCTGAAAACTCAACTTTCATTTAAACCAAATTGTTTGATACTTTGTTGTCTTCATTCAACAATATTTGATGATCAATAAAACAAAAACTCTGTGTTTGTTATCGATGCTACAAAAGTGCCATTTTTTTTTCGTTTTCCTGTATCAAAATAAAACCATCGAGTGCTATTCAATTTTTACAAACATAATAAAATGGCAGCCTTTAAAGATTTATATGCAAAATGATCTGTAATCTTAATCGCATCGAAAAAGCGCTATTAGAAGAAAACAATTTCAGGCTATTGATACTTTCATAAATTCCTCGACAAAACGATATCACTAATCGTGTTTTACTGCCTTATGTTTGTATCAAATAATGTCAAAATTTCGTAGCAATTCTCGGCATTCATGAAGGTTTTATCGAGTCACTAAAAATGACATCTCCCTTAATAACTATTAAACATCCTGCAATTATTCTGTACATGAATGAGATGGATTCCAAATGAGGCCTTACCTGGAAGATGAAGGTGTTCCCTTTGGTGTATTTGACACCTGGCTGTAAACCGAGCTTCGTTTTCGATCATAGCCTCCGATTGAAGCAAACCCTCTTCTCAGACCAGCCATGAAGCTGTGTCTTTTGTTTGGCTAAAAAATGATTAGAGGCCTTCAATTTAACGAGAGTAGAAGTCAAATAATCTGATCAGCACTGAGTTTTATTACCTTGCATCTGTGTATGTATATGTATATGTTGCATTAGAATTTATTTATCTTTCATTTCTAACACAGGCTGATTTTTACAATTGCACGTAAGGAATTTTTAACAAAGTAAAAAGAGATTGAAAGCCGGGGACGTGACACTCAATAATATAAGTAGCACGTGAAGATTTGTCTAATAATTATCAGTACTCTCAATAAATAAAAATCAATCAAACCCATTCGCAATAAAATTACAGGCAGAAAGTTATTTCCTAGAAAAAGTTTACCCACTTCCTAGAAAAAGAAGTACATTGAATTCTAACCACCCTCCCCTAAAACAAATGAGCTGAAATTGATTGTAGCTTCCCCATTTTTAAAGGAGCAATTAAAGGCTAGGTTCTGTTAGTTCATCTAGAATCTGGGTAGAAAACGTAAAAAGACTATTAAAATCATGAAATTTTTGTTGTTAGATGTTTTCAAAATAAGTTAGGCAAGGAATTCATCGAAAAGAAACAAATTAAATGTAAATTAACGTACAGCTTCTTCCTCTTCTTCCTTGGTAGTTTCATCCACAAGGTCTCCTGAAATTGCTCTCTTGATTTTTGGTCCAAGTTCGTGTAATGTACGTAAACCAGCCTGGTGAAAAAAGATATAAAGTTGAAATATATACTAGCCATGCTAAAATTTTTATCTTATATGCCAGGGTGTAGAGCATCACTGATTTTACAATGCTCAATAACAGAGCTGCGTTAACTGAGCTTGAAAGGCAAGATAGTCTCCACTGGTGATTCCAAATTAAACATGCTTTGCTAAAACCATACAACTTATGGCTATGAGTTGTTAATTGGAAATACTGTTTTTTTTCTTATCGTTACAGTGCTCCACATTGTATAGACAGAGCTATAGAGGGAGAGTTTCTAGTGGCAACCCAAGGTTACACAGGCTACACAAGGTTATTCAAGGTTATTTAAGGTTATAAGGTTATCATCAGACAACTTGTTACTGTCACTTACTTACGGGAATAACAATTACATTGACAGACAGAGCTGAGAAAATTGGACTGCCTAAAGCTAACATCTTAATCTTATTCATTTGTTTATAACCAATAATTTTAGAGACATAACATTTTCAATACCTTCAGTGCAACAGTGCTATCGGCATTCTTTTTCTTTCTCTCGTCTTGTCGTTTCTTCTTGAATTTCCTAAAGTATTCTTGTATCAAGAATGTGGCATAGAATTTGCCTACAGTGATTCCGTCTGAATCTACAAATAAACATTATTCAACCAACATTATACAGAGCACGCTTTTAAATTGAAAAGGTCGACAGTGGTGGCTCCAGCCTCTGCAGAGCAAGAGGGATGGGCCATTCTTGTAAAATTTCAAGGCAACCCTCTTTGATGTTAAAGAAACCATAATACTTTAATCAATCAAAATTCTTGCAACCTTTCAGTGCTACAACATTTTGAAGGCACTAAAACTTTAAATCTGTAAAAACAAAAAAGGATGAAATCTTTCTAAAATTAATAAGAAATTTGTTTGACTGTCACATTAATTGGGTGAAGCTTGAGCCTACGGTATTTTGGCAAAAGTGAAGGGACATGATTATCTCTCCTGGCGCTGTTGGCGCAGGCAGAAACTGCATCAATGAAACTGTACATGGTGATTTCTTCGGAGTTTTAATCCTATAGTTGTATGGAAGAAAGCATGTTTCAAAATAAATGGAACAGAATGGATCTTTTTACTCACAGTCTGGGGGTGGGATCAGTTTGTCGACAAGATCTTCGCTAGTGCGTGGCCAGAGATGCTTCAAAATGGATCGAAGCTCATTGTTGGCGTGAAGTATTGTTTCCTTTACTGCAAGAAATTGGAAAACATGACATCAAAGTAAGAGTTCAAAGGATGCCTCCAGTTAACAGAAGCAAAGGGATATTTCACAACAATAATTTTTTGATAACTATTTATACTCAAGTGCTGACCATAATGAAAAAAACCTAAAAACTGAATTGCAGCATTTACTGACAGCAGGCTAACAAGTACAAAAAATTCGAGCTTACAATATATTGTTAAAAAGGCGACTGCCCTCCCTGCTTTTGAAATTTCACCCTGTTCTATACACCAAGCGTGCCAGGGGCACGTTTATATTCTTCTGTAGTATCTTTAACAACAGTGCTCCCGGTAACATGGCAACGTGATTGAATAGGCCAATCAGCAAAGGTTATCCAATCAACTTGTTGTAATATGTGCTTAGGAGCAGAATTAGCGAATTTTAGTAGCCTAGAGTCAAGGTAGTCAAGGTTAGTAGCCAGTTGGTTTTTTTACCGCTGAGTTGCATAGGTAAGTCTACTTTTAAGAGTTTCGTACGACTTACCATCTGGCCTTTTGATATTCAGAGACGTCCTCACGAGCGCAAACAGCGTTGCATGGAAGTCGACAGTGCCATCATTGTTCATCATCATGTTCATGCTTACCAGCCGCTTGCAGGCCTCTCTATGGGGACAGCATTTGCCGAAACCAAGAGGAGGCTCTATTCTTTTCAACATTGAAACAATGTCTACATGTTTCATTCGTCCACTGTTAACGAAAAAGGGAACGTAGGAAATGTTTTAAAAACTTTAGCTTATTAAGCTTATTAACAGAAAGACTGTCTATAAATTCGGATCACTTTATTTTTATAAGAAATTTACAAAACAACAACCTAATTGCTGCAGCGAAACCACTGCGAGAAAATGGTAAATACCTTATTGCCATTACATTTAAACAAATGCAAGAAAAGCCTAAGAAAATAAAGGATACAGTAAAAAACAAGTACACTCTTATCCATAAGAACCCTTTTTATCAGAGTGAGGGACAGAGTATAGGCCAGATAATTAGAATACTTCTGCTCTAGTGATAGAAGCGAGGAATGTGAAGTTGTTTAGCGCCTGCACGTTTCAACTGCGAACTGTTTGGAAAACCTGAGAGACTACAGGCTTCCTCTTTAAGTGGCACAAGAGGCTGCATAGTTTGTAAACGAGACTTTTCCTCTACGCACGAATATTTGTAAACAAGACTTTCCTCTACGCATAGGAGGCGGCACATATTTGTGTACACAAAAAACCCCAATGACAAATGGTAGGATAACAAGAAACGATTATCATTTATTACCAAACTACCGACTAAATGGGAAACTAACCTCGCTTCAGGATCGTACTCCGACCAGATTCTAACGTATTCATCAAGGTGATGGGCACCCAGAATTGACCAGTCACGTGTCAGGTAATCAAAATTGTCCATGATTACAGCGACGAACAAGTTAATGATCTGTGAAGGACATAACAAAGAGTTATGCAAACGCGCGGCTTTTATAAATGAATCAGTCTATCGAATACATTTGCCTTATGATATATTGAGAACAGCTAAAATCTTTAACGACCAAATAAATTTTACTCTGATTCTAATTATCTTTTCTCGAACAGAAAACATCTGACTGTATCAGCTTCTAACACGTTGATCACAAGGTAAGATAACTGCCTATAGAGGAACAGAAATTCTTAAATAATGAATTCAAAGAATGATTATGCAAAGGATTCAATATTTGCGGAAAAGGGGATCATCTACATAAAACTGTCCCCTTTTGAACTGCGAGCAAGATACAAACAATGGCTTGGGTATGTTTGAGGAAAACTTTTCAACGTGGTTCAGTAAGGATTTCAAATAAACCATTCGGGATTCTGCCATTCATTTTAATATTTTGTATATTTGTACTGAAACACAGTCTGGATTATCAAAGTGCCATCAACAAACAGGATAGCGGCGTAGAACAAGAGACACTTTATAATTAAAGAGTTAACAAAGAAACTTACCAAGAATGAACAGATCATATAGAAGGACATGAAATAGAGGTAAGCAAAATCTGTTCCGCATGTTTTCGATGGGTTAGTTTCACAAACAGCATCTGCCGTATTAACACAGGCCATCATGATTTGCTGCCAGTTCTCACCAGTAGATGACCTAAAACGCGGAATTACTAGTCACCAATTTTAAACAAACTTGAATTGAGGCAAAGAAATTTCTCGGTAGAGAAAAATTTGACTGATCCAGGGTAACTTGCTGTTATAGCATTTTTGCAGAATTAGTCAACAAATTATTCGGAATGGTTAATGTTGAAAACAGTAAAAAATAAAATAGCGACTCAGCAAAAGGCTTGTAAGTAATGAACCTGTTTATTCACCTGAATAGCACGATAATTGCCTGTGGAAATGTCTGGAAATTATTGTTTTCATTGATTACCGAATCTGGGTCTGACTTGATCGTACCAAACACCTACAAAATGAATGAATGAATGAATGAATGAATGAATGAATGAATGAATGAATGAATGAATGAATGAATGAATGAATGAATGAATGAATGAATGAATGAATGAATGAAAAATCTCAAAACTTCCTGAGCAGCACCTGATCTCTTAATCAAAATACATCATTTGGATTTAAGGGTCAGATCAGGTCAAAGGTGATATGTATAGTGTCAAGATCTGTGCTAAAGAATAGAATTACAATGAGGCTAATAGAAGGGAAAAGATACTAGGTAAGAATTGATAGGTAGCAAAATGTACTATCGTAAGTAGATTAAACCTTAAGAGATTGAAAGGGGTCAGATGAGGTCAAAGATTACGAGCAATGGATCAAGGGTCAAATCACAAATCATTTTAGGTCTAATAAAGGTAACCGAGTCATTTGATACACTGACCTGCATGCCAATAACCGCATAAATGAAAAACAGCAGAAGAATGAGTAAGCCCACGAACGGCAGAGCCTGAAATGGAAATTTCAACAAATATGAATCAAGCCTGACTTAGAGAGGTCATTAGGTCAAAAATCACATGTGAATCAGACTGACGTTTGTCTTTTGTTTTATCCTGCTTTGTTACTGATTAATGTTATATTTTAAGAGATCGATGAACAATTTGGTTCGTTGTGTAATAATTAATCAACAATGCAGCCTAAGCCGATGAAAGAATATTTGACATAACAAGATTAGAAGCAAAATTCAATTTACGAATACAAAAAACTGAGAAAAAAGCAAAATGCTTATTATATAAAATATTAATAGACTAATGGGGAAAATATTATCGTAGGTCTATTAAAATTAACATCTGCAAACTGATAAGAAATTCTGCAAGTCACTTAATCTGCATAGGATTAATAACTTAAAAACGATAAAAAATTTGCTGCATGTTTTATCGTATACCTGGAAAGATTTCATAAATGTCCATAGCAAAGTTCGGATCCCATCTCCTTGACTGAGCAGTTTAACCAGCCTTAGGGCACGGAATAATCTGAAGAAATTGAACTTTATAGCCGTAGTTTTCTAGAAAACAAAACATGACAAATCTGTGTAAAACGACCTGCTAGAAGATTTGAAGAGAATATATAAACAATTAGTTTAATTCTCAAAATGCAACTGATTATGGCAGGATAACACAGTATAATTTCAAATGAAGTGTCTCAAAGATGCGTCGAAATTATGCAGAATTGGGATCTATTTTAGACTGCACGTCTGAGGAAAATGGATAATAATGAACTGTGGGTGAAAAAAATAAAAATTCACTATCTAAATCCATTATTTTTAGTGAGTTGTACAATATCCATTTACCTCATTTCAAGTTAAAATACCAAAATTTTAAAAGGGTGTTGAATGAACTAATTTACAAAAGTATATGATGTAACAAAACGAGTCTAAAAATTCTTGCTTCAAAAACATTCTGCTTTTCAAAGTTATTTATCTCAAATGATTCTTAACTTTAATGATTATCATAAGGCATAATAAAAACTAAAATGGTGTTTGCTTGCCTATTTAATAAGAAAACGATTCGCTTCAAATCTAAAAAGAAACTCACCCCAACTTCTCCAATGATAATGTCAGCAATACTTCCAAGAACGATGATAAAATCGAAAATATTCCACGGATCTCGGAAATAGTTCTGTTTATAAATCAAATTAAAACGGTTAATAGAAAACAAAAATCTGATTGAAGAGAAACTCAACAGAAATGTCAAGAATTTTTAAATGATAAAAATAAATCTAGACATGAGTAGTTATGATATGCGAATAAATGACGAGAAAGAAAGACTCATGCACTGATATAATGAAGTTGTCAAAAAGGTAAAGGCGATGCATAAGATTTTGAAGCATTGAAATAAAAAACAGCCTTAAGCATATCGTATTTAGCAATAATGAAATTTCTATCTATAAAAAACAAACAAGAACATGTGACTTCTCTCTAAATTGTTTATGAGCAAAACCGCACTGAATGTGCGTATTTTGCGCAGATGTGGACAAGAGCACATTTGGGCATGCAATGTAAAACAAGGACTTTTGACAACTTTGACAACGTATAACATATAGGGCTGTTACTCCAGGACCTCTAGATTTTTGCATGCATTTCAGTAGCAAAACTTGTTATATCAAGTATTGTAAGAAGTGTCAATTGTCACATGATTTTTATCTGCGAAATCCAGCAACGAGTTGAGAATGGCCTAAAATTTCAGGCCCCAATGTACGAAATTGCATCTAATAAAAAAGGTTCCTTAGGTGATCTAAGTAAATTTCTTTCAGGTTATTAAACGATTTACCTTGTAATTAAAAGCAATCAGTTTGAGAACGCATTCCAGAAGAAACACTGCTGTAAAACCAATGTTGAACCCATCGAGCACTTTGTTGTACAAATCGAAAGAATTATGGTACTAAAAAATACAAAAAAATAACATTAATAATTTCTTGCCTTGTTTGGAAGCATGCGGGAAAAAGAAAGCATTCAAAAATTCATTAAAATTAAAAAAATTAATATCAAGACATAAAAACCAAACAAGAAACAGACAGATACGAATTAAGTCTTAAAGTGGATTTTTCTTAGCACTGGCTATCGATCTAACCGAAATTGAATCTATCGAGTGAGCCATGAGAGCCGTTTTAAGCCAACTCTCTGTATAAATCTCAATGCTGAAAAATACATACTTGAGCAGCCAAAACGACAGTGTTGCCAACGATAAACCCAAATATCATGTACTCAAAGAGGCGTGACGTCACAACCCTCCAAATATGATACTGAAACCTCTCTGACGGCACGAAGCGATAAGTTGGTTTCACTTGTAACACATACTCGACGCACTTGCGCTGTAAATAAACAAAAAGTCTGTTACGTCATCGCTGATATGACGTCATGCAAATGATAGGTAGGATACATTTTTAGATCAGGATATACCCCCTTTCGGCGTTCAAATTTGGAGTGTTTGTGCTTAATAGCAGATATACCAAAATTGATTTTTTTGGGGGAAGGGGGGGGGGGTGCTGTTGGTGGGAGTTTTTGGTGTCAAAAATTCTTAATGGTGTCTTTTCAGGACATGAAGAATAATATATTCAGAAAGTTTTAGTTTTATGGATGAGCATGATTAGCAATAAAGTATTTTACGGTATGAAATGAGATGAGACCACTAAGGTTATCAAAAATGATAAAACATTACAATTTCAGAAACATGAATATTTTATGAATTTTTCCTTTCAAAAGATGCGCTACTTTCTCAGAGTAATTCAATGCGTTCCTTATAAATCTCTGCAGCAAGGTAACAGCAGCTTTTCACAGGACTTTTGAAAATCTGCTCCTTTTACTTCTATCTTCTCGTTTATTTTGGGGAAAGACAATGTTACGGAAAAAATTCGATCCTTACAACACCTTTCTTTGAGTCTTGTTAGAATTTGTCAACTTAAGAATGATTTAGAGCGAGTTATGATAACATTCCTCTCTTAATTTTCACAGGAGAATAATTTTGCTGGGGGGAAAAACAAATATCTGACCTGAAAGACAGTATAGCAAATATGCTTGATTACGTAAGTTTATTGCCTAACGTAAAGTAAAATATTGACGTAAAGATCTTCATGTTTCTTACATTACAAGGGAAGTTGCGAGAAGTCACTAATTCGTAACATTTTATTACCTGGTTCTTATCGAGCTCACAGTCAGCGAATTCCTCCTCGCCCTCTTGTTGGAACGTGACAATAACAAAACCAACGAATATGTTGATCATGAAAAACGCAATGATTATTATATAGATCACGTAGAATATGGCGACAAACGGGCGATTGTCAAATGCAGGACCACGATCGTTACTTGTAGAGTCAATGGAGTGCTCAAGGATTCTGCAATAGATAAAAGTAGTTGTTTTAGAACTAGAAAGAAAACGGATCCAGAAAAGAACACGATTTGCTTGATGTCATACTTGCAAAAGAGTTTTCCTTTACGAGCAATGATTAAATAGCCCCACCCAACCAGCTCCCAACCACTCAACCAGCTTCGCTATATTAGCAAGAGGATAAAAAGAGCGACACTCTATGGCAAACATAAAAAACAGGGTGGGTTTTCAGCCTCAACTTTAATAGTCTAAAACACATTTCATAGGGGGAACAGCCAGAGGGAGGAGACGGTAAATGGGCCGGACTCTTAGAATTTTGCGATGATCATCAAATGTATAAACAGTGGATAGGAGCAACATTAAGCGATGTCGAACGATCCAATGTGAAATATGATTAGAAAACGAAAATGAAAAAAATTGATCATATTCATACTTGGCAAATAGGGTTTCACCCAATTAAACTGCATTGGAAGAGAGTGTAGAAGACGAGCATAAAACACCAAAAGACTGAAAATATCACTTCTTTTAGCAAATGACTTACCCTGGCCAGCCTTCAAATGTCATGACGACAAACAAACTGAGATACGCTTGAAAAACATTGTCGAAATGGAACATGCGGCGACTCCAGACTCTCTCTTGAACCTGAGATCAAATAAACACCAAATGAATCATTAAACCTGCACTGAGGAGAAAAGGCGTGAAACAAGCATGAAAATTTATGAAGGTATTTCGATGGTGCATTCAAGAAATTATTTTTCAACTGATAAAAGACCCCCACCCTACAATTTTACTTGTTTCGTACTACAGACGGATGTCTTGAAAGAAACTTCCATATATTGAAAGAACCTTTCTAAAAACTTTGTAAACACAAGCTTAAAATCTCACAAATGAATGCCAGTTGTAGATAACGCTTCATTCTTAAAGGGTATATGTCACGTTAACGGTTGGCTAATATAACAAAAACATTTAGAGTGGAATTCCATTGTTTCGTGATTTTTCATTTCTGATTCATGAATTTTTACTGCCGTGAAAACTCTACCTCGATCCCGTGCTTTGTACTAAACAAAACAGGTAATTGTATTGCGTTAGCCAATCAGGTTCACGACACATGCCCTTTAAATAATGCACACAGTAGTAAGACTCATCTCACCCCACCCCTCATCCCCATAGTTAGATTCATGTCACCCCCACTATTGAAATAAACTAAAGTAGGTATTATTTAAATAAACTAAGTAGATATTCCAATCGATAGTTTAACATCCCGAAAGAATGGATTTACGAGTATCTTAAAACGATTTAGAATAAAAACCGTTCCTAGTTTATATCCATGGACTAAAGAAAAGGTTATAAAAGCAAATCAAGAATATAATTAATAGACATATTTAATACTGAGAATAATAAGGTTCTAATCTTCTGAAAGTATAATATAATATTCTGAAAATACAGAATAAATAAAAATAAACTACTAGGAAATTAAGTTAAGGTATTTTGAAAACATTACTTCGTTAATCACAAGTGATATAGAAAAGATAAAGTACAAATTTGTAAAAAAAATAAAGACAAAATTTTTTCACGTGTTGCAAACATACCGTTGGGTTTGAGAAGTCTGTCCCTGAGTAGCTGAGATAAGTCCCCCTGAGAAAATAATAGCAAATATGATATTATCAAAATTCTGGCTAATGAGAAATTATTGTTATCATGTTTACCGTATCTCGTAACATAGTTTTCTTGAAAATATTTCATTTTTTGCCAGGCCAATTAAGCAAATGTATGAGTAGGCCTATACACTAAATGAAATACACAACACATGTCTTCGATTTGTAATCATTTATTTGGCTTAATACAATAGATTATGCTCAAATAATTAATTCGAAATTCAATGATTTTGGCAGCTGTTCTTCCTCAGAAGTAAGTCATTAAACAGATTGGTATTTCGACGTGAAATGCAATTTAAGCACGCATAAATTGGGAACGCAGAAAGACAAGGATAACGATCGTTTAGATGCCTATCAACTGTATTTTATTACCTTAGGCTTTAAAGATAATGCAATCATTCACAAAATTACATGCCAAAAGTGACTTATATTCCTCGAAGACTAGAGCATATCATCCCCATCTCTAGAAACAAAGCATCTTAGAATTATCAAAGCTTCGGGGTGAGATGATTAAAAACTTTCCATGAAAGACTTACTTGCATTCTTCCGCGGTAAGCTTCGAATCATCAGAGCAGAAAAAGAAGGTTCCCTTTTGGAAAAAGATTTCAGATAGAAATAATGAAGGATTTTTACACAAGGGAAGTTAAAACTGGAAAAAGGCTCAGAACGTGGATATTACAATAGATGTTAGGATAAAAAGTTTTTGCTAAATTGGAATAAACCATTATATATAATTAACATATAGCCTTAAATAAACAATGAATAAAACCAGGGAAAATTACGAGTCTGTTTTCGCTGTTTTAACAAAGTTTGCAGACAAAAACTTCCATTTGAAATTTTTTAGTTTCCATTCTCAGACTTTTAAGGTCAAATCTTATTTTGTAAATCTATCGGAAAACGTCACAGTTTAGAATCCTTCCAGACCATCAGTTTTCGAAATACTTTCAGCATAGGGCAGTTTCAACAGCGATTCAAAACTCGTTTTCTCGCGCTTGTTTTTTTTCAATAACTGCGATGTCTGCTTGTTTCAGAATAGAAAAAGTTGAGAATCAAAAGGAGTAGGCAGAATGGATGTCTGAAGGGCAAATGTGCAGCTGGAATGCCGAAAATGTACGGTATACTGCTAATACCTTGAACAGCTGAATGCCAATTACAGCAAACAAAAACTGGAACAACAGTGTGACAATCATGATATTTCCAATGCTTTTGATGGCAAGAAACACACATTGAACAACATGCTGTAAGGAAAATCATTCAACAAGTTAGTTTGTTTTACAAACAATTTTTCACCTGGCAGGATGAAAAAATTGAGTCGTTTAAAAACAAGATTAGTCAAAATTCTAAACACCTCGCAAGCCAAAATAATTTTCAAACCTATACTTAAAAAGACAAAACTAATCTTGCTGTTGGCCTTTTGGGTGTTTAGCACCCCAACAAACATTTTAGCCCCCCCCCCCCACTCCAATTCGCAATGTGTTCCGTAGACCCTGGCCCATTGCCCCTTTTCTATTTAGATTACTCAAAGACCACGGTAAACAACATTTTCAACAAAGTAACGAAGGCTTTTTTTATATAATATTGTAGAAATTACAATAGAAAGGAAAGGGGAATAAAAGAGGGGGCTTTGCAAAATTGGCATGTTCCGTTTGGCAAGATAAAAGTAAAAAATTATTGCAATAAAAAACAAAGATCTATGAATGAAGAAAGATGGTAGCAATTTAGAAAATTACCTTGAGGCCTTTAGCTCTGTTGATTGCTCTCAAAGGCCGCAGAACACGAAGAACACGAAGAATCCTGACTACGCTTATTGCTGATCCCCTATTCAAAAGACAATAAGATGCTAGGTGAAATTTTAATTTTCTTAGGGTAAGAATTTGCATAAAGGCGCAATTAGCATTAAATTCCATGTTACAACAGTTCATTCAGAAAATAATATAGATTATGGACTGATTGATGCAAGACTGGGGGGATAAAACAGTTTTATAAGAAACTGAAAAATTGAAACCCTGGTTTTTTGAAGTTATTTCTTTACGTATCATAAGGTGTTTTGGAAAATAATATAGTTTATAGATTTATAAGGATATATTGAAAATTATTGGAAAACATATCAGATATTGAAAAAATTTACGTAAGATTCTGCTAATATGTTGAGAAAGGTATATTTCATAAAGTCCCTGAAAATAGGTATAATTCACAAAGTTAGGTATTCGGTCAGTGGTGTTAATTAGCGTTCCTGACGAGTTGTACGAAAATCTACGAATAAACACAAAGAGTAATTCAATATTTTACCCACATAGAGGTGATGTTACTGACCACATAATGGTATTGCCAACCTATTGCCTTTTAAGTAGGGTTGGACAGCACCTATGCCGATTCGGGCTAAACTTCTTAAAGTCGTACATAAATAATGCAATTGTGTTTTGAGTCCTCAGTGACACATAAGAAAACATATCTATTTTGCAGTTAGATCTATCCTGCATTATCTTGCATGGAAATTGCAATTATTTTTCCAGTTTGTTACTAGCCTCTCGAGTTAATTATGAATTCAAGTCACTTTTGATTCTTGAGTAACAGGGAATTCTAAAGCGGAAACTCAGTTCTAGCTCCTCGGTGACACATAAGAAAACATATTTAACTTGCAATTAAATCTATTGAAAATTCCCCCACTCACCTAGCCATTACAGCGGCCCATGATACTGCAACAATAACAAAATCAAGAAGGTTGAAAAAGCTGCGGCAGAATGAGCCCTTGTGGAGGAGTACACCAAAACCAATCATCTAAGAAACAGAAACGGTGGTACACGGTAAAACAAATGGAGACCACAGGGAATCAAGTTACAATTTTACTCATCTTCGCGGCAATAATGTGGCTCATTGGATAACGTGACAACCCAGAAAAATTATACGTGCAGTTGTAATCAAGAATCAAGCGCCAATCACGAATCACAAATCACTGATCACAAAATCAGTTAGAAGACAAAAGAAATCATTTTAAAAAGCTAAAGTGAAGATTTCGTGGTTTTTAAGAAAAACGCTGAAGATTTCGCTTAAGATATCAAATGAGCGAGTACTCACAATTGCTAACGTGAAGCGAAAAATGTTACAGAACATCAAAAACAGGAAAATGACATTTTTGGGACATGTTATGTGGAGAAAAGGCATAGAGAACCTATCGCTAACCGGAAAAGTAGAAGGTAAAAGAGCAAGAGGCAGACAGAGAATGACGTATTTGAGCAACATCAAAGAATGGACTAACATGAAAAATGGAAATGAACTCATTCAAGCATGTCAAGATAGAGAAGTTTGGAGGAGCACGATCGTCTACGCCTTAGCGCATGACACATACAAAAAGAATAATAAAGTGAAGATCAATTAGCATGTTTATCGCAAACAGTTACAAAAATAAACGAGCACCTGTTCTTAAGGAAACTAAAGCAAAAAACATAGCACAAATCATAAATCATGAATTAACGCAGATAATATCAGATGATCTCAAAAGAGTCACAAACAATGGTCTTCAAATGATTACCTTGACTGTAACTTCTATTGTGAACATCACTGTGAAAAATATGTCGAAATACTCCAATATCTAGGAAGAAAATCAGTTTTTATAATATAGATAATTAAAAAAATGAGGTTATATAGTTATTTCATATTACATAAGAATAATATTAGATTATCCGATGACTTAAATTAAGGTTTATAAGCCTTGAGGGTCACATAATAGACTTTCAGATTTAGATACAAGAGCTTAGCATAAGGCCGCATATGGAATGAAACTGCAACCTGAATACAACTTTAAGATGTATAGAAAAATCTAAAACCAACGAATTTAAGGAATAGCACAAACAGAAAAAGTTCTAAACATAAACAGTGAGTCTAACATTATCTACAAAAAACAACGGATAGTGTCAAGTCAAGTCAAAGTTTTGTGAAAATGTGGATCGAGAACCAGTAGGAAAGATTCTAGCAAAGCAAGGCAAAAAGACTTAATTTTCAACTTTGGCTATGTTGTCATATCACAAGCTAGCTAATACAGTGTCGATAATAATACGTACTTCTTATATGCAAAACGAAAAGGGATGTTTAACAAGAAATAATCTCAAATACAGTTTCAGCTTCTTTAGAAAGAGCATGACAGACAACAAAGAAAACATACGTTGTTTTTAAGTTTAGCACGGTCCAATGGGTCTTCGAGACAAAGCGCAATACTGCTTAATATAATCAGTGCTAGGATGAAGTTGACAAAGATTTTATTCACTGCCAGCTTGTAACACAGATATCTGAACCTGTAAACGAGTAACAAAATTTGTTAATTATGGCTGGAAATATTGAAGGATATTCAGAATTAAAAAACCAAACTATAGAAACAATGTTATGAGTACAAATGTATGAGCCTATAAATACAAATATTTTATCAGCAAATTACTGTGTACCAGTTTGTCATAAAGTGTTCGATGCAGTATGGGCAGAGCAATACCCACTTTGGTGCATAAAATTGCAATGCCGAGTTTAACATGCATAGAGTAGATACTTTTCACTGAAACTCTTCTTAAACCTTCCCTTTTATGTAACGAATTCTACACAAAGGTATGCGACTTCAGGTGATAATCAAAAAGACTAATCTTTAAAGGAGTATTGGATGAAAATAAACTTTCAATAAGCTTTGAAAGATTTTTCATATTTTACAGACCTGCATGAAGGAAAGGAGTATCGGAGGGGCATCATTGTTTCAGAGGAAAGGATTTCAATAGTTTTTGGAAGGGTATGACCCCCCTCTAATAAAAGCGGTAGGCCCTGTATTGTTATCTGGAATTCCATTTCTGAGAATGTTTACATTTTAGATAGAAGGAAATGGGGACAGAATTGTATTTAAAAATTCAAAGAAACATACTTATTTTTTGAAGAGAATATGAAAAATGCAGACTCTTCGGGCATCGGATCTGGAATGTCTTTGAGAAGGTTCAGTTCTGAGAGCCTTAAAGGCCGCATTCTTGCTTCTGCTAAAAAATCAAATGTTTCATATTAGGTAAAAATTAAGAAAGTTTGCTAATAGCAAGAACGATTGTAGCGCTACAAAATGAGCTGGAGATATATATTTGAACAATCTTTTTGCGGTACAGAACTTGAAAATGGCTTTGAAGAAAGCAAACATTTCACAACATGCTAAAAGCTTTTTCGTCTGACACTCCTCAGAGTATAAAACGTCAGAATAAGGGTCCGAAAGAACACGATGGGAAATATACACAAATGAAAAAGCCGGGATTGTCTAGACAGACGGAAATCGTTTTCTCTTGGACTCCAGTGTTAAATTTTCTTTAGGCACGCAGCACTGATTGGTCAACTATACCGGTCTTGTGCTTGCGTTTTTCTGATTAGCCTATTTCGATCCAAAACTGGGTATATATATATATATGTTTAATCGTGTTCTCTCAGACCCTTATTCTGACGTTTTATACTCTGAGGAGTGTCAGACGAAAAAGCTTTAAGCATGTTGTGAAATGTTTGCTTTTTTCAAAGCCATTTTCAAGATCCAAATTTCTGATAAATTTCTGAAATTTCAAATTTCGAAATAGGCCAATCAACAAAACGCAAGCACAAGACCGGTATAGTTGACCAATCAGTGCTGCGCGCCTAAAGAAAGTTTACCACTGGAGTCCAAGAGAAAAAAACGTTTTCCTTCTGTCTACACAATGGCGGCTTTTTCGTTTGTGTATATTTCCCATCGTGTTCTTTCGGACCCTTATTCTGACGTTTTATACTCTGAGGAGTGTCAGACGAAAAAGCTTTTAGCATGTTGTGAAATGTTTGCTTTTTTAAAAGCCATTTTCAAGATCCAAATTTGTGTTACCTTTGGAATCTGCATCTGAACTAAAGGTTTCTCCCATCTTTCTAAGAGCACCGTTCTGAAATGAAAATAATATGAAAATCCTTACATTATGATACGCTGACATCACTGTATATTGAATAAGTGAGTTACAATAGGCAAATAAAAGCTGAGGCTAGACTTGAGAACAAGAATTAATTACTTGAAAATGTTATAACAATAAAAAGTAGAAATTACTTTGAAGTACACTGGACTGTTGCAAGGTTTCGGAATTGGGAAGCTTTACTTGGGATGCCCTAAACAATTCATTTTACTGATAAAAAGACAGGTAATTGTACAAAATAGTTTAATGTACGTAAAGTTATTAACGTTGGTAGATTTAAAAACTTTGAGACAGCCTGTCAGCTATTGTTCTTAACATATTCTTCACATAAGCCAAGTAAAGGCCGGTTTCCACTTGATTGGCTCTGGTCGCGCGACTTGGCGAAATCGAATCAACAAGTCAGCGAATCGGCGAACGCGAACAGTCGCCCAGAAGTTCAGCTGAGTTGAACTACTCAGCGAATGGTCGCGCATTCGCAGCGAATGAGGAAGTTCAATTTGCGCATGCCCCAATATGCATTCGCTTTCACATTATCAGAAGTCGCGCGACCAGAGCGGATAAAGTGGAAACCCGCCCTAAGACAGGGTGGTCTGCCAAGTAACATGCATCGTGGTGAATTAAGTCTAAACCAATCGACGTACAAGTAGCTTGGCCTAAAAAATCAAATCACATAACATTTGGATTTATGTTAGCATTCCATTAGCAGTTTCAATGATTGAACATACAACCACAGTCGACGATGTGAGTCAATGCATTTGGAGAGATTGCCTCCATAGAGTTAAAGATAAATCAGAAACGCACCGTTGCTGACTTCTCCCCCAATTCCACATCTTTTGTCATTTCGCCCTCTTCACTACCAACTTCTTGGGCTGCTTCGGGGGATTCCCTTCGTCTAAAAAACAATTAAGCAACAATTCTATTCAACTGGGTTTTAATGTTAATATTCTAATCCATAATTGACCAGTAAGACTGTTGTGATCTGGTATGGTACTGACCTGGCATTTGTTTCATTTTCCCCTTGAAAGAACTTACGGAAGAAATCCAGAGCGCTTACTACCCTCGCAAAACAATGCATAGAAATTTCCGTGCGAAAAATAGGCACAACTCACCCTTCCGAATCTAGACTGTCCATTTTTGTCTTCCAGGCTAGCTTTTTCATCAGTTTGGCGTCTTTTTTCTTCCGCTTCTCTTCTTCGTCAATTTTGGTCATGTTTACAGCATCGGCCAAATTATCAACGGCAATAGCCAAAAATACATTTAGAAGAATATCTTTACAACTGAGTCAAGAAAAAGTACTTAGAAGTATTTTCTAGTACCGAAAAGAATGCTTCATGGACTGAGAATCAAAGGTCAGAGGCCAAAACACGGAGGTGATAAAGTTAAGGGCAAAGGTCAAAACAAAATCCTCTGTAACTTAAAAGAAATAGAATGAGCTGAACAGAAAACAAGGTAAAATGCGATTTCCAAAATTCCATTACCTTTTGCTATTTCAACCATGTTTCAAACTTAATTTAAACTACAACTTAATTTAGAAATACAAGCAAATGACTTTTCAAATATGTAAACCTCCTGGTTATCTCAGAATGACTGCAAGCATCGTCTTTAGATAATTAAAATACCCAATAAATTTCTACCCACGAAAAGATACAATTTCCGACGATCACCAAGGTAACAAAATAAACGATTGCGATAACTGACATTGGCTCATTGATTCCTCCCCAAGACTGAATCCCAAAATACATGACTGCATTCCAATCCTCACCGGTCAGAATCTGAAACAAAAACATGGGTTTAGTTTCGGTAAACTTTCTCAGACAATACTAGTAAATGTTAATCAAAAAGAAATTCAGCACAAAAACGTTATTAGTTAACCTAATTATAATATTACAGTTCTCAGTTATGTTACCAAATTTACAACTTTGGGCACAAAACACGCGCAGTAGCATATGTATATGGTAACATTTCATCTTTGTCTCTGCTAAAAAGCTGAGGTAAACAAAATTCAATAACAGATATATCAAAGAGGTCCTGAGGGATGGATGCAAAATCTTTGCACCAAATTTCGCCGATTGTGACTTGTATTGATGTGTTTTTCCTACAGCAACAGAGCTGTGTCAGGACCAGCAGTTTAGGGGGGTTAGAACCATAAAGCAGCTTATCACAAGGTATGTGGATTCAAGGTATGAAACATACCAATTACTTTTGGTCCCATATTTGCAAAATAATGACGAATTCTTCTACAGGGTATGAAATTAAGGATTAAAAAAGTTCAAAAAGTATTTTATCTTTAGTAAAACAATGTACACGAACCTGGAACACAGTAATCAAAGATCTCCAAAAGGAATCGAAGTTTGTCCTCGGGGCAGCTTCTTCGCCTAAATTGAACCTGTCGGGAAGAAAGGAAAAATTCCATAAAGAGACAGATTTCTGCTTAGCTAGTTCATAATTCCATGACGCTTTAATGCTGAGCAATAAAGCGTAAGTTGGCAGGGAGAGGGCTGATTTTCAAGCATGTTTAATATAAAATGACGGGAGAAGATTCTACTGGTCGAAAAACAATAATCCACGAAAAAGGGTTAACTTCACTTCAATATGCAATTTTCTTTAAGATTTATACATCTTTGATGCAACGTAAAAAAATCGTCAAGGAAATCTTCGTAAACTGCACGCAAAATCTTCGTAAACCATAGGAAAGAGAATGGAAGAGGACCGATAGTTGAACCCTTATTACTTTGCTAAATGCGCTCCTCTGGCACTTTTCTAAAACGTGAAGCATAAAAATACCCCTAGCTTTAAACCCACACTCAAAGGATGCATACCAAAAAGTTTGCAAAATTAAAAGAATTTTGAAGGAACACGGTATCTACATGGCTTTGTTTATCATCACCACACTGCTCATAAATAAACAACTGGTTGCTAGAAACAGTCACTGATATAAAAAATCAAGACTGAATCGCGCTTCTAGTGTGGGAAGAGTGTCGCCATTCAAGGAAAAGGCCTTTTTTATCTTCGTTACTCATAAACATGGCATTGCATCTCTCGCCTTTCCATACTACTCAAGAGATTGGTCGTGTGAAATGGCTTCCCGCTTCTGTTTGGAGCCTTCTTTTCTTTTGAAATTGAGCAGGAATCAAACTTTGGTGTTTCAATGCAATAAAGGTTCGATCAAACCTTTTTAATATACAAGTGGAAATACTGCGATTATTGAGTATGATTTAAAAGATAATAGAAACGAATCATGTTACCTTCCTCCAAATATCTGCATCCCAAGAAGAGAGAAGATCAATATGAATAGAGACAGCAGCAACAACAAACTTGCAATCGACTTGATGCTGTTCACAAGCGAGGCTACCAGGTTGCTAAGAGACTCCCAGTACCTGATATATAAAAGACGGGAGTTGAGGATTTGCACAAAAACTGTTTGAAACAGCACTCTGATTGTCTCATATAGCTTAAAAATCCTAAGATTATATTTGCTGTTATTCTAAATGCATGCCTAAATAACTTCAATTTTTGCTCTTTGATTCATCTACATCCCCAACGTTTTGAGATGGTCCTTATTTTGGTCGAATTGCTTAAGGATATCCCATTTAGAACGCTGTTAGACTCTCTTACTGCTACACTACATTTCATCCTAATTTTCATTTTCATACTTATACAATACTCTGTTGACAGTTCTATTAAAAAGGGACCATGGTGGACTAGCCTGCTCTTAATGGCAAACGGGTATGGAGATGTATGCCGTTTCCAGAGATAATTCACTGGGAGGCACATTTTGAAGAGGGAAAACATTAGTTATGGTAGTTAAGCTCTGGCAATTAAAATACTTGATCTCTTAATTTTCGTATTTAAAATACTTCGTTTGTTTTCGTACTACGTTTGTTTACGAAATGTTGTTTCCGGGCACAAATATCTTTGATGCAGCTCTGGTAGCAGAATAGGAACAGTTACCACTGATTTATCTAAGGTTTGATTCAATCATGAGCAAAATATCAGAATGATGATGACGTAGCAAAGATGACTACCTGGTAACTTTGAAGATTCGCAGCAACCTAACGCATCGCAGTACACTGATTCCAATTGGAGGCCACCCAGTTGGCACGGTTATGGCAATTTCCAGCAGACTGCTAATAACAACCTGAAAATTATTAATAAAGCATCATCAGAATGATATTAGCACGAATAAAGATAAAAAATAAACATAGAAAGAATGTGTCCTCGTTCTTGCAAAATAACAAACTCTATTAGAGAGTAAAAACAGGGGCATAAGTCAAAGGTCAAAGATCTTAGGCTTCTTTTGCTTAAGGTCACAGGCCATATCTAAATCAACAAGGTATCATTAAAAATGCAAAATTACAATATGGAAAGAAATAATAGTAGACAAAAATTTTCAGTGCCAAAATTCCTTAAGAGCAGCTAATAGAGGTGAAAAAAGGAAGGCCAGGAGAATTACTACGATTCAGAATTTAAATTGCAACTCCGATGAAAAACTATTGATACTAATTTTACTGAGTATTTCAAAAATTAACAAAACATGATCCAAATTATGCGCATCCTGTCCTTAAAGAAGTTGAGACTCCATTAAACGGACACCGTTCGGACCAGTTTCATTGTCCGTTGTAGACAGGTGTTCATTGTATAAAGGTTCCTTAAGGATCGTTTTGACCATTTGGACAAAATTATCTGTCCGTTGCTGATAGGTTTCCATTGTATAGAGGTTCCTTTGAAAGCGTTTCGGCCATTTGGGACAAAATTATCTGTCCGTTGTATACAGGATCGGTTGTACATAGGTTCCGTTTAGAGCGTTTTGACCATTTGGGACAAAAAAATATTTGTCCGTCGTTTATAGGTGTCCGTTGTATTGAGGTGCCCATTAATGGAGGCTCGACTACAGTAAAATACCAATAAGCAGGTATCTATCACAAAAAAGCAAAAGGAACAATAGAAATGTAACATAACAAACAGGTTATTGGTATCATTATGTGATAAGAATAAAATAAATTTACCAAACAATCGAATCTGTTGAACAAAGAGTTGTGGTATCCATGGAAACCAAGGCAGTAAATTTTCAGCAGCATTTCAAATGTAAACAGGCCAAGAAAAAAATAGTTTGCTCTATCTGGGAAATAAAAAAAACACGAAACATTAACAAACTGAATAATTACAGATAGAAGATATAAATCTACAGAGAAAATAAAAGGAATGAAGTAATCTTTACTTTCCCAATTTACGGCTAAAACACTTTTGCTTTCTTTGGAAAGTCAGGGAGTCCCTTTTGAGTTTCTTTGGAGTGTGGATAAGTGACAGGGTACAAATATGTTCTAGAATTTTTGAATTTGGAACAACTAATCTGAAAATACCTCTATTTGATTTTTTTCATACCTCTAAAAATTTACAATACATGTTACGGAATCGCAATACTTACAAGCTACTTAACAATACTACAAGAATCACGAAGAGCAAAAATCTGACTACCCAATGGCGTTCAACAAAAGTTAATTAGTAAATAAAAGTCTACTCAATTGACAAAATCAGCACATATCTTACCAATTGCCTGAGATTGGGAAAGGGACAACTTGAAATTTAATTGAATTTTTATATAAATAAAGGGGCTGAATGATGTCGTCATATCAATTTATTTCAAAACTTTTAATTTGGCCTACATCATTTGAAAGCGAATGCATTTAAAAGCAGAACTTGGTCAACACCATGAAATATCTGTAGAAATGCAATACCAGTTTAATATGCTACGAATTAAAGGAACAGCAATAAGCTTGGAAAAATACAAGAATAAAATGGCATCAAGAACAGAGCAAAGTCTGAACTCTGAGTTTTACGCTTAAATGCGATCATGTTCTACAATGCGATGTCATTTCGTGTGGCGACACATGCAATCATTAGGTGACATGCAAAAAAGCCGCGTAAAATTAGTGTAACGCAGCACGTTGCACGTCGTTGAATGACAACATGGGACCCATCATTTGATGAAAAGCTATACTCGAAACGTCGTGATAAATGTTTATTCTGGGCAAAAATTCGCTGTTTACGTTCTATGCTTGGCCTTCAGCGAATGAATGAAAGCATCGAAAAAGACTCTGCTTTCAAAAACAATGTGTTTGCAGATTTCAAGCTTGGCTTATACGCATTAAAAAGTCTTTTAGCAACAGGCTTTAAATGACTTAGATCAAAGACGATTAGGAGAAAGTTCAAAATCTGCAACATGCATGGCGTGGGCTTTTCAAAACAAGAGATAGCAGCTGCTATTTGGCTGGCTAGAAAAAACAAGCTAAGAGGTACGCATGTGGAATTGATAATGTGAAAGGCTGTGAAAGTATTATATGTGGGCGATAATATTTTGTTGGGAAGAAAATATCTTATGGGAAAATAATCAATGGCTGAAGAATCATGCAGTTAGAAAATACCAACAAAACAGTGCGGTGAGCTTAAAATAGAACAAAATTTCCTTTCACACACGAAAGCACTCGAATGAAAGAAAGAGGTCTAAGTAAAAAAGCTAAAAGATTAATCTCAACTTTTTAAATCCGCTCCTCGTTTAAACAGCGAAAACATTTGAAGCTGGCAAAAAAGAAAGCTTTGCAAATTCCTTAAAGTAAAGACCTCCCCCTAACATAACAAATTTTTTGTACTAGCGAATATCACAAAAAAATGACTGGAAAATGTTGCCCTCCCAATCCACAGCGAATGCCCTTCCAAAGCAATTGGGAGTGTTTAGACGCCTGGATTGGAATTCACTTCGTTTTGCTTTCGAAGTACACTACGCCGGATTCAATTCCCGAAATTCTCTTGGTTAAAATGCCCAATGAAATTAAGAGAAACGTTCAAGAAGATGCTTTCGTTTGGACGGACAGTAAAGTGTAACAATTCTACGGAAAAAGAGGCAGCTGATGTAGGAGCGAGGCACTGGAGTGAAAATCACTTTGGACTGAGCGTTTACACGGGATAAAATGCGACGCAGAGATCTTCGGACTGATATTTAATTCAGCTCCAAAGCCGATCGGCGTCGTGTGACTGAAACCAAACCGGAGTGAATCCAATCCGGCGTCGTGTAACTTTGGCTTTAATAAGCACGCGGGCAAGTTTCATCAGGATTAGGTTTCGGATTAATCCGAGATAAATCGAAACTTACCCAGAAACATAGTGACATAATGTGGCTGATTGTAATGCTCAACTGCCAACACCAGCGAATTCAGGAAGACTGCGATTATTACAATCCAGTAGAATGTTTGCGACTTGACAATTTTTCGACAATGGCGACGCAAACGATGGTGCAGCTTCTTCAATCTTTTCCTGGTGGCAGCAGGGAACAGGATTAGAAACAGGATTAGAGCAAGCTTATGTTAATTGACGCAGAAAATAGCAAAAAAAATGGTACTGCACATATTGTTATGCAAACTAACAAGAGAACACAAACATATAGTACATAGTTTCAGATTTGTGCCTTTCCAACCTAAAAAGTGAATAACACAGTCCGTAATTGTATGAAAGTTTAAGTATGATATCCTAAAAATCTGTAATTCAATATTTCAGTATACCTAAATTCACTTATTAACTGAGTTGATACCAGTATTAAAGGAAGTTTCAAAATATCGACATTGAGTATCGACAGCAAAACTGCAGAGGGGGATATGAGAATCTAATCCTATTAATTTCTTGTTTGCTTAACAATTGTCATAAATTGAAACAAACTATGTTGATACACTAAGAGCCCGTTGAATGTTTTAAGATTGTTTTAAAACACACACAAAATCTTCGTAGTCTTACCTAAGAGGAAGTTGTTGGGGATAGCCCTGCAGGTTAACAAGACCTGACGACAATCGACTTGCTTTACTATCTCGTCTGAAGGCTAAAAATTCAAGGAAATGTAATTAGACAATGCTCACATCCAGCGAGATAAAATCAACGGGTTCATAACTTAATAAGAATCACCTGGTCAATATTCTAGTAAGAAGGTGCTGCCCTAACAAGATTTCCGGACCTTCCCTCGAAATTCAAAGAATAAAATTATGATAAATCGAAATAATACACTCTAAACGAAAAATCTGAACTAATTCAACTAATGTATGAAATGAGTAAAAACAGTTTCGCAAATTAATGTGAAGTTATTGCCGCACATTTTAATTTATTTAATTTCACTCAATCTAATTTGTTTGTCATGTTAGCACACCAGTCATTGACTGCTTTGCAGGAGTCCGTGAAAAAATTAGCAAATTAGAATTATTTACAGTTTAAAAATAAAAGCCAATATAGATCTAAAATAAAGAATGAAAAATGAAATGTACAAGGAAATGAAAATCAAGCATGTGTTTTTTAATATCTTTTTTCCAAATTTGAAGAGAATATGTATGTTTGACGTCAGTGCTCGGTCGATCCCAGAGCCAAGCACAATGCATAATCATTAACCCAAACATTGCTCGTTTTCTTAAGCGGGAAATACAAGTCAGTTTCTGTTTCTTTAGATTCTTGAGAATAGCGCTTGATTAGTAGCTTCAAATTAATAACAAGCTCAATATCACGTATTTCTTTTACTAGGTTTGGTCCATATTTGATTCAACCACACTCAGAGAAAGTTTCTTTTGGTTTGATAGCTAGACTAGTTACATGCTGCCACCTCACGGGCAATGAGACGCTGAAAGCATAATAATTTCCCACAAAACAACAGCTAATAAGACGAATAAAGCATTTATGTTATAACAAGCTGCACATCATCCGTAAAAATTTAAGCGTTTACAGAGGGGCCATTGTGTGAACCTATAGCATTGAAGAAATTTTTTGACCAAACATTTTCTCAAAATATCTATGAATTTTCTACACAGTTCAAAACAAACGTGCATGAATCTGTCTAGGTTATAAAAACTTAGCGAAGCAACAAAGGCAAGTTCAATTTCGCTTTCAAGATTAATGGTCCAGCAGCGGAATATAATCTGTTAAACAGAATGCTGCCAAAGGGCCAATGCTAATCTGGTAAACAAAATCATTGAAATTAGTCCTCTTTTGTCATATAGCAAAATGTATTCAGAAACTCCTTACACAATCTTGCTTCAGCCGAAATATTGTCCATTGATTCATTGTCAGCTTCTTCGTCGGCACAAACGTCCTCCAAATCAGCTAAAAATTTTGAAAGCCAATATATATATCAATATAAAAAATATAAAAGAATACAAAAAAAGATTCTCCAAATCAATCATTTATTCAATTGGCTTTCTATCCTGCTATCTCCATGTAAAAAGTTTCGATTATGAAAGCTAGTGATAAAGATTAAAGTTATACGTCTTTATGACTATTTAGAAACGCTTAGGCCAAGTCTTAAGAAAACATAACAGGGAAAAATGGATTTCCGAAATTCATCTACCAAAAACAAAACGTACTTGATAACGCAGGATAAATTGTACCAAACATACAATTTAACGTTTTAACGAAAAAGTGAATCAAATTATTGATAAAACGATAATTGAAAGAATGATTTACCTGCTTGGTTAATCCAGTCCAAATACCCCTTCACTGCATCTTCAATCATGTGCTTTTCTCTTATTTTATGGAATTCTCCTGACTTCTGTTGTCTTGCTTTCTCCTTCGCAAATTCTCTGAAAAAATCAACAAAAAATTGAGCTAAACAAGCAAACAAAGAACAATTTTTTTAACTTTAAATTCTTTTAGGAAAAAAGACTGTGCTTTTGGACAAAAAAGCATGAAATTGCAGGAATTTTTCAGCACTTTCTTTCCTCTTCAAGGGGACTAGGTTTGATTATGAGCCGAAAAGAGCGCGAAAAAATTTGCTGATGCCATTTCCTGTTGTACATATTCTCGTTGCACTACTGAATAGATTACAGTATTAACCATGTATTCTGTTTGATGAAACTAGAAGTGCATAATTATGGGTCTAACAGAGGCGTGCTTAGAAAAATTTAGATAATCCTTTTAACAATAAAAAGCGCTTGGTTGCTAGCTAAACAACAAATAAAACGAAGCCTAAACGCAATTAGTTGCAGACTATACATTGCGTTAACAGATGAACAAGATAAAAAAGAATTCAACAGACACTTTGAAAAAATACTGCAGCTGCAATGACTCTCAAAATGACTGTTTCTAGCATCGATTTGAAACTAATTCATATAAGATCAATCGTAATTTTGGAGACTAACTTGATAAATGTATTAAAAGAGGTAGCTAATTCTCGACCTATTCTGAAAAGAAAACTTTTCACTAATTCAAGCAGAGAAACTGAAGGAGGAAAAGTAGGAGCACCAGCAGAGGCAGCAACAACAACAGGAATAGCAACAACAACTGAGACAACAACTGAGACAACAACAACAACAACAACTGAGACAACAACAGCAACAACACGACAGCATCAATATCAACAACAACATAGACAACATCAGCAACAGCACTTGCGACAACTAGGCCAAGAAGCCAAAATAAATCAAATATATAATTGCAAACTGTTCAAAACAGTTTGTACCTAGATTTTGTATGATAAGAACGTAAAGAAGAATAATACGAACCCGCTGAGAACACCAAGAATAAGATTCAAAACGAAAAATGATCCCCAGACTATTAGTGTTACAAAGTAGATCCAAGGCCACGCACTGCCATATACGTCATGTATCTAAAAGGAGAAAAGGTGTCTCGAATAAGCATAGCATAAACAAAAAATAACATGTTACAAGTTGGCTGAGATATGGCCACACAAATACAGGCCCCTTCCCAATCAAATCGATGCACAGAAATTTGTCATTGGTTCTAAAAATTACCTTAATACTGATCAAATTAAATACATTGCCTAAAATTACCTGGTAAAAATTAACGATGGAGTGCTTTCAGAAAACGAACCTATCCTCATTTTCAATTCAGATAAACTCGTGGTAAAAACTATCCTATTCTCGAAAAGCCATAGTTTCGACTTGTAATTTGTGATAGCCTTTCCTAAACGAATGACTAAGATATGTCTCTTTTCCCTTGTTCACGGTCTCGTTGAAAAAGCACTGTGAAATCATGATGAAAAATTCAGCCATGAAAAGAAATTCAGCATGAAATATCTTACGCCGTAAAGCACATCTGTCCAGCCTTCCAATGTGATGCACTGGAATACAGTGAGTGCTGCGAGGCCAACATTGTCGAAACTTGTAATCCCATAATTAGGGCCTTCCCATGTACTTCTACAAACCGTTCCCGGTGGGCATTGTCGGCCAAAGTTAGTTGAATTACTGCAGGGTCGAGGTTCTGCAGAATATAGCTCGTCTAGAATAAAGAAAAACAACATCAGGTAGCGTGTATAATCTAACCGTTGAAATGAAGCAAGTTAAATTATTCTTCAGTATAAAAAGCCTCTCTTTTTCTCAAGCTGCATATATATTATATAACCCCTATGTTTCGAAGGCACGTGTCTTATTTGAATAACCCACATGATGTAATTTACAAGCATAACTCGAATAATACCAAAGGTTAACATTAACTTACAGGTTAACAGTAACCTCCATTATAGCAGCAATCATAAAATCATATATGTTATGGTTATTCAAAAACGGTTTTAGCCATATTTCATAAAATCACATGAAAAATTTTAAGATCAAGAACCAATCCAGAAATCAATCGTAAATCTCAAATGCACAAACAAAGATTTATTGCCAAGAGGTTTTGAAGGCACTGTAGTAAAACCGAAAGACCAGACCCCCTGCGAGAAAAGCGAGCAGAAAACTTTTGCAACCATCCCTTTAGATTAGCTTAAATTCCTTAATTTTCTTGCAATCGTCTAAAACGCTTCAGTGTTTTTAGAGATGATTCTGTTGCTTCTAATAAATTACATTTTAAAACAGAATTCATTACTTAATGAGGCCCCCTAGACCTTGAGGCCCTGGAGCACTTTGCTCCCCTTGCCCTCCTATTGGCGACCCAGCCTGATAATGCTGTTTATGTAATTAATTTAACAAAACAAAAATGAGTCTTTGACTGTTTTAGGGTTGATCACGACTTCATCGAGTAAAGGGAAACCTCCCGATTAAGTTTTTGGCAAAAAATGGTATAAGCACTGCGGCCGTTACTCGGTCTTACAAAATGTTATTAGTACTGTCATGGTACCATGCCTGGTAGGCTGCAATAGATTACCGAGCATGCAGTAACAAGCACCAAGCTGGCTTTAACCAAACATTTCACAGTTAAGCGTTGTCTGTATGAGTCGAAACGCTTTCCAAACGTATATTTATAAAACACGCCATTTTATAAAATAAACAGAGAGCAGTTTACAACAGCATCGCATATAATCTACATCTGTCTCTAGAGCTACTTTCTTGGAACCTATAGCCTTTATGAAATGCCGTAATCCACGTACTTTGAGAGGATAATCTGTGGCCTTGGATTATTTGTTATCATTACGATTGAAGACAACCGATTAATCCTTCTTTTACAAAACCGTCAATTCAAAACACTCTTATAAAAAGAGGGGATAAAACGCATGAGAAATATCCGTGAGAAGGATTCCTCTTGTCAAAATTTTATTGAACAACCAACTACGCGAACAAAAATTTGCTTAGGCAATAAATTAAGCCTAAACAGGAGAGATATTCAAAATTGGCTGTCTTAAAGTGAAGCAATAGGTGCCCAGAAGATAATTTATTTAAATGAGGCTTTTAAGAATGTTTGGAGCAAAATCTCTTTACACAGTATTTCACCTCTGGCCACAATCGTTATCCAATCTGCAATTATTGCAAAGAACCAATCAAACGTACTATTGTTCCACACAAAATACCCTCACATGGATATAGTTTTTTTTATAATTTGGTCATTATCCGACAAACATTATACTAACGATTGTAGGAAAAAAATATTTTTTCAGTAGTTCGTTTTCCGGTTCTCCGTGCTATTCTAAAATTTAACTGTTCTTAATTTAGGGTCAACAATAAGAGCATAATTTGAAACTGAATATTCTATAAAGAAATATATCCAAACGTGAACCAATGGGAATTCGTGTATCAACAACAGTTATATATCAACACAACTAACGGGGAATCCCTACAACAACGGACAACTTTCTTCAATGGACACCTTTTTACAGTGGACACCTTTCTAAAATGGACAACTTTCTTCAATGGACACCTTTTACAGCGGACACCTTTCTACAATGGACAACTTTCTTCAATGGACACCTTTCTACAACGGACAACTTTCTTCAATTTCTACAACGGACAACTTTCTACAACGGACAACTTTCTTCATGGACACCTTTCTCGACACCTTTCTAAAATGGACAACTTTCTTCAATGGACACCTTTTACAGCGGACACCTTTCTACAATGGACAACTTTCTTCAGCGGACACCTTTCGACAATGGACAACTTTCTTCAATGGACACCTTTTTACAGCGGACACCTTTCTAAAATGGACAACTTTCTTCAATGGACACCTTTTACAGCGGGACACCTTTCTACAGCGGACACCTTTCGACAATGGACAACTTTCTTCAATGGACACCTTTTACAGCGGACACCTTTCTAAAATGGACAACTTTCTTCAATGGACACCTTTTACAGCGGACACCTTTCTACAATGGACAACTTTCTACAGCGGACACCTTTCGACAATGGACAACTTTCTTCAATGGACACCTTTTTACAGCGGACACCTTTCTAAAATGGACAACTTTCTTCAATGGACACCTTTTACAGCGGACACCTTTCTACAATGGACAACTTTCTACAGCGGACACCTTTCGACAATGGACAACTTTCTTCAATGGACATCTTTTTACAGCGGACACCTTTTTATAATGGACAACTTTCTTCAATGGACACCTTTCTACAACGAACACCTTTCTACAACGCACAATTTCCTTCAATCGACACCCTTCTACAACGGACACCTTTCTACAACGGACAACATTCTTCAATGGACACCTTTCTACAACGGACAACTTTCTTCAATGGACACCTTTCTACAACGGACAACTTTCTTCAATAGAAACCCTTCTACAACGGACACACCTTTCTACAACGGACAACTTTCTTCAGTGGACACCTTTCTACAACGAACACCTTTCTACAACGCACAATTTCCTTCAATGGACACCCTTCTACAACGGACACCTTTCTACAACGGACAACATTCTTCAATGGACACCTTTTTACAGCGGACACCTTTCTAAAATGGACAAATTTCTTCAATGGACACCCTTCCACAACGGACACCTTTCTACAATGGACTACTTTCTTCGATGGACACCTTTCTACAACGAACAACTTTCTTCAATGGACACCTTTCTACAACGGACAACATTCTTCAATGGACACCTTTTTACAGCGGACACCTTTTTTCAATGGACACCTTTCTATAACGGACAACATTCTTCAATGGACACCTTTTTACAGCGGACACCTTTCTTCAATGGACACCTTTCTACAACGAACACCTTTTTACAACGGATAATTTTCTTCAATGACACCTTTCTACAACGGACACCTTTCTACAACGGACAACTTTCTTCAACGGACAGCTTTCTCAAATGGACACCCTCCTACGACGGACACTTTTCTACAGCAGTGCAAATTGCGTTCAAAACAATTCTTTCTTGAGATCTTGCTTTAAAGATTCACAATAAAAAAGCTAGCAATAAATCAAGAAGAAATTGGATAAACTCACTTGTTGTATTGTTATAACAGGTTTGATGAAGTTTTCCCATAAATAGTTCTACTCCAATTATGGCATAAATAATAATTACAAAAACCACAAGAAGTGCTATGTGAAACAGCGGCATCATAGCCTTGATTATTGAATTCAGAACTACTTGTAAACCTACGGAGAAAAGAATCAAAATCAATCACTCATAATCACAAACGATCACAAAAGAAAGAAACGATTAACTTATACAATGCAAAGTATAAATCAGTAATCCCTGATCGTTAATCACTGATCACATATAATAGCCTCAACCAAAACAGATGAACAATAAATAAGGACTGTAACTTAGTAGATATCAATGAGAAACGCTTAACTTCATATCATAGGGAAGGGGCTTTACTTCATATCATATCACTTGAAAGCTCCAGATTGCAAACCTCTTTTTGGATGTCAGTATTAATCTGAGCTTCTGTGGAGAGAATGTTTCTGTTTTTTCTTCAATTTATGTGTGCGGAAAAAGCGAGTTCCAATTTCATGTGTCGACCGGACGGTTTGAAACTAAATCAATAGCTCGAAATTTTTCCTCAGGACCCATATCCAAATATCTTTAGTCCCCCAGTTTTTTGAAACAGAGTATGACCAAAGCAATGTACTGAACCGAATAAGTGATTTGAATCAGTCTCATAATTGATTTACGATTAGAGGTAAAAAGATCATATCCCATTTCAAAGGCCGTGATTTTATTCCTGAGCCTAACTTATAAATCTTTGCTGACCACGGCCAGCAACGCCAACCGTTCAAATACAGGTAAAACTTTGTTTTCAGGCCAGGTTTTTAAACTATTTTTCTTCTCTTTTCTTCGAGTTTCGCCAAGGGAGGGAAAAATTATTTTCGCCTGGTTTCATGTAACACAGCATAGATCGCTAGAAGCTTACGAAAAAAAATTAACCAAGCAGCCATTCTCTTAATAGATAGAATCATCTCAAAGGAAATTATTTGAAACAGAATTTTAAATGAAACATCTAATAGGATATTCCTAAAACTGCGACTTCTGAAGTCCTTGTACTGGAAGATTCAATACTCGATTAATTGTTACCACTTATTTAAATCTAATTTCCAGTTGTAGCAAAAGTTTTTCAACTTCGTCACACAGGTGCACTTTGCAACCTTCCAAACAAATGTCAATAAATCAAGTGCCGAGACTTAACAAGATAGAATTTTAAAATGATGGCGATTAAACCAAAAAGCAACATTTCGGATTCGAAGGAGAAAAACTGGGAAAACGACGAGAAGGCGTTACGAATGACTTCCAATAAAATACTTTGTTTACTGCATCATTTTAAATTCAGACAAAAAATGAGAAGTAATGTTAATTAAAATAAAATATGTGATGGACCTTCGAAAAGAGTTGCACAACTGGCTTTTCTTCACGTTCTAATATTTTCAGGCATCAAAAAACTGAATAACCTATTGAAGTTTCTATTGGTGATTTCTGAGTGCGAAATCGTCTAAGTAGCATTGGGGCAGGAGAGCTTGTGTCCCCACATTTTCGCCAAATAATGAAAGGGCTAAAAAGATTTGGAGGCCTAAACATGCTAAAAACCAGGAGCAAGGTGATTTTTTGCATGGTTTTATGCAAAGTTTTGAAATTATTGGGGGGGGGGGGCTTAAGCGGTCCCTGAGTGGAGAACTACAGCCAAGTAGCCCTCCAGGGACAATGACCGTGTATTATCCTTCTCCTGCGCCATTCATCAGCGCATTCAAACTATTAGCAAGGGTTTTATGACAAATCTTCATGGCTTGATCAAGAATAATCCCATTCAAATTTGCTTTAGCGATCTGAGTACTGGATCAGACACTAACAGTACAGCGTAAGAATTCGTATGACGTCACATAACGAGAAATAACATCATGTGCAACACTAATGATGTAAGCAGATTGGCTTATACTCACTTGGAACACCTGAAACTAAGCGCAGAGGTCTAAGGACTCTGAATGCTCTTAATGCTTTCACATCAAATCCGCTTTTCAAATACTCTTCGAAGATGATGGAAGCAAATCTTCAAAAAGAAGATAAACAGTTAATATTGCCCGACCTTCGAAATAACTTAGGGAAAGGAATACACTAGAATCCTAACCAAACGGACACTTTTTGTCTATAATAGGGAGCAGAATCGATAAAAGCCACGCCGGGCACAGGAACAGGTCCAATACAAGGGCCCCTTATTACCCAAAGAAATAAGATCTAAATGTGCTTGACATAGATTCTAAAATGCATATAATTTTCTTTGTTTACTTTAACGTATACTCCAAATGATTTGCAATCAAAAGTTTATCATTAGTCTTATTTTAAATGGGGAATATTTAATTACAAGTAGGCCCCTCTTTGCTTACGGGCTCAGGGGCATTTGCCTTCCTTACCCCTGCACTCAGTGGGCCTGAAAGGGAGGTGGTATTTGTCCCGACAGGTATCTCAAGTTTTTGCATTGTTTACAATGTCGACTATGAAGGGATAATTATGGCAACAGGTACAAATAACAACCTCGGTTTGAATGCCCCTTTATCACTGAAGTTGTTATACAGTTTGAAAGGAGGGCTTTTTCTCCACAAAGAGGGTAGGGAGGATAGCATAATGGCATTATGCTTTCCATGTTGGCTTATTCAAAACAGTCTCTTTGTGTAATTAGGTTCCTAGTATCTACGTTTCTTTCTGTATTACCCCTAAGATACAGTCATTCAACACCTCCAAACCCGAAATTTCCCACTGTAGATTCTTCAAGTAAATTTGAAGAATCCAAAATAAAGACATACCCAATAACAACTATAGAAAAATCCAAAATATTCCAGCAATTGCGCAGGTATGCACCAGGATGCATCACAAAGCCATACGCAATGATCTTTAGCAGCCCTTCAATTGCAAACACTGCCAGGAAAAAGTACTCAGCGACGTCCTAAATCGAAAAAACAAAAAGTAATATTATGCTTTGGACAAACAAGCAGGGACTAAGAAACATACCAGGGATTAAATAGTTTTGAAGAGCTCAACATGCTAAAAATAATGATTCGCCTGGGTATTAAATGTATTTTGAGAATTTTTTTTTGGGGGGGGGGGGGGCGGTCTCTGCATAGTAGCAAATAAACTGTACAATTGAGCAAGTCACATATACTTGGATCCAAAGGAAAATAAGCATTTTCCGTCGTCGGTAATAATTTAGAAACAAGCTTTAACATGCGATAGGCCACAGTATATTGGAACCTTTAATGAGGCTGAAAACCCTTCATGAAGGTGGATTGTCTTATTTTCAACAGTCTTCGCTTTTTTTTAAGAAGAAGATTTCTTAAAACGAACTAAACACAAGTAACAGAAAATGAATTTGAAGTGTTGTACTAAATTGCCCCTAACACCGTTTTACTATTCTAAAAATCAACAGCTTTGAAATCAGTAACTTGTTAGCGATTTTCAGATGAAGATCTGTAATGAAAGCTTGGGAATCTGGTCGAGTCATTATCTTTCACAGATAGAGATTCTTGTAGCCAAATGGCTTTACGTTGAAACGAGGCCGTTGGCTTGAACGTTAATGAAAATCGGATGTCTAATTGGGAGCTGTCTAGTTTCCATGCTGCTCGACCTGATGACGTATTTAGTTTAACTTAAACCTAACCCTAACCCTAAACCTAAACCTAAACCTAACCTTAAACCTAACCCTAAACCTAACCCTTACCCTTACCCTAACCCTTTACTTGAAATAATTAATCATACTAATTTATGACTATTAATCATGCTTATTTATGACTATCAGGTCGAGAAGTATGGAAACTAGACAATTCCGTCTTATTGAAGGTAATTCAAACTGACCTCAAAGCGCACCATGCAAGGGGCTGGATTGATAAAGTTTCTGTTTTCTTTCTAGGAATCTATCTGGCCCTAATAATTGCCATAATTTACTAGATTAAAGAAGTGTTCAATCCAAGCACCTTGACATTCGGTATTTTAGGCGGCGGTAAAAATTCGGCCGAAATAGGATCTTCTTTAAGGTTTTGTCGGGCGATAAAAAAGGAACGCAGGTGAAACTGACGTAAATACTTGAACGGATGACGCGAGCAGAGATTGTGTTCTGTAATCGATAAAAATGTCAGCTGGTTTGAGCATTAAACGAACAAAGATTATTTTGGGGTCATCTATAAAGCATTTTAGTTTCAACCACTGTTACTGGCTAACCACTAAAGCATGGCTTTGATAGGCAAAGCAACCCAGAAACAGCTTGCAACACGAATCCAGCTTCTCAAAAACATTAAGACCCTTTCCAATTACACCCCGAATGACACCACAATGTCATATTAGCCAGGGGCTTGATAAATTCATTAAAAAGTAGCTAAGCAATTTCTCTCAGCCTCAGTCCTGATCATTGCTATTTAAATAAAACTTTGATCATTAATTGCAGGAGTAAAAGTGAGCTTTTGACGTTTAGTGGATAAAACATGAGGTCAAACATCGCTGGGATAAGCTTTATCTTCCAGGATTAAATTATTTCCAAGTTAGTAAGAACTGATGAATTTTTACATAAAAATTAAAGCTATGAGATTACGCGTTTGCTATGACATCCAAGAACATTTTCGCCCTAGATTCTGCCTGCTTCCTGCAAGTGTGTCGCCATCCTAGTGAGTATGGATGCTAGAACTCGTGCCCTTCAAACCAATCAGTAACATCCTTTGCATTTTTCTCATCTCGCTTATTTTTCCTATGATTGGATGGCTACAACCCAATATAAATTATAGTGCAGTAAGTTTTAAGTTGGCAGAAAAGTGGTTTTTCACAAATTTTTGGGAGGGTTTAAAAGTTTAAAGCCTGGAAAAGTTCTACCTCAGATGTTCTAGCTCTGCACTGTAGTTTAACATTGAAACTTACGAAGCAGAGCTAACCACGTGATACAGTTACTAACACTGTACCAAATTTATTCTCTCTGTGGTACACACCTATGTCCCGCCAAAGTCACATCAAATAATATTCCTGACTCTTTAAACAAACTTGCCGAATGTAAAAGTTTATTTTGTTTTTATTGCTTCGACATTTGCTCACAAACAACCTTGTTTCAAGCTTTTCCATTTACATTTACTCTCAAGAAAAAAAATACAAGATATTTAATTTGATTGGCAGAATACGACAGAATGAATAAAAAATGATTTCAAAGCGGCCGGTTTAAGCAGATTGACGCTAATTTTGAAGCGAAACATCAACTTTGCGAATATCATGACGTCACAACGCCTACATGTGCTGACCAAAGTAAGATGAAAATTTCAACTTTTCGTTGCTGACGTAGGAAAAAATTAATCTGCAATTACGTGAAATTTTTACTTAATTTAAAACTGTTTAGTTAAACGAGTTTGCGATATTTATAAAAAGGTCTTCGGCGCATAAAAAACAATGTTTTCCTGACAGCGCTCTAGGTGAAGGAAATATCCTGCGAAACAGTGAAAAGCAATTATCCTCGATCTGTTATAAACGCAGAGAAGCGCAACTGAAAATTACCGACACAATAAAACAAATTATGCAGGTTGTAATAACAAAGAACGTGCTATAAACAGAAGATCTTGTTGGCCAACGGAGCTAAAATTTCTGCCATTTTGTTTACACAAAGAGCGCACGATAAGGCCCTATCTGTAAAAAGCTGCATTAATAAGCAAAATCCATTTTCAGTAAATTGCTGCCACACCCGAATCAACAGCTCACAGCGATTCTTTGGAGACTTTTCTTCCAGCTTCGAAGATAACAAAAGGGCCTATTTCTCGATTACTTTGCAAACAAACATAATTACTTTATCGTCAAATCCAATGGCTGATGGAATTAATATAGGACATAAATAGTTTATCAAGGAGGCAAATTTTTCAAGAAATTTTTTTTAGATAATCCAGATATCCGCAGCGTGATCTTGCGATTAAATCTTGCTTTTAGAATTAGCGTCTCTATTTCTTTCAAAACGCTGCATTTCCATCAGCAATCACAAAACGTCTTAAAGTCACGCATGGCATATCAATACAAAAAACCATGCGAGAAATTTGTTCTCTTGCATTATTCACTATATTTATATAACTGTTTGCAGCTTTCTTGTTTACACAGTTTTCTTTCGAGCAGAGTTTTGCAATAAACTAAGGTCGATAGCATACTGAGGCGTTGTGGTGGCAACTGCCAAACTGTCACGCAAATTGGCAATTATAGCCAAATGCTAGACTAAAAATATAAGATTTTAGAGCGGACGCATGTGGTAGTTCTAACGTAAAACGTCAATCTCTGTAAACCTTGCTCCAAATTATTTAATCGATACAGTCACAAATTCACGGGATTTCGTCAAAGAAATAAATAATTTTCATTTTAAAAGGAGTCCCATTTAGGCCACACAGCAATGGAATTTAGGCCAGGTATTAACTATGGATTATCTACCGTTCATTTGAACTCGTTCAAGATACTAGACATTACTATAGCTTGATTAGAATTATAAAACAACACAGCCAATCATATCTACACTGTGGAACTCGAGCTTCCTTGAATGGATTAATCACTTAAATCGAAAAACATTTTGCAAGGATATAATAATCTTGCAAAAATATTTCTTTTTGACGATCTTTGAACCATATGGAAGCGGTGTCTAACAACGCCACAAGACCAGTTATCCACAGCAAATACAAGAACACTCTTCGCACTGCCCGAATTTTCAAACCTCCGACCATTCTAAGTTGAGCAGATGTAAGGGCATTTCGTGATCAGCCGAGAAAACAGCAGTTTAAAGACATTTGACTAGCTTGCTTACGTCATAATTTCATATTTACAAACAACTTTCAAAGCCAAAGTAGAGACACTAATGTGTTAAAATTAATCAAATCCTGTGAGTAAGGACAATGGTTGATGAAAACAACAAGAGAGGCCAAGTTACAGACCTCGGGTATCGAAAGGTTGTCTTAAAATAGTATATACGCTGCCAGATTCCCGCACAATCAAAGTTTTGTAAAAATGTCATGTCATGAACGTTTGAATTCTAGAAACAGCTCCAAATACTACATACCTTAAGCGCAAATTGTGATAGATATTTTTCTACTTTTTACTGCTAAAAATTAGCATGTAAAACACAAGTTTGTGAGGGAATAAATGTTGTTTCGGCTTGGTTCATTAATTTGAGAACGTAATACGAATTATAGTAGATTGCCTGGAAAGAAAACACAGGGGCTTACAACTGAACTCGCACAGATTTAATATTTTCAAATCTAGGCGTATTTTTTATGTCCTTAGCAACTATTCTGAGGACGTTTCAGAAACTGAAGCAAAGTCCCAAATACAAAACTAACACCAAAGCGTCTAAAGCATAGGACAAGAAATTTACTCAGAATGAAGTTTAGTCTTGTTAATTCATAGAAAAAAAGAAGAAAGTGAAAAAGGAAAACGTACCAGATTTTCATTTCTACTTGTCGTGTCTCCAGATGGGAGTGGTTCGTAAGCTGCCAAAGCGGCACAGTTTGCAAAAATGCTGGCCAAGATGAAAAAATCGAACGGTCTGTATATACGTTAAGGAAACTTTTATAGATTGATATATAAGGCTGTAGGACTACCAAATTTAGAATTATTTAAACAATGTAATAAGAGAAAATGGATAATATTACATTTTAGAACAGACATTCATAAAATTGAATATTGAAATATCAACTTTTAAGAATACATGCGATACCACGCAAACTAATGTTGTTATTATCGTAAGAAAGAAACAGGGAGAGTTATAACTTATAAATGTATTAAATCTTTGCAGAAAAACGGCAATAATTACTGAGAATATTTTCCAATAAGATGGCTACACTATGATGGACACAGACAATTAAACAGTAGAGCTAGCTAATTGCGGGAATGTCAATATCAATAAAACTAATGAGACGAGTATTTGGTAATCAAACCAAAACACAGAAAAAAGGTTTTAATAAAATTTTCTGTATCATCGGTCTGTCAAAAAATTCTCGATGCCGTATTGGTATAAGCAAAGCTGTACACGCTTTGGCGTTTAGTTGTCTGAAGATAGCATTAAAGGCTCTTGCGCGACCGGCATGCCTAGCGGCAGCAGTCTTGAGAAATTTATCGTGTTTTGTATTTTCATGCAGTATGATATTAGGCCGGTTTTGAAAACATAGTCGCAAAGCATGCCGGTTGTGCAAGAGCTTTCAAGTGAGAAACTCGGAGTTGCGATGTCCTGTTCCAGAACTATGATTTTACATCAATACCGTAATGAAATTGTAGGGGCTATTTGGAAGAGCTGCACAGAAACGCTTTGGAAACAGTCAACAGGGATCTGGGAACAAGATGCATCGACCAATATCACAAAACCTACAGGATGGGCAATTAAATTTATATCACACCAGAACGAGGCTAGCAATCAGAGATAGAATACAAGCAAGACACAATAACCTCAGGCCGTGCCAGGATTTGGCCACAGACTTCGTACTGCTCAGTAAGAAGCAATGTCAATAACTTTTAACCAAACACAAACACAAACGCCCTCTGGTATCGTTTGCAGCCTCTGGCTAGAACTTGCCATTCTTATTTGAGGCAAATATTGTGACTGAGAGAGATATTGCAAACGATACCAGAGGGCGTTTAAAATAAATTTGAAAGTGATTTAAGTGCTTCTACAGTTGATTGTTCTTAACTTACAAAACTTTTTTAAAGAGACACATCCAGACATGATTGGGCAAATTTGGGCCTATCGTTCACGGTGTTGATGGACTTTTACTATCTGAAAAAATCCTGACTTTGACGCAAAGGGTTTTAGCTGGACAAGATATCGAGATTTAATTAATAGGTCACCGATTGTCCTCATGAATCATTTAAGTTTGTAAACAGATTTCCGACAAAATTAACTTTATTTTCACCTGCAGCAAGCAACCAACCTAGATCAAAGTGATTTCAAATACTTAGCCTTCATTACACCTCCTGTGACAACTCTGTTTCTTTTCTCTGTACAGTTGGTCGAGCCTCTATCTTTAATAACAATTCAAGTAATTTGCTTCGTTTCATATTTGTTGCTACAAAACCAGCATTTAACTGCCTAACCATTTGCAAAATCAATGCGAAAATAAGATCATTCGCTGCTATTGATACCCATACCTGGTAACTGTGGAGGCACTAATCGGGAGGGAGGGGGAAGACAAAATAGAACATTCACGGTCACACTCGTTTTATAATAAGAGAACGTCCTTTTACCTAATGGGAATGTCCATGACAAACTTTTGGTTACTTAAAGGCTGTTTAAAATCATAGGATCATATCACACAAAAAAACTTTTGCCAAAATATTACCCCTCCCCCATCATCTCTCATTGAATTAAGACGAAATAATATCCTCCATTTCTGTCCTTTCCTTCGTTTGAAGGCAGTTATAACAGTGCAGCGCGGGCGGCGTTAGCGAATAACAAAATACTTCAAACTGCAGCTTGCAGTGTTGTTAGCACCATAAATTGTTGCAGTACAGATATAAGCACAAGAAACGAATCTGTAATGAGCTCTAATTAAGAAGTTTGAAAACCAATAATTTTCTCACTTCTTCTATTTTGAAAACAAGCATAAACCAGCAGCAAGCGGAGAAACAAAACAAAACAAACGAAACAAAACGACTTCGAATCAGTAGGAAAGTTTTAAAGGCTGTGCAGTAAATAAATATCCGACAAAGACAAAATGAGCATGCCAGCTGCGCTTCATTGCATTTCATACTATTTGGAGTAAAGCAATTTCTCCAATGGTATAAAGAAAGAACCCAACATTCACAGTAGGGGAAATACTCCGAACGATATCGTTGGAATATACAGCAACAACGAGAGTGAAAGGAGAAGCTGTGTTAAAAACTCTAGGGCCCCAACCCCGAAAGGGAGAATGGAATAAAAAACCAAAGTACTGATCGCTTTCAACCTTTAGAAACTGCTCGAAAAGGATTCTACTAGGTGCTCTGCTCTGTGCAAAACTTGGTTTCGTTTGTATCGGGTAGTTCCTATCTGGCAGCTGGCTCTCGTCGCCCCCTGAATTCGGTACAATTGCTTTAGACAAAGAAAAAAGTTTTTTTAAAGATGGATGGCGGAACTGCATGTTTTGTGATTTTGAGGGATGGTGTTTTGTAAGTGACACCCATGGGGGAAACCGAAACAATAAAACAACAAGTGGTCAGGAAGGAAGCATTGTCCCCCAAAAAAAGATTCACACTTATGGCGAATAAATGGGGACAGTGTTAGGGGTACTACCAAACGAGATCAATGATGTTTGATGCTTGAAATATCTAGCAATGTTACTTGCAAATTCGTGCAGCGTTCCAGATAAATTTTATATTCCGGGCCTTAGTTAAGAGTCAATTGTTAACGGAAACTGCTACAATAATATAAATTAAGAAATCACATGAAAAAGCAAATTATATATTCATATGGGCTATGAAAGGGCGTGAATTCTCTGTCGAAATTGTCGATTTGATATAGATTATTTGCTAAACTGATATCATCGATTATCAAATCACAGTAAAAACTCGAGCAAGTGTATTTTAAATGACTAAATCAAAAACATATTACTAATCGCAAGAGGCAAGCCGACTCTTCAGCTGGCCACAGCATTTCAGAATAACAAATGATTTCTTGTAACCGCATATAACCTTAAATGACTACGCGTTTTCTAGACTTAATTTGCTCGACTATAAAAAGGATCCTTTTAATTCAATAACAGGCTTAGCTTAATCCTGAAGTTCTGTATACAAATAATCATAAGTATCAGAGACCCAGGGTAACAATATACAGGCTGAAACTGCGCAGAGCTTGTAGCGCTTATCCTAGATGGTAACCCCTTCCCTAATCGCCTTGGTCCTGCATAATCGTTTGATGGGTGTCACATGGAGACGAAACCGGTCATTTTAAGAAAGAAATTTTGTAAACAAGAGCTGCACATTGTTTGAGTTAAGAAGCAAAAATGTCAACAAAGAAATCCTCTTAGTTATCGATCATCGAAACAAAATAGATTTCGATGGACTACAACAATAGGGATACCTAATGTCTGTTCAAACCCTGTATGGGACCCACTTTGGTGGCAACCAGGTATTCCGTTTTTAATGGCAGGGCTTGCAGAAACATTCCATTACAATCAAGAAAATACAAACAAATTACTTGAACGCAACTCTATTATTTGCTTCTACAGCAGGCCCGTTTTTATGAAACTCCATTTTCACAATCAAATAAACAACAAGGCAAATTTTGGTAAATAAAGCTGTGACTTGCTTTGAAAAATACTCGAGAGTTGGAGATTTTTCAAGGGTTCGATAAAGGAGTCAAACTTGTGTGCACGCGTACAGTAGCAAGTCCTCATTAAAAAACTACCTGCTTCATAACAATGAAGAATGAGAATTGCCATGTAAGTGGAAATAGACCAGCTCAAACAATAATAATAATAAAATAAGTGGAAATTAAACATCATGCCCAGTGAAATGCGTTGACTGGAAAAATTTGGGAAAAATATTTGAAGATGCTTAATCAAATAACAACATGCAGTGGTTTACTTTGATAAAAGAACGGTGCTTGTAGCGATAAGAAAAATTGAAACGATCAGAAACATCAAAGTCAGTGAAACAAAATATGGAAAAAACATGAATAAAAGGATACTTCCAGTCGACGATAGTAATCGCTCCAGAGCGAACAGGGTTGTCCAATGTCAAGCAAAACAGAGCTCTTTTAGGCCTTAATTGCCCCGCTCCCGGCTGTTTTTTCTTGCTCTTTGTTGAGTAGCCACCTATCATTTTGTTTGTAGTTAATGTTGCAAATTTATTTTCATTTTCTTGCTCTTTCGGGTTAGTGTCATAATTTTCTGCCATATCATCTTGTGGCAGAGCGTTTTCGAATGGAGTGTCGTCATTTTCATGCTCTCCAGGCCTAGAAGGATTCCACTGATCATCAGCTTGGCTCTCTACATCCGACCGCTTGATTTGAGCATCGAACATATTTTAGCAGGTAGAAATCTCACTCGTACTATTTCCTAAAATCTGCGGGTAAGAATAAGTGAATTGAAGGCAGCTGTCTTGACCACGGGCCGCCCTACTCCAAACAGCTGTATGGCAACTTGAGATGCTGTCCATTTGCTTCAAGGAATCTCCATAGCTTCATCACATCACAAGGGTTCCACAGCACTACAAAGGCTTCACGGTACAGTGACTTCTCCGGTTCAGTGATGCCATATGTAATTAGACATTTCACAATAGTAGCGCTATATTTACAGGACAAAAGAATCCAATCTATCATAATTTTTGTACATAATAACAAACATTCGTCTGGTTGCGGCTATCTTCATTACTTCCGTTATACACTGTCATCATGGCAAAGATTTATGACGTCACTTGCGACAAAACTCAACATAGATCAACCGCACAGCAAACAGAAACCGCATTGTTTAACTTCCACATTCTTGAACATTTTAGATAGAGAAATGCTCGTTTATGTTATGATGAGAGAATAATTGCAGAAAATGAGAATGTCCAGTCAGAAAAACGAATAAAATACTTTTTATTTTATTTTGAGTTAGAAGTTTTTGGCAACAATTACGAATATACGTTGTATGAGAGACTGGTGACGTCGAAGCATGGGGGCGGCTTATCCTGGGTGCCAGAGCAACTTGCTTCGCAAACTTGAGCTTTTTTCTTTACTGAGGGGCAGATCACTCTCAGAACATCTCGTACACCTTTTGTGAAAATCCTATTGTTTTATCTGAAATTCTCTAGAAATCCTATTGTTTTAGGCAAAATCTCGTACGCTATTTGCAAGAGTGAATCGCCCCTCGCTCTTTACGCAGCTATTTTGCGTTTTCATTGGCGCGTGCAGAATTTTAGCCTTCGTTAGTCGTTACAGTTTTCATAGTGATAGTGCTTGCTTTACATGAATAAGATTGAAAAAAGTGTGAAAAGTTTCATCCGGAATTATTTTCAAGTCCTTTATAGTTTTCAAACTTTACATAGGGTCATTCACATGGTACATTATGCAAACTTTTTGGTATTTTAAACCCCCTTCCCCACTTGTTACGCAGTCGTACTTCTTTGGAGAACCCGCCCCTTGACGTAGTTAACTCTTTTTCCTAACTAGGCCAAACCAAAGCAACAAAATAGAAAGTTGTCTGTAACGGGTCCTTACTTTATGTGGTAGTTTACGGACAAGGTGCCAAAGGAAACATATTTAGAATAGAGTGCTCAGGCAGCGGTACAAACTAAAAGCCCCAAAAAATTATTTCTAGCACAAAACTTGATCGAAAAAATTATTCTTCTCCCCCATGCACAAGAAAGTATGCAGTGGTACAACTGCACAATTTACTTATACTGAAAGAAAACTTTTGCTCAAATTTGCTCAGACACAAACAAGTAACCTGAGAATATTATAAGAATACTACACAGCCTCAATTCGCACATTTGGCTCAATTTTCAGCAGCTGCCTGTTTTGGGATTTTCATAACAGAGAATCGCCTGACTGACATATTTCATATTTTTTTCAAAAAGTGTGACTCCCATTCAAGGGTGAGGGATTTCCCCTGAAACAAAATCAGATTTGAAGAAAAAAACTAATTTAAGCATATATTCAGGCTCTAAATGAAAACATATAACAGTAATACAAGACATAATATAATATAATATAATATAATATAATATAATATAATATAATATAATATAATATATAATATAATATAATATAATATAATATATAAATATAATATAATATAATATAATATAATATAATATAAATAATATAATATAATATAATAAATATATATGATATAATATAATATAATATAATATAATATATATAATATTATATAATATAATATAATATAATATAATATAATATAATATAATATAATATAATATAATATATAATAAAATATTATGTCCTAACTGAGTTTACAATGAGAAGTTATAGAGGCCTTGCTTTTCTTTAAGCTCTTTCTAAAAAAGGTTTTTGTAGCCATGTGTCTCTTCTAAGAAGACAAATGAGAGTTGGCTTGACAAACAATATTTTTATCATATTTTTATCACAAGTAAAAAAGTTCTATTCAAATTGAATTAAGCTAAAAGATTACAAATGTTAAAGCCACAAGTCTAGAGCTGATGAAAAACTTTTCTAACAAGGCGACAGAAGAATTTAAAATTTTGTCTTGGCTCAACACAGTATGCAGATACAACAAAATATGATAAAAGAACACAAGGTGTCGTCACACTGAGAGGAAGGACCAGGAAACTGCTCGATAAGCATAGCTTTTCAGTGTTCTAAAACTAGCTTCAGAAACTAGGTAGCAAACAAAACAAATACCATTGTCTTTCATCCCATGTCAATACTTTAAATCCTTGAATAAGCCTATGGTATCAATAAGAGCATTATCTGCTAGGCGGAAGCTATCAAGGGGAGGGGCTTACATATGGGGAGGGGGGCTTATAAAAATCATCTCCAAATTGCAATAAAAATAGCTTGTTTTCAACTTTTCCATGATTTCAAAATTTATTTTATTTGCCCTTTTTTATTGTAAACTTTATCTAAAATATCAAATTAAAATATATGTCAACACACAAACAGATACTTAAGTCCGACATATTGGTATTGTCTTTGGTTTTTTCTTCATCAATGTCTTTTTGCTTTTTATTTTGATCTTCTCCACCAGATGTGTTATAAATCATGAACTAAACTGTGCTGCATTAATTTCTTCACTCTACTGATTCGAAAGAGGTTTCAGAAGTGAACCAAATTTCTCAAGAAAAAGACCATATCGTTTTCGTACATCTTTAATTTTCTGCTGAATTCCACACACAATTGTTACGTGACTCTACATTGCTTGTCCTTTACCTACACTTCGAGCGACTCTACTCCAACTCTCTTTAGTGGATCTATTTAAATCTTTTATACAAATGTTCCATTTATCTAATAATACTTATTAATATACCAATCTTCTTAACTTACCGTGATTTAACCATGTGCCTGTGCATCATGCAGGATGCCTTCCTAATTATCTGTTTCTACCAGTCTCTTAAATTTACTGTATCTCTAAGTATCTAATTTGGTTTCTAAAACAAAAGAATTACTAAAAATTTATACGTACTTATAATTTACTAATTTCCCACAAAACTGGCCTACTGCTTCTGGGCTAAGCCCCTAGCCTTCTTGGTCATTTATTTTCTTGATCCTTTCTTGTTCCATTGAAATGAACCCCCATATTTTAATCGGTTTTAATCACCACTGAACAAGCACTGAACATTGTTCTATCTGTAAATAGAAAGCAAAATTCTTTGGCCTAACATTTTAATCCTGGATTGGGTTGTTCCATGGATGTTGAGGGGGCATATGGGTAATCATCTGCGTCCAAGGACATAGGGCATATTGCAGATTGAGGGGGCTAAAACGTTATAGGGGGCTAAAATGTTATAGGTGGGGGGCTAAAACATTATAGGGGGCTAAAACGTTATAGGGGGCTAATCATGCTAAAAACTAAGAGCAAGGGATTTTTTATGGCTTCAAGTACATTTTGGAAATAATTGGAGGGGGGGTGGCTAAAGCTCAACCCATGCTGAATGCCACTGTCCAGTTTACATCTTCCCTGAGCTCAAAACCAAGACTTTTGAACATCCCCATAGGTCTGAATGCAGTTTCAAGCTTTTCAATAAAGGCAAAGGGGATATGGTCAATGGAAATAATTTTCTCTGACAATCTACCTACAACAGCTTTGGCTAGGCCTTTTTTCATATGGTTCTCTAGAGTGGTAACGGCACTTATTGCCCCAAAGTCATTACAAAAAGCCCATGAAACCGGGAACTCAGAGCCAACCGGAAATGCTCCGATTGCCAAACCATATTTGGCACTTTGCAAATACATTAGACAACCTGCTGGCGAGGAATGTTTATAATTCTGCATTGCATAGAGGACATCCTTGGGCCTAAGCTCGCGTACTTCGTATCCGTCTGGAATGTTAAAAAGAACTAAATCCTTCTTGTTTGCCAAAATTGTCAGGATACTTACGCTTCTTTCAAAGAAATTCTCTTGCTTTTCATAGAAGTATTCTGCCCCTTCCCATAAAAATTTATTTAAGAAAAGGACACGTATACCGGAATCTTCTGCATCAAACAGAGGATTTTTCTTCCAAAATACTTTTCTTTCATCGCCTTCGAAACTTTGTTTGAATACACTTGTTGTAACAGCGTTGCCTTTATGAATTAAAAAGACTCCTCTTATTGATAATGAATACGGATAGGCCAGTGACTGTATGATCTCGTCACTGAGAATATTTCTTGGCAATCGTTCGGCAGGACCCATGCATACTACCACATACGTTAACAAGGAGTCTCCATTTTCCTGATTCACCACTTCCTCTGAAGAGCCACCGTCATTTGCAACCAAATCCACAACCGCCATTTTTCCTTGCCATAACTTTCCCTTAAACCTAAGAAGGCCATTAAGCATGATGAGGTCCAAATAATGATTCATCACTTCTTCTTTGGTGATAAGATTCTGCACCTTGTTCGCTAGTCCTTCGATTTGGTGTTCTTCATCTAAAAGTTCTATATTTACTTTAATTTTCACGGCGGCCATTTTTGCATTACATTCACTTTCGTCTTTTCCGTCTTTTGGTAATAGTAAACCTCTTTGGGGAAACCCCGCAGTTGTCGAGTAACATGTCTGCAAAATGTTGCCACGATCAGGGGTTTTAGGCCAGGCTGTGGTCACGGCAAGTACGACATGAGCCCAGAGAAATTATGAGGGGCATTGTCTGCTACCGTACACCCACCTCTCGAATAAGCCCTCACCTAAAAATCATTTTTGTAAATAAGCCCCCCTTCGAGTAAGCCCACATGGGGGCTTTTTTCGAGGGAAACATAATAGAGTTCTCAAGTGTGACGTCACAAAAAACTATTTTTAGAATTTTCGAATTTTGACCATATAACATGAAAGAACACCATAAAATACTCCCATATATGCAAAATCGGTTAAATTTGTCAAATATCGGGTGAGCTATGACCAATAGAATATCTAAAGTTTGCTAACAAATTATTGTTATTTTGGGTCAGTTCATAAAGTTATGAACTGAGACCAAATTACAGAGGTCTGATGGGGCCAGAGCTTGTGCTCATCTGGTCATATATCAGCCAGTTCTTAATACCTTTAACTGATTTTGCAAATTCAGAGGTATTTCATGATGCTGTTTCAGGTTATGTGAAAAAATTTCAAAAGTTTTAGAAATTGATTTTGTGACGTCATCACTTGACAACTCTATTGCAGAATAATATCTTATTTCAAGAAAGCCCCCACGGGACAATAGCTATACAGTATTGCAT